GGAAGTAGAGTAATAATATCCTACTCTAGGAGGTTTAAGCTATAAGCGGACGATCTCGAAGGTTTCGTAATTATCTAAGAATACGAGTAAACTACCCGCAAATTATACGCGTAATCGGTCGAAGCGTCGTTAATCTAAAAGGTTACGATAAGAATAAAGATAGTAGGTGCTTTATAAGTTTAGAGAGGAGTTATTTTTAGTAGTTTCGTTCGTTCCTTTAATAGATATCTATATAGTACTACTTTAATAGTCGTAAACGCATTATACGGGCGTATATCCACTTCTCGATCTATTTACTATATAAAGGGAGTGCCTAATATATAATTATAGATATAGGCTTTAAATAACTTTACTTCTACGATTAATCTATCGATTAGAACTATATCTATATACTAGATAAAGAGGCTATATCGGAAGCGCCCGTATAATAACTAAAAATCACCGCTAACCTCTCGGAACGGTTATATTCCGAGGTAGCGTAAGTAGTATACCTTAGTTCTACTAAAAAAAGATTGTTGCAGAGTTGTCGCTAAAAGCGCACCGTAGTCGGAGTCCGTTCCGTTTCGCAGTCCGCACTTCTCACCGACTAATCTCGCTCAGGTCGCTTCGACTTGAAAACAAGGGACAGGCAGCCTGTCTGGGGAGTGTTGACCCGTGCTTGGATCCTCTTCTGGCGCAGGTCGCTGGCCAGAGCGAGTCTTCTGCAGTATATGTGCTGTCTCAGCTAAACTTGCTTTCCATGATTGGCGCAGCTGAGAAAGGTGGATATTTGCTTCGCTTCCTTGCTGCACAGCTGGAGTGAGACGAGAAGGGTTTGTATAGAACGTGGCAGCAGCAATTTTGGTTCGTATGAGGTCGGTTCGCTATTGCTCTCTTTTTGTCATCGGACACTTCTCTGAGGTGCATTGTTTGTCTTGCACAGTGCTGTCATCATCGTCGTCAGCCCCATCACTTTCTTTCACAGCATCAAAAGGACCGCAACATCCATCATTCAACCCAGCCATCTACCATGACTCAACCCGACCTTCTGTCAACATTGCCTGGCGAAATCCGCAATGACATATTCCGCCTCGCCATCCTCTCCACGGATCCCGTAAAAGTCGAACCTCTATGCGAAGCGAAATCCAACAAACTACACCAACCAGCCGCAGCATTCACATGCAAAGCCTTCCGCACCGAAGTCCTCTCCATCTTCTACGCCGAAAACACCTTCTACCTGGGAACAATCGGCTACCACTCCCCACTCCACATCCGATTATGGGATTTCAACAAACGCCTTGCGCGCTGGAAATCCATGCTCGGGCCTTTCACACGCTACCTCGCAGATCTTCGCATGTCGATTGATGGGAGATGTTATGCGTGGGATGGTGTGCACCCGGGGACTGCAGAGTATGAGATGCGGATGGTTTGTGCGGGGAAATTGCAATTTTTGATGAATGGGACGGAGAGGTGTACATGCAGGTTGAAGGAAGGTGTGGAACTACAGGCGAGTCTGGATGGAGATGTGTTGTTGGAGGTTATGAAGGAGTATAGCGCGAGCTATTGTGAGGCGGTTTGTGAGGGGGAATGTGGGAGGTGTGGGAAGACGAGGCTGGAGAAGTTCGGAGAGACGGAGGTGAGACATTTGCCGCTCTGGGAGGATATCGTTACTTGCTGAAAGGTTTGGCGAGTCCGAGAGGGTGGTGTTGGATGGGCCAGGAGAGGATGCTATACCCATGTGTGGCATTCTTTGCTTTACGCTTTTTGGGATAAGGGTTAGGGCTGGGGTAACGTCGGCACACCTTCCTCGCAGAGCCATTTCTTTTATCCGCTTCTCCGCTGTTATGCTCGCATCTRTGCATCACCGATCCCCGCACGTCGCAAGTGCCAAACCACATGGGAGGGAGAGAGCTCCGCAGGGCAGGGCAGAGCACATCCGAGGGAACAATGTGAGTGGACTCCGCTCATGGGATGTAGGAAAGATTGCAAGAGGTTGGTCCATCTCCCATCCCATCTCATTGACACGTCTCTGCTCCTCTCATTGACACATCTCCCACCATCTCATTGTGCACATCCCTACTCCACCCAATCATGCCCGTCTTCCCAAGTCTTCAACAAGACATCCTCCGTAAGAATGTCCATTGCTCTCTGCACCAACCTGCTTCCCTCCCAACTGACAAAGCTTCAATCCCAAAGTCCCACCCGACATCACAACCTGGGAATGGCTCTTCGAATCTCCCACATACTCTCCTCTCCTGCGACATCCTGAATCACAACTCGCAGGTTTCACAGACGCAATCTCCAAAGAGAGACTCAACTGGAAGCAGGTCAAAGAAACAGCTACATATCTATCCACAGCATTGGTCAAGAAATACGGGCTGAAAGTCGGAGAAACGGTATCGCTCTTCTCAGCCAACACAATATGGTATCCCGTCGCAATGCACGCGACCCTTCGCGTGGGAGGTCGTGTCAGCGGTGCCAGTCCGGCGTACAACGTCGAAGAGATGACATACGCGTTGCAAAAAGCTGATGCCAAATTCCTCCTGACGCACAAGGATAGCATGGATGTTGCGGTTGAGAGTGCGAAGAATGCGGGTGTGCCCAAAGAGAACATATTCTTGTTGGAGGGGGAGTTGGAGGGATTCAAGAATATCAAGACACTGATCGAGGAGGGGAAGAATTTGGGAGACCAAGTGCCATATTGGTCCATTCCGAAGGGGAAGACTAACTTTGATGTTTGTGGATTCTTGTCGTTTTCCAGTGGGACAACGGGATTGCCCAAGGCTGTCATGATAGCGCATCAAAATGTTATTGCGCAGTGGTGAGTGGCGGAATCATATAGATCGACGACGACTCATCGCTAACGTTCTCTAGTCTGCAAGTCATGCCAATTACGCCCCCAGACCACAAACGAGTGCTCGCAGTCCTACCGAGCTTCCACATTACAGGTCTCGTCCACGTCTTGCATCTTCCACTCCTTATCAACGCCGAGGTTTATTTCCTTCCAGCTTTCACCATGAAAGCCATGCTTGATACGGTCACCGAGTACCAGATTCCGGAACTCCTCCTTGTCCCCCCAATTCTGATCAGAATGGTCCGCGATCCTATCGTACAAGAGTACGATCTTAGCTGCGTGAAGAGATTCTCCTCAGGCGCAGCGCCTCTTTCCGAGGAGATCATCCAACTGTTGAAGAAGAAGTTCCCGCAGACCGGTTTCAAGCAAGGTTACGGTAAGCCATGCAATCGCATATGACCCCAACCCAAGAACAGAACTGACATCCATCAAAGGCATGACAGAATCCTGCTCCTGTATCACAGCACACCCACCCTGGTACTACGACTACAAATACGCCCATACCGTCGGCACAGTCTGTGCCAGCACAACAGTCAAAATCATCAAAGAAGACGGCACCGAAGGCAACATTGGCGAGCCAGGCGAGATCTGTGCCAAAGGCCCTCAAATCGTCATGGGCTATCTTAACAACGAAAAAGCAACCAAAGAGACCTTCGACGAGCAAGGGTTCCTCCACACGGGTGATCAAGGCAGTATTGACGAACACGGAATCATCACCAWCCTCGACCGCATCAAGGAACTTATCAAGGTAAAAGGAATCGGCGTCGCACCGGCAGAGATCGAGGATACGCTTCTCGGGCACCCGAAAGTGGAAGATGTGGCTGTCCTGGGTATTCCGGATGATTATTCAGGAGAGGTGCCCAAGGCTTACATTGTGCTGAAGCCTGGAAACAAGGAGGATCAGGATACCGGAAGGGAGATCCTGAAATATGTGAAGGATAACAAGGTGAGATACAAGGCTGTGAAGGAAATTGAGTTTATCAAGGAGATTCCTAAGAGTGGGAGCGGGAAGATTTTGAGGAGGATTCTGAGGGACCAGGCGAAGAAAGGGGCTGTTGGGGTTGTGGTTCGGGAGGAGAGATCGAAGATGTGAGGGAAAGGACTCGGCATCGATATGAATTGACGACTTAAAGACTCACGAGCTTCCCATCCCGATGCACGACTTCTTGGATGCCCTGTGATACTTCATTTCCAAAGGGACTTCTGAATTCTGATGGAGCCCTCATACGTGCACTTCAATGACGCCACCCACGCCTCAGTATCTGCTAGATTGTTAGCAAGGCGTCATATCGTACAAAGCATGCTAATGCTTTGTTCACCTTGTCACAGGTCCAAAATCATTGTCCACTCTTATGTGCTCTTTGTATAGCACATTCATTGTATTCCAGCAGGTGGCCATCTACATAATTCTCACGGACGTCTTCTTCTCATCTTCAGATCATACAACATATCCATACCAAACCACATCCACATTACAACAAAACCAAAAAATAAAGAACCCCTCACCATAAAGATGCAGTTCATCATCCCCACCATCCTCCTCAGCACCATCGCCCTGGCGGCGCCAACCCCAATCCAACCCACAAACACAGCAACCTGCAGTCTCAAGTATGCAGTCATGAAAGGCACCTGGACCGTCAACATCGGTCGCCCGTACCTCGATGGGACAGGTTGTGCCTTTGTCAAGAAGTCCCTCCGAAAGGGCGGCATGAGTATTTCCTCTGCTCCAGGTTTCAAGTGTGAGGATGATGGAGAGGGAATGACTCGATTGGAGTTTACCACGGTGTTGAGCACCAAGAAGCAGAATGCTGCGTTGGAGATTGCGTACCCGATGATTCCGTTTGTGCAAAATGGGATTTGTGATCCTTATCTGGTTTAGATGGGTAAGTTGATAGGTTGGTGTCTTCATTCACGCTGTTTTGTTTTGATGTTACTAGCGAGTCGCTATGGCAGAATTGAATCGATTTCTTTGTTTATCAGCCTTTCGTTTTAGTTTGCTTCACATTCGCTTCACCTTGTAGAGTCGTGCTTTACTTGACGCATCAGAGTGCGAAAGTCAACGCCTTTAGTATGCTGCTTTCGGAAGAGAATAGACAGGAATCTTGATAAGCTGTGGACGTCCCCAAACGTCGAGAGGATGTCCAACGCTTTCGTGTGGCGGCCATCTCTTCGGCCGCCGGTTACGGTTTGGGCAGCTAAAGCATCTGGGACCAGGTCTGATGAAGTCTCAGCGTGAGTCGTTACAAAACGTCGCCACGGGTGTGGCTAGTGATATGAAAGCACTAGCGATGGATTCGGAAATGCGTATTGCGTAGAACTGTACACGACGCCGATCATACTGTTACCTGGTGCTCCTGGAAGGTGTTTTACTGTCTTGGTGTAGAGAATCAATATTGAGGAACTTTCGCATGACACGAGTCTCGAAGCGAATCTTGGAGGCTGACTCTCGGCAGGGCCACCACATGCAGTTTTGAAGTATCCTATCAATCATCGTCATCGTCCAAATAGCTGTTGAAAGTAGTAGTTCCATTGAACTGACTATCCATATCACCAACTCTGTCTGGAAGGTTCCGATGTGGTGACCTTACGAAGCGCATGGGCTGAAGTGGAGATTAACCGCCCACCTGCTCACGCTCATGCTGTTTGGTCACGACCCCGAAGCTCAGCATCAAGCGGTTATGTCAAAGCAGAAAAACGCGGCTTCTAACTGTTTGCCGGCGCCATCGACGACGCTGGCTCTCCACGCCTGCGTCAAACGCTCCGGGTCGGTTGAAAACGTCCCTCACATGCGGTTATACTGTGGCTCCAGCACATGGAGAAGCTTGCCATGCGCTATGCGTGTACCCAAATAATTATGAGGGTGTACAGGACCTCGAGGTAGCAAGCGACATGGTGCTGCTGTAATCAGCTGTCGAATGAGATATGTTGAGAGGATGGATCAAGCCAGTCGCAACAGAGTAGAGATCGTCTTATCACCTGTGATCCAGCATGACATTCAAGCACTCGTTCGGAGTCGTTCCTGATGCCATGATGAACCGTGGGAACATGGAGCTGCAAACTTGGGCGGCTAGGGTACCGATGCGCGATGCGGCGCGTCCACCCCTGCGGGGTCTGTCCTGTCCCTGTTCCTCGTGGAGATTGATCCTTGCGGAGCACCAGGCCAAACACCCCCGGAAGATWCTGCGATGAATGGACGGGTGCGCAGCGAGACGATGGAGAAGTGCGAGTTGGACCTTTTCATCACGATGGGCAACGCTATAGAACTGCGCCAGTAGCATGATCGAAAACGACCATCGCGTGTTGCCGTGTGCCGATGGCCGTTGCTGTCCTATTCATACCCGCCCGCTTGACTGGTCAACGTGAGTGGGTCGTACCTGCGCTAGCGTGAATCTAAGGGAAATTAGGGCGCGCTCTCGTCCTGATCCTCCTCCCTCGGCGACCACAGGCTGAGAGACTTGTCTCGTCACCACGCACCACTCCTCCAGGCCCGGCAACTTCACTCCTTCAGACCACCTTCTGCGATCGTGCAGCCCGCCGCCCTTCGTTCACCGGCGGACGCGCATTGCTGCCGTTCATTCACTTCGATCAGGCCTGCGTTTACATTTATTACATTCCGCGACCAGGTCTGGCCTGTGAGACACATTCCTCACGGTCCTCCATCTCACCATCTGGCCGACCCTCGCGCTCGCCTCTTTTTCGCTTCGACTTCGACACGGATCGCGATATCTGATATTCAACGACAATCATGGGTCTCCACCAGAGACACACGCATGGACGCGTGTTCCACGGTCTCGCCGCCCGCGAGCAGCTGGAAGTGCGCAAGCGTGACAGCCACGGATCTGAGCCCAAGATGCATGTGCCGGAAGGCTTCGAGCTGAAGCAAACTGCGGACGACGGCGGCGATGGCGGCGACAGTGAAGACCCCAACGCGGTGCAGGTCGTCTACGTGACCCTCTCTCAGACCTTCTCCGGAGCTGCCATTTACTCCACGATGACCGACGAGCCGCAGGGCATTGCATCGTCCTCCGCTGCACCCAGTGTGCTCAAGGGAGGCGCTGTTGCTGCTACACGAAGCCCATCAAGTAGCGTGGCACTGGAAACATCTGTAGCGACAGTCTCGCCAGCTCACAGCAGATCAGCTGCTACCACAATGGCAACCGCCACTTCTTCGAGCAAGGGTAGCGACGATGCAATGGAGTCGTTTTCATCCACAGCCGCTGGTAGCCCAGTTCGTGCTACCCAGAGCTCATCGTCAACCTCGCAGGCCACGACGGAGCAGACCCAAAATGCTGGAATGTCTTCCGGTGGCAAGGCTGGCCTTGCAATTGGCGTCATACTCTTAATCGGACTGACCTGCGGCCTCATCTTCTTCCTCGTTAGGAAGAAGAAGCGGCCTGTGAACGAAGAGGCTTTGAACGAAAAGCACAGCAGCTTTCCTCACGACGCTCCCATCGGGACTGCAGCCGCTACCGGAGCATTCGCTGCCCGCCAGATGCATCAGCAACAAAACGATCGCGAGTACTCTCGACGCGATTCGTCTCAAACCGATAAAGTCCCTGCCAGCGTACGCTCCACCCGCACTGCATCTACTGCCCCGCGCCTCAGTCTCCGTCCCATCACTCAACTCATGTCTGGATTTGGTGACAACCGCAAGAGCGGTGGCAATGCGCTCGATGCTGCCGCTGCTGCTGGAGGTGGCCTGACTGCAAACTCCGCATGGGAGCGCCGCCCGACAAACTCTACCAACGACAATCCCTTCAACGACGCTGCCAACCAGGATAGTCGCAATAACAGCGGCCTCGTAGACCCATTCGACGAGAAGCGAGCTGTCAACGACTCCACTGCTACCTTGAATCAGCCGAAAACTTCATGGGAAGCGACCGAGCAGCAGACTCCAGGCTCAGCGACTCTCGGAACTGCTGCCGCCGTTCCTGTTGCTGCTGGAGGCGCTGCCAATGCGCCACCTCGCGGCCCGAATAACGTTCACCGTGTTCAGCTGGACTTCAAGCCAAGCATGGATGATGAACTCGAGCTTCGCTCCGGCCAGCTGGTGCGCATGCTCCACGAGTACGACGATGGCTGGGTAAGTTGACGAAAGGATATACGTACATGGGACATTATTGACAGTTTACAGGCTCTCTGCATTCGCATGGACCGCAGCCAGCAGGGTGTCGCACCTCGCACTTGTCTGTCGAAGCTTCCCGTGAAGCCACGCCCACAGGGACCTCCCGGAGCCTCGCCACAGGGCTCGCGCCCCGGCACGGCTCAGAGCAGCCGTGGCCCACCCAACGCCCCGGGAATGATGGTTCCACGCCCTCTCACCCCAACTTCCTCGAGCCGCTCTCCATCTCCCCAAGATGCTCCCCAGGGCAACTCCGTCTCACCACCCAATGGCCCAACACGGGTGCAGCGCAAACCTGTCCCTGGTATTGCCATGTAAAGAGTCTCTACAAGAAGCTCGCATTTTCTAGCGTTACTGATGAATTACGTGTCGCCAATCATCCGATTGTATATAACCGGTCCTTCAATTCCCCCCCTTCAGACAAGTTCCGACTCGCTTCATTTCCATTCAGGCGTCATGGCTACCAACGCCACTCGAGTGTTTGCTACATTTACAAGTCCCCAGGTTCCCATCAAGTCAAGCCGGGGTCGGTGATGTGCACGTTTCGGAGATATTAATGTCTGCTTACTTGACCGGCGAAAGAGCGAGGAGTACTTTTGCGAGGATTCGGCATTGCTCCCAGAGCTAGATCTGTCTGCTGGGATAGGCACAGACTAGTGATGATCCCGTTGTGTAGAATAGTGGGTGTGCTTATGTTAGCCAATGAGAATTTGACTACTACTTCAAAAAGCGTATTGTGTGTTAGAGTGTGAATGAGCTGCATGTCTGGATGCAGCCAGCCGTGAGCACAATGCGGGAATCTGGCGACCAAAGCACAATAGTTTTTTTTTTCAGCAAACGAAAATCATTCTTCATGTAGCGCTTTATAAAGTGGTCGATGTTTGATGTCTCGTAGATGACATGCGTCGTATTGATCTCATGTTACCTTACCTTAAAAGTACTCGACAAGATGGCATTCGGCGAACCCACTCGCGCGCCGATCACGAAGTTCGCGAATGCACCTGTCAAACAACAACCTTATAGACAAAGACAACAAAATAGGGAATTCCCGCCATCGCGGCCTTGGAATTTTGACGGGCAGACTTGTCGTCAGGAACAAGATCTGGCAAGAAAGGAGGGCTCTGCGCGTCCAGATTTCAGGAACAGAGCAGAAACACAAAATAATTCTGGATTTCAGCGATTTGGTCCGACGCGAGGTCGACAGGCACGACTGCAAGACAACGGCATCCAGCGAGACTACGACTCCCGCAACCAGGGGCCGAGCACATCATTGACGCGGTCCTCTCGACCTCGAGGCTGGGAAGAAAACCAATCAACATTCCACTCGGACCCGCCAACACAGGAGACTTTTTCGCTTCAGGATCCCTCAACCACACCTCACTTCAGGCATCCGCCGCGCGACGCAGTAGAGGGCGCGCTACTATCCCAGGAGCGATTGCCAGCGCAGGCGAGGAATCCTGACGAGGTGACTGGAAACTTCGATCTTGCCAGCACATCTCGACTCGCTGATTTGGGAATCTGCGACTACAACTGGCTGAACAATTGGACGCGCTTGGTTGCATCTACTTGGAACGGCCAGAGCGACTTCCAGCTTCGATCCGACCAGATCGAGGACACGATAGCTGAAGCCCACGAGCTACTCATCTCCGAAGATCTGCTCGGAAGGAGGGTCATTGAAGTTCTGGACGATCTCAAAGCGTGGCTCGGTGAGAAATTCTCCTATCAGAGAATATCAGATCCAGCATTAGATTGTGCAACACGCAGCATGCCGACCCCAAGCGTGCCCGGAGCGCAATTGGGCCAATTTCTGGTGCTTGTCAATGGCTTCATCCAGCACAAGAACGAAGATGGTCTCTCAAATTGTGTGAGGATCGAGCCTCCCTTTCTGAATGAATACGCCGTCATGATCAACGAGCTACACCAGCTGTATCCAAAAGGAAGTGAGAGTGCTCTTGAGGATGAGTGTCGGCGAGTCCTGAGTGCAGCACGAGAGGGTGTGGATGGAAGTGGCACCTGGACACCATTCATACTCTTCATGCTGCAGTATCTCGTGTACCTCAGGGACTACGAGGACGGTACGGAGCATATCTTGGAGACCTTTGATCGTCTGAGCTTGCTACAAAAGTGAGTCTGAAGGCTGCGGGAGAGAAGAACGATTTCGAACTCGTGCTGACTTGTCATAGACGAGCGAACAGCGCTCTTAACCACACCTTGGGCTATTTGATGCTGCATATCGTGGTCACCAGTGCTAAATTCGTCAGCTACCTGGCCATCACGCTGGACAAGAATCCACAGATGGTACGAAATCGCAACAAGGCCAGTACTCAAGACGAGGGATCTCAAGCCGAGTCCCTGGCGGAGGGAGCGGTGAACAACCTTCGGGATGCCTTCAACACTTGCGCAACTGATCGTCTGGCTCATGTGGACAGCAATGGCAAACCAGATGGTCGGAAAAGAGGAATCTATCTCATCGCCAACATCTGCCTGAAAATTCTGTTTCAATGTCGGAAGACCAACAATGCCACAACCTTTTTCGACAGCATCGACACACACTCCCCACCGCTCAGTGCATATCCCAAAGCTCAGCGAGTGACATATCTCTACTATCTTGGCCGATTCCACTTCCAACACAGTCATTTCTACCGAGCGTATCTGGCACTACAACAAGCCCACAGTGAGAGTCCCACGAATGGAACTTGCATCAGTCAAAGACGGCAGATCCTCGTCTATTTGATGGCCAGCAGCATCATTTGTGGCCGCCTGCCGTCAGACACACTATTCCAGCATCTCCCCGAAGCGCAGGGAATGTACGAGCATTTCGCACCACTCCTATCGGCAATCAGGAGTGGAAATTTGGCAGGATTCCGACGAGCCATGGACTTCAACAGTCCACACGCCGCATTCTTCCTCAAACATCGCATCTTCCTCCAACTGCGGAATCGCTGCGAGGTCCTCGTCTGGCGCAGTCTAGTCCGCAGAACATGGATACTCACAGGGACTCGCTTMGATGCCACAGCTGGTAGCAATGCACCACTCATCGAAGGCCACAACTTGGTAAACGCCTTCTACGTCCTCGAGAAGCAAGTCCAAGATCCCGCAGAGGCGACTCATATCAGTTCCGACTTTCACGGGGCAGACATCGAAGAGGATGCGGAAGCCCTCCTTCCAAATACTACCTCTGTGCGATCGATTGTTAGCTCGTTGATTGAACAAGGGCTGATTCGAGGGTGGTTTGTTGCCAAGTCGGGAAAGTTTGTCATTACTGGTGTCAAGTCGTATAACGGCAGTGAGCTTGCGGCAGGCTTCCCTGCGCCGTGGGCGGTAATCAGCAATAAGGCTGACAAGAACGTCCCCGGCTGGAAGAGGGATGATGGTGGAGGGCATGGCGGACGTGGGAAAGTTATTCACTTGACGAGCGCGAGGGCGGTTGGATCTTGAAAAGACATGAAGGAACATGTTCTGGATGTGTTGGAACGTCGATGCTTACGAGTTTCTACTTGACGCCATTGATGTAACATGACCATCGCAAATTATACCGATTCTTTGGCCGTCCAGACTCACCCTACTCATTATGGGAGGCGGTGGTTCCTCGTGCGGCCACCGCCCTTTGCTTACTTCAAGTCCATTGTGCTAATCCAGGCTTGCGGATCGCTAATCAAAAACGAGGATTGACACAGGGTATGTCTCAACCCGTCCAGCATGCTTTTAACGAGATGAGAGCAAGACATGCACATGCAAGCCAAAAAGCTCCGCGTCGGGGGATGTGCTCGTCGCTCGTCGGTGCTATCTTCATCTTGGCAGATGCGGTTCGCAACGAACATCTCCAAACGCCGACAACACCTACGGCATCACTACCGCTCATCTGTGGCTGATTKCACTTCATTCGCGGCGGCGAGTAAGATCCTGGTCTGCTGAAGGAAATCGAGACTCGAAGTCCAGGTCCAGCTTCGTTCGCTTAACGGTCAATCGCCATGCGATGGTGACCATCCAATGCAGGCCCTGGTTGGAAGATCCCCACTCTCGTGTGCATTGCCCTTRCAGCAGCGTGCAGCCATATGTACAGGGCGACAAGCGTGTCTCGGGTCCGGGAAAGTGAGTTGGTGGTAATGCGCACGTTTTGTGGAGAGCGAAGGGTTCACGACGGCCGAGTTCCATGGAATCCATCGTTGGAAGTCATGGAACGCGACGGGATATTGCCTGGCTCACTGGTTCCGGGCTGCGGGCCGGCATCGCAGAGGAGGACAAAGGATCGCGAGGGAGACACGCCGCATCCCGTGGAGTCTGGAAAGGGAAAAATGACCGCACGCTGCAGACCGGCAACGCGACAAGCGATTCCTGTGACAAGACTCTGGATACGAGGTCAGGATCGGGCTTTCTATGTACGCGTCGCAACAATCTCCTTGGCCTCACGGCTGTTTGCGCCGAAGGGAGCAGCGCAATCTCACCGACAGCACGCGTTGTGCCTTTTTGGTYGCGGCCATGCTGATCTTGAAAAACGAGACTCGACGGCTTGCGCCTGTTGCGGCGATGCAACGCCTTCCATTTCCACTACAGGCTAACCGAGAGCACGACGGTCGTGGGATTGGCACGTTGGCCGAAATGAGGCTCCACCCGCGTGCCGAACGCTGCGATTGTGCTATCGTCTTGCGTGCTTGTGATGTGAAGACACTTCCGCCACAACGTGTCAAGCGGCTGAGATTGGTGGGAATGCGCAAACATGCCTACACGCCCTCAATTGGACTCTGCTATGCGTTCGCAGGGACAGGGAGTCGGCCAGCGCTCGCAGTTGGACGGGGAACAAACTCGAGGGCGTCGCATCTGTCCGTCAAGCCCTCCGTCGTCCAATCACAACCCCTGTCGGCTACCACCTCCTTTTCACATTTCCCCAAGAGCTCCAAGCGCCGTTGGGCGAAACCTTAACGCTTCTCCGTTACTAGTCAGGTGCAACGGCGGGTACCTGAGCTAGAGCCGAGCTTGTGGAAAAGGGCAACGGTCGTGAGTGGTCAGTCGCCGGCTTGGTTTGATTGAGGCGTGCTGCGCGCAGAGCACTCAAAAGGCCTGCACCATCCATCTTGTCCTGCTCTTCTTTCCTCTCCCATCAGCAATCACTCACACCGGTCTTCACCGCATTCACTCGTTTCAACAGTCGATCGCTAATCAACACAACGCACAAACCCGTTACTTAATCCTCACCACCCCAAACAAACCCAAAACCATCAACATGCGTTTCGCCATCGCCGCCGCTGCCCTCGTGGCCACTGCCTCCGCCAGCTACGCTCCTCCAGCGTACGAGGCCCCTGCTGCCCCAGCGTACGAGGCTTCCACCACCTCTGAGGCTGCCCCAGTCTACGAGACTTCTTCTTCCGTCGAGGCCCCCGTGTACTCCACCCCTGCGCCTGWGTAAGTTTTATATAACGTCTGCAAATCGCGGCAATTCTTTCCATCGGCCAAGATCTTCAACTGACAGCAGAAACAGCTACCACCCGGCTCCTGTGTACTCCGCCCCAGTGTACAACACCTCAAGCGTCGAGAAGCCAACTGCGCCCGTCTACGAGACCAYTGTTGTCCCAGTGTACACCACCTACTGCCCTGAGCCAACCCACCTCACCTACGGAAGCTCCGTCTACACTGTCACCGAGGTAAGTTTGCCATTGAAATGTCGTCGATCGATCTGAATATCAACTAACTCAATAACCAGGCCACCACCTTGACCTTGACCTCCGTCACTGTCACCAAGCCAGTCTACACGTCAGTTGTCACCGTTTCCTCTACATGGTACCTGACATCGATCAGTGCCATGGCACGAATCAACATTGCTAACAACCGCACAGTGCTCCAGCTGAGACCCACCCTGTCGAGTCTTCTCCCGTTGAGTCTGCTCCTGTCTACGAGGTAAGAAGATATCAAACCCTGGCATTCCGCCGGCACAGAATCCTCCATCGACAACATGCTAACAATTTCGACAGACTCACCCAGTTGCTTCTTACCCAACTGCCAACGGCACCATGGTCCAGCCATCTGCCTCCGCTACCTACTCTGCCCCACCTCAGTACACCGGCGCTGCCTCCAAGGCATCTTTCGGTGTTGCTGGTCTGATCGCCGCCGCTGCCTACCTTCTTTAAGAATGTGCAGGTTATTCGGTTGACTTTCTAGACATTTACGGCAGACCCACGGCATGATGTGACTATTTTTCAATACTTCCCCAGAGATACCTAATTCGCGGCGCGCTTCGCGGCGACGGGCGTTTTTTTCTCGTCTTTGACAATATCTACCAGCGCGGAGTTGATAGAGTGGATAATGTCCAACATGTATATATGATGCGCTCCCTGAAGACGAAATTTTTGAGCCCAGTTCACTTCTTGCTAGGCGGTTCAGTCTGTCCATCGTTGTAGTCCGTCCTCGATCCGAATCGTACTGTGAATCTTTGTGCTTTGGTATGTCAACCCGCTGAAGCCGTCGACGTTCTCCACCATCCCACAGAGGTCGCGTTTTCTCTCKACGATCCGCAGCATCGACCTTCGTGGAGAGAACAAATGTTTACATACAGGCCTGTTCTTGGTTGTTCATCTGCTCCATGCGACAGGGATTCAGTTCACAGCTGCAGTCCAAGGAAGGTACGGTATGACGGTCGACGAATCCCTGCCTGGTTGGCCCACGGCAATCACATGGAAATAAAAAGTTAGGAGGGAACGGTGAACTGGGATAGATTATTTGCCTTGGTGCCTTAAAAGCCATGTGCTCTCCCCACTACAAACAAGCAGCCCACCTTCTTTAACGACGACATCACCGGAGAACACAACACATCATTTCGACCCTCACACAAAGCTACTCTCTGTCTGACCCGTCTACCACGRCATAACACCGCAATCATGCAGATCAAGTGCGCACATCTCTCTCCACTCTCATCGCCCAATCACTAACCACCCATGCTAGAGTCCGCACACTCACAGGCAAGGAGATCGAGCTCGACATCGAAGCAACATACACCGTCCAAAAGATCAAGGAGCACGTAGAGGAAAAGGAAGGAATCCCACCTGTTCAGCAGCGGTTAATCTATGGTGGAAAGCAAATGTGAGAACAGCCCCCCCAACATCCAGGCACGAACCAGGACAAGACAATCAGCGACGATGGCAAAAGGACATGGTGATGGGGAAGAACAGCTACTGACGTGCCATGGGTGATGCAGGTCAGACGACAAGACGGCAGAGGAGTACGGTCTGGAGGGTGGCGCGACGCTGCATTWGGTGCTGGCGCTGCGTGGTGGATCTGCATGAAGTGTTGAACATGGACATGACGATTGAGAAAACGCCTCTTGTTTGCGGAATGCGGCTCGGGAATACGAAGATGCTCTTCTAAGCGATGAGAGATGATTTGGGCATGTGGGAAGGCGTTTCCGGTTTTCCTTTCAGCAATACCACCGTGATCGAGTGATTGATGGGTGGATGGATAAGTGGAGCGATCTGAGAGGATGATGGGGTTAGAACCTGTCATCTCTGGCATACTCAAAGATGTAGAGCGGACAAATTGGCATGGTATGCCAAAGTTATACCCATGCCCACAATCTTCGTGTCGCGACTTGTTACATGAGCGCAAATTTGAACCCAGGTGAGTGAAGGAGCGGCGTCTTTTCCCGCATGCCTCAATACTCGTTTGATATAGAGTTGGATTTTCACGGACAGGAAGGGGGAGACTCTTTAAATTATTCGCCATTTGCATTCGGCTGATATGCCCTCATTCAGAGCATCGACATGGCCGCCATGACTTCCAAACACCTCTACACTACTTCAAAGAATGGATCCGTTTGGAATTCGCCAATCAAACAATGCCAGTAACTCTGCGGATACTCCTCCTCGGTCCCTCTCCAACAACTTGTACCTTTCCTTCTTGCTCCAGACCCCTCACGGCCTCGGCAAACTCTTGTCCTTCGACAGGAACACTACTTTGCTCACTCAGCGTTCTCACGACATCTCCATATCGTGCGCTGGCTTGTCCACCACTCAACATGGCGTCGAGGACCTGTAGGACGCCAATCGCGAGATCTGCCTTGCGCTTCCTCTCACTAGCTGAGCTGCCCTCGGTCAACAGACCCATGTCAATTAGACCTGTGCGGGCATCGGTAGCGGCTTGCTGCAAAGCCGACTGAATAAGCCGTACGGCTTCGTTCACATCAGACTCCTCGACGGTGAGGGACAGGCGCATCTTGGCGTGGGCCTCTGATAGACGGATCATGCTTTCCAATTGACGAGTGGTGGCAGTGATTCGACGTTCAGCCGCGCGTATGTCCTCGCCCAGCTTCCGCATCGCCACGTAGGCTTTTACAAGAGCATCCGCGGCGGGCTGAGTTATTGTAGGGTGGATGTTGGAACGGGCGTAGGAGATGTAAGATGTCAGGAACTCGACGGGCTGGGAGCATGTTAGCGTTTATTCAAGAAATTGCTCTGGAGGGGCCCTCAAAAGGTAGCAGACTCACCAGAATCTCAGCACTGCTTGCGTTCTCCGGGGTGTCTTCGAGATACATGCCGACTAAATGTCTCGCAAGCTTGCGATCCGTCGATTCATCAATACGATCTAGCACAAGATACACCAGATCGAACCTAGAGAGTAGCGTAGGAGGGAGGTCGATGTTCTGTGGCACAGGCAGATTGGGATTGTACTTGCTTCCGATAGGATTGGCGGAGGCGAGGATGCTGGTCCGGGCATTGAGCGTGGTGATGATGCCAGCTTTGGCAATGGAAACGGTCTGCTGCTCCATCACTTCGTGCAATACTGATCGTGTTGAATCAGACATCTTGTCGAATTCGTCGATACAGCATACACCGCCATCACTTAGAACAAGAGCTCCAGACTCGAGCACCAGGCTGCGAGTCTCTGGGTCGCGTGTGACATATGCTGTTAGACCGACCGCGGATGAGCCTTTTCCAGAAGTATAAACGCCGCGAGGAGCAATCTTGTGAATGTACTCCAGCATCTTCGACTTGGATGTGGAAGGATCTCCACAAAGGAGGACGTTGATGTCGCCACGATATTTGGGCGAGCCACCTTTCTCAAAACTCTTGTTGGTGCCACCGAACAACTGCAGGAGGATGCCCTTTTTGACGTCCTCCATCTCGTAGATCGACGGAGCCATTGATCTGGCCAGCAGGTCGTAGAGATCTGGTCTTGCAGCTGTTTCGCGAATCTTTTGCTCTTCCTCCTCGCTGACTTTGCGAGTCTCCTGGACGTCGCCTCCTGCGGCCTGCTGCGCGAGCTCTTCCTCGATGGTGGTAGGATCAATTCCCATGCGTCGCTTATCGACTTTTTGTACATGGACACAATCTACATACGTCTTGAAGATATTCTTGACCGAACGCTGGCGTGGGTTGACACGGACTTGCGTGCACTTGAAGATACCAGTAATCTCCACTCTGTCACCCGCTTTGCAAGTGTCGACCAGCTCGTCATAAGCGCAAATGCTCACAGAGTGAGGCGTTTGACCATCGGGAACAGAATCAGGAGTCTCTTGCAGCTTGATAATCTGCTTGTCCGTGAACCCGGAGCGGTTGTGCACGATCTGCATGCTGTTGCTAGCACTGCACACCTCACGCGGGCATCGAGTGGGCTCAGCAATCTTGCCGCGATCAATGTCGACCTTGACGGTATGATGACAGACAGAGCAGCGGAAGAAAGCGTCCTTCATGTCGGGAATAATGGGCGTGGTGCGAATGACGAGACCCTTCACCGACACGAGCTGGTCCATGTCGCCTGGGTTCAATTCGCGCAGATTTGTAGTGTTGTCCAATCCAAACGGTCTCACACGGTATATTGTCTGCTCGACCTCTGCAACGAGATCCTGCTCGTTTGCCACGGGCTGCTGGTTTGCAGGTCTTGGAGTCTGGCCGCCCATATTGTCCACATCCGAGCTGGGCATGGGAGGCATGGGGCTGGAATCGCGATTGCGGCCAGCCTGTGATTGTTCAGACTGCGTTGAGCGCCTTTCGCCCATCTTCTTCTCCGCCAACTCAATCAAGGTGTCCTTGACAGCGGTATCCAGTACGGGAATGATCTCGCTGGGAAATGACTGCAACTGATGCCAAAGCTTCCTTGTCCCTGGGTAGGCCTTCAGATTCCTGCAATCTAGGTAGAAGCATGTAGAGCTCAGCTCCAGCATTGTCTCCAGCATATTCAGATTCTCCTTCTCGAGCGCCACGTCGCCAGCAGGCAATGTTTCGCCTTCCAGAATGTCGCCATCGGCAATCATTCGATATTTCCTTTGAAAGTTGTAAATAAAATCTTTCATGGCAGCAAACGAGTCCTGAATTGAGACATCTGTGCCCCACACAAATTTCGACGAGCGCCCTCCAAGCTCAGCAGCGTCCGAGGTGCCAGGGTTGAGATTTGAGAAGGTGTTGGTATCAGAGGCATCGCCGGGGACAGGCACTCCATTCTCGTCGACAAAGAGCTGTCGGCGGCGTCCACTTCCTTCGAGCAGATCCGAGGTGATGTCGTGCCTCCTCTCCCTTGCACTGCCGCTAGGTGCCCCTGAACGTCCAGACCGCACAAACAAGCCCGTCGAACTCGTGCCGTGCTGACGGTTGCCAATATCTGCTGGAGTTGCCGCCTCGGAGCTCGTGGCATAGTGGATTGGCGAGGAGTCTGCGAGATGGTTGTTAGCATTTACTGATGACCTTTGTGCAACGTGTTGCAGCGACTGACCTCCAATACCAGGAGGGCCCCTCGGCGTGCGCCCGCCTTCACTACTTCCCAATCTGACATCTGCCCTCTGTCTCAATGGCGAACTTCCTTGCACGCTGCCGTTGGGAGCGGGTACTCCGAGTCCCTGGCTTTGACTCTGACTTTGGCTGCCGGCGGGGCTTGAGCGGAAGAAAAGCGGCGAGCTGTCTGGTGGGGCCTGGCTCTGCTGCGAAGCACGCGGTGTTCCTCTTGTCGATGTACGCTGCGAGTGCTGAGAGGCACGAGGTGTTGTCCMGGCGGCGTCGGCTTCGCTCAGCAGCTGCGAGTTGGCCGCGTCGCCGTCCTCTCCGGGGGCGGCAGGATCGCTGCTAGGCGGAGGTACTTGTGAGCCATTGCTACGTTGTGAACGGCGGCTGCTGGGGGTGTTGTTCGCTGACGAGCGGTTCCCACGTCGATTCGCTGGCGACGACATGGTGTTTAGTGGATGAAAGGAAGAGCCTTTCTCGCCCAACACGAAACAGAAGTGGACGCGTAGAACACTTTACGCGAACGCGTGGGTGGTGGCTGGCCAATGAGGGGCCGAGCCAGCGATTGATAGCCCTCTCCGWTTCTACAGCATCCCACCACGTCGGGGTGTCTATCCGCTGATCTGACTCTTGAAAGTTGACTTCGAGCAGAGAGTGCAAATGAGTTGGGGTTGGTCGAAGGGAGGGCGCTCCGGCGTGGTGAGACGCTGTAGCCATCTTTCGAAGATACATCAAACCCGCACTTCAGGACGACAATGCATCAACGCAGATTTCGCAGTTCAACATCATCTAGTCGTGCGATAGAAGACCCTCCATCTCCTCAGACAAGTCTGCCAGATCTCAAGATCATCAAGTTCCACACCCTCTAGTCAACTAGATTGTGATGCCATATCCTCGGCCGGCTTTCCATTCACAAAGTCTACAGGTGCAGTGTACTATCGCTTACCGTATGCGAAATGGAAGACGACAGACRACATCATCCACCCCGACTCACACCAGTAGCCCCCAATTCGCTGAGCTCATGTCCACTGGAAGATTCGTTGGAGAGCAGCTGAAGATGACGATGAAAAGCGCAGCACAAGAACGCGAAAGCATTCACTGCCAAACCATACCGACAGAGACTCCATCGTGCAGGTGGGAGAGGCTCGCCTTTGAGGCGTTTCAGAAAGACACAGCCAACACTGATGAGGTAGGTGCTTAGGGTTCTAGTAGGGAGAGACTGACTATGAAATTGAGCTGCCAGGAATGTCAGCATTGGATTGTAAGGACGCATCCGAGATGTTTCTTACCGCAAGCGTCGAGGTCGATCAGAATAAGCAATACAAACCCAACAGATGTGATGTATACGGCAATTCCAGCTGGCGTCCATACGTCCAGCCACTTTGGGATACGGCAGACCTTTGTSACGAGCGAATGCAAAGAAAGACTTTATCGAGCAATATGATCAGCATTACGCATGCTGTCATATCAACCCTCTGGCGGAAGCAACGGAACGATGGACATACTCTCGCGCTCATGTTGCCAACGCGGTGATGTTTCCGGCATGTATGGGGAGGAAGAGCACCGCGTTCAGAAAGCATGAAGTCGGTCGATCTACAGCATCTTATACCAAGCCACCATTGATTGACTGGGCTTGTACGGATCTCCCTCCCATTGCTGCTGCTGCTTCGCTATAATACGAGGTGCAGGATGCGTCTCGTGAAAAATCGACGTCGCGTAAAGAGCTTCACATGAGCTAGATCCACCAGGCGGCTTTCGGCACGGCGCTGTACAATAAATTGCGATTCGGACCACCAACAGGTCCGGTTGCGAGTTGGGAAATTTCCGTGCACTGATGGATTCATTCATCTATTGTTTCCTCCACGAAGCCCTCCATGATGAGGACGGCAAGGGGATATAGGACCGAAGGGGTAATGAGGTTCGCTCCACTCCCCACGGCCGGGTAGAGTTGAGATGTCATATAGACCGCTAATACGCAGCAAAAAAAATTCCTGATATGGCGGCCTCCGTTCAGATGACCTCCTCCCGCTCCCATCCGGTTGGCTTTTGGTGTCTGAGGTCCTTCACAGGACGAGGCTTCTTGTCGTCTGAGTCGTATTTCGAGTTGTAGGGGTTTGGATCAGATTCCTGCAGATTCGCCAACGTATGATTTACCTCGCGATGTTTCGACTCGTCGGCGCGAATGTAGAGCAGCAGGTCACGCATCGTTCGGTGACCTTCTGGCATGTTCCAGTAAGAAATAGCGATGTCAGGAGCTGCCATCTTCTCCCATTCGGGTAGGCGGCCAGCGTCCAGGTCTTCGAGCTCCCGAGTGTATGTGATGACGGCCTCCTCTTCCAGGAATCCGACGAAGCGATGCGCGGTCCGTGGGGACAACAGATACGAAGCGAAAAAGGCATTGAAGAAGACGCCTTGAGCTCCAAGGACCATTATCCTCATGAACCAGCCTGGCTCTGCCATCTTCATGAATGTGAGCAGATGCATTCTTTCGTTGAAACTCTCTTCCAAAAGCGTTTCGATCCAGCCATTGTCTCTCTTCATCCTCCTGAGAAAGCATGTGTCAGTACAGATGATAAAGAGCGAAATGTCTCATGTACAGAACTTACCTCAGGGAGTGCAGGTGCCTCAGCATACCGGCGACCATGCCGGGCACACCTGCGACGGACTCGAGAAAGACATTGCGGATCATGTACTGTCGAGCAGTCATGTTTCCAGCTCCCTTCCTATAGCCAGTGGCCAAATCCAGGCCAAATCTGAGAGTCCTCACGAATGCGATTGCCACCCGGTCTGACCATGTCTTGATGTTGCGGTGCGCAACGACAACCTCGTTCATCTGCTCCTTGGTGTATATGCTACGTTCCGGGAAGGTTAACAGTGTTCAATAACGAACCATTACATAGAGACATCGCTTGATATCATTGATCCATGCGGGCTCACTCACGGATGCTTCCATGTTGTCTCGGTTTCCTTGATGGCTTGGGAGGCCGTCTGTTCCGGGAACAGATCTTTCCTGTTGTAATATATATGTCAGCTGCAGGGGCGTCATGGCGACCCTCTCTACATGGAGAGAAGCACTCGACGACAGAGACTTACCATCGAGTTGCTGGCGAGCTGCTGAATTGCCGGGACCCAGTGCTGCCATGATGGAWATTTAAAAACGCTGGTCTGGCAAATGTTGCCGCGGGGCTATTGAGTGCTCTGAGGACATGCTTGGAGAAGATGGCACTTGACACAACTGATCGTCTGCACTGCATAGATGCGATGCTATTGTATTGCCTTTAGGTGATGTTCTGAGGTTGATTATTGATGAAAAGTACGACAGAATGAGGCGAGAGCTTTTATGTGGTTTGATGATGAAAGAAAACTACTCAGCCTTCCCGGTGACCGTGTGGTTTAAGTTTAAGTGTGCCACGCGATTCCGAGTCTACCCTTTGCGGATTACCCGGAGGAGCAAGATGATGAGGAAGTGCTGTTGGAGATGATGTCTCGGAGAATTGAAAATATAGTAGGGTTAGCAGCCAGTCAGCTCAACCCGGCGCTTCCCGATCACAGCTTGTATAGGTACTCGAGCAATAACTGGCGATGCGATTTTTGRTGACTCCGCATAACTTAGCACGCAGATGAATCTGTGAGATGTCTGCTAGACTACTGTGTGCGCCTTCTTAGCCAAAGACACCGCTTCGAACAAAAGACTTGACACCTCAGAGGAGTTTGCCACAAGAATCCGTTCTTCCCCGGCGAGGAAAACTCGGGTTCGAGTCACTCGCCTTGAGCAGATGACACGCACACGGGAGAATTTTAACGCATTGGAAGCAGTGTGTCGCGGCTACCTTGTAGGGCTGGCGGATCCCTGCAKGGCTTGCTCTCGCAGAGATCCATGAGGTGGGTTGGCCTTGAACGGCAACTAAGGGGTCTTTTTCAGTTCATCGTCTTATCCTGTTCTTCAAGAGTCAGTAAGAACTGTGAGCATCGACGGTTCAACGCACTGGTTGAAAGAGCTTTCACCATCCTTCAATCCCATGTCCTTTTCGTTCACTTTCTCGACTTTGGCCATCCTTGGACCGATGTTTAGGTGCTGGACGAACTTATCAAGGGCACTGGAAGAGCCTTGAGCTTCGCCGATGACCTATTTTTGGTCATTCAAATGGATTCGCATTACACAGTCGGGTCCACTCAATCATACTGTGCCGTCAGACTCGTTTCTTACATACCCCGTGAGGCCAAGTCCTCTTGCCTTGTCCTCGGTCCAACTCCGAAAGTTGACGCCTTGCACCGTTCCGCTGACTGTGAAAGAAATCTGCAAACTTCAGTCGCTGTCAATATCATTCGTGTCTATACGTACACGCTTGCTCATCTTGGTAGGGGCGACCGAAAATCGCTACTATGGGATTGCAATGAGGATGAGGAGCGCAACACCGATTCAAATGTACCTTACGTCATGGGAAAAGCACAGAAGAGCAATGCACGGGGTTCTTGGAACGCCTTGCCGAATTTCGTTGTAAAACGTGCATCGAATCTACTTGCTACAAATCATCTCCGCGCCGCGAGCAATTGACGAAATTATTCATAGGTAGATCTCGCCCATTTGCTCGCGCCGCTGCTATAGAGCGAAAATACGGCGCTTTCGTTTTCCTGTACACTGGAACCATGTCCAACTAGACCCGACTTCACAAATCGCATTGCACGACTCCGTAGTCGCAGTGCAAAAAATCTGACACGAGAATTGGCTTGTGCATCCCATGCGACTGTATGCCTCCTAGTTGTACCGTGTAGATTGGATCGACGTGACGGTGCCTGCAGCCCTGCAGCCCTACAGATGATCGCTTGCAGTCGGAACGTGCAGTGGAATTCCTTCTCTCGCAAAGATTCCATCGCCTCAATTTAGGTCTCCCAAAAGTGACCACTTGCCTCCGCCTGGTCGCAGCGCAGTACACTCCTGTCTTCACCCCTCACGAGACATTTGTCCGGCATTGGAGGCCGGAGCCTGGTGCCGGTCCGGTCTTGCGGGAATCCGCGAGACTGTCACTGTTGCGCTAAGAGTTAGCTGTTCTTAGCTGCATCCAGTGGGCCCCTATTTTGGTGCTCGCGGCGACCGAACATCTGTGATTGTTCGGTTTGGATGGCGGTTTGTGATTCCTCTCAACAGATCTTAAGTCTTGACACAGGGAACATCCCTGGCCAAGTGTGTGAAAAGCGACATCAACTCCAGGGATCCCGCGCCCGTCGAGACCAACAGCTCCCTGCTTTCGTCAGGTACAGCCCGAATTAACCTGACCGTCTGAACTTGTGCACGCGTGCTAGCATGGCGGAAGTGGTCGAGGCTACGTCGAGTCCGACGACGRGCCATAATGACAACGATAATGGCCTCGCTTCGCCTGACCAGCGGCCAGACTCCCCTTCACCGAGCGTATCACCCTCCATGGCACTCGATGCGGTCCCGCTGCTGGATCGCTCCGTCTCCACGCCGTCCAGCACGACGGGGTCCATCCTCTCATCTCGATCAAGGCACTCACGACTCTCGGAGGGTGCAGCGACCGTGGTACGAAGGAGGGGCTACATGCGGCCTCAAGGGACCTCGTTCGCCGACTCTGCACGCAACAGAGACAGTGTGATGAGCTTGGGAAGCATTGCCCACATGCAGTACTACTTTGCACGCACCGGGCTGCTCGATGGGAAAGGTGCACAATTGGCAAAGGACGGCAAAAAGACGGGAAGCTCAAATGCGGACAAGGAGAATATGGAGCCTGCGATGACCCGGAATGCCTACTACAACGTGCCTCCATCGCCAATGTACGACGGCCAGCACGAGCCCTCCACATACGCACTTTCAGACCCTGGAGTGGACTCGGCTATTGTTGAGAGTCCGACCGACATGCACTTCAACAGTGAACTTTGGGATCCGAGGGACCCCATCATGCTTCCGCCAACAGTGAGCACGTACAAAGTCAAGCCGGAGTACATTGAGCCTCTGCCAGACATGCCCGTTCTCCGGAGGGAACTGAAAGAAGCTCTTCAAGATGCTTGCAAGGTTCTGGAGGAAACGCAAAAGCAGGAGAACCAAGTTGAAGAGAACAGCGGCTATCATGAGATTCAAGGAATGCACCTCTTGGACATCATCACGCTGGCGATTCGAGCAGCGAAGAACTATTACACGGCACACGAGAATCCGAAACGGCTTTACGCCATCAGATCCGAAAAGGTCATCCGTGCTGACCTCTACCAAGTGTTGGATGTTCTCAAGCGCATGGCGAGTCGGAATTTCCGTGGAGGCATACGCTTGCCTGAACTCACCGGCATTCTTCTGTGGATTGAGAGCATCGACAAGCTGCTCAAGCGTGAAGAAGCTGTTGAGCAGCAAGAAGCTGCTGAGCGGGAGTCTTGGGCTTGGCGAGAGGGGGACTGGACTGGGAGGGAACGTGAGCGCGAATGTCTGTTCATGCGATCATTTGATCAAACAGAACCGGCATTACCTTCGTGGCCAGAAGCTGGCGAGGACAACAAGCTACCCAACGAGTTCCTGCGAGCTCTGCAAGACGGTCAACGATTGGTCAAACTTCACAACGCCCTTGTTGCACGTTCTCAGCGCCGCTTCCATGAAATCAAAACCTGGCACACGGATGTCGCCAAGCCCTACCGCATGGCTGACAATCTGCGGTATTGGGTCAAAGCTGCTGAACTGCGCTGGGATATTGCCCTGGACGTGCCTGTACTTGAAGTTGTCAACGACAAGGACGAGGCATCTTGGACAAAATTTGACAACGCTTTGCTGAAATGGTGTCAGGGTGTCCGGCAAGAGTTGATGGAGGACTGGATGTTGGAGAAACGGAGAGAAGAAAGGAGAAGACCACCTGAGGTGAAGGTTGAGGTATCGGGAGATGCTGAAAACGCCAAGGTCGTGCAGGAGGCAAAGCTTGAAAGTCCAGGGGCTATACATGCTGATGCTGCCGATGGTCGACCGATTGCAGAAGTTACAGCAGAGCTGGCAGCGAACATTGGTGTGCCTGAGATTCGCAGCGCTCAGGAATCGATTCTCGATCTTCCACCCATCGCAGAAGTTGTAGCGGTCGTGGAAGCCAAGATTGATGCTCCAACAGCTCCGGACACTACGACTGACCGTGAGCCGATTGCAGAGGTGGCGCCGGACTCGGCGGCAAAGGTCGATGTGCCCGAGCCACTCACTGCGGAAAGCGCTGACGGTGAGACTGACGAAGGTACCCGGCCAGACACCCCACTTGCGCAGATTACGACTGACGAGGGAGGGAAGACTGAGCAGAAGGGGGAGGAGACTGCTGCTTGAGACGGTGTTGTGGACAGAACGAGATGATACCCGGCCCAGGTTGGTCAGACTGTAAGCCTTTTCTTTGCATATATTCAAAACAATTAAAGTCCCGTCCAAGCGAGAGGTCAATTTTATCTATCCTAAATATAAATCGACACGAACAGCTCATTCTCCGTTTCGCTGAAGTCCATACCTTAGGTTTACGGGGAAGGGATGCATCGAATGTAGAAGAAAGCTTGCAATAATACACTCTTTGATGCCTTGTCAGTGAGTTTAACAGGCTCGTACTTGATCTAACAAAGTCGTTCACTCAAGCATACCTGCATGTAACTGTCAACGGAACATTAATCATTTGGGAGGCTACTTGCCGGCTCGGTCCTCGGATCTGGCAGGATGATCTGCCCTAGGAAAGTCCCGAGATCCTCCTTTAGCTACATGTTTGACGATGATGCTTCGGCCATCGCAAGCTATTGTGATGTTATTGTTACGCGAGGAGCAAGTAGCTGTGTAAACGCGTGGCAATCTGGTTCGTGTTCCTGCGTCTGTACTTTTTCCTGCAGACAGCTCATCCAATCGCCGTTGCCCTGGCGCGTCGCGAAATGATAGCGTTTGTCTGCGCGTTGGCCCTCTGCCTGTAGATGAGAAGAGACGTGCACTTGAAACTTGGACCAATCGAGTTGGTCTAAACACCTTAGCATCGCTTGAAGTGTGAGGTGAGGTGAGTAGCACCCTTGATGTCTGCGATCGTTATGCGCTCCAGCCCCGTGCACAATCTATACAACGCGATGAAGGGAAAGCGCGTTTGTTTGTTGCCTTGAGGAACTGACGTAAAATGGCAGATCGGCCCACCGTAGCAGCTTTCCAGGAGCAAGGGAAGCTCGAGACGGACCAGCATCTCGCTGGCGGTGGCAGAAGACGACCAACCAGACGTCTGGGCCCCGGACTGGAATTGCGCCTGAAGCGATTGGAGGAGCAGAACCGGGTGCGAGACCGCGACGCAGCGAGCCGGACTATAGGACGTATCCCAGAATCACAGATCGCGGAAATTGAGCGTTTGCAGCGCGCACGCGCAAACAAGGCGGGGGTGCGGCGGAGGACGAGCGCTTGGACGATGCCGGGTGGTGTGAGGCTGAGCGGTGGGCCTGTCTTGGACGACACCGACCATGAGGCTGCTGTCGTGTTTGACAGCGACGATGTCTCATCAGTCATAGACATCAGTGATAGCCTGGCGCCGTCTGAGACGGACGACGACCGAGACGAGCTGCGCGATACCAACAAATATCGCCTTCCTTTTGACGACAAGACGCGCCTGGACTTGCATACCAAGGAGCCTCTTTCCCCAACTCCCCGGCCGGTACAACCGTCCGCTGCAGTGCTGTCCCGACCCAGAAGTTCGACGCCGACGACACCCACGACGCACTGCTTCGCGAACGACCCGCCTTTGGGACCTTGCTCCCCGACCCAACCTTGCGCTCCCGCTCCATCCTCTTCCCCCGCTCCCCGACCGTCGCCTGCTAGCCACATGGTTTCCACCCCGCCACGTTGGGCCAATGGCGGCGCAGAGAACGGAAGCGACAGCGAGGTCACCCGCCCAAGTCTGTCTCGAGCTGGTTCAATATACACTTTGGGACGCGCGAGCTTTACCGGCCAATTGGCGCAGCTCACCTCAATGCGGCTCCCGGATGGCAATTCGCTTGCCAAGCGCATCTCTTCGATACCAACTTCAACGGAAGCTGCGAGAGCCCTGGCAGATGCCTCTGAGCAGATACGCATGTGGATAAGCAAGGCGTCGGACGTGCTGGATGGACTCAATGCAGAAGATGATGTGGAGTGGGCAGCCGCTGGAGGTAGAGAAGGGATGGAGGAGGTGGACAATGCCATAAATCGCTTCCAGCAATTGGTTGAGGTCTACATTCTCTCGATAGAACGTCTCCAGACTCGCGATGATGTTGGACTGCTCACCGTAGAAGAGAACAAGGCCAGCGAGCATCAGCTGGAAACCATTGTAGCAAGTTGGAAGCAGATTCGAGGCACATTGAATGGCATCAAGAAGCAGGTCGAGATTGCCATGGAGTGGGAGCAGCTCTGGAATACGGTGCTGGGCGAGATTGCTCAAGAGATGGATGGCCTCAATCGACTGGTATTCGAGATGGAAGAGAAGCGACATTCCGGCGCAGGCAATCTACTGAGCTCGAAAGATAGCATCGATCTGAGCGAGTTGGAAACGATCATCGAGGATCAGCCTGGGAGACCGGCCATCAACAACCGCCTCAGCATAGCGCCCTTATCACTTGGCTCGCCGATGCATTTGAATGAGAATAAGGAGGACTCAAGCCTACTGGCGCTATTCGCCCGTATGCAGCCTCTACGAGCATCCTTGGAGTTTTTGCCCATGCGGCTGTCAACATGGCAAGTTCGGGGAAAGGACGTTTTCCCCAGTGCTTGTCTGGACCTCGATCATCGCCGGGACCAACTCGAGAGCCAATGGTCCAAGCTTGAGGCGGACGCCGATTCATTGCGGCGCGAGCTGGGAGAGGATAGATGGGTGCTTGTATTCAGGAATGCCGGTCGGCAAGCCTTGAAGATGTGCGAGTCAATCACAAGAAGTCATCACAAACTAAAGGATGCGATTGATAGGAATGAGCAGCAAACGCATGCTGCAGATTTGCAGGACAAAATTGAGAACTACGAGGCGAAGAAGCGGCACTATGGACCCGCGATTGAAAGGGTGCTAGCCATCATCGATCGAGGTGTCCTCGATCGTCTCACGCTCAATGGCGAGATTCTACGATTGCAGAGTGAAATGAAGCAGAGATGGGCATATTTGCAGAGGGAGATGACTGAGATGGGCCTCATAATAGAAGAGGTCAACATTGAGAGTCGAGATATAGGTCTGCGAGACTCAGTCTCGACCGTCATCTCCAGTGAACGATCTGTTGGGAGCAGCATGTTGGACACACCAGGAACTTCACCAGCGAGCAGCGTGATTGGAGCAAGCAGAAGAGATAGCGTGGGGTCAAGAACACCAACCTCTCTTACCACCATCAAGACTAGGAACAGCAGCAGTAAGCCGAACGATCGCCTCGCTGTTTCCGGATCATTGCCTCGGCGGACCTTGAATCAGCGAAAGTCCTACGGCGATATGCACGCCAGCCCCCAGTCCGCATCGTCCATTCCGACCCCTTCCAAAACGCCTGTCTGGCCGAGCAGGCCTGATCCCATGCCCTCGATCAATAAAGGCCGCTGGCAAAACGCGATCAAGCCCGAGGCGCATGACTTTCGTCCACTCTCGGCGTTTGAGCCTTCACCTTACGCAAAGACGCCTGTGACACCGAAGATGAACCACTTTCGCACCAGTCAAAACGGAGCTTCTACCCCTTCCCTCGGCATGAGAAGTCGAACGCCAGCTCCTCGCGTATTCAGCGCACCGCACCCTCAGCCGTCCTATATTCCTGGACCGATAGCTGCTACGCCTGGAGGGTCGCGGGATGTGTCTTTGTCGGTACCTGCAGGTGGCAATACTGCGAGACAGCGTAGTCCGTTGCGTACCAAGGCCTCTGCTCCGGTTCTGGGCACTCATTCCACCCGTCCCCCTTCTCGTCTTCTCGGACCCAGTGGGAGAAGGAGCTCTATGTTACCCAAGTTCACGGATGGAAACGATGCCGATAATGAATCGCCGGCTCATCATAGAAGGTCTCCGAGTGCCACCATGAATTGCGGGCGTCTGGGTGTGATTCCGAGCGCGGGTCGGGCGATGAGCAGGTTGGGTCAGTCGGCTGGGGAGAGTAAGCCAAAGTGGAGGCCCTGAGGGGCACACGAACAGCGTGACGGCCATGACGGATGATGAACTGCATTTTGGTGTCGGCTGTTGGGTCGTTGGTGATCAGCACGCGGTCTGCTGTGCTGGATGGAATTACTTGTGTCGAAGCGTTTGAGCAATGAATTAGCGTGTAGTAGTAGGGAGAAGAGACAACCAAAGACAGCACTATTATATTCGTCCTCCTCTGGTCAACTTTGCGCGTGGGGGCTAGCCTGCCTTAGGGTTGGGGTTGGGGTAGTGGRGCAGTTACGCGAGGAGGCCACAGTCACTTGCGACCCAGCTCAGTGCTGTACTCTGCCGAGAAACAGTCATACTTGTTTGCATTGCAACTATAGTTGCAGCTCGGATGTGCTGCTCGTTAGATGGATTTTGATCATCTCGAGAGATCCATCTTTCTGAGCTTGCTAGGTGATCTCCGTCAAAAATCACCAAACACCCCGTCGCCTATCTTCACGCTCGTACCCACAATGAGCATTTCAATCTGCGGTTCATGCAACATGAACTCTCTCGTTCTAAAACGGTGGGAAGGAATGACAATAAGATAGTAACGCTCCGAGCAGATCCGACGTGTCGGCTWGGCAGGGCATGTGATAAGGAGCGAATCCTGCTGCTCCACGACTTTGACTTTGTCCTCCCATCAGGGGCCAAACAACGTTACAGCAAAGAAGATCCTCCGGGCGACACAGGTTAAGAAGGTATCGTCGACAAGAATTCACAGTGACAAAAGTCGATCGGGATTCGAGCATTGCATATGTGACGGAAACATCCCCCTAGCATGGGGCAGAGCACCTTGCTCCCTCAAGAACATCGATGGGTCTCTACGACATGACACTGAGACTGCTACACCATTGCGTACTACTCCTGATAATCTATGCCCAGAGATACAGCAGCAATGGAGACAACCCTAGCATAGATATCCAATCCTGTAACACACTCGCGTGTATCGACAACATCACTGGGGTCTGTCAGCTGGGTTAGATGCAAGCTACTGAAGTGGGAATCGTTGGCGATGTCGCCAGCACGAACAAATCTACAAGTACTCTTTCTTTGACCCTGAGATGAGAGCGTTATTGAGGGCTCAAGAGGTCACTAGTATTCGACACAAACGTGAGTGTATCCTAGAACGCAAAAACCATGTGTCAAACCCCACGTCAATACTGGCCGCGCTTCTGTGGTTCAGTGCTCCGTATGGAATAGCTCACTCGGTCTAGTATACGCAGGGATCCCACAAATCCCCTATACTCAGAATCATCCTACAGGTTGGGCAATGAGAACACAAAATAAAGGTAAACGTAGCTTGAGCGAAGGTTGTCCGTGTTGAATCTCCAAGGCCAGAGGCGCCTAGAGGCAGAGTCGCTCGACCAATGGTCAGAGCACACCAGTATACGGCATTCGCCACGCCGAATGTTGGACGAATCATGTTGATGCCATGCTAAGCTCATGTTCTCGTGAAGCCTAGAGCTGCAATTTAAAGAAGAGATTGATGGGGAGGTAGCGATGATCAGCTGCCTGTAAGTGTATTGAGGCAGAACCATCTAAAGTTTTGTCAGGAGGTGTAGGCAAGTCATTCTGAATCTCGTACTGCCTCGCATCGCGTTCCACGTGCGATTCAGGGTCTTTGTGGAGCGGCGGCGCATGTGGCTCCGGCTCAGCCACCACTACCCATCCGAGCCATCTTCTTTCAAGTACTAACCTGCACGCGGTCTCGTGTGTCAGTCTGTGTCTTCGTGTCGTCCTTTGCCCAAAAGATATCGACATCATCCCGGCAACAGTCCCAGTTTCCTCTCCGCCAAAGCCTCACCTACATACACTATCATGGCAAAAGCATCGAACTTGATCCCGCTGAYCATCCTCTTCACGATMGTCGGAGCCGTAGCTTGGATCGGATACCAGATCTATCTATGGAGCAACGACCTGGCCGATCGCGCGGGCCAAAAGATGGAGAAGAAGAACATGGCTTTCACTAAAGAAGGAGGACTGAGAGTAGGCGTGAAGGAGAGCACAAATGAGAATGTTGGCGATAAGACACAGAAGTGAGTGACCGCTCATATACGCTTGAAGGATAAGAGGCTGACTTTAGCGACCCTTATAGCGCTCTCTATAATGTGTGGAACAACGCCGAAACACCAGCGTACAAGTCTAGGTTAGGCTGGAACTCGGCACAAACGGATGCCAACAAGAAACGCACGGCATAGTTCTAGAAAGCCACGATGCGGGATTGCGCGAGGCCGAATATGCAGATTCTGCGTCGGTGCGTTGTTTGAGCGAGCGACCGCCGTGGTATCTGCCTCTGGCTACGAATGATGACGAAAGCTTGCCGGTAGGATCGTAGGCGTGTCAGACATCGACAGAAGCGCTTTCATCCAGGCGACCGCTTCGTCCACCTCAAACTTGACGGATTGAACTATCGTAGGCATCGACCATAATGTGAGCCTTCGTGGACAGCCGTTCGAGCTTGCGACGGGACACGTCGAACGAAGGCGAGCGGAGTCCCTCTTGCACGAGATATGAAAAGTCAGTTGGACATTGAAATGTTCATTTCAATGTATAAAGTGATACGAAGACCACACACACACACACTTCGTTACACGTAAAATGCTGATTGCAAGGCGCTGTTCGCTTGCCTGGCTCCGTAAATTCCTTTACTCCTTTACGCCATTCGCTCACAGAGTATGCCCCCTGGCGCCAAATCCGCGCAATGACTCCCCAGTAGCTCCCAAAACCTCTTGGCTTCCAACATGCGAGGCGTTCAGTACTGTTTGAAAGTCGTCTTATCCAAAGTTCGAAGAGCCTGTACGTCGCGGCTCACCTCAAAGCCGAGCTTGTGGCTGGGAATGTCTTGCAAAGTGCCACGTGCTGTGCCGCCAGGGCTACGACTGCTAGTTCGTGGCGGAGGCTTGCCACCTTCATTGGCATTGAGCATGGCAGAGATACTGGGAATCGTCTGTGAAGAAGCTGGCGGCGCGGGCGCACCAGCTGCGRCCTGCGACGTTTCCGTGCTCTCCTTTGGTGTTGATTGCTGTGCTTGATTGTGATCAGTGTCCTTTGGACTGGCATCTGGCTGCGAGGCAGGGTCTGTCGTCGGTGCTGGCGCTGCAGGTGCTGGCCTCTGCTCGTGTGATGGAGCCAGAGAAGCAGGTTGGGGAGGCGCTGCAAGAGGTGGGGGCTGATATGATGCGTATGAAGACTGTAATGGTCAGTATGTGATTGGAAGACTGACATTGATCGGTTGAACTTACGTTGTATGTTGCAGGTGGTGGCGGATAGCTATTCTGATACCCGTTTGGAGGTCCATGATGTGAGCCGTATGGCGGCACGCCGGGATTTGACATTGGCGGGGGCCGGTCAAAGGCCGTACCGTGAGGGTAATGGCCATACGCGCTGGGAGGTGGTGGATAATGCATCTGATGCATTGGATGTCCTGGAGCGTGCTGGTAATATGGTGAATATCCATAGTGAGGTGGTGGAGTGTTCAGCGGGCTCGGAGGCGCCCAGTGATGCCCGTAGTATGGCCCGTGTGCTCCTCTGTTATATGGCTGAGTCTGGTTTGGCGCATGGGCATAGCCGGGCGAGCCCATGGGCCCGCGTGTCACGGCTGGAATATTGCTCTGTTCGTGTACGGTGGACTCTGGGTACATGCCTTTCTCCGGCCGGATGTGGCGAAGTTGAATGTCGTTTGTCGGCTGCATCAAATTTTGCGCTGTCGACGAGCGCGAGTAGTAGCTGATGAGGTGAAGATGCTGGCCTTGGCTGGTGGTAATAGAGAAGGACTGTTTCATCAGGCCATCAGGCTTGTAGCGATACCCATCCGGGCCACCGCCATCAGAATCAGCCTCTGGAGCACCGGCCGTGCCGTCGCGGCTGGAACTTTTGTCGAAGCTGGCAGTGCCTCGCTTGCCTTCCATTTCACGATACGTGAGAAAACTACCAGAAACTCTGCTGGCGCTCCAAGATTTGCCGTCAGTCCATCGTCGCATACCGGCTTCGCGCTCATCCCACACGAATACAGAACCAGACTTGATGGAAGTTCGCTCCTTGTCAGAAAGCCGCCGCTGGACTCGCGGCAGGAGTCCCATGCGGCAGGCCTCGAACAAGATGATGGCATCCTGCGGTGTCCGCACATGCCCGTTGTAAGTCTCCATGCCGTTCATGCTCGCAATGAGCCAGGTGTTCGATGGTACGCGTCTGTGCCTGCGGTCAGTGTATGCGAAGACAATGAAGGACGAAGAGGACGTTACGCACCACCAACACGGAACACCAAGAACAGCCCGGATGTGCGCGGGATGATCCAATGAGGTAGATAAACACTCGGGGCAGTGGGAAGACAAGCCTTGGGTAGCAGCGACGAACGATACTTTGTGATGGAATGTTTCGGCGGTCGGCGGTAAGAAAGGCAGCAAGATGTGAGAGCGCGAGGAGGACGGAGCAAGTTCAGATGTACACAAGCGAGCTAGCCAAGCAGTAGGCTAAACCTTCCAAACTTTAGGCTACCAAGTGTCAAACCATAAATTCGCAACAATGCGCCAAGCATCTTCGTTTGACCACGGTGTACATCTCCCTCGAGGTAAGATCAAGGCACTCGATGTGATGCTGCAACTGGGCACATTGCGAACCCGCCATTTATTCTGCTCTGCTCGATCAACCGCAACACATCACATCTGGCCACTGAGGATTTTACGCGTCGCCGATCGGGACCAACGGCTGGAGTATCTTGGCGCCGGACGCACCAAGCGAAGCCATTCCTCTTCCACGCCCCACTTCGTCTTGACCTTTCTTGGTGCCTCTTGTGCCGCTTGGCTCTGGCTTGGTACAGCTGATCCTGGATCGAGAGCACGTTTTGGGGCGTTTCTAGCTTTTCCCTCCCCCCAGGGCGAGGTACGGCTTGGAGCTTGCTCTGGGCCGCGGGAATAACGTTGGGGTGATTGTGCAGTCAACATCTCTCATTTCATGTGCCAGCTTTGCTTCAGGATGGAAACTACAGAGGTTGATATCCGGACACAGAGTAGTATGTCACCACTCTTCGTGGCCCAGACACGAGCTGTTGAGTGCGACCACTAGGTCAAAACTACCTTAACCTTTGAAATTATAAGCTTAAACTGGAAACCCACGGATGAACCGACGGCAAGTTTCAAGACCATCGGACGCCGATAAACATGCTTTACGCTCCAGCTTATAAACATGTCTACATTCCATGTTTCATCAACGTAACTTGCCAAAACTATCGGGTCATGTTCGAGGTCTGTCGCTGTGGCATCCTTCGGTTGGATGACGCGAACCGAAGGCACGGCTGCTCCAAGACCTGGATAACGCCACATCTCGTTGGACCCCTGCACTCCATCCGTGGAAGTACTCCCTGCAGCCGCTTGGCTTCAACGTCCGACAGCCTGATCAGTTTATTATAGACGTGAGTCACTTATCCTCGCAAGCATCTTGCGCGGACCCTACGGCTACACCAAGTGCCGCAATCCGAACAGTTGTGCAAGAATCATGCCAGTCGTGTAAGCATCTGACTACCGCCGCAAGCCTCCACGTGTTGTGAAAGCTCTAGGCAAACCCCGCGGCACTGTCATTGGTGAATTGACTCCAGAGCTTGATTTCCGAAAAAGCTTGAATAACCTCTACGCCRGAGAAATTATTGCCAAGCGGTTGAACCGGAAGCTTTACGAGGATATGATCTGCTCGGCGAAGAGTCCACGTGTCGATCCGTACCCGTCACAAGAGATAACACGACCGGAGGAGCGCTCATTATCAATGACCTGTTTGCCTCAAGACCATGGACTGACTGAATGCACTTGACTGACAGAGCAAGACTAACAGGATCAATGACACAACGTTGCCTTCGCTCCCAGGGAGTCACTTTCCAAGAACTACTTTTCTTTTCACCATTGCCTGCTTCCGGTGTAAGAAACTTGGTTCCATTCTGATGACGAACTTTTGTATGGACCATGCAACACAATCAATGCTTTCAAAGCGTCACAAGCAGTACCGCGGCAGCTTGGCGGACACTGGCAATAACGTAAGTTGCCTTGAATGATGAGACCTCGCCTGCACCTTCGCTATGTAGGAGGCGACTATTGGTTGGGCCTGCGTAATGGTCACCGTGACTTGTGAGTCGAGCGGCCTGGACGAATGAAGATCCGGAAAGACCCTCCATGCAGCTCACACTGTGGGTGGAGGAGATGGAGAGAAGCATTTAGTTTACCCGCTTCTCCTTTGACTCGTCATTTCCACGCCAGTGTATGGTTCACACTCAACATCCGAAGGCTTTTACCGACACAATTTTATTTCCCACCACACGACGCAGCTACGGCCGGCAGCCGAGTCGAGCCTGGACGAAACATTCGCGAGAGCCATCGCGAAGGGTCCGAGAGTCTAACTGGTAACGGTCACATGCGTGTGGGACGGCCACCAAGACATGGCGCCCATGAGATTCAGAAGGCTTGCGGCCAAGATAATGGGTAGGCTGGTAGGCGGCCTGGGCAAAGCCTTCGGTGCTTGGCCTGACAAGAACGCCAACTTCGCCAAGTCTTACCTCGTGGCAGTGCTGAGCGGGCGGAGTGAGATTCGGGAAGGATACGCAGCGATCACGAGTATTGGTCTCAGCGGAGTGAATGTACTCAGCTCCGTCTTGAAGCTCATGTGTGGGATCGCCGCAGCGCTACACATGCACGTCGTTACTGGAAGCTGAGAGGGCACTGCGACTTATGGAGGCTGATGATGATGCCACATTCCCCGCAGAGTGCACCCGGCGGAGGACAGCGAGTGCTCAAACTAGCAGGACTACCGAACTCTTACTCCGTGAGATGCATGGCTACGACTTGCTAACCCCGGAGCGTCTTCTCAGGTATCAATGCCACGCGAGTTGGCATCACGCTTGGCGTGTCAGCATGCCATGGCAAAAAGACTCACTTTGATGGGGACCGTGCCCGCGATAATGTCTCGATCGAGCTGTAGTCGCGCAGCTGTCAGCAAAACGACCCTTTGCTTGGAAAGCCATTATTAGTACGGTCCGCCATCGATACGAATCCCTCAACCATGGTCGAAATAGAGCAAACTCGCAACTCATCACGAAGAAGCGGGTGCCGCAGATACAGCCGTTGCCTCGGTTAGCTGAGAGTATCTTGTGTAGTACCGGTCCAAACAGTGGAGAGGCACACATTCGAATGTGCCGTTGACTGCTTCTCAACACCAGAGAAGAGCGCATGATCCACAAGTACCCGTGCGTATCGCAACAGCGTGTCGATGCAGAACACACGCCTCAAGTAGTATCGCTCACTTGCAGACTTTCTCCGCGGCCTGCAGAATTTGCATGAAATCATGCTCCTCCATGCATCCGAAGACCTTGTGCTTGCTCAGCTTGTTTGCCGTCACCCGCGGACTGCCAATGCCAAATGCAACCCGAGCAAGGTAACGAGGATCATCTCGATCGGGACACGCCCGGAGAACTTGTGAAAACGCGGCCGCATCCCAAGCTTTTGGTGGACGTGTGATTTTCGYGACTGGTTGATGATGCTCGCACCAGGTACCTGGCACAGTTAGCAAGCAACCCGTGAAATTCAGACACCGGGCRTGAAACGCACAGTGACCACATTCATTAGCATCGCCAGGCAGACTGTCTCCAAAGTGAGCGGCTAGAGTCTTTGCGAAGCAAGCTGTGCCTGTGATCAAGTCCATAACCTGATCCATCCGGTCCAGGTCTTGCTTCTCGCGCAGTTGCAGCTCTTTGTACAACTTGTCAATGACTTCCTGCATCTTGACTTTTGGTGGGGGCCAGTTCTTGTGGTCCGCGACTCGAAAGACGTTCACCATACCGCCAGTCTTTAAATCGATGAAACGGTCATCGTTCCAGGCATTCAGCTTCGCAACGAGATCGGCTCGCGAGACTCCAGTGGTCTGGTACGCATTGTCCAGGTCCACATGCGACAGCTTTGTCTTCTTTTCGGTAAGTCTTCTTAGACCAGTGGCAGCTGGTGACTTATCCCATCCGGTGTATTTCAGCTCCAGGTACGAGTATTTGGTATACTTGGGAGTTGTCGCTCTGATGAGATTGAATGAGAGCTCAAGTTGCGCGTAGATGTTGCCAAGGGCGTTTGCCTATTATTTTCAAGTCCGTTAGCAAGCAATTGATTCCGTGGCGAGCGAGGCCTACTTTGATGTCATGATCTTTCCCTTGCTGGTATAGATTTGCCTCGATGTGCGACTCCGGTGCCGGCGAGGGAACCAAACAGAAGACCTCTTGAAGAAGGTCCGTGATCGAGGATTCTAGATCATACTGTCAGCCTTGATCTGTTCCTAGAAGCGCCGCGCATGTCGACTCACTCGAGGGCAAGTCGCCTCTCGCGAACGACTCTCGCAAATGGAGATCTTCGGCACACAGGAACAACATGCAATGACTCTCAATGCCGTCCCGACCTGCTCTTCCGATCTCCTGGCTGTACCCTTCCAAACTTGAAGGTGCTGCATAGTGAACGACGTTTCGAATATTTGCCTTGTCGATGCCCATGMCAAAGGCGATGGTAGCGACAACAATCATGTCCTTTGAGGCCATGAAAGATTCCTGACATGCAGTTTTCTCCTCTGTCTTCATTCCAGCGTGAAAGTGTCTAGCTTCGAAACCTTGTGAGCGAAGCTGCTGCGCAAGTTCCTCCGACTGCTTCTGCAAAGTTACGTAGATTATCGATGGTCCTGGATGGGCCTTTAAGAAAGCCCGCAACTTTGGAAATGTCTCATTCTTCGTGTTGTACGACTGTGCGTATAGGCGAAGGTTTGATCGATAAGTCGATGTACGAAAGAGCCCAGACTCAGGAACATCAAAAGCTTTGCAGATGTCTTTTGCGACGGTCGGCGTCGCGGTTGCGGTTAAGCATATCACTCTTTCAGCTTGGATTTCCCTGGCAAATCGTGCAACTTTGAGATAATCGGGACGGAATGAGTGACCTGCGAAAGTTAGCACGTTGGTAGCGGGTCATTTTGGAAGTGAAATACCCCATTCGGAGATGCAGTGAGCCTCATCGACTGCCAGGAGTCGAACACCGCCCTGGACGTTCGCCATGTTGGTAACAAACCCTTCGTTGTTCAATCTTTCTGGTGCACAATATAGAATGTCCAGAGTACCATTGCGCATCTCATCGATAGTCTGGAGGTACTGTTCCTTGGTCCTGGTCGAGTCCAGAACTGCCGCCTTGATACCACGACGGAGTAGAGCGTCGACTTGGTCCTTCATGAGTGCGATGAGAGGAGACACAACCAATGTGATACCTTGCTCGACAGGACCTTGACGTTCGCCTGCTATTTTGTCAAGTTCCTTGAAGCAGAGTGCCGGGACTTGATAGCACAGTGACTTGCCGCCGCCTAGAAGACATCAGAAACTCTGCCCTAGCAAGCCCAGGATTGATACGTTACCTGTAGGGAACACGACTACGGAGCTGCCACCATCGAGTAGCCTGGCAATAGCAGCCTCCTGCTTCAGTCGAAATGCATTCATGCCGAACCGTTGCCGAAGGACTGTGTTCGCCGTAGCGATGGCAGCAGGCGAAGAGCAAGGCACGTCATCGCGATCCGGTCGCAGCTTTTTGGCACCATTAACAATATCTTCGTCCTCATTCTTGCGTTTCCCGTTGCTCACGATTGTAGGCTCGAGGTTCAGCAGTTCTGCTTCGTCTGAGGACGAAAGTCCAAACTCATCATCATCCATGTTCATCTACCGATAGTAAAGGCACTGGTGTGTGGTGTGTGTGACTTGAAAGACGAATGTTGGAAGTTTGTGATGAAGCAGTCAATGTGAAGTTGTTGTTGCAGTATGATCACTCGTTTTCGAATGACGTGAGGTCAGTCAACTTGACGACGCGCTGATAAGGTTTGATCAGGGGTCACAGTGTCACGAGAAGCACGCGCGGTCATTAGGCAGGCGCAAACAAATCGAGCGGCATAGCAGGATACCACTCAGAGTGATTTGTGAAAGCCCGCGACACGCCGTACCATTCTCGGGTTCGGGGTCGCTGCGGAGGCGAGGCTGTGATCTATCCCGGCGTCCCTATACAGATATTTCCTTCACTATACATATATTTCTACAGTCCTCACCTCAACACAGACTCGGTCCCAAGGTTTCTCTCCTTCAACAACTCTCCCTTCTCCTCTGCTTCGAGGAGATTGTCCTTGGCTAGCGCTTCCCGTTTCATAGCCTTTTCCTTGTTCTTCTTGGCGCGAGCATTGATGCTCCCAACCTCATGCGTTCCGTCTGGCAGCACCTTTGAGGGAAGCTTCTGATCCTTCTCTCCAAGTCTGACGGCCTTTCCAGCACTAGTCTTGCCAACACCAGTTTCTGCACCATCACCAGGATCCAGCCCCATCTCTTTCAATGACTGAATGGCCTCCGCATCGCCCTCTGCAGCCCTGGCGCGCAACTCCCGCCGCTTCAATTTTCTAAACCTTGATTCTTTGTATGCAGCCAGGCGGTCGTCCGGTGTAGGGAYGGGTGGTCTCGCATCGAGAGGCGTGCCAAAGGGAGCAATGACAGAAGCCACGACGTGCCTTACTCGGCGGCTTACATGTAATCTGTGTAATTCSACAACATCCCCAGTAATCAGCGAATTATTTGGATCGTGCACCAGATGCTGCTCAGCACTGTGAAACATCTGCGGGAAGCAATTAGTCCTGATCTAAACTTTCTCAAAGAGGCGCCGTACCTTGCCAATGCGCTTATTCCATGTCTGACTTCCAATACGCACAGTCACCGTCTTATCCATCTTCCCAGAGCTAACCACCACGCCGACAATCTTCTTGTGCAGGACTGTCTGTTCCCGCTGCTCCTTTTCGCCTTCGGGCAGGATTTGTGATGTGCTGTGCTGGAGATACTGCACTGGTATCCTTGGTTGCTTCAAGACTTTCTTGAGAAGGCGATCGGTCTTGGTGAGGGCATATGGTTGTCCATCTGGCCCAATGCGCTGGGCAAAGGGAAGTGTCGGATCATATGTTGACGGCGAGGAGTCGGAATGGTCGGGAGCCTGCGTTGCTATGCATCGTCGACAAATCCACTGTGTGGGGGAATTGATGATATTTGGAGTGGACAGCGACCGGATGGGGAAAGACAATGCGCGGCGACTCATCGTGGGGAGATGGCGATGAGGTTGGTGTTGTCGCGTGCAGTCCAACTTCCAGCGTTCAAGCTCGCTTGTCCGAATCCATATCCTCTAAATTTAGTCATGGGATTACTTTGAGGGAGAAGAATTTTTGGCTATCATTTACAATCACAAATTTCGCCTTCTCCACATCCACATAGCAGTGGTAGCAACAGCATGGCCTGCTGGCCCAATGGCAAGGCGTCTGACTACGATCTAGAGGGCTTACACCCTTGAGAATGGAATCAGGAGATTGCAGGTTCGTTCATCTTCTTGAAGTCCACCACTTGAGCTATAAACTAATTCCTCCAAAGGTTCGATCCCTGCGTAGGTCACAATTTTTTTGGCTCTTGCATTCATCATGCTCTTGTCGCTCTCGGAGGCGAGATTGGAGGTTTGATCCCGGCGTGGGTCACATGTTTTGCAGGTGTCAGCCTACAATAACGCCCCTTATTTGTTTTGTGCCTCTCTCCTGAGTGCAAGCTCGTGCAAATCAAAGTAATCCGCAGGACAGGTTTCACCCCCATGTGCACCGCCGTGTTTGTGAGCTGCGCGCCTTGTGCGCTGTGCAAGAGGCGGAAAGCCCCCTGAAACAATATTTGCCTCTAGAACCGAGATAGGAAGGAGCGAAAGATAGGCAAGTGAATGAAATTTCTCCTTGTGGAAAGAAGTACCTTAGGGCACTTGGTCTTAACAAGCGAGGCAGTGCGGCTTCCTCAACCCAGCATGACCGTCGCTCTTTCCGGCATTACGAAGTGTGGAAGCATCTTGCGGGGAGACGTTGACTTTGACCGCCCACTCTTTCCAAGCATTCTGATCGCTCGCCGAGCAACGTGCAACCCTCCAAGCTTCGCTTGGTTAAATGATGGCGGAATCGGTCGTTGAATATTCCAGCAATGAACTCTCCGGAGGAATGCCCAAGATTGCGGTCCGTGGGCCGTAGTGAAACATGTGATGGCGGCCCGGAAGATCTCAAAGACCTTTTTCAATCAACTACATACTGAACTCGTTTTCTGTATAGTGCTTCCCCGCTCTTGAAACAGCCAAGTGGGCCACGCGACCTACATTCATAGCTTAGCGAGGACATCGTCCAATCCAGTCGAGATGGACACAAAAGGGCTTCCTGGTGAGCCTAGTTACTTCTCCTCCAATGCACAGACAGGCTAAATGAGTTACAGCGGTTTCAAGTTGATCTTCTTGCTAGAGTCCATTATGCTGTCCGACAAGTCTATAAATCCTCTGGACTCCAGTATTTCGGAAGTCAACCTCCTACGTTTCAAGCAAGCAACACGATGCATCACACAAGCCTCTTGTCAACCGGCATAGTTTTGCTTGGCTCTTTAGCTCTTACAACACAAGCAGCATGCGATCTTCCCTCGAAGTATAGCTGGACTTCTACCAACGCTCTCGCTAGCCCAAAATCTGGATGGGCTTCGCTCAAAGACTTCACCGTCACCACCTACAATGGCAAGAAGCTTGTCTACGGATCCTATGCCAACACCGGCTCTAGCTATGGCTCCATGAACTTCGGGCTCTTCGACAGCTGGTCCAGCATGACTTCTGCCCCTCAAAATGCCATGTCTGCCAACACCGTGGCACCCACGCTGTTCTACTTCAAGCCAAAAGACGTTTGGGTGCTTGCATATCAATGGGGGGCCACCGCCTTCTCCTACCGCACTTCGAAGAATCCGTCCGACGCCAATAGCTGGGGAGCAGCGCAGCCGTTGTTCTCAGGCTCAATATCTGGTTCCGACACTGTAAGAGCCTTTGCAGTACCTTTTCGTGAGCCTCGCTGACAGAGTTGTTGGTATAGGGTCCCATCGACCAGACGCTGATCGGTGATGGGTCTAATATGTATCTCTTCTTCTGTGGTGACAATGGCAAAATCTACCGCGCCAGCATGCCTATTGGTAACTTCCCCGGGAACTTTGGCTCCACAAGCACTGTCGTCATGTCGGATACCAAGAACAACCTCTTCGAAGCCGTACAGGTCTACACCCTCGAAGGCCAGACCAAATACCTCATGATCGTCGAGGCGATCGGATCCAATGGCCGTTACTTCCGCTCTTTCACTGCCACGAGTCTAGGCGGCACCTGGACGCCACAGGCAGCGACTGAGAGCAACCCCTTCGCGGGTAAGGCGAACAGCGGCGCCACCTGGACAAATGATATCAGCCATGGTGATCTCCTGAGAACCAACCCCGACCAGACCTTTACGGTGGACCCGTGCAACTTGCAGCTGTTGTACCAGGGTAGGAACCCGAACAACGTGCCGAGCGACTACAATCTTCTGCCGTACAGACCTGGTGTCTTGACGCTGAAGAAGTAAGAGGCATCTTCCAGTGAATGGGCACATTTATCTTGCCAAAGAAGATGTCAAGGAGTTAGTCTGCTTGGAGAGAGCGCGAGGTGCAATGTGTTGCTCAGCGATCACGTCCCTGAGAGAAGACTCAGTGTTCATCCTTACAACGTTTCTTACGTATCAACACTCGAATTTTGACTGCTATTTGACGCCACCGAGCCTCCCTAGTAGTCATCATCGTCAGCATATCTGCCCTCATCCCTCCCAGCATCATAAGCGTCGTCAATGTTGTCTCCGAACCGCTCCACATCCCCAACTTTGTCCCCAGCCCACCCGGCTACATCCTCAGGTATGTCCTCCACATCTTGCACGCCATTTTCGATTCTGTCTCCGAACCGATCGAAACCTTGCTCAACATCCTGGGGGATATCTTCAACCTCTCCTACCTTTCTCCCAGTCCACTCAGCGGCGTCTTCGGGAAAGCTTTCCACGCGTTMGCCAAATCGATCAAAACCGTCCTCGGCACGATACTTGTCTTCTTCCAACCGCTCCTCAGCGCGATACTTGTCTCCATCCAGATCGTCTTTGATTTCACTCCCTTCATGCATGAGGAACGCACCGCCTGCCAAACCGGCAGCTGCACCTAGAGCTCCATAGAGAAGACCATGAGACTTCTTCTCGTGATGCTGTTCCTCTTGTTGGGGCTGGGAAGGAGGTGCACCATAGCCCTGTCCGCTACCGTAGGCCTGCCCTTCGCCAAAGTTACCTTCCTGTCCACCACCATAACCGCCATAGATATTTCCAGCGCTGCCAGATGCTTCTCGAGGATATTCCCAACTTCGCTGTCCAGTCTCCTGATTGATGAAAATGTACCTTCCCTCTCGCTGATCCCACTCGGCGAACCAGGGTCGCGGAAGCGTTGGAGGCGGTGGACGCTGGCCGTAGCCACCGGACTGTTGATCGTAGTAATCAGAAGCAGACATTTTGGTGGCGGTTTCTTTCAGTTGCGTGATATGATGATGGAATTGTTTGGGAGATGTCTCTGGAAGTCAAGAAAAGAGAGAAAGTAGGACTGGGCTGTGATATAATCAAGAGCTCCCCACCTTCGTCCTTCATACATGTGAGCATGCATTATCGAAYCATGCACGAATGACGCCGACGGACAGAATCCGCACTCATCGACCCGAGGCGCAGCACATTACGAGCGCGATTAAATGCACAATACCTTAAGGTGGCTGACGCGTCAGCCAGGTTGGCTCGGACATCGCAATCTCACCGAATCCACCGGAATTTGACAGACAAAACACCAAAGCCAGAGGGAGCCTGAGAGAAGGCAAAGTTTTGCAGGCATTGATTGACAAATATATCATCATCGGCTGGCAAGGAACTACAACTCAAGCTTCCGCAACACCTTGGCGGAAGAGCTTATTTGTGTATTGATCTTCACCCGAACACCATAGCCTCCGTGCTCAAACTCAGGTCATTGAAGTCTCCTTGCAAGCCGCCATGTCAATGAGCCCTTCGCTCAGCTTATTCWCACACCTGGCTTCTCATGTTCTACAGAGCTCGCATCTGCGTGAGCTACAGCAAAGCACAATGTCATGTCTCACGCACGCTACCCATGAGCCACACGCATATAAGTGCAGTGTGTACCACTCGGCGCACCGCTGCCTCGATGCGTTGCTCCCAGAGCTTTCACTCCTTTCAATGGCATCACAAAGGTTGGGTATTAGCCCAGCGCTCTGCGTACGATGGATTGCCCAATCGCACCCGGACGTCCGGTGTTGCCACTGCTGGAGAGTAGCCGTTCTGTTGAATGCCTTGGTCGGCAGTCTGATCAATTGGATATCGGTCCCTTGGATATTGCCGATCTTCAACAGCATACGGATGGATTCCCATGAACGCCTGCTCCCGAGGCTGGCCATCAAAGGAACCCCATTGCTGGGTGAATTGCTGTGTGGGAGGCCAAATATTCGAGGATACGCCCTGCCGAACAGTGTAGGGATCGGCGCGAGGTGGTGGCGGTACCTCGTGCGACCAGTCCGTAGTCTGCATCGTAGCAAACGACTGTGTCATTTCTTGGGGCTGCATACTTGACGAGGTGCCTGGAAACCACATGTTGTCGTGAATGGCAGCGTTCGCTTGCATTTGCTGCCGAAACTGCGGACCTTGAGCCCGTCGCCAACCTTCAGTCGACTCTTCGATGTATTGTGGGCCCAGATTGAGCCGCGTGGCATATTCCACCCTGGCCTGGTATTCCGGTAGGGTTTTCACCCGCCACTCCGCTGCAGGCTCTGCTTCCGCCTGTGCCAGTCGTTGCTTGTACTGCCAAGGCGCCTCCAGATTGGCCTTGCCAAAGCGCGGTTGATATGCTACCATCGGATCGATGTATGGGGTGGGAATGATCATGTCCTGTGATTGCTGGCTGGCCATGCCGGTCATGCGAATGGGCTCAGGTATCCAAGAGACTCTTGGGGGAATCGCAGAAGCGGCCGTCAACACATGAGCGTCCAGAGGTGTATCGTTGCTGGTATTAGTAGCGTTTGTGACTTGGTTCTGTACTATGCGTACAACGGGCATCGCTTGAAACTGCCCCGCGAGAGTAGCCAATTGTTCCCGGTCCGCGACTGCTTTTTGATCGGCAAGAATGCAAGCATCGGTCTGATGTTCCAATACCTTGATCTTCGCCGACCCAGCCGTTGATCCAGCACCTGTGAGTGCGCTGGTTTGCTTTCTCACTCGCTTGACCTTGACCTTGACGTTGTCGTTGTTTTCTCCGTCAACATCGCCGCTGCGGGAGTCATCGAGCTGCTTTTCTGAATCTGTGGCGTATTTTGGCGTTTTCTTGCGCTTTCTACGGCCTCTGCCTAGTGGAACTACCAGGGCCGAAGATGCTCGCTCGAAAGTCGGCGGTACTCCCTGATCTCGCCTGAGGGATCCAAAGATGATCTGAGGGAGACCACTTGAACGCCTCGGCGCAACCACGATAGCATTGGGAAGATCCTGCTGGCTTTCTCTGGTCGTAACTTCATGCGGGGCGTCCGCTGTTGGTGTGCGCGGCGCAATGTAGTTACCAAGTCTTTTGTTCGCGGGAGGAGCGATAGCATGATTGTTCATGATCGTCGATGTGTTGATTTCATCTCGGCCTGCTTCCATCACCATTCCACTATCATTGTCCTCGACGGCCATGTTAAAAAAACCATCCATTACAGAGTCGTGAACACTTTCGTGATCGTCTCCGTCACTCAGTTCAACCGGCGCATCAAGTTTTCCCTCAAAAACACTGTCGACGCGCCTCGTCAATCGAGGACAATGCTGCACTAGAATGTCTCGTACATCAACTTTATGCATTGGTATTGAGTTTGATGGCTTCTGAGGTTTTGAGAGACTGACTGCACTCGGGTCGGTGCACCCGCTGTGGCGAGGAGGCTCAATGGTGGATGGCGGAGGACAGTGCAATTCTTGCCCACCCTCGTCCCGGTGATCGGATTTGTTCTCGGCGTTGTCTTCCCCCGCAGATCCAGTACTATGGCTGTAAGCTTGCTGTTCATTCACGGCGGCGCTTTCCAAATGCTATCCGACAGAGCTCTGCAAACACTCGTCAAGCGCGCTCATAGCTCCCTGATAATCCGTCTCGTCTGTACCCTTGAGAGCACCGTATTCGTTGTCGTCAATCACCATTGCATCATCATCCTCTGAAACTTGGTCATGGTCTGCTGCAGCTCCGTTCACCAACCCGAAGGGATTTCCACTGCCGTGTCCGTTGACGTTATTGTAGCTTTGTTGCGGGTACCTGTGCAAATGAACACGCTCTTGCAGGAATCGATCTCGCCGCAAATAAGTGTTGGAAAGACCTGCAGCCAACGAAAGATCTTGCATGCTCACTGGTTTCTGCTTGAGCTGCGCTTCCACCTCTACGGGCAGAAGACCACCTGCCGTACGCTGCACGATACCCACCTCGACATCCTCTTCTTCCTTTCTGAGCTGGCGCTGGAACTTGGTCGTCTGAATCCCTCCTCGGCCGCCTACCGCGTTGCTGCGAACTTGATTCAGGAGTGCGCCGATCATTTCCTTCACGCAGACTTCGGTGGCCTGTTCGACCAATTCTGCACATGCTTGCATTGCACCCTGCTGCACACCGTTCGTGAGACCTTCTTCGTAACAAATGGGTTCGATTCGAGATTGAATCTCGTGTAGGCTTGGGAACTCGAGCAGCTCAGAGGCGAGAGGCTGTGCGTAGCGACGGCGAATTTCCACATCCCAGTTCGTCTTCGCAAGACCAGAAGGACCAGTGCCAGTCGCACTCTGCGGTTCTACCTGTTGCGCTTGCTGTCGTTGATGGATGCCCAGCTCGTTGCGGTACTCTTGCATGTCTCGGAGGCCATCGTTGACCGGATATGCGGGTTCCTTGGACAGCTTAATTCGCTTGCGATCGCGGGCATGCACATGCATCACCTCATGTCTCAGACGCTCCTCGGCCTTGTCATTGGCGCCCGATCCGGCACCGGCACTTTTGGCGGTGGCCGTGGGCTTGTCGGTCGCGACGACCCATGGCGCTACTTCAGTCGGCGGTGGATCGCGCTGGCAGTTGGAGAAGACGGAAATGAAGAAACAGTTGTGGAGGTTGGTGACAGCAGCTGGCGTCCGAAACGATTCTACAGCGGCAGAGCTGGAGCTCGACGACGTGGAGGAGGATGCTGCAGCGGCTGCGGCGGCAGCGACAAACATGGGCTGGAGGAAGTATGACAGCTCATTCTGTGAGAGGTTTCCCAGCACAAAATCCTTCAGCGCGGTGCGATACGCCTCCCAATCTTTTCCCAGGACCTTTTGTAGCTGCTTGTACATGGGTTCCACATTCACGCGCTCCACCTGCACCTTTCCCCCGGACGCGCCATTCTTCTGCCCCGAGGACGACGCGGCAGGCGCGACCTTGCTCTGGTAAGGCGAGATGGTGAGGTCAGCGGGGTTCATGATCGCGGCGGCGCCTGGCGCATGGGGGTCGCGGTGGTGGTTTGCACATGGGAGTCCGAGGACGCGTCACTGTGAAGGTTTGATTAATAAATGTCCTTGATCCTCTCCTCGCCAGCACGTGAAGTGATTATTGTTGGCTCCAGTCCAGTCCGGTCCCATCAAGTCCAGTCGTGATGGGCTGTGTTGATGTTGATGGTGATGCTAGGTAAGGTGACTGCGTTCGCGGAGTTCGAGTTCGGAGTTCGAAATCCCGGAAATGTTCGACCTCCATAACTTACCTGGTACTCGAGCAAAATAGGAAGCTGGCGGCCCGGAGCGCGCATCTTGTTCGGACTCAAAACGAACAATCGGACATTGTTACACAGAGAGCATCAACATTTGTCACAAAGTACCTAGGATTAAGAGAGCTAATCAACCCACAAGAGGCAAGTAAAATAGTTGTAGTAGTAGGTGCCGGATATGAAAACAACTCAGGCGTAGAGCCATTAGCCTGCGTGTCCGCAAAGGCCGCCTTTCCTTTGATGATGATGATACATCCTCCGATGCTGTCCCCGTCCTCCCATCGGTCCTGGTACAATTTCTCCCAAGATGGAACCATCCTCATAATCGTTGATATTGCTCGCTGTAACGCTCAGAATGTTCCAAAAAACAAAAGATGTCAGCAACATTGGAGACTCATGGTCAGTTACACCGATGTGCTTTTTCCTTCCTCCTCCTCCTCCTCGTCTCGCTCTCCATCGTCAGGCCAGTCCGTCCAATGCCAGTGATTGCTGCGATCGACAGGCGTGACACGCATGCTGCCATGTGAGTCGATGCCGTCTTCGGGGTGCACCATGACCTTCGCTCCGACTGCCGCACTCTGCGCCCGGGAGGATATCGGAAGCTGATACTTGAGGACGCCTCGCACGATGAGCTCGAATGGATATTGGATCATCTCCTCCCAGCGYGCACTGCCGCCAGTCTCCGTCTWGTTTCCGGGCTTCGCTAGACGTAGCTGCCCGGAAGAGACATGAGCCTTGCCTGTCAATGGCGATGCATCGAAGATGAGAGCTTGGTCGAAGCGGAAAATGCGGCCTAGCAGCATGGTCTGCGCATCATCAGAGTTTTCCAGATCGGGGTCGTATCCCCTTTCGTGATCGCCCGGAGATCGCCAGTGTCCGGATTCATCCTGTGATGGATTGGGATTCCAGTCGGTCGTCTTGCTCCTTCGTTCTCGCCTAGACCTCCTTGCGCTGACCTCAGTATGGTTCGGCTTGTGGAGATTGACGTGCTTGCTCTTGGCAAATATGTTGATATCCATGTCGCTGATCGAAATGCCCATCGTGTTTGGATTGACCGCGCCCACCAGCAAATCCAACATCAACTCCTGCTCGCTGGCCAGGACATTCTGTATTTTGCGTATTCTGACATCCTGCAGCGGTCGATTGGACGCAAAGACGAAGAATACGGCAGAGACGACGACAAGAATGAGCATGAGTGTTGTGAGCACGCATGCGCCCATTTTGCCTTTGAAACATCCGCAGTATCTCTTCCGATCGAGATATTCAAAGTCGTCCGAGGCAGAGTCCCGTCTCCCACCAGAGATCCGATGAAGCTGCCGTACGTGGCGAGGAGTCCTAATACTTCCGGAAAGAAGAGGCTGCCGTTCATCGTCTGCGTTTTGTTCAGCATCGAAATCGTACGGATGCTCCTGCTTTTTGTTGCCGGAGAACAATCCACTAGGCCGGAACTGCATGTTTTGCGGACTTCTGGGAGAGTTGGGCCTAGAGCGAACATGATTGAGATGATTGCCGCGCAACTTTGCAGCCTGCGTGAAAGGCGAATCGGGGTCATAATTTGCGGACTGGTGCCCTGCGCGGCCGAATCGTCCGATGTGTCGAGGGGTATGCGACCGTATAGTTCCGTTATTGCTCTCTGGACTATCATGATCGTTGTAGGGGTTGCTGGAAAACTTCATACTACGTTTGCCGCCAATCCGACGGTCGTCAAAGGCTTCGCCGTAGTTACGAATCGCGCTTCGTTGCTCTCCTGCCATGCTGTGGGAAGAAGTCACACTAGGCGTTCGCGAGTGATGTCGTGATCTCCTCGGCTCGGGAGGGTTGGATTCATAGACAAAAGTCTCGTCAGAGTCGGATCCGTTGGCGGACGCATCCACTGCGTTGGCAACCCGAGCCTCAAAGAGATCGGCCTTGGATGTGGCTACGTGCACAAACCGGTCAGTGAGTGTCTTGTAGAACCTTGAAGAAGATGCGCGCTGCGAGGCAGGGGCACCTGTAGTGAAGCGGATTCTAGGATATCGCCGTACAAGGTACAAAGACACCAGGGCTCCGTACATAAAAACATGCAAGGTGAAAAAAGGTGCAGCGGAAGATTCCCTTTGATCGTGTTTGACAGATTGAGACATGGAAATTTGATACATACCTGTTCCTTGTGTGACGCTCCTCGTCTTGCGCTCAGCTTTCTTGCGTTCCTTCTTGGGCCGAATCGTCTCATTGCTGGGCTTGAGTCGAACGCTCCCGCCATTCTCGCCGCGGACACCGACGGAACGATCGCCAGCTGGAGCTAGAGCGGACTGTGGAATCGATTGCACCGTCTCCGTTTCGACCGTCATATTTTGCGTTCCATCGCCAGAGCGCGCCTTGTTACCAGGCACAGTGTAGGAAGCCTTCGAGGTCGTGCTGWCACTCTTCTGGCGTTGTTGAGGTTGGCTGTTATTGTTGACAGAGCCAGTCTCCTTACGACCTCGTGTCATGTTGTCACTCTTATTTCCGGGACTCTCGCTGCCACTTTCTCCTGGCTGCTTTTCCAACTCCGCTTTGGACAACTTTCGCTTCAATTTCAGCGCTGTAGATTCGTGATCTGATATTTTGGTAAGCGGCTTCAACTCTGCTGCAGCCTGAACGGCGGCTGGACTCGGTTCTTGTGWATCCGAAGTATTCTCCTGTACCGTCTCCAACATCGACTTCCCGCTAGGACCTCGGGAGGAGCTCTTGGCCAGCGGAGCTTGCAGCTGTGGCTCACCCTTCTGGCTCTCCCCGCTCGACGGTCTTGATGTCTGCGGCGAAGCGCTTGCTGCTGGCGATGCTGACACTACTTGAATGGTGGGTGCCTGTGGTGCTTCGGGTCTCTTCACTGCGACAGCCGAGCCACGCCTGGAATTCAGTCCCGAAGGTGGAGGAGACTTTAGCCTCGGAGACAGAGGCCATTGCGGTGTGGAGTCTGCCGATGCCACGGTGCTTTTAGGCCCGCGCGGTAGCTTGGACGCTGTGTCTGATGTTGCCGTGCCTGGCTGTTGTAATTGTGGCACGCTCGATGCGGAAAGAGCACGTTGTATCGCTGCGGCAGAAGGCTGGGTCGAAAGGGTGTTGGTCAGCGTCGGCGCCTTGTCTTTTCGCAGTGGTGAGGTATTGCGCGAAGTTCGAGGGCTTTGTCCAGCAGCGGGCGATGATGCGGTGGCAGCCAGAGTCGACGAAGACGACTTCCTCAGTGTCGAAGCCGACCCGACCGATGATGCGCCGGAAGACGAGGGCGATCTGTTTTTCGTTCCACTCGTACTGGCACCGCTACCTGCGGGCTCTGCCGTCTCTGCCTGACCACTGAGCGATTGAAAGTCTGCCATGCTACCTGTGTTGTTTGTCGTCGGGGTGTCGTGAGTTATTCAATGTCGAAGCTCGGGGCCATCCCATCATATGCAACGAAATTGGTGTATATCGGTGTCACGCGGCGGCCATGGTTGGTAAATGGGTAGACAATGCTGTTCTTAGCAAGCCGGACAGTGCACGCAATTCCACCTCCAAGCTAGAGCGATCGAGGCAAGGGTTGGCAGTTCAGAAGCAGTTGGCCAGATTATTGTGCACGCGGCGAAGCGTGTCGGAGAGCGGAAGTCGAAAGAACCAATGATCCGGGCAGACGAGTCGTCTGAGCGCAGCACAGCCTGCAAAGCACAGCACAGCACAGCGCAGCACCGCTCTCGTTGTTTGTTTGTTCGTTCGGAGGTCTCTCTCGCTTGGCAATTGCTCGGACGCGGCTTATGCGTCGATGCGCCGGGAATCGATGCGCTGGACTACGCTCTCGAGTTGCGCGGGGAACACAACCTGGTCGTGGCAAGTATGGCGGTGAAGGCGTCGCACGTAGTCGTTGGGTGCGAAATGCAAAGCAGGAACAGTGAGGTAGGATATGGATTCAAGAGGAGACTGGATAGGTACTGGGCGGTACACCTCCTCGGGCCGCAACGAAAGGAAGGTCAAAGGACTGCTTAGCTCATGGTGACGAAGTGTGGCAGATGCGTGGATGTGGCGTTTCTCATCGTGAGATTTCCTCCTTTTCCACTCCACAACTAGCCAACTTGTCCCCTCGCAGCCGTTAGGTAATATTGTATTGGCACAGCGAGGACACGGAGAAACTCTCTTTGGCATGGGGTACGCTCTCCGCTGTCGCCGACATGGACATCCGGATGCCGCAAGCCTCCATGGTGGGAGGATGCTTCACACGCTTACCGTGTGCATCAGCCACAACGAGTCGCGCGACATGCTTTCCTTTCCGACCAACATACACCGATAGCTGCAGCTGACAGCCAGCGATCCAACATCCTCAAAGAGCGATGCCACGTCGGTGCCGTTGATCAGCCTCTGACGTGGCTCAGCCTAGCCTGGTCATCAGGATTGTCATGTCGAATCCCACGGTTCTGCTTCTGCTGCGCTGGAATCTGTGCGGCAGTTACGAAGCTTGTGTTGCGAACAGGCCGCAGGCCCCGCGCGCTTGAAACCTGCCGAATGTCCCTTCGAGTCAACTTTTGGGGCCGCTTTTCTCGGACGCAGCTCTAGTCCTTTAGAGCAGAGGGTAGCTCGCCTGGGTTCCCAAGTATGCCACTCGTAGCTCTACCTTATGATGTGAAGGCATCCTGAAAGGCACAGCAGGAACCGAGGCGAGCGAGGCCACCTCGCGCCCATCCATCTTATGCATCACGCGTTCCGCAAAGTCGGCCGGGTCGAAACGGCGTGGAGATGACCAAATGCAACGAAACGCCATTAAATGCCAATCGTTCCTCCTCCGATCTTGGAGGAGTAGAGCAGCCTTTGCAACTTAGAGGCTTGAGGCTTTGTCGATGCTTCAAGGTTGTTTACTTCCCACGGTAAGCGGACCACCAGCGCTCTCCTGTGTCGAGACTCTTCTTGGCACAGCTGTAATGTTCCACTGGGCCCATCTGTTGGAGATTTCCATAGCCGCATGTCTTTTCATGCCCGAAAAATTGGCTGTCAGTCCGGTCTTATTTATCATATTTGGCGATTTCCGACACCCCTTTCACTGCCGCTTATGCTAAGAGTCAAATCGGGTGTTCTCAAGTGAGTTCATACGTTCCACTTCGCATAAAGCCAAGACAGATGGCATGGAAAATCACAACGCAGAAGAGACCGGCATTACGAATGCACTGCTCGATATGATCAAAAGCGTCAAGGTGGCAGGTGTGTCGGCATTGTTTGAAGACAGACTGCTTGGACTCCGTCACATCGGGACTGAGGCCTCCACACACGGATCCGCTGGGTAAGAGTCGCTGCACATGCACGTGCAAATGCTCTTAGGATCTTCTCTCCTGCTATTGTGCTGGCCAGGTTCTCGTTGGTGGCCCATTACAGATACAGTAGCGTTCTTGATACGGAGACAGCCTTTACTCCGGTTACCATCTTGGCAATGGGTACACACCCAGCGAACGTATGCTGATGACCATCGCCCCGCTTACAATTGTATCTTTGGCAAGCCCCGAGCGTGTCGAAGAGTGCCTGCTCGAAGCCTCGGGACAAGATACTCGCAAAGACTGTCGTAACGCAGCATGCCTGCCGAATGACACAGCGACTGCATTACGAAATGTGAGCATCAGGTTGCAGCCGGGCTCATATCTCGTACTGCAAGACTTTATTACATCGCCCATCTCATGGTAAAGTCGGCGATACGGCGGTTAATGAAGTCCGCAATATACAGCCTTGAACATGACAAAAGTATCCACGAGCGATGGAGTCCATCGTAAGCCTGTGTATGCTTGACCCAGAGCGGCTTAAAAAAACTCTCAATTCATTTCCACCATTATAACACCTGGGCAACTGCAACTCTTTTCAGTTGTATGCGCCATACTTCGAACTAGACCGGGCTTATCAATTACCAAAGGATAGAGATCCTTGTACCGGACAAGGTGGTCTCATCATTAGATCTAATCACCGACACGCTCGTACAGAACCTCATGCAAGAACACTTCACAAATCGAAGCCACACAGCCATGATGGGAAGCAGACTGAACACCTAAGCCATCGTCTGCACATTCTTACATCTCACAGCTAGCTCGCAAGAGTGGGAAATGGCAGCGAGAGCGACGAAAGACGAGACCTCGATAAGATTATCCACTTCGATCAAGGGATGGTCAGCAAAGTGGAAGGAGATCCATCCGTACAATGTGCCCACGTATGTTGCCCGCATATGCAGTGCGGAGTTGCAAACGCAAGGCGTCAGTCTTCAGCCATCAAACGGCGTTCCCGCAGTTTGACCATCCCTGACCCCGTTACTCGTAGGTACCCGTCTCGACTCCATGAGCCACGACCTTGTGCTCCACTTTGGACATGCGGTGCGCCTCTCCTCCACAACGTAACCCTCGGCACAGATCCAAGGGCAGCGTCATAGAAATCAAAACAAACACAGAAACACGAGAACATCAGGCGATGATGATGTCAATCCTTGTTGATGATATGTGCCATTTCATAAGCTATCCAACCAAAGTATGCATCCGTTATCATTTGTCCACAGTCGAGTCCCGACCTCCCGCCTTTCCCATCCATCATCCATACAAGTGTCCTCTGGTTCAGACAATGTACACTCTACCCCGCTTTCGTTAGGTCGTGAAGAAGTTTTAGACATAATGCGTAGTCGTGATTTACGCCTGCATTGCCTTGCGTCGCCGTGCAGTGGGTGGTGAAAATGTTTCCTGTAGCTGGCACGCCAAGCAAGGGCGATTCGTCCCTGGCGCAGGGCACTCTCCCTGCGAAAGGTTTTAAATATCCAGCATTTCCACATCCTGCTCATCCAGTCCGTGATTAAGAACATCATCCGCCGGGCCCCAGTTACCTTCGTACACCGTTGCGCCAGCGCGACGACGTCCCTCTACCCACTGCACTCCTCCCGCCGCCAAGAGTTGGTCGACTGCCGGACGCTGGGCTGGATCGGGCTGAATCATTCGCTTTACGATGCCGTCCAATGCCTCGGGGTCGCTGGGGTGAACCATAAATCTGGGAGGCTGACTGAGGTCTTGGATCCTTCCCAGCTTGCTCTGCGATGCTGACGGCCGCAGGAAGTCGAGGTCATCGTCGCTTTGATGAGATGCGCACAGAGACTCAGTAGACAGTCCATTGACAAGCTCGACTGGGTCGCCCGACTCATCGCGAACGAGGGTGTTGTCAGAGCTCCAGGTAAGGCTCGGCAAGTCGCTGAGATCGCCGGCTCGAAGACGCTGCCAAGAGGCACCATTGTCGGGAAGCACAATGTTGCCGGCAATTTCCAGCATGATCATACCCAGCGAGAAGATGTCGGCGGGTTTGTCGAACCGGCCAGAGAGGACCTCGGGACCGATGTACTCACGGTCACCCTCGCCATCCAGCCCTGCAGGTGCCGGCCAGGTGCTTGCCATACCAAAGTCGCCAATTTTCAGCAGACCCTCCCAGTCAATGAAGATGTTGGCGGGCTTGAGGTCAAGGTGAATGAAACCAGCGTCGTGGATGGACTTGACGCCCTGCGAGAGTTCGAGAAGGATCTTCCAGATGCGGAAGTCATCGAGTCGGCCCTTGAAGCCGGTCTGGAGAAGGAAGTCCTTCAAGTTGCCATTTTCGCAGTATTCCGTCTGAATGTAGAGGTGGTTCTTAGCCTCCCACTCATCCACCAGTTCCAGGACATGCTCATGACCTTGCAGAGCCTTCAAGATCTGCACCTCTTGCATCTTACGCTGGCGATCCTTGACTCCAGTGTACGGACGTCTAGACTTTTTCACGGCCCAGACTCTGTTGCTTGGGCTGAGCTTGGCTCGCGATGTGGAGGRTCCCTCAGCGAGAGGTTTTTGGACCTTGTAGACCTGGGAGAACTCGCCAGCGCCAAAGGGCACAACTTGCCCGAATCGTGTGGTAAGTGCCGGGTCCACATCGTTGCCAAAGTAGCCTGACGCATGACCTTGGCCGATGCTGACGCTGAAGGAGTCTCTCGGTCCGGTCGGCGTCGCTGGAGGAAAGCTGCAGCTGTTGAATGATAGGGACGCTCGGTGCTCCACAGATATCGACAGATTGCTTGGATCTGGAGGCGTGAAAGACTCAAGCGGTGTACGTGGAGAGTGGCCTTCTGCACTTTGACGAATGGCGATTGGGCTCGCTGTGGTCGAAGCTGGTAGACAATCAGACTTTGTACGTGCGCTTCTTTGCGAATCCAAAAGCGGAAAGGACCGGAAAGATCTTCTTGCAAGGGGCGAAGGGGTGGTCAGTCGTTGCGGTGGTTGCATCGACTGACTCCGAAACAAGGGCGGCGAGGCGGTTGCAGACGCTGTCAATGTGATGAATGGCATAGGCGAGTCATCAATTGCGCACTCTGCTCCCTTCTCCGCCCGGAACGAGGGCGTAGACGCAGMAAACGGGTACTTACAATCTTCCTCGGCTGCGGGTGGCGACAGCTCACGTTCAGCGGGTGATGCAAACGTGTCCGGGCCCAGCGAGGTTCTTCTCCCAAACAAACTGCTGCGTAGACTGTTACTCTTGCCGCCTTTAGATTGAGGTCTGATCGTTGTGGTCGACTTTGTGGGCGTTGGTGGCAGATCGTCCGGGCCGAGTTGACATTCCAGATCCTTGGACGGCGACGCAGTCATGTCGTCGTCCATGTCGATACTGAGAAAGCTGTTCCTCCGTGTGAGCTGGGGCTGGTTGACCTTTGATCCAAATATATTGACACCCTTGCCAAATGATTCTGGGGAGATCTTCGAGACGCGACCGTTGAATGGGGTACTAGGGCTTCCAAACTCGTGCATCGGCTGGGCCACCTTCCCCAGCGCTGATGGAGGGACTGCAGGGCCAATGTGGATCAGCGGGGCCTTTTTCGAGGGCGTGTCGGGCATGTTGGTGCTTGCAAACAGGGCAGAGGGTGGATCATCCATGTTACGGTTCCTCTTGGAGATAAGTCCAGTTGACATGAATGCCTGAGGAAGTGGCTTGGCCATCTTATAGCCGTCCGGTGTAGCATACGTATCTTGGCTGCTGGGCTCCAAATGACKCGGGCGCAAAGCACCGAGAGGCAACGATTTGGAGAACCCTGGACCCCGTCGCGGCGGTTGCGCCAATTGCTGTGCAGGTATGTCGTCAAATGCAAGAGGCGGAGCAGCGAACTCCTCCACATCCACAACACTCGACGTTGAAGACGACGGAGTCAGAGCGTGAGACAACGGATGTGGTTTGGGCGCTGACTGGTACTGCTTCTGCATTGGCGGAGGAAACATGACGGGAGGTTCGCTCGCATTGCCCCTGCGGAAAGGAGAGTCCATGTCTGGGCTACGGAGTGGCAAAGCTCCGTCCAACGATATCCTTGAGCGTGCACGGGCGAGTGTAGGACCCGCTGCTGATTCACGTGTTGAGTCCATGAACAAATTACGACGTGTAGCAGGTCCGGCTCGCTGCTGCAAGGTCGACTTTCGTAGACTAAACGGACGTCGCGGTGGTGAATGGGGCGCCTGCTCTTCATTCCAGCTGAACATGGCATTGCTGTCCTTGTCTTTCTCCTCGGACGCATCCGCAGAGTCATGGGTACCGTCAAAGCCATGGTCGAAGATGTTGAAATCCAGAGACGCGCCGTGTAAACTCCTGCGTTTGCTGCTGCGAGGGCTCCCGAGACTGGCAGCTTCAAGATTCATGACACCATCGCTCCGTTTCAGCGGACTCGACTTCATTGGAGAAGCATGCTCTCGCATGACTGGCTGCAGAAACTTTTCGGGACCTGGCTTTGCAAAGTCGATCTTCATAGGCGCGCTGAAGTCGCCCTCGGGCGCGGCTTTGAAAGCATCAGCACTACAATCCATGTTCTCCTGGTCGTGTTCGGCAGAACTCCGGCGTGTGGGGTATCTGGCAGTCGCGCTGGCTTGGTTGTTGATGTCGCTGAGAGCGCGGCGAAGTGGGCTGTTAGGCGAAGTCTTGCGCGATCTCATGCGAAGCGGACCGGTACGACCACCTGTAGTTTTGGGTCGAGCGTCGAAGTTGGTGGAATCTGCGCTATATGCGCGGCTTAGTCCTGAAGGTGATCGAGGGACCGGTGACATGGGCGCAGTGGGCGATGTCGCGTTTCCTCTGGCCACCAGAATGGAAGAGTAGCGCGACGGCTTGGAAGGTGAGCGCGAGAGCGAACGGCGGATCTGCCTGATCGTGGCGAATCCATCCAGTTGTGGACTGTGCGGATGCGATGGCGACAGCATATGCATGGAGCAGCCTCCCGAATGGCGCGGTGAGTATTCCAACTCCATCATCACGCGGTCGGCTGTGGTACCAGGTGCAGCGGGTGCGCCAGAGTGGGGTGTCGCGTCCGTAGGCGCGTCGGCGAGGCCTCTTGTATGTGAGCGCTGCGGGAGTGCCCGGCCTCTTGTTGATGTTGTGGATGTTGCTGCCTGCAAATTGGCGTCTGGAAGGATTGCGCTGAAGGCAACGGGATTCAAAGTTCTGGAGATGATGTCGTGTCGTGAGTCGTCGCGATAGCGGTGGATAATCAGGACGCGCCCAGGCGGGTGCAGACTATCGCGAGTGGTGCATGAGGCTGTGCGTGCGTCGAGGCAGCAATAACAGATTTCTCTCCCGGGGGTTTGGTGTTGTTCGGACGTGTATGGTGGGCGGGTGTGTGGCGGCGGCTGCTCAGTCTGGAATGCTCAAAGATCAACAAGGCGTCATCAGGGCCGCGAATGGTGCCGCGTCCTCCTCTTATGTGATATGGGTAACTGCTGCGCGAGAGAGGGTGCGCCAGCAGGCGATATGGTGGTGTGTGGAGGTGTGGGAGTCGGTTCGGACGGTTGATCCAAAGATGTGCGCGTCGTCGCGCGACTTCCCTTCCCGGGGCTGCAATAACAAACCCAACGTCTGTGCTTTTTTTGACCCTTGAATCTTGAATCTCCATCGCTCCCGTGGGCCGTCGGTACCACCCACCACCCTCCTCCACTCACATTGCAGGGATTTTTTTTGGTGAGGCAGACTCGACGGGTAGTGTATCGACGTAGGAACGTTTTTCCAGTGGCACAGCAGATGTCTTGCAAACACGCCCACTCACCACTCTCACACTACTTGGAACGCGACACAAACAGACGCCTCGGAAGCGGCAACACGTCTCGTGATGGTGAGAGGTGACACGGACATTATTGATCTAAGCGGGGCTGTTTGTTGGTCTCAAGCAAGCAGTGGGCTGGGGTATTCGAGATGCTATTTTCAGGCTCGACAACCGCCCACACAGCGTCTTCCCAGACAGCGGGCAACGGTTGTCAGAACAGACATCGAGACCACCGGTTCGTGGGTGGCCTCGTCGCGCCTGTGCAGCGGTTTCTGCGAAAAACCTGCAGAGCGGAGGGAAGCTTCCAAGGTTCTTGTCGAGACCCTTGGATCTAGGAGATGTTGGCGGAAGTGTGGTGCACTCCATCACTTTTCAGGACTCCCTAGTAGTAGGCTCGCTGAGATCCGAGCCGATCTCATTTCGGCGGGCATCGAGACACCCGACTGAGGTGAGGTGCTCTACCTTACCGCTGGCGATGCGGCCTTGCTGCACCCTGGCTGCAACAGATTTATCATTTCTGCCCCATCGACCTGTTCACATCGAGGCTTTGCTGCTTCTGGGCCCGCCGCTGCGGAGAGTCCTTGTCCTGTGACGTAAAATTACTTTGTTGGCCATTGACTTTCTTACGTCAAGCGCCCGTAGGCTGGCATCGCTCCCACATGCTACCTTTTTAGTCTTCCACCGTCCATCCATATCCATGCTCGAACATCCGCCATCTGCTGTCGGCAATTGAAGAAGAGGCTGAAACCTGCCCGAGACACTTTCACGCAAACCGCACTCACAGTTCTAACTCCCGACCTCCGCGAACATGGGCGCCGCCAATACTCCAGCACCTGCTGATGACAATGCTCGGCCCGTGAGACCTTCTCTCGTCTCTGCACGATCGCGCATCTCCTACAGGAAAAATACCGGAGAAGTGGTGACCCTGGATCTCACCAACTCCAAGGCAGCGGAGAGCCTGCGCGCGCTCTCCAAAACCAACGTCACGACCGATGTGGATAGAAAGTTCATCGCCGATGTGGAAAACGCGGAAGCTGGCGGTTTCGTCTCGACAGTCTACGACGCATTGTCTTTCTGGGTCATGGGTAAGTCGCAAGTGAGACATGTTGGAACGAAGCTGACCTCGACAAAGAAGCCGTGGAGATTGCCATGTTCGGGCCTTATGAAGAGGTTCAGTCCGCGTGAGTGCGCGATCTCACGAGTCACGAGTCACAACGCCCGCGCTGTACTTGCGGCGTTTCTCCAAAGCGTTCCCTTCCGCGCCGCACGTGAGGCGCACACGGCTGATTCGAGCTCCATTTGAGTGCTCGTGCAAATTGGATCGCTGAAAGCTGCCAGTGGGAAACGCTGTTCTCCTTGCGCACAGCAAGGACTGACTTCGCCCGTCGACAGCTCAGGCTCGCGGATAAACCACGCGCGTCAACGCCAAAACGTCCTCCATGTCAGCCGAGACTTGAGTGGAACTTTGTAAAGTTGACAGAGTACTTTCACACGCCCCCACCCAAGCGCCTGTTCCGTGCATGAGGTGCTATAGCTCGTTTGAACCCAAATGCTGTATTCACTCGCTGATAACTCGCCTCTGTGTTGGCGTTCCACTCCACCGCAGTGATCCAATCTACCAGGACCTGGGCGATACATCTCCGTAGCGAATACTAGCAAGTGGCCGTCACGCTCACTTTCGGATCTTGCGATTGTGGCCCACCAAAGCCTGCTCCCCGCCACATGTCCTAGAAAGCGGTTCAATCTGACGCGCGAAGGTGCTTTCCGCAACGGCCTTGAAACCCATGGAATAGACGCATCGGCCCCAGCTGGAACGCAGCATCCGTTTTGGGTGGTTGCTCCTCACGACGTCTGTCCATCGGATCTTGAGAGCGGGCATGTGTTTGAGATGGCAGTTGTTGAATGAGCGCATTCGAAGATCCATGTGGCTTGAGTAGGTATGAAATTGCTATTCAGAAGACATCAAGCTGTCATTGTGGCGCGGAACACACTTGGATATATCCGCCGCACCAGACTTTCAATTCATGCATGATACCTCATACGACATCATCACGCCATTCAACACTATACCCACACGCATCGACTCGATGTCACATGCAACACCATCGCAAGATCTTTGCGCGAAGACCGGCGTCCTGATGGGTACCGTTGGACTTGCTTCTCTCCGAGTTCACTTCGCTGAATAGTCTCTCAACGCGCTTTGACTGGCGAAGAACGTTGAGCACCGAAGACAGCGTTTCAGCCTCGCTCTCCCATCGCCCACTCAAGCTGCTTCCATCGAGAACGTGTTCGGTGTAAAATCCGTGTGTTCCTTAGGGAAATGTCAATGCATCGGAGGAAATCTTCTCTGTCGCTCACCAGTCTCCATTTGCTACTGTAGATGTGCCACACACCACTTTCGGCCGCTGCTTTGCGCCGCTTTGCCATTTGATTGAAGAGGCGTGCCACTTGAATCTGCAATCTCACGTTACCTACCTCCAGAACGACCGGGAAAGGGATGTTCGGTGGTTTTGTCCATCTACGCCCTTGGGATGCAGGCGCGTGAAATACATGATTAGTTACGAAAGGGAGGAAAGGGTAAGGATCTGCTCGAGGATGTCAACTTCGCTCGCGCACTGTATCAGGTTGAGCAGCCCCGGTCCGGCACTAGATTGAGGATCAATAAGACCTGCATATATTGCCTATTCGAGCAGGACTTGGCGCCCTACTATCCCAAAGAGTCCTGCAGGGACCGCCTGCTTGGAGTCTCAATGATGCAAGGGATGATGTGTATACATGGAGTATCTCATCATTGTCCAGCTTCAGCAGCTGCTTTCCAGTTAAATACGCTCCCTCGTTCGATGAAGCTCTGCTCAAGGATCGGATCACTTTTGAGATTCGCTCCATCGTCTTCTCGACCCCAGCCTCCTCCACCGGGCCTGTAAAACGTTAGTCCAGTCTAGCCTGAAATGAATATGGATAGACTTACGTGTGAATGACGATGCATTCCCCAGGCTGCGTTCGCAGTTCCATCTTACCACCGATATTGATCACTCGTTCGCTCCCATCTGGGTCTTTCTTAACAAAGAGATTCAGGCCCGCTTGTCCTGCATTACCTCCCGCCATACCATACGGACGAATTACTCTCCGCTCGCTCAGCATCGAGACAGACAATGGAATTCGAAATTCAATCTCTCGAATCACGCCGTTCCCTCCTCTGTGCTTTCCCCGGCCTCCAGAGCCATGACGAATAGAGAATTGGCGGAGAATGATCGGGTATCTCAGCTCGTAAACTTCCGGATCCGTAATACGAGTATTGGTCATGTGAACTTGAACTCCAGAAGTCCCATGCCAGGAAGGACCTGCACCTGAGCCTCCGCAAATCGTCTCACCCACACCGAAGCCAGGTGTCTCGTTGCCGTTACTATCCAGACCTCCCGTACCGAATGAGATCACGTTACAGCAGCCCTGAGAAGCTGCACATGCTTTGAAAGCTCCGAGTATTACATCTGTGATCCGCTGAGATGTAATGGGATTTCCGGCACAGACTGCTGCATGTTCTGATGGATTCAGCAATGACTGCTCAGGGATGATGGTTTCGGTTGGTGCAAGACAGCCTTGGTTCTGGTAATAGTATTAGCCATGTTTGTCGTTTCTTCTCTTGACGCATACTTGCCAGGGGAATATCCTCATTGATCAAGGCTCGCAAGCAATATATAATGGCGGAGTGGGCGATCGCTTTGGGCGCATTGAGGCAGTTGAATGTCTCTCGACCAGTCCCTGTGAAGTCAAAGATGCTGTTCCCAGTCTCCCCATCAATTGTAACCTTGAGCTTGATCTCAGTTCCGTCATCCATGAAGTCGGAAAATGTCAAGGGCTCCCCGTTGCCTTCGGCTGCCACCTGTTTGAGGTACTTTCGAACAGCTATCTCTGCATTTGTTTTGATGGCGTCCATGTAGAAATGTACCGTAGGTAGAGAGTACTCCTCCACAAGAGAGTCAATCAGATGAGCCCCTTTTTGGTTGGCGGCAATCGCAGCTTTAATGTCAGAGACATTGTCCTTGTATGTTCGCGTGCCACTACAGCCAGGGTATGAGGCTGGTTCGTCGTACAAGAATGCTCTGACTGCGTCTTCGTTGAACACTCCCTCCGTGACCACTTTGAAACCTATAGTCTTGGCACCCTCCTCATATAGCATGCGGCTGTCAGATGGCATGGAGCCGGGATGTATACCCCCAATCTCAGCATGATGGCCACGGCTAGCCACGTAGAAGATGATACTATCCCCGGCGTCGTCCCAGACGGGCGTGATGATTGTGATGTCGGGCAAATGAGTTCCACCAGCTACAGGATGGTTGGTGCAAATATGATCTCCTGGCTTGAGCTGACCGCGAAGCTTTTCATGCTGGTACCGAACGGCATATTCCATGGATCCAAGATGAACCGGAACATGCGGTGCATTAGCGACCAGCTTGCCGTCTGGCGAGAAGACTGCGCAGGAAAAGTCCAGACGTTCTTTGATGTTCGTAGACACGGAGGTCTTTTGGAACATGCGACCCATTTGCTCTGCGATAGCCATGAACCTGCAATATATTAGCGCCGCCTCTGTCGGTATGAATGGTATGCTTGCCTGTTGCCAAATACAGAAAGTCGAATGGGATCGACGATATTTGCAAGATCAGTCTTCTTGGCCTTTGGCAGCACGTCGATGATAACATGCTTGGAAAGGATAGTCGCCGTCGCTCCAGGCTCTACGATTAGTGTTTGTGTGCTGTCGAGCAGAATCGCGGGACCTGAAACAGTATTTCCCGGGACCAGCTTGCCCAGCTCAAATACGGGAGTATCTACAGTTCCAATGGTTGCAAATGTGACTCTGCTTACGGTACGCTGTTGTTCAGGCAGCGCCGCGGTCGTTGTCACGGCCCCGAACTCCTTGTGGGGAGTTTCGGCTGGCAAAGTCGAAGATGAGCCAACGCCTCGCACCCGGATATCTTCTACCAGTACTTCTCGCTCGGGGAACGTGAAGCCGAATTCACGCTCATGTTCCTTATGGAAGGCAGCCCGGAAGTCGCCATCAGCTGGTTCAGGTACCATGAGTCTATTGTCCGTTCCTTGATACCGCACGTTCAGATATGCCTCATTATGAATGTTGACTAGGTCAGCTCCATCGGCCATTAGCGCCATTGTAGCCTTCTCTTTCAACCCGTCGATCCTGCTTCGTATCGCAGTCAGAGTCGAATCATTGACCGCACCTGATGCTGGTTCTTGAGCTTCATGTACAAGGTCTGCAAGAGCCATGCCATAAGCGGACAAAACTGAAGAGTACCTGTGAACGATCACTTTCCGCACTCCAAGGGAAGCCGCCATTGCGCAGGCATGCTGGCCACCGGCACCCCCGAAGCAAGCTAGATGATGGGCAGATGTGTCAAAACCGCGAGCTTCCGTGATCAATCGGATGGGTTTGACCATTGACTCATTTGCGACCTCAATGAAGCCTAAAGCGACTTCTTCTGGCGATTTGTGCTGACCAGTTTCGCTGTTGATCTGATCTGTGAGTTGCGTAAACAGCTTCATCGTTACTTCGAGGTCTAGTGGTTCATCCTCGTTCGGACCGAAGATCTTGGGAAATGAATCTGGAAGTAGTCGTCCGAGGAAAAGATTGGCGTCAGTTACCGTTAGCGGACCTCCCTTTCGATAGCATGCTGGGCCGGGATGAGCACCAGCACTTTCCGGGCCAACAACGAAGAGTCTTCACACCAAGTCAGTGTGGTTTACTGATCATCACAAGTGCTTTTGACTTACGAATTCTTCCAGAAAAGCCGACTGCCACCGCCAGCCGCTACGGTATTGATGTCAAGCTGGGGAGCCATAATGGACACGCCGGAGATTGTAGTTTCAAAGGTATGCTCAAACTTGCCATCAAATCGCGACACATCTGTAGATGTACCTCCCATGTCGAATCTTGGATGGCCGTCAGAAATCTCGGAGAGTTGATTCGGTCGACGACTCCACTCACCCTATGATTGGCACGCCATCTTCAGGATCATAGGAAGTACGCGCGTGGCCAACAACGCCTCCAGCAGGACCTGACAAGATCGCCCGTAATCCAGAGAATCTGCAAGCTGCTGTTAGACACGTTAAAGGGTGCAAGCGCCGGCAGTTTCCCCTCACTTTTCAAAGTTGACAAGGCCACCATCGCTTTGCATGAACTCGCAACGGGTGTTATCACCCGTGAGACCATCTTTGAACCCAGCTCGGAAGCTTTCCACGTATTTCTTGATCACAGGAGTCAAATATGCGTCAGCGGTCGCACTTATACCACGGGATGTCATCTAGCTTGCATTAGCATTCACTTTTATAAGACACTGGATGGCTCGTCTTTACCTTGATCATGGGTAGAAGTTGGCTAGACAATGATATCTGGGTGAATCCAATGTCTTTGGCGATGCTTTCCACCACCAACTCGTGCTCTAGAGATTCGTCAGCAAATTTCAAGCACAAGTTTCAGAAGTACATGCCCGCGAATGTGTATGAGTGCACCAGACAGACGGCTATTGATCGATAGCCCTTGTCAAACAGAGTCTGTAAGTCTCGTCGCAACGAATCTACACTCGGCTTCCCCAAGACTCTCACAATCTCCCCAGAGACGCCCTTGCGCAGATCAGGATCAGAGAGCAGCGACGCTTCCAACGCTGCTATATCGGGCTCCGGGTTCTGCTGGTACTCCTCAATAGTGACCCGCTCGTCGACTTCAATTACGTCTTCGTATAAGACATCAGGTCGAACGATGTTCAGATCGAAAAGCTTCGGTCTTGATTGCGTGCCGATGCGAAGCGCATCTCGGAACCCCTTGGTGATTAGGAGCGCCACACGATCGCCCTTACGTTCCAGGAGAGCATTTGTCGCCACAGTTGTGCCCATACGGATACTGAGATCCGCAAGGCCGCTTACATCTATTTTCTCACCCCGCGAGATCTTCTGCCCAGTAGCTCGTTGCAGGATTCGTCGTATTCCCTCTCTTGGAGCATCCTCGTAATTGGAGGGGTCTTGTGACAAGAGCTTCACGACAATGTCATCCTGTCCATCGATAATGCCAAGGCAATCTGTGAAGGTGCCACCTCGATCTGCTCCATTTCAGCTGCCTGGCCGCCTTGGACATGGCATGAGAGCTTACCAATCGCAATCTTGACCTTGAGACCATTCTGTTRACCAATGTCACCCATCTGGAAAAGTGAGAAAAGTAGCGAGGTTTGAGTCGATGTTGTTACTACATCTCTTCGAGACGAATCGCCAAGGCCGAGAACTTCATATAAGCAGGACTGACCTGTATCCACATGATAGGCCAAATTCTCGCCTCGGGCAGCGGCCAATCTGCGAGCAGCCAAGAAGACTCTATGCCAGGCGCTTGCAGTATCTATATGCCTATCCTGAGAGCGATGTGAGCGCAGATCAAAGCCTGAGCAAGTCTATGCTCATCCACAATCGCCTCACTGCACCCATCCGTCAAGAAGCAATCTCACCGGACAATGAATACCAAGGTTCCCGAAGCTGAAGTCGGGCCCGTCGAGAAAGGCTCATTCAATGGCAAGCAGGAAGATGTAGCAGCAAAGTTCCTCTCCCAGATCCATCCAAGCATAACCCACGAGCCCGTCACTCCAGAAGAAGATCGCAAACTGCTTTGGAAGATCGATCTCATAATTGTTCCGTTGCTATCGATCACGCTCATACTCGCAGCAGTTGACAAGGTTATCATCGCGAATGCGGCCATTTATGGAATGAAGGAGGACACCCGTCTCACCGGGAACGACTACTCATGGGTCGGATCGATCTTCTACTTTGGATACCTCCTCTTTGAGTTCCCAGCTGCATACTTGACTCAAAGACTGCCAGTAGCGAAGTTTCTGGTCGGGAACGTGGTAGCCTGGGGAGTGTTGATGCTTTGCACGGGTGCCACGTCAAACTTTGCTGGATTAGCAACATGTCGGTTCATCATGGGCATGGCAGAGGTTCCGGCATTCCCCGTCTCGAGCATCATCACGGCGATGTGGTGGAAGCGATCCGAGCAGCCTATCCGAGTGGCATTCTGGCTCAACCAGGGCTCTTCGATATTCGCCGGGAGTATCAGCTATGGGATCGGCCATACGCATACCTCCGTCGCACCCTGGAGGCTACTTTTTCTGGTCCTTGGTGCCTTCTCGATCTTGTGGGCAGTGGTACTCTACTTTTTCCTGCCAGACTCGCCGGTCTCATGCTGGTACTTGAGCGAGCGAGAAAAGTACGTTTGCCTGCGGCGGGTCCAAGGCAACAATACTGGCATGGAGGACAAGGTCTTCAAATGGTACCAAGTACGGGAGTGTTTAGTGGACCCAAAGACATGGCTTCTAGCGTTGTTCGCCGTGGCGCAGAACATTCCGAATGGAGGTCTTGTAAATTTCCCAAGGTGTGGGACCTCCGATAGCAATTCGCTAATGCTTCCAGGTCACTTTCAGCTCCATCATTGTTTCGGGTCTTGGATACAACAGGCTGATTACAACCGTGTGAGTGAACACAGATCACACCGATGCCAGAATGGACATCTGACCACACGTTAGGCTCGGCAGCCCTACTGGCATCRTTGCCACCGCGTGGCAATTGGTGTTCGCGTACCTCGTCGCAAAGATTCCCAACATCAGATGTGCCACCATCGCGCTGATGAATGTGGTACCCATTGTAAGCGCGATTCTGATGTGGAAGCTACCGCGTGAGAACAAAACTGGTCTGTTAGCTGCTTACTACTCGTTCTACTCCTACTGGGGACCTTATGTTCTTGCCACCACGCTTCCCATGGCCAACTGCTCCGGACATTCCAAGAAGCTGACAATGACGGCTGTTTTCTTCTTGTCTTATTGTGTTGGGAACATCATTGGTCCACAGACGTTCCAGGCAACGGATGCACCAGACTATACGCATGGGTATGAGGGACTGCTCGGGTGCGTCGTGGTGGCGATCGTGGCCATCTCAGCGTACGGACTGTTGTGTCGTTGGGAAAACCAGCGGCGAGATTCCGCCCTGCAAGGCGGAGCAGACGRGCACCGAGAGGAGGCGTTCTCCGACCGGACGGACAAGGAGAAGCCGTCGTTCAGGTATATATATTAGAAGTCGTCGAGTGCTGGGAGCAGCCGAGCAGTATCTTTGGAGCCAGTTTTCATCGCATCTCACCACCACAAGCACAGTGCATTGTCTAGCAGTTCGGTGTCGTCATGTGAGTGTCCCAGCGCGTTGGGTTCTCGAATGATGCAGCAATCACTGTCGCTTCACGTCATGCCGACCATGATCAGAGCCACATCAGCAAGATAGATGCGCATCGAATGTTGTGGTGATGTTGATGGAAGATTGTATTTTGACGCGATGGAAAGCTTCRATCAACGCCAACGCCAACGCCAACGCCAACGCCAACGCCACCCTTGCACGCCACCAGACGCGTCGAGCAACTTCATCGCGAACATGACCCATCGTCATCTCATACTCCAGGGATCATGGACGAATACGCCGATGCACCAAGAGCCAAGCGGTTGAAAGTGGAAAGTGACCTTGCAAATGACAATATTGACGAAAGCGATGATGGAGAGAGTACCGAGTACAAGCTGGCACTGCTGGCCTCTCAATTTCCAGACAAGAGCACCGATGTCCTGCTCGATTATGTTATTGCATACGGAGGAAATGTGAAGCAGGTAGTACATGCCATCAGTGGCGAGAGGGAAAGTGCAAAGAGGAAACGCGTGCAACCAATAGCTCGGGGCCATCAGTCTTCCATTGCCTCCTTCACCGGGACATCAAAGCAAGAAGACGGGACATTTCCAGGAGGAGCAATCGGGTCTCTCACGAAGAAAGGCAAGACTTTGCATCTGTTCTCTCCCAAAGATGTCGAAACTCACACCCCATGCTCGATCATTCATAACTTCCTACCAAGTGAGGCTGCCGATGCTTTGCTCCGCGAACTCCTCGACGAGTCCTCTCGTTACAACCGCAACGAATTCCAGATGTTTGAGCGTACCGTCACTTCTGGTCACACCTGGAAGCTCTATGTAGACACCGAGGACGAAGTTGTGAGACAACAGAAAGGCTCTGCTTACGACGGCTCGGATGCGGCCCTCAACGTGAAGCAGACCACGCCTGAACTGCTGAAAGCTTCGTCCATGGTCAAGGATGCGGTTAACAAAGAAGTCTCACGACGCACACGAGATCACCAGCCTGATGGAAAGAAACTCAAGTTCCAATCACCGGATGAATGGCGGCCAAACGCAGCACTTGTAAACTGCTATGATGGACCAAAAGAAGGGATGGGGTTCCATACAGATACACTGACCAACATAGGCCCGCGACCGATCATCGGAAGCTTATCATTAGTATGTGCCGCAGAGCAAATCTACCATGATGGCTGCTAACATTGAACAGGGAGTGGCCCGTCAATTTCGCGTTCGCCGCATAGTATCAAAGGACGACAAACGACTCGCCGATGAACAAGGCCAGATCGCAATCCACCTCCCTCACAACTCCTTACTGGTCATGCATGCACAAATGCAAGAAGAGTGGAAGCATTGCATTTTGCCCACGGCCACGATTGATCCTCATCCAATCGCTGGTGGACGGCGTCTAAATGTCACTTATCGCTATCTAAAAGACTTCATGGAGCCGCAGTATACGCCTCGTTGCAAGTGTGGCGTATCCTGCGTTTTGCGCTGCGTAATGAAGTCCAGCGCTACGAGGGGAAGGTACATGTGGCAGTGCTTTGCTGATCGCAGTCCTGGAGGAACCAGCTGTGGTCATTTTGTCTGGGCTGAGTTCGATGAAGATGGGAGGCCTTCCTGGGCTGAAGGCTACAGGGGCAATGTCAACGTAGCAAATATCGCTGCTGGCCCGGAGGTCAAATCGCCGGACTGTCGCTGAAGCATCTACGGCAAGCTTCCTCGTCCTTGGGTCAAAAACTTGCATGAAGTCTGGCATAGCTCTGGAAGTTGAGCCGCGGTGACGACACGCGGCGTCTTCGATGGTCTCAATGCTTCTTCCAACCAGAGCAGTGCCTCTCATCAGTGAAGCTTTTTTTGATCGGACAGAGTTGCACGAAACGTGGAGCAGACTACAGCACGCTCCTCTTCGGTTTTGAGCCGCTCTCTGGTGATCTAGTACGCTCTGGCCAGCCAAGATGCCATGTGTCGAAGCGATTTACTGATGCGGGATCCACCGATTCTACTGACAGCAAGATCTGCATAGATCACACTGCTTATATCCTCGCCTCCCAATCCCATCCCACTTTCGCAAAACGAGTAGTGACCAACAATACGCTTCCTATAAAGAACGAAGTCCCGGCCCAACTAGAAAACGTCAGTCGATTGCCCCTGAGACAAACCCGCAGAACGCAGACCTACATCTGAGCCGACAGATAGCCTCCATTACTGCGTTGAATCAACGCACCAGCAAGCGGTGGACCGGTAAGAGCAGCGAAGCTGATAATCGAGAATGTCATGCCCATTCTCACCCCCGCCTTCTTCATATCCGGTACCCGCATCAAGGAGCCGAAAACAGCTGGGAATAGCGATTGCACTCCAGCGGAGCCTGAGCCATACAGGGCTGCGAACGCAAACAGTCCAGGCACGGATTCGACGCCTATCCAACCGAACATCATGATACTACATAGCGAGGTAAACGGAATGAGGGTGTTGAGGCTGCCAATCCGATCCGCGAAGTAATTTGGCACAAGGCGAAAGATGAATCCTACACATACGACCTGTCACGCGCGTCAGCGAACAACGATTCGATAGCAGCAGGGCAACATACAGTCAAGAGCAGATTGATGGATTGTTGATAGCTCACGCCCAGTACATTGCGGCCGTAGGATCCAATGTAGAAGAAGGCGAAATACAGACCCTGATCAAGTCTTGTCAGCATTGCGGCCGAACTGCAAGGATCTCTTGCAACGAACCCAGAAGTTGAAGAACATCGCAGCGCAGTATAATGCATACGGGGCTTCCTTGAATGCCGTCCATTCGATAAGAGGGCCAGCCTTGCGTGGTGGTAAGCGTGTTCTGTAAAGGGCGATTGTAACTGCGTTCGTGGCAAGCCTGTTGAAGTTGTACCACGTTAGACTCGGTTTCTGCGGTAGCCATCTCTCAGCAGCGTGGTCCCCTCGTCACGACATATGGAAATTTGCCAGCAGGGAATGCACCGCGATGCTAGAGATGTGGGTCATAACGATCAATCAGAACTCACATGACAAAACCAATTACTCTGACCGTCCATGGGAACCCAATCCTAGGCAACAGCTGCTGGACAACGATCGGAATGACAACGCCACCAGTGCAGGACCCTAGAGCAGCGATGCCAACAACAAAAGCCCTCTTCTTTGCAAAGTATGTCGTGAGCAGGGACATGGCCGGGCAAAAATGCAGACCATTAGCAATCCCCGAACATATCGCTTGTGCGAGAAACAGCTGCCAAAWTGTGGTTGCTTYCGCGGTACAGAAGATACCCACCAGTTGGAAGATGGATCCTGTGACGTACACCCATTTAAAGAGACCTCCGTCTGTCGCTCTTCCTGATATCGTACCGATGAAGAACAGTAGGAAGAGTTGTACGGATCCAATCCATGATATCGTCGAAGGCTCAACTTCAAGTACTGTCTCGTAGTATGTTTGGAACACTCCAAATGAGGTAATGTAGCCGAAAGTGGAGAAAATCGTCAAGTGAGTGCAGAGTACTTGGGTCCAAGCGACCGACCCTCCGTCTGGTGGCGGTCCTGGATCTATCCGCGATGAAGTGGCGGATCTCCCAGTAATTGTTCGTGTCAGGTTAATCGATGGTTGACTTTCAGGCAAAGCCTCTTCCTCGTTGCCGGAGGTGGCCGGATGATACCGTTCGCCAGGCAATGGTTGTTTGATGTTATGTTCGAGATGATCCCCTTGTACCCCTGGCCAAGATCGTATATCAGGGTCGGTCGCCAATGGATGAGACCAACCATACTTGACCTGTAACGAAGAATCCATATTCGCTTGATAAGTGCACGGAGGGTCATGAGCTTGGGTCAGCTTGTAGGAAGCGTGAACGAAAAACAGTCGGATTCTTGGTGGTTGCAGCAGAAAGGTCTTTAGCTTGCTTGCAGACTGTAGGTAAAGATGGCGAGGTGGTTATGAAAGATGCATCCCTTCCTGAGCCAATGATGAAAGCTGCAAATGGCACAAGCGAAAGCGGAGACCTCCTGCTCTCTGTTGTACTCGCCCGAGCGGCTCTTATGACATCGCAAAGTTCGGCAATGCTCTGCCCAGCGGGTACCGAGCATGTACACATCTCTTGTCTGGTTGTGCGCTTGCTCATGGCAGAAGATCCACGTGGTAGCGGAGCATTTCGGCATAGCAAACTTCGAAAGCTTGTCGCTCTATCAGACTGCTAGACTCCTTTGCCACGTGTCGTGGTGTGAAAGTCTTGCCATGATTTGGTAGTGTTGGAAGCCCAAAGCGAGTAAACTGAGTGTGAAGGATCGAAAACAACCGCGACTTTTGTCACATTTTACAAGCCTTGACCTGAGTCACTGCTAGTGTTCGGTGGAGTGGCCATGACCACAGTTCCACGAWCACAAATTTCGTTCACCTTTGGTACGGTAAGATTCGAAAACACTTCAAGTTCCAAGAGCAAAAGAGGATGTCAGAATTCGACACCCAGACCCCTGATGTGGTTACGATCGAGACCGAACGGCTTCAGCTGAAGACTGTGGTCATGGAGGACCTGGATGATATGCTGCCTATCATGACAGACCTGAGAGTTATGCAGTGGTCGTGGGCTTCCCTTCCACGTCAATCGACATCGTTGCGTACAAGCGCTTACCTCGATGTTCAAGTTCCAAGCCGCCGGTAGAGAATGAGGAGCAGGCCACTCGCTGGATGCGTACGAAATGCTTTGGCAGATCTACCGACCTCTTCAATTTTGCCATACGAGAGAAAGCCATCGATGGTACGCCGCAGAAAGTTGTGGGCATCATGGGCTTTTCTCAGGAACCGGGAACAGTTGGCTATATGATGAACGCTGGTGTGCATGTCAAACGCGTGGTGCCGGGGCTTTCAAATGCTGACCATGGGTATTCCAGATTACGCAGGCAGAGGATMCGCAACAGAAGCTCTGAGGGCGCTCATCCCGGCCTTCTTTGCTCGGACGCCCCCGGCTAGCGAAGGTGGGACCGGCGTTGACGCCGTGACGGCGTACATAGACACGCGAAATGCTGGCAGTCAACGAGTATTGGAGAAAAGTGGATTCACAAGGTGCGAGTACCTCACCGACCAGGGCATACATGTGCAGGACAATCCTCACAATAAGATGAGTGATTCTTGGGTGTATCGAATCGCGAGACCAGGAAAGACTCTCGAAGAACTTGGCCTCATTCCTGGTCGGGATGCAGATGAGCCTCCAGAGCCGCCGGTGCAGTGAAGGTGTTGGTGTATGGAGGAAGAGGAGAGGGAAAGGAGAGAAAATGGGCCTTGGGAGGTAATGTAGCAGGCTGGAGATAGTTTAGCCGGGAATTAACCTCCCAGATCGACCTCTACTTTTGACCGAGGAGGCGGCCTCAGCTGTCTGTATTGAGGTGAGCTTCAACAGACCATGACCGTTTTGTCATTCATTGCCCACACGACAAGGGCGTCGGTCCGCGTCCCACGTCCCTGCATCGTTGCGAAATGGCTCCAGTCTCGCTCCGTTTCCGTGACCGCACCCTCCCGTAATCTGGACCCAGTTCCACTTCGCAAGCACCTCAAGGATGAAGCCAAAAGAAAGAGAGCCGAAGCGAAAGCATCTGCTGGTGGAAAGGATGGTCGGATGAAGGTCGACCCGCGACTGGACAAGTGGGAGTTGACTGTGGGCATTGAGATCCATGCCGAGCTGAATACCGCCTGCAAGCTCTTCTCCAGCGCTTCTGCATCCGCCCCAGAGGATTATGATGTTGCCAACAGCAGAGTCGCGCTGTTCGACGCCGCAATGCCTGGGTCCCAGCCGCACTTCCAACGCGCCACTTTGCTGCCGGCTTTACGAGCCGCAATAGCCCTCGGCTGTGATGTGCAGAGAAGGAGTGGATGGGATCGGAAACATTACTTCCATTGGGATCAGCCGAATGGATATCAAATCACACAATACTATGCACCGTTCGCCAAGAACGGCAGTCTCACGCTGGCGGCGGAGGATGGTGTGCCATCAGCTGAGTTGCAAGGCGCAGAGAGTTTGGTCATCGGACTGAAACAGATCCAGATGGAACAGGACACCGCCAAGACTACTTCTCATGGGCACTCCACTCACCACATTGATCTCAACCGCACTGGACATCCTCTGATTGAGATCATCACGTTACCACAGATACACTCTCCACAGACGGCAGCGGCAGTGGTGAGGAAGATCCAGGCTGTGCTCAAAAGTGTGGATTCTTGCGTGATGGGTATGGAGCTGGGTGGACTCCGTGCAGATGTCAATGTGTCTGTGCGAGAGCGTGGCACGAGTGGACTGTTGTCGTACAGTGGTGTCACTGGTCTGGGACAGAGGACTGAAATCAAGAACTTGGCTTCTTTCAAGGCGGTCGAGGACGCAGTGATTGCAGAACGCGATCGTCAAATATCCGTGCTTGAAGCAGGAGGTGTGATTGAGGGCGAGACCAGAGGCTGGACGCTGGGCGCGAAAGAGACCACAAGGCTCAGAGGGAAAGAAGGAGAGGTTGATTACAGGTACATGCCTGATGCGGATCTTCCGCCTCTCCTGGTTGGCGAAGATTTGGTCGAGCATCTGCGACAGACATTGCCGGAGCTCCCTGACGAGACCGTGGAAAGGGTTTGTGCGGACTACGGGCTAAGCTTCAAGGACGCGAAAACCATCGTCAGTCTCGATGGAGGTGATCGGTTGGAGTTCATGGAAGACACCATCTCGCGTCTCAAAGTGCTCAGCCAAGAAGACCCTCTCAAATTGGGGAAGACGGTCGGGAACTGGGTCCTGCATGAGCTTGGTGGTCTCATACCACCTTCTGCTACGTGGGAGGACATATCAATCTCCCCACAGGAGCTCACCGATATCATCAAACATTTGTTGGGGAAGGRGATTACTGCTAGAGCTGCCAAACAGCTTGTCTCCACACTTCAAGAACTGCCCGTCACGGACCAGCGACCCAGTGTTGAACAGTTGATTGAGGATGGCGGCTTGCGTCTTCGACCACTCTCAGAGGATGAGTACATCGCTCTGGCTCAACAGATCATGGAAGAGAGTCCTGACATGGTCGCCGCTGTTCGCGAGAAGGGCCAGAAGGGCAAAATCATGTGGTTTGTTGGGCAGATGGTGAGGAGGGGTGATGAAGGGACAGTGGAGCCTGAGAAAGCACGAGCTGTTGTGGAGGGCATATTCCGCGATTGAAATCGACTATCGGGCGAAGTTACGACCGAGCTCTTGACGGCCACTCTCCGGTCTTGTTGGACGACATGCAAACAGCCGTTCTCAAACAAGAATGAGGGCAATTATGTGGAGTTGTGCGAACTAGAGAATYCCATGTTACCTCTCGGCTCGCGATTCCCAGCTCTCGACTCTTCTAAAGAGGGATTGCAGCACACCCTGCATGCAGCGGAATGACTCTACTCAAGTGTCAGCAACAGAACCGGGCGGTAAGATCATCTTGCGAATATCATGCGTACTGTGAGCTGTCAACCGTACAAAAATCCGCCTACTTTCAGGAACAGCTTGTCCGCAGTCACCGGATCGAACTCTGCCACAATGACAACTCTAGAGAGCCGAATGAAGTGGGGCATGCACTGTCGTGTTAGAAACGCGCTCGAGATCTCGAAAGCAGAACCGGTTCGGTCGAGGATTAAATGGATCTCGTGCAGAAGAACGTGGTGTGTACAACGAATCAGCCTCAGCCAGTGTGCCACATTCTCATCACCATTGCCGCACTGAAAATTCAAAGACAGTGCCGCCGCCGTAGTATGATGCCTTCAAAATAAATCAGGTCTAAGTGCTCCACAGAGCAAGTCACTTGCTATGGCAATGATTTTCTTTTTGGAGCGACAACTATGTCATGGAGAGGACAGGCGCTCTCTCTGCAGAGCCAGTGTCTTCAAGGCAGCCTGTGCCTCCTCACCAGCACCGTCGCCGATCATCCAGCGGAGAGACCTGGTAGAAGGTCTTGTCACAGATTGTGAGATCAACAGCTTGTGATTATGGAAAGACAGATCCGAATTTGGTGGTGATCGACTGGGCGATAATAGATAAACCCATGAAGCAGTTGCCAAATCTCACTACGCAACCAACTCCATATCATCGGTTCATGCTTCAAGAAACAGCACTACACGTTCAATTGAGCAAAGCTTGTGACATCCACAAATCATGCCGTGGCTTCATCATGCTGTAATGCGGAGGGAGGAGGCTCCGCTCGTCCGGGTTGACCTTCAACCTGGTTGCACACTCGATGCTCGTATTCACTCTCTCAGCATCCACAGCCATGGCCATATCAGACGAAGATTCCCCTACCATCCACAAGATCCTTGTTCTTGGCGTGAGTCCATCAAGCCGAATAATGTGATCATATCTAACAGCCCAGGACAATCGCCTCGCCACAAGCATCATATCCGGCCTCTCCACGACGAATCAAGAGATTCATCAATCCACTCACCCACAATCCGTTTTGGAGACAACCCAAAAAGTCACAGTTCACAAGATTGATACCCAGCCAGAGTCTCTACTATCCTTATTCCTCTCCGTCAAGCCAGACATCATCTTCAGCACCAAATCCGGCGGCTCGTCCTCCCACCAAAAAGACATCATTGACTGTGCCATCGACGCCAAAGTCTCTCGATTCGTACCTTGTGAATGGAGCCAAGATAGTCTAAACGAAAAGGTCCAAGAACGTCTCCCACCTCATCGAGAACGTGCGCAAACAATCGCGTATCTCCGCCAACAAGCCGAAGGAAACAATCTCACTTGGGTTGCGGTTGCAATTGGTTGCTCCTTGGAACACAGTCTACTTTCTGGAAATATTGGCTTTGACATCGTGTGGCGAAGTGCTACGGTGCATGGTACAGGCGATGAGAAATTCGCTGCAAGCTCGACTGCGTGGCCGGGGGTTGTAGCTTCCGCGATTATTGAGCGTTGGGAGGAGTGCAAAAATCAGTATCTCTATGCGTCGGGGCTTGTGACTACCGCGAWTGAAATATTGGAAACGTGTCGTGAGCAGACAAACCAGGAATGGACAGCTGGGCGAGTAGATGTCGATGACACGATACATGAAGCTGAGAGAAGGCTGGAAAGGGGTTTCCCTGATGCGTCGATGTTCTTGTTCGAGCGGAGCGTTTTGTTTGACGAGAAGCTGCGTGCTGTGCGGCCTTTTGCTGACCAAGATGCTAAAGGTAAGCTCGGTCTGGAGGTGGAAGAACTGGAGACTATTGTGGAGAGGGTGCTGCATGATTTTAAGCATCATGGCAAAGGGGGCTGTGGCTGTGATTGAGCGGAACGATGAAGAGCTGATTGAGTCGGTCTTTTCTCCTACTGATCAGGCTCTTCGGGATGCGCAGCATCACCTCCGATGACTTTCTCCTCGGAGCGGTGTGTTTCACCTGCATAGTCGCCCACCCGCTCATCATCTTCTTCATCTGGATAGATCTTCACCTTCTCCGAGTATTCGCGGATGTTGGACACAATATTGTCTTGTATCAAATGGCCCTTACCACCGGCCACCCGCAGGATGAGATCGTTGAGTGAGGATCGTCCTAGGATGTCGACGTGGTCGGCTGTGTTTGGCCCGCCGCGAGGATTGAATCTTTCAGGTTCATGAGGCATCTCATAGGCAACAATTGGAATGTTCGCGGGGTTGTATCGTTTAATCTTCCAGCCCTTGTTGCACATGTAGCCGGTTGAGAGGATGTTGACCGTTCCATCACCTTCGCCCATGACCACGCCGTGGTCAACATCTCCGCTGGGAGTGGTTACAGACGTATCTAGTAATCGTCAGCTTGCTGTACTCTTCTCAGTCTCGCTGTTTGTTATACCTATTGTGACGAATGACCCATTGCCAGTGGTGTCCTTCTCCTCGCGGTAGAAGTATGCTCTTTCTGTGGGCTTTCCGATGCCATAGAAACAATAGATCTTCATGTTCGGAGCCAGAGGTAAGCGTGACTCCAATGGATTCATCCACTTGGCAGGAATGAGCTGATTGTCCTCTACGACCTTCTTACTATGGGCGACCCCTTGGCTGTAGCTCTTTTGTGTCGCGTCCTTGTACCATTCTTCCGCGTTGGCGTACAGATATGGGATGGATTGCCCGACCGTCAGATTGCCTGGGATCAACGACCCATTGATGTTCTTGAAGCTGATGAATTTGCCAAATGTCTCGTTCTGGCCAGGAAGGTCGTCAGGGGCGCCATTTTCATCACCCCACACCGCATTCCCACCAATTGGAAGCATACTGCTTATCCCTGGCATGGCTCGAAAGATTTCTGCCCGTTCCTGGCGGGACAAAAACTTCTCCAACCCATAGACAGCAAATGCGTTCAGTTGGGCCGTGTCTCGCATCTCACCGCTCAACACAGCAGGAATGCCTTTTGTGGCGCCAAGCATACACCCCGAGATGTTGATCCATGATTCGATGTGGTCGTCGACCCAAGAAGAACCCCCATCACCATATCCCTCCGCCTCAACCCAATGAAAGAAGTAGAATAGTACCTGCGATCCCATTGAATGTGATAAAAGCACGGCTTTGTGACCACTGATCTTCTTGGCGACTTCAATGTGGTTCTTTAGTCGAGTGAAGTATTGGTCCCGGATCTCGTAGTTCATGTAGCTCATGCGCCAGTCGTAGGCAGCAGTGAAGGCATTCGTCGGGTCATAACCAATGGTAGCCAGGTTCTCAAGAATCTTATTCCATATCCAGTATCCCGTCTAGTCAGAGAGTCAGCAAGTTTGTGAGGCATCAGGGGCTAAGGGACGGCCGAGAAAGGCGCTGTGCCTTTCGTACATACAATGAAGAAGTCTGCTGCATCAAAGCCCTGAGCAGAACGGAGCTTGATGCCTGGCGGATCAAGACCAGTCTGTTTGTCCAACATGATGTGTCGTTTCCAGCTCGGCTTGTCTAATATGAGAGCGCGCATCATGCTCCACGATCCCCATAGACGCTTTCTGAAGTACTGTCGTGATTCATCCTCGGTTCCCCAACTCTCCAGACCTGTGGAAATGACGCCGGGTATCATGATGACGGGAAATTTGCTCCTAATACCCTCTGACTGGGCATGCAAGCCCACTGCGAAGGAGTCGTAATCAACGGCTTCCTTTTCTCGAGACTGCGTTCACGTCACCTCGTCAACATCAGCTTGGTGAAGCTCTTGACCGCAGGAGTTGTCCATACCTGCATGTTCTGTACATCGCGTATCAAGCCCGTTGGCAAGACATCGTAGAGGTTATCCAAGTTCATGTCCTCGAGTCCTGCCAATTCGACCAGCTTGTCCATGGCGCCGTCTCGACTGGCGAAGAATCCTGCCATGAACAGCCCAAACAGCCCGCCCAGTCCAAATATCCATGCATTCCGTCTCTTCCTCCCGCTGTGTTTCTTCGAGTCGCTGCGTAGGATATCGAGCTTATCTTTGGWAATTATGCGAAATGCATCACCACCAGCTTCCTTGGGGGCGGGCGCTGGACTTTCTTCGCGAGCGGCGCTGCTGCTGGAGTCTTCGCTGCTGCCTGTGCCAAATATGCGCCGCCGTAGGCCCGACATGGTTGTTGTTTGTTTGTGCAAGTCGACAAGGACCGCGGAATACTGGGTTATAAAGTTTATTTGCGGGACGTAGCGTGCAGCTTGCAGCTCAAAGAGGCACTGTAACTACGTCACATGCGGCGATCTCGCAACACATGCAAAAGAACCTATTCCTACCTAACTCCAACATCCTTGTCGTCTTCTAAGTTCGCGCGGGCATCTCGATCAGCCGCGCTCCGAACCTTGGCATCTCCGAACCACATGCCATCTTCTGCAAGGACTCCTGGTCTCAATGGGCGAAACGGCTGGAGATGTCACGACACAGGAACAAAAGACTTCTGCCTCCAATCTTCGTTATGTCTCTTACGGGACCGAGAAGGAGTCCCCTTTCCTTCCGGCAATCAAACAGCTGATATCGAAAGATCTCTCTGAGCCGTACAGTATCTACGTATATCGATACTTTCTTTACCAATGGGGTGATCTTTGTTTCATGGCAAGTCTCTAACCCATCCATGGCTACAACAAGATCTGACCAATTTGCAGGCTCTCAACGAGCAGGACGACATGATCGGAGTCATAGTCTGCAAACTCGAACCACATAGAGGCGGACCCATGCGCGGCTACATTGCCATGCTTGCCACCCGAGAGGAAGACAGAGGTCAAGGAATCGCCGGAAAACTCGTTCGACTGGCAATCGACAAGATGATTGAGAAAGATGCTGATGAGGTATCTTTCCCCAATCCCCCAATCACTTCACTTCACTGGTCGATGTTGATGTGTTGAATAGATAGCCCTCGAAACGGAAGTCGACAATATCCCGTCCCTCCGCATCTATGAGAATTTGGGCTTCATTCGAACGAAACGTTTGCACAGATATTATCTGAATGGAAATACTGCTTTCCGTCTGATTCTCTACCTTAAACCAGGAATTCCCTATCAGTCTACGTACCCTCCGGACTACGGCATGGAGACGGGCGAAGAAGCTTATTACGGGGCGAACGCGGGTCGGGAGGGGGAGGAGGACTCGATAGAGCGACGAGCTGCGCAAATGAAAATCGAAGATGTTCACGGGGAGCACTACGACGTTCGAGGTAGCAGTTTGTAGATTCAAACCTCTAATTAACAAGCCCCTTGTATTGTACAATTATGTCTCTTCCCACATGTGTACATCATATATACATCTCCCACGCAACCCCATCAACGAATAACCACTCATCAGCCGAGACGGGAATCACCCTCTCCCTCTGAGATCTCCATCTCCACCATACTGGAATCGGTACCCGACTGCCACGGTCACGCAGGCCACCAGTCCCAAACATAAGAAGGAAGGGCCCCATTTGTCGTGATAGTTGACCGCCTTCCTCTGCTTGATTCTATCAACACGCCAGAGGAAGATTGCCATGCTGTAGAGGWGTGCGGCAATCGCCACGGCAGTGAATGCGACTGCAGCGGCGAGAGAGATGCGGTCGCCAAAGTTGAGCAGTGTCGCAGCGATAGATCCGAGGATGATGGAGAATTCGAGCTAAAAGTTCAATCACGTCAGTCAGATGAAAGCAGTGGGGATAAAGAGGAAAGGAGGGGATAGACTCACCCAAGCCAAGAACGTGCGCTCCGCAGCAAAGGATACCTTTGGCTCCACACGTACGGGCACGTGGATCTTCTTGCCCTTCGGAGCCTTGAATCTTTTCTCCATGACACCACTTCCACCGGGAATTCCCATCTTACCCTGTCGTCCAGGAATAGGAGTAGGTTTCGGGAATGGTGTAAGGTAGCTGAGGCCGTACAAAACCTTGTCGCCCAGCAGATTGGTATAACTCTTCGCCAGCTGCAGTCGATAAGTCCAGCCACCAACACGCTTCGCCTCGGCGAGCGCTTCCTCCTCATCATCCGAATCGTAGAGCGGGTAATCCTCCTCGGTGGTGTCGAGAGGCTTGTGAGACATGCGTTCTTCTTCGTCCATGACGTTCGCATCGCCATTCGCATTACTGAGGTGGCGATCCAATTCGTGCTGCTCAAGCGCATCTCGGGCAGCACGCAGCYTTTGCACGTTCTCGTCATCTTCGTCTCGCCCATCCTCATCATCGGCGTCGAGCTCGTCATCACTGTCTTCGTCCAAGCCGGCGCTGGTGCTGGCGTCGGTGCTCTGGCCGGGTCGCTCAATTCCGAATTTGTGGCTGACAGGCTTTCTGATGTCGGTCTCCATCTGTGTGTACCAGAATGGGAGGAGGTTGATTCGTGTCGGGAATAGACTTGCGCAGCCATGAATGAACTTGGAGAATTTGGGCACAGCCTCGACAAGATGAGAACATGTCAACTCTCGAATCCACTCTGGTGGCTCTTGACCTGCCGCAGTTTGAAGCTTGACTTCCAAAACGCCATATGGAAAGAGTTCGACATCCTCGGGCGGTAGCTGACTGAAAGGATGATCGATTCCGATGTCCATTCGTCGCCAATTCTTGCCAGATCGTTGCTTGCCATCAAGGTTGTCTTCGCGGGTCATGGCCAATTCAGTATCGAGCGAGACACGGACGCGGGCATCCCCGGGAAGCTGAAAAGCTGTGCGGTTGTAGAATGACCGGCAAACGGGCACCAGCTTGCGGTCGATCGCGCGGAATTGAATCTCTTTGGCCAGAGCTTCGAGGTCATTGATCTCCTTCTCACTCTTCTTACCCTCCCTGCGAGATTTTTCAAAGATTTGTTCAGTAGTCATGTCCCCRCGCAAGTATGCATTGATGTTCTTTTCCTTGGTCGAGAAACGTGCTTTGACAGACTTTTCCCCAGTCCAATCCTCTCTATGCGTCTTCCTCTCCACGAATATGGTATCGACGTCCATTCCGCCGTACCATCGCAGACGAATCGCTTCGGCACCCTCGGTCTTCTTCAAACGACCTTGGTAGAGCTCCCACGTATCCGGGTTGTCGTAGTAGATGGAAGAGATGGCAGAGTCTTTCTTCTCAAACTCTTTGCTGGGGTTGAATACAAGTACAGGCAAGTGTTTGAGGATAATCAGCTTTAGCTCGGTAATGTTGTCCGGATGCACCCAGTACTTTGTGGTCTGTCGGACGAAGTTCTGCTGTTTCTCACCAGCAGCGGAATCCCCTATGGTAGGGTTTCCCCGCGTCCGGACCTGGTCATAGAGCTTCGAGAGGTTCACGACGGTACCATCGTAGTCATCCCGGAAGAAGGGTCGGGCATTGAGTCGTGCACCAAAGACCGGCTTCAAATGCCAATGTGTCTGCTTATCGTGCTTCTTGATGATCTTCTGGAAACCAGTGTAGTTCAGCTGTGTGAATTTTGCCAGGTCATGCACGTCGGCAATGATGTCCGACAAGTCCTCCTCTRGCAACAGGAACTCCTCCTCGCTGGGAGCGTCCGCCTGAGCCTGAGCATCGCGTTGGGCAGCCTCGGCACGGGCGATGACCTGGCTGACCTCCTTCTCGCTGGACTGAATGCGGCGGATAATCTCCTGACTCTTGACTTTCTGGAAGGTAAAGACCTTGTCCAATTCCTGCTCAAGCTGGTTGACAAACCGCTGCTCGTCCTCCTCCGACCACTTTTTCCGCCTGCCGCCGCTGTTGGTACGGACCAGCGGCTCGTGTTCAAAGTCGGTGCGCAGGCTCTTCTTAAGCTCGTCGTAGGAGATGTAGTAGTAGTACCAGTCCTTGATCAGGGAGCTTCGCAGCTGTTGACCGAATCTGTATCGTCGTCAACAATCGGCCTCGAACCCGGCCAGCGGCTGTGGAGATCACTCTGGCTCGCCGCGGGGTGGGGCAAGCAATAAGCAGCACTTGCAAGGACAACGAACCTCATGATGGACACTTCCTGTGGTCAATGCCGCTCAATGCCGTCGGTGTATGTGGGCGGAGGAGGACGAGGTCCGCAGCGTTTTTCCAAAACACGTCCAATGCCTGTCGGTGATCCAGCTTCCAGAAGCTGGTTGCAGTTTGACGAGTTGGTCTCCACTCTCCAGAGCTTGCCGAACTGTGTCACAGACGAATGAGAGAGTCGCTTGGGCGCACGAGCTGTAGCACGCGAGATGGGCTTTTCAAAGCTCGTCGACGATATGATAGGAAAAGTGCAAGAGATTATCGCGCAAGCGGACAGACGTCTCCGACAGTAATGACCGGGGAACACAGGAAGGCCGTGGCATGGATGCCGGACCTGGTTAATCTTCCAAACTCTGTTCAACTCCCAAAGCACCGTCAACCACAGAACCTTTCACCAGCCACTCCAATGCGAATGACCGCAGCGCTGCCCGACCGTTTCTCTACCAAGATACTCTAGCCATGACAGTCCAGGCTGAGCTAGTGCGTCAGACATACGAACACACATTGCCGCTGCAAAGTCATCATATCCAGCTACTGAGGACTTTCTTAAGTGCAAGTGCGCATCGCGACACGAGGCCCAGCCTGTGTGCCATGGACTCCGGCATCATCGACAGCTAGCCCACCGAGACGAAATGGCAAAAAGGGGCAGAACAGCATGCAATGGCCGTTGCGCCGCCACTTCTTCACACTGTGTGTGCAGCCGCTCAACGTCGAGGTGAGGAGTTGCAATTTGCAAAGGTGCAAAATTCGAAAACGGTAAGTTCCCAAAAGATTGGTACAAGAAATGAGTAGGTACATTTGCATATCTGCTTGTTCACTTCTGCTATTCATCATTTACGGCCGAGTCGCTTTAGCCCGCTCCTGTTTTCTCGCTGTTCAACCGCACCAAGCAGGCTGCTCTACGACGATCGCCCTAGACCTTGTATCAGTAAATTGCCCAACCGACAGATCCGAGTAGACTCACATTGCTGAAGCTCAGACTCCTCGAGGTGTCTCAGCTTGTTCACCTGTGGTGATTCTCCGGTGACCGCACCCTTGGCAACCTCAATCGCCGAGGATATGAAGTTCTTCCTCGAGATGGCGTACGTGATCGTCTTGGCACTCACGCGGATGAGTCCAATGCGAGGGTCCTCTGGGCCACCGTCGTGCTTGCCATCGCCGAGGTCTCCCAACCACGCCTTGAGCGCCGGAGAATAGTGCTCACGGACGCGAGCCCGGTCGGTCTCGATCTTGGCCTTGCCTGAGATCGACGCCCACTCGCCTGCGGAATCAATGAAGCCAACGTTGACGTCGGGGCTGCTGTCAAGATCGTCCGTCTTGCCGGACTCGGTGTTGGTGTGGAAGATGAGGTCGACGCCCTTGCCCTCCTGACCGGCCACAGCCATGGCCCGGCTTACGAGCAGACCATCCGTGCCAGCAGCCTTTGTGGTCAAGAGGCAGAACTTGGTCTTGCTGACGAACTGGGTGAAGTCCTCAACCTTCTCCTTGAGCGATGGCTCCTCTTGGTTCTTCGCAGTGTATGGGTCGGCGTTCTTCGAGCCAGTGTCTGTGTTGGAGAAAGACATCTTGGTGTGTGTTCTTCGTTGAATGGAAAGGTCTACGTGGTTTGTCGTCAGTCTCTGTGAGAGTGATGATTGTTGTTGGGATGGGAATGGAAATAACGCGGGCAGTCTTGCGAAGCGCGGGGAAGTGGCAGAGGCGAAGGAGCGCCTGCAGAGGGTATTGAAGGACATCGTCGTGGTTGAATGATAGGAAATGCTTTTGTACTCACTTGAAGGTTTTCTGGGTGAGATTGAAGGAGAATTTGAAGCTGGTTGAAGTGAAGAAAGTCCTTGCAATGGCTTCCAGTGTCCGCAGGCAGTTTGTTGATTGAAAGAGTGTCCAGCGTGTCCCTCTTTCTTAATGTCGTCATTCAACGTCACAAGAACCTTGAAGTGGGCTTGTTCATCTCGCAATCGATGGTGAGCACGCTACCACAAGCTGGAATTGATGATGAGTGCCAAAGTGAACCTCCATCAGCCCGGCTCTTGAGCGGTACATGTATGGATCGAGTCTCGAACGGTTGAGAATCTCGGCTGTAGTGCCGGCATCTTCTACCGCTTATACATTCATACATCCAACAGCGTGAGGGAAGATCTTCATGCACGCCTTCAAGCAAGCTTCATGTATGAAGAAGTCGTTGTAGGCCTGTCGCTAGCAGGGGACAACGCAGGGGTAACGACGGATCCCCGACTGCGCTCTTCAACTCGTAGTGATGGTCTTAAGACTGTCACATCTAGTGTAGGTTCAGGCGTGTCTCTGATCAATATCACTCTGATACTTCGAATGGAAGACTGGATATGGCAGCAACYTTCAATCTCACGACGAGAGATCACCGGCTTTGAAGTGATCCCCCACACGATCTAATCTATCTTGATACTCGCATATATTCGATTGACAAACACCCAACACGCAAAGAAGCCGATTGAGCCTATAAGAAGAGTTAGCCAACTACCAGTTCTAGAACGAGATCCAAACTTACCGCTTAGCAAAAACCACAGAAAACTCAACAAGACCGAGTATCCGAAATATAGCAGTCCGCCCGTGAAACTGCTAAAGCTCAGCATCCGTGCCCAGTACAGTAAGCTGTACGCAAACACATATCCGGCACTCGCGCCGCTGCTGGCAAATGCTCTCCACTGCCAGTGGTAATTCTCCTGACATAGCAAGAAGTAGATCATCAGCACTGTCACCGCAGCTGATGTCACGACCAGAAGGCCGAAGCTAAGGAAGAGGAAGCCGAACATGTAGTAGATTCGGTTGCTCCACAGCGAGCTCATGATGAAGTAGAGCTCCACGAATATGGCAGCGAACGGGAGCATACCCACAAGCAACATACTAGGGATCGATCGCAGGTATCCGGTTGATGGGGGAATCTGCCGGGGAATCTGGTTTGTACGCACAGGTGGATCAGCCATGCTTTGGCGAAATCCAAGCCAGGAGCCTGCGACGGAGAGGGGCACCGAGATCAAAAACCAGATGCCGACGATAACGAGCATTGTGGTGAATGGTACCGCTCCGGAAGATCGACGTGCCCAGACGAAAAGGTTAAGCAGGAAGAAGACTGCAAATACCACCATTGGCACCGCGCAAGGTGTGAGAACGAAGAGTTGTTTCCACTTTGTACCACCAAAGGATTTGTAGACTCGTGAGCTGACGTAGCCTCCAACTACGCCGAAGAAGGTATGCAGCAGGATCATGACCGTTGCAAGACTGCCGCGATTGCTGGGTGACAAGAATCCGACCACTGCGAAGATGATGGTGAATCCGGCCATCATGAAGAGCTGAGCGCCGTTACCGACTAGGACGGAGAGTGCGAGGGAGTTCCTCGGAGGACGAAAAACGTCTCCATGAACGAGCTTCCAGCCACTGTCTTCCTGAATTCCATCCTCGATTSCAGTGCCGTTAAGATCGTCGAGTCCCAGTTGATCCAGTCGGTTGTATCGCGCAATGTCTTTCCTCAAAGCTCGGACAAGGACAGTGCTAACCATGCCAATCAAAAACATGACAATGACTGCGCTGTTGACCAACGAAAACCAATGAATCTTCGGGTCGAAGACATGGAGGTATTTGTCCCATCGGGTCGCAAAGGACGTGGCGGATGGCCTCCAATAGATGCTATAGGTCCAAGTGACCTTTGTAACCTTTGACTTTGCGTTCTCGTCCAGAATCATCCCTGGCCCCTTCACGTCGCAGCCCGTCGCGCTCATGTCATCGCCCTGTCCCGTTCGTTTCGTGTCCCGTCGTGAAGCCGGCTCCACCAAGATTCCCACGACTCTGTATTCGTCCTGCCGCACTTGATGGTAATCGATGAAGATGTCGTAGTGGTTGTTCAACACCGGCTTGTCGTTCTCTATATCTCCCAATGCGAATCCAGGCTGGTAGAACTCGCTGTCTGTGCTCGGATCGATGTACATTTGTGCGGCAGGCAGACCATCCACCAACCAGTTCATCATGTAGTCCTGCCATATCCTCCTGTTCACAAATTTGGAGTCCCGTGCGGCGAATTCCACCGCATCACACACCGCTTTGCAAGTCTCGTTCTTGGCCATGTGCAGTTCAAAGGGCGATGTCTGGATGCGGTCACCGAACAGAATGCTCCCAAGCGACTCGGAAATGTCCTGTGGGCCATCCTTGGGCGGGCAGAAATGGAATTGCTTGGAATAGTAGTCGAAGGCGAATGCGGATCGCAACTGGTTGTCTTTGCTGTTTTGCGCGGCGGTGAGGTGGTTTACGTGTAGCGGAACGAGATCGCCTGCTTTGTAGTTTGTTGGCGTGATGCCTGCAGTACAAGTGGGATTGTCAGCGCGTAAACGTTTGGCGGGCCAGTGCAGCTCGTCGTACCGGGTAAGTAAAAGGCACTCGTCAAGGGCGCCGTAAGCAAAAGTAACAGCGGCGTCGGCAGCTGAGCGATACGCATGGTGACGACGATTGGCCCTGTTGACCAGGCGGTACAGTGAAGCTGTCAAGGGAGTAGTCGTTGTGAACGTGGCATTCACTACCAAGGTATAGGCGCCAGCCAGCTGTGCTGATGATCCCTGCAAGAATTCTGACCCTGCCCTAATACTGCCGTACCTTGAGGTAAAGTAAGCTTCCAGGTTGACGTGCTCGTCGATAGCCAAAACTTGAAGTGGCTTGCAACGCTCCTTGACTTGTCAAAGACATGTGATGAGCCTATGATGGACGCGCGTCACTTTCACTGCGATTGCTCCAAAAAAAAAGTTGACACGAGACATCGTAATTCATTGYATTCACCATTCTCATGGCGTCGTATGATCTGTATATACCACCTGCAAACCAGCAACGCGACAGCAACGCAACCTCTGCGAGCTATTTGCGCGGGATCAGGGTCTGCTCTCCTTCAAAAGTCGCATACAAGAATTGAAACGTCAGAACACTCATAGCCGCTCCTTTGCGTCTGCTTCCCATTGGTGCCCAGCACTAGCAAGAAAGTCTAAGAGGTGTAGGACTTGTAGACGTTGCCATAAGTCGAAGGCTCCGTGCCAGTGACGAGAACACCACTTTCTACCCAGAAGTAGGCGTACCCAGCAATGGCCGAGTTATTGTCCATGTAAGGCATCACCTCCTGAAGGAAGGAGGAGATTTGCTCATCGCTACCCGTGGCGCCGAACTCGGAAACGTAAATCGGCTTGCCGTTGGCAAGCTTCGTCGCATCCTCGATATGAGACTTGAAGTATTCAGTGTTCTCGGCGGAATCGTACCAGTGAATGTTGATGCAGTSGATTTGGCAGTCGCTGCATGCCTCAAGGAACTCGGAGAGCCAAGAGAGACCCTGGCCGTCACTGGGGCTGTTGGTGACTGAAGGAGCGCAAAGCTTGGCAGAGTCACCCAGCGGTTGCATGTATGTTTTGTAGGCAGCGGCAGCGGCAGCTGGTGACAAGTTGGACTGCGCGGCAAGATCTGGCTCGTTGAACGAAAACAAAGTAGTCGAGCCGCTGCTGATTGCAGACTTGGCGTTTTCACTCCAGGGGCCAGTGAAGTCAGAAGCAGGTCCCCAAAGGGTTGGAATGAAGTGCAGACCAGAGGCGAGATCACCTGCAGATGAGCCCCAGTTGTAAGCCCAGGTAATTTCACTGCCGCCGGTAAAGCACTCAGTCAAGCTGGCATCGTTGTAGGCGAGACCGCGTTTGCCGCCAGCGGGAGATGCAATGGAGCTCTGACTAGCCGCAGCCGATGTCGAAGAGGATGCAACGGAGCTCTGATATACCGGAGCGAACGCCTCGGACGTCGAGACAGCACCCGCGGGACCCTTATTCTCGTGGGTGGTCGCGATGCTAGCGGCGCTTGTTGCAGATGACTTGGATGTGATCACTGGAGCTGCCTCAGAAGTGTGGCTCGAGCTTGGAGCGACGTAAGCCGGTGCAGCCGGAGCAGAAGTTGGCAGAGCTGCAGCCTTGCTGCTGGAACTTGGCGCGACATATGCGGGAGCGGACGACGTAGCAGGAACAGCTCCTGCGTCGCTGCTCTTCTTGCTTGAAGTTGGTGCTGGGTGAGAAACAGAGCTGTATGCGGACGAGCTCCCAGCATCGACGATCGAGGATGGAGCAACAGAGGAGACATCTGCAGCTGCCACAGCGGTCGACGAAGGAGRGATGGTGATGTACTCCGTGAGTTTCTGGGTGGCAGTCACTGTAATGGCGGCGCACTGCTCTGCGTCAGTCAACGCTGGCGCATTGCTGCCGGCGGTGTTAGCTGCCACATCCTTGACCTCCTTGTAGGCAGAAGCGGAGTTGCTGTCAGCAATGCTGCTTGCAGCGCTGCTTGCTGGAGCTTGCTGCGATGCACTGGTGGAAGTGAGGTAGACAGTCGTGTACGAGGTTGTAGTGCTCGTTTGGCGGATGGTGGTGGTGGTGGTAATATCCTCGGAGGACGAACCGAGAGACGTTGGTAGGCCATTAGCAGCAGAGGATTGAGGGGTGACTGGAATTGCGACCGCTTCACTAGAAGATGGACCATWCGTGGTGGGCACAGCATTGGCAGTGCTGGTGGAGGATTCGTAGCCGGTTGGAGTCAGACTTGGTGATTGGGGAGAAAGCTCGCTGCTGCGGCTGGTGGTTCCATTCGTGATCGGATAGGGCATTGCGGCGGCGGCAGAAGAGGACGATGCCCCATACGCAGCGGGCGCGTCTCTTCGATGAATGCGCTGGTGCGCGGCGTGGCCATGATGACCGGCGTACGGAACGGCGAGGACCTGAGAGGCCAATGCCAAGACTGCTAGGTATTTGGATGGAGACATGGTTGATGGTTTGGTTGTTTGTCAAAAACGAGGATCTGGTCGATGGTTGATGATTTTCGATTTGATTCCGGTCAAGCGAAAATCTGAAAGCTGCTGCTACTCGAGCGCGCTGAAAGCTGCTGCCGACCAGGGCAAATTGCTGAAAGTTGTAAAGAGTGAATGGTAGAGAACGCGGCGAGCAAATGCTCAAAAGAACGTGGCAGCAATTGCAAAAGCGGGTGACGGTAAGAGGTACAAACGGAGGGAAAGCGACAGAGGACGGAGAAGTGAAGTTCTAGTAGTAAGTCCATGCAGGTGTTTGTGCTGCCGGCAGGGATCAGAAGATCTCACCAATCCTGCGGGCCCCGCCCTGAGTCTTTTTCCTTCTCTAGCATGGTGGCCAGCCGTCGTGAACCCAACCGAAGCGTTTCACGGTGGCCTTGCCGCTTGCCACGCAAGCGCTGTTTTGCAGAGGGAGGGAAGCGACAGGGGCACGGCGTCAAAACGGATAATGGGCTCCGACACCGACCCACTCACACCTTGGAGAATCCTCTCCTCCTGTTTCTCTGCACATGTGCTTTCGGCTGGCGCAAGGCAAGCACGCAGAAGACTGTGAGAAAGGGGCATTCGACGGTCAAGACTGCCGTTGTGGACAGACTTTACAGCTGAGACGGCCACTGTCGCAGCTCAGCCTTAGCCTTGCCGCCGCCCAGACGGAGAGCCTTGACGCCGCTYGCAAAGGTGCGGTCTTGGTCTACGAAAGCGGATTGGCTCTTCGGATATGCACCAAAGAAAGCTTGGTTGGATCGTCCCACATCAGCGCGGTCAAGGATGTAGCGTTTCACCATCCAACACCCATCCAACACCATCCAGTCTACCATCGCTGCGGACCTGCGGCTGCGGCTGCGATGGTGAAAACGCAATGAGGATACGAGCGGGACTCAGCAAACTCGTGGAGCTCGAGACGTCTGGCTGAATAAAGGGACAGCGAACACGTTTGATGAACGCAATGCGTTGCACGTTGTCGTACCTTGCATACTCGGAAAACGGAGTAGCACAGCATATGCATGGCGCTTGGATGGTCGACTCAAAATTCGCCCATCTCCGATTCAGTCCCGACACTGCCCAGCACAGATAAACGGCCGTCGCGATTCGCCCAACACGTGTCCAGGGGACCTATTCTCGGAAAATCACAGAGTCTAGAAGTCGATTTGGACCGGCCGAATCGCGAGAGGCCGGTGATGCAACGCGAAAAGCACCAAGGTCACCCAAAAACAAGAGCCGTGACTGCTAGATCCTTCTCGCAGAAGGAGGACATGTAGAGCCATGTACAGCGTCTCTTTACATCCGTTGTTCAGACCAACAGAATGCTCTAATGCATCCTGGCATTCAAGCTTTCGCAGCGCAATCGCGCCTCGCACAAATCTTGTGCAATCACCTCCGATGCGAAGAGACCTTGTAAACTGGTCCGGGTGTTCGCGCCGTATCATCACAGCAACGCTGCAACTCTTCGAGAAGGACGTGCTGCATTTCCAACGAATACCAGCTACCGACGACATGTTACACGCTCGTACATGCATTGCTCTCAAGCAAGCCATCCTGGAAAGCCACAACGTGGTTGCGACACGATGAAGCTGCTCCTGTGTCATCTGTACCGGATCCGCAGACCGCTTGCGCCCGTACACGTGTGAGGACCCTAAACATGGCTACGCTTGATTGATTCGATCGTTGACGAGCCAAAAGCACACTTGTGTGACAATCGAGAGCACACCGCGTCTCATCGAATCTCCCACATCCTACTTGTGCGACCCATCGTCCTCGTGACGCACGCCTCGGCAAGTTGACATGAACGTACAGATCGCTGCCTCCCGAGATTGAAATGGCGGCACTGAGTAACCTGAAGCTTTTTCGTCTCATCACTGGGGGTATCTGCTTTCATGACTGTGACCCATTATTTTCACCGGTTGAACGCCTCGCTTCCCGCGCCTTCATGTGACCGGACCATGTAAATTGCCAAAGTCGTGCTATGTCGTAGCTTGCCGCTTGCTCTCCCAACGCCGTCGCTGTGATAAGTAGAAAGTCACATCACAAAAAGCAGTCAACTGCATTCCATCAAGCAAGGTATCTGTACGATGGCATCGGCGCATCCTCAATGCGCGCGAGATACTCACGCTCGATAAGGCTCTCGACGCGCTTCTTGATCATGCTGACATCAGGCTTAAACTGCGAATTCAACGTCGAAATGGTCTCGTTCAGCAGCTCAGCATGTGTGGAGACCTTGCGGGTTCTGTTCATCAATTAGCATGCATCTTCTCGATGAGACTCATCACCGACATACTTCATGATACGCACGACCGCGGCTTCGATGGCGAAGCCACGGCTGTCGTTGTTCCGCTTCTCGGTCTCCTTGCGCTCGGTGTCTCCTTCGACCTTGTTGCCAGCAGAAACCACATTGACCTTGATCTTCTGAAACTTGGAGGTGAAGCTGTCGTTGAAGGAAAATCTGTCACCCGGGTTAACCTCTCGTGACATCGGCTGTTTGATGAGGAACCGTGTCTTAGGGGCAACAGCCAAAGACTGCAAGTTTCGTGTGAGAASACTCATCGGGATGTTGGTAGCGGCTTGGATTTCTTCCAGGGTTCTGGTCGCGGCAGGAGCGAGATCGTTGAAAAGAACGAGGATGATGGCTGCGTATGTGGAGCAGTTGATGTCATGAACTCTGGGCTTTCCATTTGCTGACTTTGGCATGACGGCCTTCAGGTCAACATCGCCCATGCTGCCATACCATGTGAGCTTACGCCCAGAGTATTTCCCTGCGTAAAACTTTTCAAACCCGAGGCGGGCTCGATCGAGGGCAGATGGGTAGATGATCTTCGGCTTGTTCTCGGTGTCTTCATCAGACGCGCCGCGGAAAGCCTCCAAGGGCCAGGTCATTGAGGTGAGCACATTAACGCTAATGTCCACACGGGAGGCATCGCGATCACCCAGTGACGCAACGTGTTTTCGGTAATCGTTCGTGAGATCGGTGCTGAGACTCATATCCTTGAACATAGCTTCCAACTTGAGGGTGAAGCTGTTGCCCAATTCCATCTTCATCTTCAGGATCATCTGCTTCTCCACGTCCTGGTTCTGGCTTTTGTTGAGGAGGAGACGTTTGCAGAGATGCTTCTTGTAGTATGTCTCGAACATGTCCTTGTCCTGCAGGTAACGGACCAACACTATGGCCTTCTCAAGAATCTTCTCGACCTCGGCATCTGTCTTGTCCTTGATTCCCTTCTTCATGTTGTCGTCGATGAACAATGAGATGTATTCGCTGCCGCGGCTGAACGTGTTGATGTTTTCACCCATGCTACGGGTGAGTGCGGTGGATATTGTCTGGTCCTTGTTGAAGGATGCGACCTCGATCTTGTCGAAGCGGTCCTTGAGTTCCAAAATATCCTCCACCCACTTGAGCGCTGCGACAGTTTGTTGATTGGCCTGTTTCACGCTGCCCTGCGCGCTTTGAGCTGGCATCAGTGCTGGTGTTTGCGAGGCGGCGAGTGCACCTTCGTTGATCTTCGCTCCCATCTCGCCGATGATTCTCTGCAGCGCCTTGGTGAGCTCTGGCTTCTTGTGGTCAACACGGGCTTCTAGATCGAATACCAAATGAAGCTCATTAAACTTGTCGTTGTCGACCATGTGTTGCACGCCGCTGTCCATTTCAATCAAGCCCTTCATCTTGTTCCGAATCAACTCATCTTCGACAACCCGCTGTATCCGTACTGCCGTAGTCTCCGAGAGAGTTGATCTGCAGCGGTCGCTTTCCTCGTCGATACGACGCTTGGCATGGTGACAGTACGCACCCGCGTCTGACTCTTTAAGTAATCGCTCGCCCTCTTCYCGGTAGAACTGTGCACTCCGCTCCAAGAACATTGGCTCGAATGCTCGGAGATAGATCTTCTGGTCTTCTGATTCTTGCTCTGACTCGTATAGCCCCTCTAGCATGTAGATGACTGACTTGATGAGAGATTTATCAATCGTGTCGCCATCGCGGTCCATCTGTATTTGCTCGAGGATGATGTGGGACAGTATCTCGAGAAGGCTGTTCGTGTCTTTGCCGCCTTCGGTAGAACGCAGGATCTGGTCACGAAAGACGCTCATCGACTTGTTGTAAATGGAGGGTTTACGATGGTCAGTACAGTACACCCGGTCCTGTTGCACAAATTCGTCAGATCAGGTCGCTTCGACAGGATTGGAGTATGCGATAGCTTACCATGTACATCAGAACGTCTGTCAGCATTCCCATGCATACTTGATGATCCTCCCAAGCCTCCTTAAGCTCCTTGAGAAAACTCTCCCCAGACGCGCGCAGCTCCGATGTCTGGGCTAACGAGCGACCTGATCCATCAATAGTTTTCAGCGGTGCCGACAGCAGCTTCACTATGCGCGGTCGCACAGTTTGCCCAAKCCATACGTCTTCAAACTGGACAACCTTGTTGTACAAGTCATCTCCTTTCTTCTTGAGCACAATCTTGTACGCGTTCCGATACAGTTCCTCGAAGGATAGTGCTGATGCATTCTTGGTATGTATCTCGACGAACGCCTTCTCCAGCGTCTGCCATATCGTTTCGAAGTCGACGTCGGCCTGCAAACCCTTTTGTTGCCGTGACATGTTAGCTTCTATAACGTAGGCGCAGTGATGCTGGAAAAACGAAGAGACTGGGCAGCGTTCTTGGTGCCGTCACAGGGCAGGCCAGCGGTGATCAGAGGGGTGGAGATGGAAGGGCAAGTGGAAGAGCAGGTGAATCGGATTCAACATACCCTTCGTGGCGGCCTAATCTTGGTACGGCCTCTGCCGGCAAGCGAGGCCATGCGCGACACTGTCCGATTATCAGGTCTTTGTCTGTGAGTCTTTCACTGTGTCGTCTGCTGTCTTTGCTGTCTTCGCTCGTAGTGGGGCAGCTTTGTTTGCCGGAAAGTCGACGTGAGGCCGGTGAATGGATCTGTCAAACAGGTGATCCCAACGAGAGACTTTTTGCAGCGAGTGGTGGAATAGCGCGTGTGACAAGCAGCTCAAGGTCTGTAGAAAAGAGTGAAGTTGAATTAACGCGAGCCATACGCATGCGGGACGTGGACCTTCATTCCAGCTTGCAGGGGAAGGTACGCCGGCAGTTGCCCCGCAAGCGATCACGGAGCTCGCACAAGACAATTGCGATCATTAGTAAGATGACATCAGACCCGGGACTTTGCAACATTCTCGGAACTATAGTACCTACCTTACATGTAGATCTGCTGACTTGCCCGATTGTCCAAGGGCCGATGAAATTGAAGGTWGCCGCCCTACCAGGCAAAAGTCTTGTATTTTCTGCAATCACGWCAGTACGATGAAGAAGACAAGAAATCCGACTATCCTTACTTAACTCTCCTTAAGGCTGCTGCTTTGTGTGCTTATGGCCACCTGTTCGTGAGCGTTGTCGTCGACTCACTACAAGGAGAGGCGGCGATCTTCAATTTCGGAGGCCCTTGGTCTGCATTWTGTTTGCGTCTTGTTCACTTTGCGACGACGCATGCTGTGCCACCGCCAACTTCAGATCGATGGGCTTGACACATGAGGTAGAATTTACTGCCTGCCGGTAGCGTGTGCCTGTACTTGGCTATGACTCTTGATGAGTAGCTGCCCTTCCTTGTTGGACTGACTAAAGGGCTTCCTTTATTTACCACTGCTTCATATGTCAAGCGTCCTCTCGCTCAACACATCTCCACCCTTCATCGAGGAAAAATTGATGAAAATTGATCATCCCAAACCTTACATCGACAGCGATCGTCAGCACACCTCTCCTGAGACAACAAGAAATGACTTCCAGCGAGTATCCTCAAATCCATGGCCCTGGCTGGCATGAGTTTGCCCGTACACCGGTGGTCGATGGCAAATACATCGACCCGCAAACAGGCGCAACTTGCAATGCTACTGGATCTCAGTACTCTGGTCCGCCAGCAGTCGATATCATCATCAATAGCATCGAGGAAAAGACTATGCACTGTGGTTACCGTGCAGCAAGACCATTTTCTGTCGAAGCTGTGCTTTGGCAGATCATGAAAATCGTTCATGAGAAGAGAATGTCGATCGATTCGCTCACTGCGACGACGTATACAGTACGACTGCTTCTCGCACATGAGATGACGCCGGAGGAGTTCAGCCAGTTTACTGACGCCATCACGAACGGCCTTTTCGATGGAGCCTGAATCATGCCGGCGGTCTTGGAAGAATGCCTGGAGGCTATGCGATGTTGGTGGGTGGGGAATGGGCTTGCTTGATATGCAGTATCACCACCTCGTATGTAGTGTGTGAAGTTTCGCGCAAGTCACGCGGGAGAAGCAAGAAGCCTGCCGTGGATAAGGTGGTGTACAGTGTGAACCTACCTAGGCTTCATCTTCTGGAGAGACCGCAGCTTTACAAAGACTTTCGCGGTCCGTCATTTAATCTGCAGCGGTCAGACTGAATTAATCATCTCCTCACGCAAATGTCATGTCGGGAGTGGGAGCTCAACTGCGATGCTGTTTGCGCTACTCAAGCCTACCTTATGTGATTTATTAAGTCGGTTGTCCCCTCGCCGAATCTCCATGCATTTAGATGGATATACAGTATTATAGCTCAGTGTAGAGCTAGAACTAAAGCTGTATTCTTAGTTACTATAAATCTACAGTTTACGTACATGTAGGTTCCGATAAATAGATACTACGTGATCGTCGCTGTCGCCATGTTTAGGGTTATGACGTTAGGGTTGGGGTRAGCAACAACGAGGTATTATATCGTCGAAAGCAATCGGAACAACGATTTAACTATAGAGTAGGTACGTGTACTTATAGCTATAACTCAAAGCTATAATCCTTTTAAGCTATGTGATTTACAGACTAGATATATCGTGATTTTCGGACGTGCAAGATGAAATTCTGTTCACGTCCGTTGAGGGAACAACCTACTTGATAAAGAGTGTGACCAACCAACCCTACGAGCAAGGGCGAGTGAAATTGAAGATTGCCGCCTCTCCATGTGGTGTATCGACGATAACGCTCACGAACAGGTAGCTGAAAGCACGAAAAGCAGCAGCCTTTGGGGAGAGTCAAATGTGGACTTGTATCTGAGCTAGCGCCGGGCTGGACCGAGCCAACCAGACCGCAGTCCGACTCAATACTTACTTGCCTCTGAATGATGCAAGTACCTCATTCTGTGAGGCTGGTCATTCGCGATTTTCCAATCGCAACCATCACAACAATGAACGCATCCAAATATCTACGCTCGGTTCAGCGCACATTCAAGCAAGCATTCCGACCTCTACAACCCCATAACCGGATATGTCAACCCGCAGCAAGACCATTTCACATTCCAGCACTCCGCAAGCAACCAGCACATCGACTCGTGTGCAGACTCGCACTCCAGGCCCGACGTCACCAATCGACAGGCGAGAGACCGCTTACAGACCGCGAGCAGGAAGCCAGCAAGCAGGATACCACAGATGCCGATGCAATAGCGATGCGCAAGGCGCTCTCCCCAGCATACCAGCTCTGGTTCACCTGCAAAAAGTGCCTCGAGCGCTCTGGCCATACCATCTCGAAGCAGGCATATCACTTTGGAACATGCGTCATCAACTGTCCGAAATGTAAAAGCCAGCACTTGATCTCCGATAATCTGAAGATATTTTCTGATACAAACGTGACCATGGAGGATATTGCGAAAGAACATGGCCAGCTCTTGAGAAAGGGACGGCTAGGCGTTGATGGCGACATCGAATTTTATGACGATGCTGCTACAAAGACTGTCGAAGATGCCGCCGCGGAGTATCTGAAGAGAGGGCCTTCTTAGAAGAAGGTGGAATGAGGCAGAAAAAGCTCAGGAAACACATATCCCCTCTTTACAGTAGCGGGCATCGCTACATTGCCACTCCAATCACCGAAGCTGGGCGAATGACCACGTTCAATACTGGAATTTGGCGATCCAGGAAGTAGAAAGCGCCGTGTCGTGCAGGCCACCTTGAAGAAGATCTGTGGCGCTGGACAAGGACTCGCTTAGGTTGATGTCGAATGCGACACCCTGCACCACTGAGTCCCACCTCACACACCGTATAATCCGGGTCAGCATTGTCCACTCGGTCTTGTCCTGAAAGCATCATAGCAACGTCAATTGGCGCAGAAAGCCGTCGAGCATGGGGCTCTTAATAATTATTTGTCAGAGACAGCCTCACTTCATTCTCATTGCCTCCATAAATTCTTCCTTCCTCTCTTCGCAGATATCAGCGACTACTTCCTTCATTGTCTCCACCTCGACTATGCCTGTGCCATGCGCGAAAGCCCAGAGGTCATCGCTTTGATATCTGACTTGGAACGCAGCCCAATTCTGCGCTTTCAGCTCATTGACATGTTCGTGTACCGCTTTGGCCGGTCCTGAGTAGACTAGGACACCGGGATAGCCAGGTTTCGTGATACCAGAAAGAGATGATGGCGAGAGTGCAAGTTTTCTCTTGTTCGTATTCAGTAGATGGTGAAGCCAGATGATGACAGTGGCAGATGCTTCGGATTTGGTTTCCTGATCTATGTTCTGCTCTGGTAACGAGTGTGCTTTGACTTCCACTGCCTCCGCAAGTTCATCAAATGAAGACAATATGCTGTCGAGAATTTCTACGCCACTCTCGCAGCTCTTTACCCGGGCTTTTATGGCATCTCGCATGTCCGCATTTGCTGCACTGGCTGAGAGAACTTCTGGCAAATCGGTCTCGAGGTACCCATCTGGTATTCGGAGCGTAATGCCGGCCCCATGAGCCGTGGTGTATATCAACTCTCGTCCTTTTGCTTTGAACTCGACTTGCTCCGCATACATGGCTTCGAGCAGCGATAGCTMTGTCAGAAGCCTCTCTTCTAGCTMCGACGCCATGATTACTGCTCTTCCGAAGAGCAGCGTGGTGTTTGAGGCCCAGAAGGCTACAATTTAATATGGAAGGAGGGCACTTCCGGCGGAAATTTGCTGTATTGGTGGGAAAGTGAGACGAGATTGATGGCTCTTGACGTTTGGATGCCCGAATCATCACGATTGAGAACCTCGCACTCGCACTCGCACCCAGCTTCAATTCATAGTTCATCATCATCACTGCTCACGGCGACAAACTCGAATGATTCTGGGCAATTGATAGGGAATACGATGATACTCCCCGGCAAGACCGCGAWAACGAGAGGCATAGTCAACGGGCTGAAAGACGCAGCCATCCAAGCTCAACCTTGCGGCGTTGACCTCAGCCTTCGTAAGGTTCTCCAATGGACTTCTGCTGGCACTGTAGACTTCTCCAATCAGTTTCGCTCAGGCAGCAAGACGATTGGCTTGGACTTCAATGACAGCCCACGATCCATCCACCTGAACGCTGGAAGCTACCTGGTGGAATTCAATGAAGAAGTTGATATTCCACTTGATGTCATGGGCCAGCTTTTTGTCCGCAGCTCCCTATGGCGGACGGGAGCGCTACTGAGCGCGGGCGTCGTGTGTTTGACCATCAACAACATTTCAATGTGGAGCAGAAGCTAATCGCGAGTGGCAGATGGACAGCGGTTACAAGGGCCCAGTATCTGGGATGCTACAGGTGGTGAATCCTCACGGCATCACGCTTTTCGGTAACGCCAGACTTGCGCAGATTGTCTTTCATCAAATGGTCGAGGCTGTCACAGAAGGTTACAGCGGGATTTATCAGGGAGGGAAGAAAGAAACAGAAGGAATATGAGGAAAACTGAGGCGTTGCATACTTCTACAGACGTCGTCTTTACTACGACGTCGAAGCCAATCAGAAGTACATCTGACTCTCCAAAAAGACCGTCAATCTTATGGTCGTGGTAGCGAACGTGAGAACACGGTCATCGATTGGTCGTGTGGAGATCCTGGCGTTGGACGCGTCAAAACGCGTCCTCCTGAATGGTGACGCACTTCGTGCCTCATCAATCAACCCATCATTTGAACCTCTTTTTTGCTTCGTCCTTCTAACCCCTATCGATATCTTCTCGCAATATTCTACATCACCATTACACCGCACTGACTCCCCCTCTCCTCTAATCCAATCGTTGCACCAACATGGCAGACACACGCTCTTCTCCCGCCAGCAACCGTCAACCCAGCCCATCATCTTCTCCTAGCAAAGCAGGTACCAAACGGAAGGCGGATGAGGGTGCAGTCGAAGAGACAAAGTCGAAGTCCACCAAGCAGCAGAAAACTATTGAGGAGACTTTGCCAGCTGCCAATGGTACACATAGTGGCCTTGGTAACACAAAGAAGGGGGAACAGTCGAATGGCAACACCAAGACCAACGGAGAAGCCGAACGAAACGGTGTGAATGATGAGAAGCCAAAGGAGAACAAGAGCGAGAAACCTGATGCTGAGGACTCCAAGACTACCCAACAATCTAGCGAGAAGAGTGCCTTTGATCGATTGAAAGCGAATGACACAGATGCTAGTACCACGAACAATGTAAGAAATCGCTCGCGCCTCACAAGACATGCGGTGATCGAGCTAACATTCCGGCCAGGATGATAGCAAGAGAGAAAGCGAGGCCGCTGTCGAGGGCCATGCCGTCGAAGAAGATCAGAATCGTGCCGAAGCAATGCCGTCAAACATTCTTGAGAAGGGCATCATCTACTTCTTCTCGCGTGGGAGAGTCAGTGTCGACAGCCCAGATAGTGTCCAAGACTTGGCTCGAAGCTACTTCGTCCTGCGACCTCTTCCAGATGGTGCAAAGCTCACCGACGGAGCGATACAAGATGTTAAGAACAATCGCTTGATCGCCCTGCCAAAGAAAGTCTGGCCGAAGAGTGGAAAGGATCGCTTCATGGCCTTTGTCGAGAAGACAAAAGTTGGTATGGGCTTACTCAAGGAGGAGTTTTTTTCGGGGTCCGACTACAGCACCAAGACCACTGGTACGCGACACACCCCCGAAGTGACCCCAATGGGGGAGGGAGTCTACGCCATGACCACGACTGGCGGCGGTCAAGGAACCACTCACCGTGAGCACATCTAGACGCAGTGTGCGCTCATCGCGAAATATACTGACTGAGGCGTAGTGGCGTATATGCTAACCATCCCATCTGAGGTCGGCGAGGTACAGAATGACCTTGGTATCGCAAAGAAGGGATCGTTCGTCCTCTCACTCAAAAACCCTGAATCATCTGGTCCTGCAAATGCGCAGCTTCCCCAGGGAGCAGACTATCCGAAGGAGGTTATGGATGAGTTCCGTGGCCGTAACTGGATGCCTGCCGAACCCAAACATCTCGACTATGAGATGGCGCAGGTGTTGCTGATCGGAGAGGACTTTGACTCAAGCAGCAATCTCGATCCTGCGCCCAAGGATGAGAGGAATGGTGAAAAGGAGACGCCACAAGAAGAGCTGGAGAAACTTGAGGGAGAGGATGAACACCGGGTTGAGAGACTGAGAGGTGCGTTAGTCTTATCTCGACAGTGTTTGAGTAATGCTGACCTTCCGCAGGAGATGATACCGTCTTTGCCGATTTGGGATTATCGAGCAAAGACTACCCAAAAGTGCCAACCACTTGGTGACATCTGACAGAGATTTTGCTCATGTATACTATGTTAGTCAGACACGGAGACCACCAGTCAGCTGTAAACAATATCAAGATACCAGCAATCAGTGTGATTCAGTAAAGCCATGCAATGTGTTACCGTTTCTCACACGAGATGAGRGTCTTACAAGTGACCCTCTCTCGCATTGCCTTGCCTTTATTATCCCCGCCATAGTGGACCCGTTCCTGACCCTGATCCAAGCACAGCAAACGGCAGAGGACGCGGAAACGGCCCTTGCGCGCGCGGCACTCTCTGTAACCAACTGTTTTCAATGCGGAGGTTCGTATCGCCGAGCGCATCGACGTTGTGCTCACAGAGCGCGTCTGTCTCCCGAGCACATCCAAGGCGGCTACCGTGTGATCCACCACTTGTATTGGGCTGTGCGTGAGACCACGCAGCCAATGAAGGGCTAGAAACGGTTCCTTGTTGGCCCGATGCACCAGGAGTGACACGACCCCGCCGTCCGTCCTCCGTACCCTGCCAGGTAGCGTATCTGCAGCTCAGCGCAAACGACGGAGTACACTTTGACCTGGTCTCTGGTTTGACTGTTGGCGCTTCTGAAACACCTCTTGGGCTGGGATAAGCGGCTTTCGTTCCTCGCGCCTCTTTCAAAAGATAAAACACCAGCGTAGAAAACTTACCCCTCTCCGACCAGCACCGCCATCCACGACCGTACCGCCCGCCTCACATTGCGTATTCACGAGAAGCTCAACGAATCTTTCAACACGAACGCAGTGACGAACATCAGGAATTGGGAGCTCGGGCCAGACGAGGTACGTCAAAGAGAAGGAAGCATCACGTGGCGAGGCAGGAGCGATGAACATTCCACGGCCTTTGTGCCGACCGAGACGACGGATTGGGTGATTGACTGACGGCGGCAGCAATAGCGATACCCAGCAAGCGCCCGCACTCGGGAGTCATCGACCTTGCCGTCACGACATCACAGCATATCAATCGTACACCACAAACCCCACCGCCAGCATGTCTCGCGCCGCACAGCCGCAGCCGGGTGGCTCTCGCAAGATATCCTTCAACGTATCAGAGCRGTATGACATTCAGGATGTTGTGGGCGAGGGTGCGTACGGTGTTGTATGCTCGGCGCTGCACAAGCCATCCGGCCAGAAGGTGGCCATCAAGAAAATTACACCGTTCGACCACAGGTGAGGCACAACCCGACCCTACCAATATTTGAACAGCACTGATCAACATCACAGCATGTTCTGTTTGCGTACGCTCCGTGAGATGAAGCTTCTCCGATACTTCAACCATGAGAATATCATCTCCATTCTCGACATTCAGAAGCCAAAGAGCTATGAGACCTTCACCGAAGTTTACCTCATCCAGGAGCTGATGGAGACGGACATGCACCGTGTCATTCGCACCCAGGAGCTTTCGGACGACCATTGCCAGTACTTCATCTACCAGACTCTCCGCGCACTCAAAGCCATGCACTCTGCAAACGTCCTCCACCGCGACCTCAAGCCCTCGAATCTGCTCTTGAACGCGAACTGCGATTTGAAGGTGTGCGACTTTGGTCTCGCTCGCTCAGCCGCCAGCACCGAAGATAACCAAGGTTTCATGACTGAATATGTTGCCACTCGTTGGTACCGCGCTCCAGAGATTATGCTTACATTTAAGGAGTACACCAAGGCTATTGACGTCTGGTCAGTGGGCTGTATTCTAGCAGAGATGCTGAGCGGCAAGCCGCTCTTTCCCGGGAAGGACTACCACCACCAGTTGACTTTGATCCTGGATGTGCTGGGTACGCCAACCATGGAGGATTACTACGKCATCAAGTCGCGTCGTGCGAGAGAGTACATTCGAAGCTTGCCGTTCAAGAAGAAGATCCCGTGGAAGGCCATGTTTCCCAAGACTTCAGACTTGGCTCTCGATCTCTTGGAGGGGCTCCTCGCCTTCAACCCGGTCAAGAGGATTAGTGTGGAGGACGCACTCAAGCACCCATACCTAGAGCCATATCACGACCCAGAGGACGAGCCAAACGCAGATCCAATCCCGGAGGAGTTCTTCGACTTCGACAAGAACAAAGACAACTTGTCCAAGGAGCAGCTGAAGAGGCTGATCTACGAGGAAATCATGCGCTGATATATCACTTGGAGGGCACAAAATCGAAACTTCTGGGAATGTGAGGATGGGAAGGAAGTGTACAACGTTCGGCATCCGTCTTATATCATTGGTGTGCTCATGCTCTCCTCGCACCAGTTTCCGTCATTTTTGTGTGAGGTACGGCAAGCGCGGACTGCATAGGATGCGTGAGATGGCTAGAGTGCGTTGTTTCGATGAGTAACCGAGTGAGACCCTGGAAAAGCGTATGTTGCCACGGCTGGGCATTGATTTGCTTGACTTCATGTGCGCAGGGAGAACGAATGGTGAAAGAGCTGGTGCATCAATGGTGCTTACGGTTACGCAGAAGTGACTTGGAAGGACCTAGATGGATAATTCGCAATTGGAGAGCAGGCTGTGCAGGCGCAAGAAAAAAAGGTTCAGGAGGAATACAGTTTAACACCCTGGCCCAGTATCATCACTTCGAGCATCTCCATCACTCACTATGTCCTCATTAGTTACTCTCGTCATACATCTGCTTCAAACACTCACTGCGGACAGTCGCCACCACRAAATCCAGTACACACGAAGCCCCTCGGGTCCACCACGTTCGAGCACAGATACGACTCGGCGAGGACTTTCTGCTCCAGCGAGAAGAAGGTGTTATTGTATAGTTCGATGCCAGGACACGGTGCAGCGCCCGAGCACTGGATGGTTGCAACCCGGTCACCTCTAAGGGTACCACTTGCATTCCCCCAATGCATGTCGGAGATCTGAAATTCCGAAGTATCGCACCCTCCCTCTTGGCCATTGTAGGAGGTGCACTGTGCGATTGACCAGGCCAAGCCCACGTTCTCTAGCTCGAAATTTCGAAAGGTGATGTTCTGTTATTCTGGTCAGTACTCATGTGAAATGAACATCGTAAAACACTCGCTTTGGCATGGCCGAAGCCGCCACCGCCTCCGTTCGGCGCGACTCCTTTGGAAGTACCTGTCCAGGTCTTGACCCTCCCTGCGTAGCGGGTGTCGATGCACTTGATTCTTTCGGCTGTTATATTCGCAATCTCATTGATCTGTCCCGGATATTGGCCTATTGACCCCATGGCTAGCGACATTCCATTATGGATCTCACAGTCCGCGATATAGATATTTGTGCTATTCTGTTTCATGCTGATACTGTCATCGCCGTTTGCTATCTTCCAGCGCAAAAATGTGATGTTGTTGACCTGCGTTCCTTCCCATGTCAGCTATGTGAGACGATTTATCTGGACGTTTTATGGACCTACATAGATAGTGTCCACACCGTCGTCATTACTATATGTACGGAGGGTGCGCCCATCCCAGCTGGTGTTGTTAACGTACATGTCTTGTAGCAAGACCTTTTCAGAGCGTGCTACTGTCAGTGACCACATCTGACTTTTGATGAACCGCAGTCCTTCGATGACGGAATGTTTGGTGTCGGTGATGAGCAAGGCCTGAGGTCGCCCGTGTCTGTTCGAGACATCTTTGTTGAAATCGTACCATACCTGTGTGGCTGCTTGAGTAGTTCGGGATGCTAGAAAATACCGTTGAAGGAGCTCACCTGACCATTTCCGTCCAGTGTCCCCCTACCGTGCCTGTACAAGTGAATTCTCTCGCCCCTGGAAGCGAGAGACAGAAGGTTAGTGGTATCTCAGACGATTCCGATAAGGTGGAAGACCTGGATTGCTCGAAATATACCTCGGCTCTACTCTGCATGCCTTCTGCCCTTCGATTGACTTACCCAAGATGCCATGCGGAAGTTTGATTCTGAAAGCCAATTGGCAGTGAATGGATCAGCCAGTACGGAATATCGTCGCTCCACTTCAGCGTTCCTCGCAGCTCGATGTCGACGTCACTTAGACCCGTTGTATTCATGACACTCCTCACGTGGTACGTAGTATCCTCGAAAATAACGTGGCCATCATTTCTGCAGTCTATGAAAGCTTTCACGATAGAATGTGCATCGTCCTTTGCTGGATCGCCATGTGCTGTCACTACACATGTCTTGGAACGTTTCGGCCAGTTTCCGTCATGTGAGTATGGAGGGCCGTCAGAAGGTTCCGATGGCTGCCAGCATCCGTTCAGACCAAGGTATCCATAGACGTAGGGATCGGGTCTGTCTGGTGTCCAGTGGCCTGATGCAATACCKTCTGGAAAAGTGGGTGCGATCTTAGGTTCCGATGTAGCTGCACGGCTGCAGGCTACCGGCTTCGAAGACGTCAATCATAGAGCTATTAGGTCACATATAGGCGACCTTACCCGTTGACACCGGAATGCGTCCATAAGAGCGAGGATTCTGGTTGCGAAGCTGGACATCGCCATGTCGAAGGATGTGAAGGCTGAGACCGGCTCGGGACCTGGTGTGGTTACTGATCCTCGGCTACGTCCTTGTCGGCGTGGTATTGTTGGTGGTCGATGAAGTTAGAATAGAAGAACAGGCAAATAGGTGCGATAGCGTCGCCTTGGATGTAAGCTTCCCAATGAACGTTGCAGAGTTCTGTGCGATTTGTTGACGCCCTAGTCCTGTTGTTAAAGCTGGATGACAATTGGCGACTTGAAGCACCCCGCAGTGATCTCTCATCAGGTGTGCATAGAACTTGCCGCGGTGAGATTCGTGCGACAATATATCGTTTCGACGTATTGGACTTGTCAGCATGACATAGAGGACTGCGGCGCAGAAGGATTCTCGGCCATCTCAGTCGAAATCAAGCTGCAGAGGGCGTCAGCTCGCTTTAATCAAATATCTGTARCCCTGACGACGGTAACATCGACCAGGAAGGGTGAACAGTAGCGGCAGGTGAGATATTTTCATTCACTTGAGACTTAGCACTAACTGCTGTTAGCGTCCGTGCGGGGCCATGGCTGCCCATGAGCTGAGTTCTCTGTAAGCCGAGCGGCTAGCTAATATCCGTTCCGCAGGTTACTGATTACAAGTTGGATCTGCGCAAAGTAACGTTCCAGTAGCTCTCAACATTTTCAATGCCGCTCACCTCTTTTTGCTACCCTTTCCACCCCTCCCGCCGCCCTTCCCGCCGCGACCTTTGATCTTATCAGCGCCACCACCTGCCATCATAACTCTCACCGTCTTTACAGGCAAAACACCCATGATCTCGACATCTCTCCAGCCCTTGATGAGTTCTGCTTCCCGTGGCCAGATCCTCTCAGTATCCTGCGCCTGTGAGTCGATACGTCTGGGATCACTCCCGTCTTTGACCCAGCGTCCTAAGATCTCCCTCACGGCTTTGCCTTTTTTCTGCTGTCCAGGCTGGAGCTTGACCTTGTATTTAAATTTCGATAGAGCTGCCCACGGTGCACATACGGGAATGGCCTCCAGAATCTCATCTCCAGCTAGCGGTGTTCCAACGAGCGCATCCAATTCAGTTAGCACTTCAGCTTCGTCATCATCAAGAGTATCGACACCTTCTTCGAGATGCAAACGACGCATCTCTTCCGCTTCAAGACCCTCACGCTGTGCCTTTTCATGCTGGGCACGACGTCGCAAACGTGCCTCCTCTGCGGACTCGATCTTGGCGACTTTAGCCTGAGCATCAGCGTCCCGCCGTTCCTCAGCAGCCCGAGAGCCAAGGAGCTTCATGGCCAGCTCCCTGTCCTCTTCGTCTTGATCAGCATACTTCGTCGCGATCTTTTTCGCACGTGCCTTTTTGCCCCTCTGGCCTTTCGAGGGCTTGGGCTTAGGGTCGCCATGAATGGGCTTGCCCTTATCCAGACGAGCAAGTGCTTTGCGCTCCTTATTCGAGAGCGGCGCATCTTCTGCTTTTTGCTCTACCGGCCTTTCTGGCTCAATCATGGTTGTGTTCGTGGCTTCGTTGTCCAGTTTGACCCGCTGCTCAACAATCTCACCATTGCCAGTACCAACATCTCCATCTTCTTCCTCGTCGTCATTTTCCTCGTTGTCATCCTCATCATCCTCACCGTCTTCATCTGGCTCTATATCTCGGGAGGCACTACCTCTCATCTGCAGAGGGTTATTCTTCTGGGAGCGGTACTCTTCGTCTTCATTCTCATGTTCGGCAGCCTCCGTTTGTCGAGCGGGTGACTCGTCGCTGGAATCATGCTCCGCTGCTTGATCGTGATCAGCATTAGGGAATTCGTCGTCTTCTTCATCGTCGTTCTTGGGATGAACTCCTGTAGTTGCATCTGGAAACTCATCATCGCTATCCTCGTCGTTATCTGTTGCGCCGTCGCCAGCGACCGATGAGGTGGCAGTATTGCCGGCGCCCGTGTCATTTGTGTTTGCAGCATTGTCAGTGCGTTGCAGTCTGTGTTTGAGGTGGCGAGTCTTGCTCTCCTCCGTGATTTGGAACATGACACCAAATCCAAGCAGAAGCTGCGCAGGTGGCAAATGGTTCTTCTTCCCACGAATGGTGAAACCGCCTACTACGAGGTATTCGCCCGTGGGCGCGGTTTTGGAGACCTGGTCTGCATTTACCCACCAAGCCGACATCACTGCTTTGCTTTCCCACGCCGAACTGGTACATACAGCTAAGTTGCCGGCCTGCGACAGGGTCGAAGGAGGGATCGGGGCCTCCGGAGTTGCGACGTTATTCTTGACGATGACACTTGCCGCACCGTTGAGATCAGCATGAACGTACACATCACCCTTCTTCAAGTAGCGGCGGTAAAGGATCTCGTTCTGCTGGGCATCCTTCCCGGCAAGCACCAGATATCCGTCAGACGAAATGAAGTAGATGAACTTCTCAAACCACAGCTGCTTCCGGACAGGTCGAAGCACGTCCTTCTCTTGCTTGAGATTCTTCTTCAAATCGGCGAGCACCTTTTGCTCGGTGCTTTTGAGAGCCTTTTGTGAAGCTTGAGCGGTTCTCTCCTGCTTCGTTGCTGCCGATCGTCTTTGATCATAGTATTGACGGGCATTTGACCAACCAGATGCCGCAAGATCGATATCAATGGCCAGACGTTTAGCTTCGTTCCGCCTTGCTGGAGTCGGTCGAGATGCCTCGTCCTCGCTGTCGGAAGGCTCGCTGTCTGTCTCGTTTGCCATGTCGTCTTCGTCAATGTCATCAATCTCTGCTAGCAACACAGTGACCGTGTTCTCGTGAAGTTTGAGCGGTAGCTTGATCAGCTCTGCGACGGCATTGTGTCGCTTCTGCTCATYCTCTATCAGATGCCCAATGTCCTCCCAGTCCATTCCCTGCGCGATCAAGCCGTTCACGGCAGCGACGACCTCTTCCACTCTCTCAACATTCGCCTCAATTGCCTGTGCTTTGCGGATGTTCAGCTCCTGAACCTCTTGCAGACCGTCGATGCGTTTGGCTTGTTCTCGCCGAGCCTGCTCAATCTTCTTCTTCGCATGGTCCTCACGCTCTTGTAACTTGGACTCAAGCTTTTGACCCTCAATGGACGAAAAGAACTCGTCGACCGTCTTGTTAAAACCCAAATGCTCACGAAACACGATCGAGTCATCTCCAGCCAGTTGCGAGGGCCGAAAGGGATGAAAGTCTTCATACATCAATCCGGTACCTTCGACATCATCTCCGGCTGCCGTCCTGTCTTTCGAAGACTGACTCTGCTTCGCTAGGATGTAACCGGTTGCCACTTCATCCCGGGTTATGTCCTTGATGACGCCATTCGCCTTCTCCAGAGCATGTAGGATCGTCTCTAGAAGCTCATCGCTCGCAAGCACCTGGTCTGGCTGAAGCTCACGATCAACACCGGAAAGGTGTAAAACATGATCAATCAAGATGGGAGGGAATTCGGTTGTGGTCACTGCTAGCGCGCGTCGCAATGCGTCTCCAGCCTTCTTCTTCATCTTCTTGCCGCCAGTCCTGAGCGCCTCTTCTTGCTGCCGAAGGACCGCCTTTTGAAGGCCATCCCGTAGACGCTCCTTCGTCAGAGCGGGGATTCCATTGTAGTTTTGCCGCAGTGAGAGATTGTACTTCAGGCCTGCCCGGTACTGTTCGTGTTCCTCGCCCTCACCCACACTGCGAAGCAGCGCCAGTATCGTCAGCTCGCTATCCGTGAGGATAATGTTGCCACCAGCATAGAATTCGAGAAACAGGCGGTACGCGCCATCAGAGAATTGGATCTCAATGACACGATCTGTCCCAATTTGAGAAACCTTTGTGCATCTTCTTGTTCTGAGAAACTTCCTCAATCGGGCTACGAAGGGTGTGGGGGTGGTCGCAGTGGCACGGGCGAAACTGGTGAGGTGACAACGGAACCCGCTGTCGATTAACAGTTGCTGGCGATGGTCGGGCTTCGCAAACTTGAGGAGGAAAATCCTCGAGCTGAGATCGTAGACATTGGATAGCCGGAGTGTGACGAGCGTATTGGAGAGTTCGTGGGAGATGATTTTGATGTCCAGAGAGGAATATCGCTGCTTCATCTTGTGTTTTGGCGGTTGTTGTTTAGCAGCAGAGCAGAAGCATCAGCATACCCATACGCAGGATCGAGAATATCGTCATCGCTTTCCATGCTGACGAACATTTTGCTGGCGAGCATTTAAAGTGGGGTTGACTATTAACTACGCGCCCCGCAGTGTCAACATCACGTCTCTCTTCCAGCTCTCTTGGGGACAGCCGGTCGCACGTACAACTTGCTCAGGACGCAACGGCGTCTACGAGGAGAGTCATAGAGTACCGATGTGCCTTGGAGGCAGTCTTGTGTCTGCTACTCGCGAAGCTATCAAGTGAAATCGCCGACGTACTGGGCCTTCTCTGCGGAGAGCAGAGCACATCGCTCTACAGCACCAGCTCGACAAATTGAACGGCGAATCGCATGCTAAAGGATAAGCTCTCCGCCTTGTATCCCAAGGCGACAGTATGGACAAGCGATCGGAACAGTCTTGCCTGGCACCAACTGGAAAAGGCCATCAGCGTCGGTTCATTTCGTGCAGATTCATCGCATAGATTGGCAAATCGCCTTCCACAAGCAGGCCCAAGTTGGTATGTGCACGAGTCATGCCTACGCAATGGCCGCTTCAGGTGAAGCGTCGGGGCCCCCACACGAGCACAGCAGGATCCCAATCCCGTGCCGGAACAGGGCATTCACGCTGAACAGCACTTTGAGTACCTTCCGGCGCTTTGAGAACTCAGCGCTCACTCATCATATCCATCCTGCTCCAAAAAGCAGACTGCAAGCGCTCACAAGCTCCAGATCTAACGTGAGATAAAGACGCTCTGCACGGCCCATACTCCAGATGCCGGACTTCTACTGAGACGTATAGCTCTGTATGATTTCGGGGGTTTCACGCTGGTCACAAGACCACTTGCTTCGGACCTTGGTATTTTGTCATTGCATGCTACAAATTGTGGACTATGCGATTTGCAGGCGGACGCCTGCATTGCCCGAGCCTCCAATTTGCAATTTATCCGTATCCGACTCCACGCCTATGCAGATGGGGAGGATGGGCCGTGACAAGGTCCAGGGCCCTGACCGTGGACCCGGTCTCAGCCCTATAAGATGCGCGGACACGTTCAGCGGCTTGGAGGAAGGCTGCATCGGGATAGACAAGTCAGCATTCGGGACCCTCCAACTGTTTAGGTAGCCGCGCGAATGGTTGATCGGGCGCCGTCTCGAGGATTTCCCGGGAAGGATGATCATTTGCGCTGATATCGGCACGTGCGTTCATGCTGGCGARCATTAATCGCAGGATGATAAGTGACAAGTCATCCCAACAGACTATCCAGGSGGCCTCAATTCAGTAAGTACGTTAAACTTGTGCGTGATCATASAACTGCCGCTTTGCACGCAAGTCTGGTTGTCTATCATGTGGCTGCCATGCGACTGACGCAAAACGTGTTGTAAGCGAGATCATCGCCGATGTTTAGGCGTCGGCTGCGCTTGAAGGGGATCCCTTGGGTCTGAAGTCCCGCTAGCGCGAGGCAGAAGAGTTGAGAATTTAGAAAGCGCAGCAGCAGTGAGCGCTGATGTCTCTTCGATCCATAGCGCCTTCACCGCCACTGATGATGTCGATCTCCACCCACCCAGACCCAGACTAGCATGTACAGTCGATCTGTGTCCAGTCGAGGTCAGGCAGTCAGCTGCGCCGTGGGGGAGCGCTAACGGCAGCCATCTCCCTGCGAGACTGCGCCGTTCTTCGAACGTGCGCAGCTGTACTATGTAAGATGGACGCCCTCGCTTCTGCGCAGAGTGATGATCGCCGTGTTTCACCCTCAACCCTACGTCCAGCTATATACAAAGAGTTCACCTGACATGCATGCTTTACAAGCTCAATGCCGGAAGAAGGTCAAAGTCGGACCTTTACGAAGTGCTTACCAAATAATTCATATAACCCTTTCGAACTCCTTGGTMTTGATGCTGTGAGCTGCGAATTCTGTGCTTTCTATTCCCAGAACGCATTGTCTACCAAGCTGGCGACTGACAGGAACGTGCGATGGCACTGCATGCTGCACCCCCATCATCTGCTGTTGCATCGACACGGACCCAAGATGCTCTGCCCCCCCACGCTCTTCAATCCTAGTATCTTACAGTATGCCGCGTCGCCAGGGGGTATACGGATCCGACTGAGCCCTTGCCCCAGTGCAAATCAATTCGCGGAGGGCGGCCTGCAGGGCGAAGCGAGAGACCAAACGGAGTCGGCGATTCTTTTCACCTCCAGTCCGCACAGCAAGGATGTCGGAGGAATATTCTTCCTCCATCTCCGACACTGATAGCCCTGGTAGGTAAGGAAGTCGCTTCTCGGGGCCGACCCTTTCTGTTCGCAAGCGTTGTCCAGAACACGTAACAGCCACACGCACGCATTTCCAGGCAGTTCCAGTGGTACAAGGGGTCTCGCAGGGTGGAATCAGTCAGCGAAAGGTGCCCAGCGGAACCGCAGCTATGCCAGATTCGATCGGCGGTGGGCGAAGACCACGTTAATGTGAAGTCGATCATGGGACTTAACGGGACTTACATTTTTGCCAATTATCTCGCTGCAATGGTGCATTTGCTGTGACGTATGCCTCGTACCTCCTGACTGTGGCCCAGACACCTTTTGACAATCGGCTTGTGTAGACAATCGATCGATCATTGGTTCTTCACTTGATGAGACAAAAATGCCATCAAGGCCTGAATACACACCCAGCAACACCATCTCGTCTAGCTAGAAGGCCATTCATCGAGAATATGCATGAGAGAACTCCATGGGTCTGAAAAGCTCCTGTGTAGACAGATGTTGTGTATCTGGTTCGCCATAGCTTTGACATTCGATCTCCCATGGCGCATCTTCTTTCGACTCGGCTGCATGCTCTGTGTCATCGTTCCAGGAGCAGCGCAGGAATAGCCCATGCATTCACCGTCGCTGTCGTCCGAACTGTCTTGGGAGACCCATGGCTTCATAACTCATTTCATATTCACTCAGCTCACAGCGATGAGAGACTTGAGCGTGTAGATCGAACCCGTTCTCACGGAGCGCAGTACCGATGTCGTACTCTGCCAATTCCTCTTGAGACTTGTACCTGAAAGGCGATCTATTAGTAAAGGATCCGGAGCGGGTAAGAAAGTGGAGTCTCATTTACAGCAGTACAATGTGCCGCAGCCACCCAATCTTGCCACCAAGAGAGCCGAGCCAGTAGATGAACGTGCTACAGCTCCAACCTACGCTCCAGTAGTTGAACGGCCTCCAGCACTCAAACACGTTGAGCTCGTAGTACAGCTGCAAGGTTTCTGCGCGCGCTTGGCGGGAGACAAGGATGATAGCTTTGATAGTCGTCAGTGGGAATCTAAGTTTCGATGTCTCAGGCAAAGCCTAATGTTGCACCGCATTGGCATCAAAGCGCAGCACGCCTACCTGGTGGTGCAGGCTTGTTTAGCCTGTCAATACGGATCGCGCTCTGTTCAAGGACGCGCATTGTGCGTGGTGGGGTTCCAATTTGAGCACCTCTGCCTGAGGCAACTACCCACTCTGTGACAGCGAATGCAAATATCATGTCCCGAATCTCGGCGGGTAGCTTCATCAAGCGGCAAGGAGGTAGCATGTCTTCGAGCTTTTGCCTGTGTTGTCTAAGACAGGACGAGATGTTCTCATTCTTCATCGTCGCATTGCTGCTGAGATGGAAATCCACCAGGTTGATCAACGAGCCACAGCGTCGTTGCAGCTCCACGGTCATCGTCATGCGGTTGTCAAATTTTGCGAGACAGTCGCCCTTGGATGAAGTGGCGTGGAAGAATTCCTCGGCTTGGCGGATCGCATCTTGACTATCAGGCCTTGGTCCGTAGCTCATACTAATGGTGGACGGCTCCATGATGGCGGTGGGTTGTTAATTGATGATTTGGTTTCGCAGACGAAGTTGGCGCACCCATGGCCGGGCCGGCGATGAAACGCGAAAGTTTACACAACTTTGTACCAACCTCATCCCTTTCATCATTTTCATGAAAACACATCATTTTCRGCTCGTTTGCCTGAGAAAGTAGGACTGCAATTGTGCCTTTGTGTATGTCTTCGCGACCGTCGATGTCGTCAATAACATGTGGACGTCCAAACTCGACGAGCATTGACTTTCTCTGGACTTGGCTCGCTACAATGGAGCTGCGCATGTTGCTACTACGATTACAGCAGCCTAAAGCAGTCGCTCGGTCTCATGCCTGTATTGCCAATATGCGGGATTCGTGCATCTTCACACCTACGTCTAACCAAAAGACCACACGGATAACCGGTACTACGAAGCTAGAAAGCAATACGACGCAGCGGGGTACTAGCAGCATCAAAAGACGTCGCGCCGCTTAGAGTATGTAAAGATTGTACCGCGTAACGAACGGACGATCCGTGTGGTCGCATATCTCGCTGTACTTTGGGCACTTACCGTCAGTCCTGTATGTCACAAATGGGCATGCCTCCGCCACACCGCCTGCAGAGTCAACTTGCCACACCGCGGTGTCGAAGGTTGTTTTGCCGCCCGCCGCAGGCCTTCAAAGGCCGCCAGGATCAAACACCCCCGAAACTCATTTCAACGTGTCGGCTGTGACGAGTCATGTAGTATTGAAACTCGCTTGTCAGACGGAGTCGCTCCGTTCGTCACCCAACACTCGAGATCCAGACAAGGCGCTTTTCTCCTGGCGTGCTTACTCCACGTAACGGACCTTGTACAGCGGTGGTTGTGGTTGTGCCCCGCGCTACATATGCGTCATAAAGGTACATAGGTCTTGGCACCTCTCCAGTCCTTTGTACATTGTCACGCTCACGCAAACACCACACCGCCCATTCAGGAAGGTAACCAACTGGCACATGTAGTCGCGAGTGGTGAGGAATGTTGATTTGCGGTGACCACATAAGACCCAGGCCACGGTGGGATGTGGAGTGGGATGGTTTTGCACTTCCGGTCTTCAAGAAGAAGAAGATTGGCGTATTATCGACGCATTTCAGAATGCATATGTCGGCAAGACAAGCATGACACCGCAGTAACTGCAATACCTGGACCGTATGCAACTGTTTCCTGCCCTTTGTCGTGATTCTTCCGAAACAACAGCGGCCATGAAATGCCGTGCATGCAGAAAGCTTCGGACGGCTTCGCTTAGACCAGGCTTCATTCGCTGCCAGTACTGTTCGTTTGACTTGTTGTAAAGAAAGGGCCGTGGCTCGACTGGGACACATGGGAGGTGTTTCTGCGAATGATGATGCTGCTGACGTTGGCACGTCCTTCGTTGGTACGTCCTTCGTGAGGGCCGCGATGGCAAGAACTCCTGGCACAGATTAGCATTCGGAATGTCACACCCCACCTTGTTGAGAAAGGACTGGAAATGGAAATGAGCTGGGCAAGGCGAGGTTATGGGGTATTAGGTTTTCGAAATGGACCGCAAGCGAACCACTTGCAGGGGGTGTGACAGACCGCTGTCTAGGGTGCCTCGTGCATCGGACGTGCAGAATTGTGAACACTGGAAGCTGTGTTGCATTCTCGAAACACCGTCATGACCCACACCACGAGCTTACGACAACAGGAATCTCGCCTGAGTCGTGTTTCGTGCCGGCATGGCGTGCACACGCTCGGCATGAGTCGCCGGCGAGCTCATGCTGCTGCCAGGGGCATGCAGCGGTCTCGCGAGCTGGTCGGAGACCACCCTGTAGACTCTCCAGTCGGCCCCGAGCACAGCTGCCCTGCCCTGCGGCACAGATGGTGGTGCATCCCGCACATCTCGATGTCAAGAGTCCTCCGTACACCGAAACGTTCTGGAAAAAGCCTGTCGTTGGCAGTCCGTGCTCGGGGTGTATTCCGACCATAATGACAGGCCAGCGCGTATCTGTCGACACTCTTACTAGCAATCGACTGTGCGCAGCTAGCTGTTTACCACAATGGGCAATTTTTATGCAAAATCGAGAGTGGTCACCATATCTTCCACACGTTCGTTGCTGTTGGTCGGCGGGTTCCTTCTGGTTGTTTTGGCTCGTCTAGAGTGAGCCGAGGCCACAAGCGGCCTAGCGCGAGAGGAATTTAAAAAACCCTCGTCGGACTAAATATCTGTGCATCTCACCTTGCAAACTATCGTGCCCCGTCGGCCCGGGATTGTTTTCTCAAGAGGCCCGGCTACATTTGATTACGACACGGCTCGGGCGGTGGGCCTGTCACGACCGCACCTGCATAGGATACATCCTGGACGCAAGATCAAGGTTTGAGCTAGTGGTCCTCATCGCGCTTGTGTCGTTGCTGCACGCACATCCACCTGCAAGCACAGCAGTCGCCAGTCAGACTTCACCGCGCGCCTTTAGGCACAACCCGCGCTGCCTGACCTCATCTCCAGCACCTGGCCTGAGCATCCTCCCCTCGTGCCGCGCCAGTGAGGGATCCCAGTCCTTGCCCGCCACTTGCCGCAGCTCGAGTTATCAGCAGTCCCGGCGCCAGCAGTCGATCGCATCGTCTCTTGTAAGTACCGCTCTCTTGTATCACCCAGACTATTTACCGGCGACGCCGCACCCACTTTCGCGCGACCCAAGCGTGATCCTCTGCGGCTTCCACACCTCGCCCACCATTGATCCGAATGTCTGCCGCCGTGATGTCGAATTATTACTCATCGCAGCTCCAGGTACACAACTGGATGCTTGCGCAGATGTCGAATTACCCGCCACCGCCGCAGGCCGACCAGCAACACTACAATGCCTTGTATCCCACCTCCGCTGGCGCTCAGCAGCAGCTCTTGGACCCGGCCCAGCAGGATCAGCTGCAATTCAGCAGCCTCAACCAGCCAATTTACCCCAAGGTCGAGTCCAATGGTCCCGGCCATCCCCACAGTCCCTCTGGCCAGCACATTCACGATCTACATCACCACCACGTTCTAGAGGAGCAACAGCGGCATCACATCCACCATGCCCAACAGCAGATACAACAGCCCACGCCAGTCGCCAGCCATCCAGCGAGCAATGCTGCCCAGTCCCACCCTCCCACACAGACTTCAACGCCTGAACAGCCTCAGAAGACGAACCGGTTACGAAAAGCATGTGATTCATGCAGCATCCGCAAAGTCAAGGTAGGAACGACGCGAATGAACAATGTGGGCAAAGTATTGACCACGAACTGCAGTGCGACGAGACCGGTCCACCATGTCGAGCATGTGCTGCGCTAGATATTCCATGCACATTTGATCGCCCCAGTAGACGGCGTGGGCCTCCGAATCGCCACGCAGAAGCGATTAAGCGTCGCCGTTTGGAAGCTGAGAGTGCAGGCTCTCCGGGGCTCTCCGGAAATTCTTCGCCATCATCACCGACGCATGCCGCACAGGCACTGACAGCTCTGGCCTCGCACTCTTCCGCCCCGCTATCAGCAGAGTCCATCTGCCCGATTGAGACCCTCAACCTGCTCATCGACGACTTCTTCACTTACATTCACCCACTCTGCCCCTTTCCCCACGAGCCTAGCTTTCGCGAAGCGTGGAAGCGTAGAGAAGATCTTACCAATCGATCGTTTCTGGCATTGCTTGCGGCCATGATTGGAGCTTTGGTGGCCTCATTCCCGCGAAAGCCGCGGCTACATCTGAAGGCACAAAGGAGAGAGAACCTGTTCCCGAACCATATGAGCCTCGTGCACAGATGCCAGAAGGTATGTGCTTCGGCGCGTGGCCCAGGATATCTCGAGAGCGAAAGTTTGAACGTCTACGACGCGGCGACCAGCTATTTCCTGGCGCTCATGGGAATATACACCTTCAGATGGCGTCTGGGTCGGCTTTACTTCGGCGAATGCTTGACGATCCTACGAACCCTTGGCTTGCATAAGCCCAAGGGCCAGTCGGTGACGCAGCTCGGCACTCTTCCCGCTGCCATGGGATCTCATCACAATGGCAGCGGAGACGGTACCATCGAGATTGATAACATCACCCTCGAGATGGGCCGCCGCATATTCTGGACCATGTTCGTCAGCGTAAAATCAATGGAACAGCTCGGGGCTAGATTTGGCGAGCTGATCATCCCTCCACCGACACTTTCGGAGCCCTACCCACCCCTACCCGCCGAAGTCGACGACTTCTGTATTTATCCGACACACACCGAGCAACAGCCCGCGGGCTTGGTCCCCATGATCGCAGGCTTCAACGCGAACGTGCGAATCTACAGTGCTTACAACCCGCTGGCGACCACGGAGTTGGCGTGGGGTATAGATGCTGTCGTTGATTGGGATCGTCAAAAACGTGTCTTGCACGAGTCTCTGCACCGTTGCAAGAGCGCTATGACTGAGCTGCCAGAGGAGCTGGTCGTTAGGAATACCAGTGGCTTTGGTGGTCCTCATAGCACGGACAACAACAGCTTCTACCCAGGCTTTGGGCATCCGCAGTTCAATAGAGATCCTGCCCAGTCTCTGATGAGTCCATCATCGCGGTCCTCGATGGAACAGTCTCCAGAGGRGAGACGTCGCTCTCAGTATGAGGTGCAAAAGGCCAACATATACGCGTCGAGTCTGGCAACCCGCTCATACCTCGTCGATAAATACTGGAATCTGTGTGATGCCCATGAACGAGCGCGCAAGTCTTCTCAGCCAGGCTCTCCTAGTAAGGGCATCACYGCTGCTGGCATTGATGGCATGTTACCCCAAAATGGCACAGGCCAGTTTGAGCCCATCGAGACTGAGATGCGTGAGGAGAGAGAAAGCATCGTTAGAGATCTTCTCGTCGTGCTGGGCAGCATTGATCAGGTCAATATGGAGCCCAGCGCGGACTCATTTGTGAGTATCAACTTCCGATGACTCGGCACGTCAGTTGCTAATCATATTCACAGATCATGAAGATTCGATCCATTGCGAGTACCCTAATCCAGGCCCCCGATCAGCGCAAGGGACAAATTGCCGTTCAAGCTCAAGAGTACTTGGGTGCTTTCCTCAAGATTATCATGAGGCTTGAACGTGTGAGTCCTGCGAACAGCAACGACATGGATCAGCCCGAAGACGAGGACGCCGAACTCCGAGTCTGGGCCGACCTGAGAGAGTACCAGCACAAGTTTGCCGAACACGGGGGCTTGCTTGGTCTGCCTTGAATACGACATGGCTTGCGGGAGGAAACTTGTTTGGCGCCTTGATTATGCTCGATACCCCAGAAGGAAGCAGCACTATGGCGTTGGTCGGTTGAGATGTCCCTGTTAAATGCTTCGTTCGGACCGGTAGGTCCTATCATGTATGCTACACGATAGTGCTTTGATGTGTATTCGCACGCGGTCGATCTCTGCGCAACGTGGAGAGTTGATCGTCTCTAGCTAGACAGTGTCGTCACGCGAATATCAAGGAAATTGCACCTGACCTTTCTACAGAAGAGGAGTTGTTGATGGTATCCCTGCCTTGATGCCAGATATTCAGTCTCACATACGTATGAGGTGACGAGGGATGGTACAGGATATGATTTTGACAAAGCCAGCGTCGACGCTGAGACAACTTTACAAGTTTCTTTGTGATATCTCCCGATTCACATCTACGCCGTTGCTACCGTTCATCCRCTTTGAAGGAGACTCCAACACATTACAAGTGTTCAAGTCTCTTTGAAAGTCAGCCGAGGACCTTCTCAGCAGAAGACTCCTTGATGCCAGTGTTGTCTGGTTCCTCGTGGACCGACTTGACCTTTCCATCCTCGGTGACAATGGCATAACGCTTCGATCTGTTCTGGCCGAAGACGGCGGCAGACTCGAAGAAGAGGTCTACCTGCTTGGTGAATTCTCCGTGTGGGTCTCCGAGGAAGCGGATTCCACTCTTGGCTCCAGAGTCCAGGCTCTCGGCCCAGGCACCCATCACTACTGCAGSTTAGTGAAATCGAATGGGCACTGGAGAATGAGTCGAGGCCTACCGAATGGGTCGTTGACGGAGACGACAAAGACCTTGCCGGCATCTTTCAGGTTCTTGTTGTTGATGTAGCCTGGGATGTGGGACTGGGAGCACCCCGGGGAGAACGCAGCGGGCACGCCAATAATAACCTGTTGTGCATGAGAAAAAGACAGGTGAAGTCACTCGTTGCTGTTACACGTACGCCTTTGCCCGAAGCAAGTTCCTTGGCGATGTTGACCTTCCTATGTGATTGTCAGCGAAGTCACTTGTATAGAATTAACAATGCACAGCACTTACTTGTCGGGAGCTCCCTCGACGAGCTCGACGCTGGGGATCTGATCACCGGCTTTGACCATGTTGGCAGATGTTACGTGGAATTTTCTGGTGGTGACGTGTTTGGCGGTGAAGGGATGGCGGATGCTTGATGAGAGAGGTGCAGCAAGACGACGGGCCGTAAACATGGTTGATGAAAGTGCCGGAAGAGCTTGATTGAGTTTTGAGGCCCGAGGTGAGTGGTAAGCTGCAAGGCGGGAGAGCTCTCGAGGCTGCTGAAAGTGGAGTCGCAAGTGAAGCCGCCGCTAGTGCCAGTTCCGATGATGACGAAGAATATGTACCACCAACCTGCTTGATGAGCGCGTTCAAACAACATTTCTTTGCATGGGAGGTTACATATGTAGAATCGTAGAGCTGCATCGAGCATGCTGGCAGTCGAGCTTTGGCAGCGAAACACCTCTCGTAGAACTACAACGAAAGTGTGGCTCTTGATCATCAGCACCAGCAACAACTCTCGATGCTAAGAGACGTTGTATATAAAAATGCACATTACATCCTGCGCCAATCGGAAGACACTATTGGTGTTCACCATGTCAATCATTAGATGGACGGGTATACCTCATGTATAATGTGTCTTGGGCTATGGCACCCGGCACCTGAACGTGTAACCCATGGATTCATTCCATTCCATCCAGACGTCGCCCCGTGAAGCCCATCCGGTGACAACCATCGTAGCCCACATCGACATATCATCGTACAAAGGCTTCAATGCACCATCCGTGGATCATGTGACGTTTGCGGTGCACGTAGCCGACACCACGACCTATCGGATTTGGTGACATACAAGGCGCTTCCGGTGCCGGACCCGACGAAGCGAATTTTGCCTTTGAAATGCAGCCACGAACCGAAGACTGTGATGGTGCAGTCCAAAGTGAGTCTGACAGAGACTTGACCACAGTTGATATAAGGTAGCCTTGTATAAAACGTGGCCGCATCGGCAGCGCCGCCGATAGTTGCGACGAAGATCACCGCGCAAAGACGGGGGGATCATCAACCCTTTTAGATCTGTGATGAGATTGTCGAAGGTGCTCGGATAGAATTAAGGCAGAGCATCCATCCAACAAGCAAAGCCAACTGCAGCCACAGGCGCAACACGGCTTGGGTACCTTTTCTTCAGCGTGGTTTCTGCGCAATCTTTCCTCCGCTTCGCCGTGATCCCTGACTTTATCGGTCTGACGTTTCTTCTTGCTACCTACAGCAACTGTCCTGCCCGCCTGGATCTGCTCCAAACCAGGTTGTCGGTATCGGAACAGTCCTCAGCCCTCCCTCCTCAAGGAAAGCTAGCGGGCCGACGGGAGGAAGAAACAGTCCCCTCCTCGCAGCATCGCATACTGCTCGTTCCCGGGTGTCGTCCGCGCTCCCACGTCAGCGATCGCGCGTCGTCCCCATCGACACCGCCCTCCTGCGATCACTTCTCCGCGCCGCGCGATCCTCCTCAACGCATTGAGCGTTCCTTGGCGACAACGACGCGCCACAATCCCCAGATTATTCTTTGCGCCTCGGGATGACATAGTGCGTACAACAACCCGCTGTATGCATCAGAGTGCCGTGGAACCCAACCACGAGCGAGTTTGTGCAAACAGGATCGAGGATACCGTCACTGGATAAAGCCGCGGCAAAGGCTGGGATACACAACATGGACGGACAAGCGGGCCAGGCGGCCAATAATTCAAGCGACTTCGTACGTGCACGATGCGCCATGGAGTAGGAATACAGTACTAATTTGCCTTCAGGTGCGCAAACTCTATAAGATGTTGGAGAATCCGCAGGACGAGAGTGTGGTACGGTGGGGCAATGAAGGAGACAGCTTTGTTGTGCTGGAGGTATGTGTTGAGAAACCTATGGCAGCACCTCCATGTATCACGTTGAAGCGTGAGCCCTGGAAGCCTCGTAGCCCGGCAAGGACACCAGTCAATCCACCCGGAGGGAACGTCCGAACAGTACCCTTGGTCCACCCTGGTGCACGGAGAGGCTGCAGTTGGGAAACATGGCCAGTCGAAAGCTAACCTCTTGAGCAGAATGAGAAGTTCACAAAGCATATTTTGCCAAAGCATTTCAAGCATAGCAACTTCGCCAGTTTCGTACGTCAGCTTAACAAGTATGACTTCCACAAAGTACGACATAATAATGAAGAAGGAGGAGCATCTCCGTACGGCGCAGGGGTACGATATCCGCATTCATATCTCATGAAACTGGGAGGCACCAACTTACAATTCTACAGGCCTGGGAATTCAAACACCCGGATTTCAAAATGAACAACAAGGACGCACTGGACAATATTCGAAGGAAGGCACCTGCGCCGCGGAAAGCAAATGCCATGTCTGACGAACCACTTCCGACGCAACAAATGGACCTTGTCAACACCCAGCTGGTAGCTACCCAGCAGCAACTGCAGCAGCTCTCCGAGCGCTATACTGAATTGAGCATGCATCATTCCATGCTGTTGCAAGAGCTGATCGGCGTTCAAAAGACTGTCGTAAATCACGAGCACGTAATTCAATATGTTATGAATTTTTTGAATTCAGTCGATGCACAGAGGCGACGAGAAAGCAGAATCGTCAATCCAAACCCGTTCGCGAACTCTGGTAACGGAGCGAATGGTGTCAACTCGCCCAACGGTGGTAACGCGACGGGCCTGCCACCTATAGAGGATGACGTTCCAGCCTCACCCTTGCAACATGCGTCTAAGCTTCTTAGCGAGGTCAACGCGGATCATATGCTGAACACGCGAAATCTGGAGCAGATGAACGAGGCTCAGATGCGTATGAATGCTGCGCTGACCACACCTCCGCCGGACTTGTCGGCACGCAACGGAACTCGCTCATCCAGCAAAGGCGCTCAGCCACAGTCGGCAGGCTCTGCCGGCTCCGCTTCTTATGGCGAGCTCGAAAACGTGGTCTAWCCTATTGGGCACACTCAAGGGATAGACCCGATGTACAGCGATCATATTCATAATATTCCGTACCCAATGCCGGCCAAAGGACCCGATGGCAATGTCGCAGCACCACCGGTGCCAGAGTCGCGCAAGAAGAGCACCCAGATAGATCCTGGCTGGGTCCGACAGCCACAAATTCTCCTTGTGGAAGACGATCAAACTTGCAGGCGCATAGGCGGCAAGTTTCTACATGCCTTTCAATGCTTCATCGACAGCGCAGTGAGTTGAGATCCCGCATTTGAAAGTGAGAGATGCGCTGACATAGATCAGACGGATGGCCTCGAAGCTGTCAACAAGCTGAACACGGGTGCCAAGTACGATCTTGTTTTGATGGACATCATCATGCCTAGCCTCGATGGCGTTTCCGCGACGCATCTGGTGAGGCAGTTTGACCAAACAACTCCCATCATCGCCATGACATCCAACATTAGAAGTGATGACATAGGAATGTACTTTCAACATGGTAAGCGGCGATTTCGGAGATGATGAGAACGGACTTTGACAATTACAGGGATGAACGACGTTCTGCCCAAGCCGTTCACCAAGGAAGGGCTTTTAAGCATGCTGGAGAAGCATCTTCAACATCTCAAGAAGCACAATGCAGGTGGACTCGAAGTAATGCCCCCACCTTTAAATTCCGCCAAGCGAAGCCTAAAGACGGAAGATTCTCCGGCTACATCGCCTGCTGCGGTGAGCAATTGGAACTCCCCAAATCATCTCACAGGGGGCTCACCGAGCGGAAGTCTGAACGCCGACGATTCCTATATGCAAGCTGGATCGTACGTGCAACCTGGCATGCAGGCCCCGCCGCAATCGAGGTATGCACCTACGGCACCGGGTACACTGGTCATGCCCCCACGACAGCAGCCGATCCCTCAGGCTGGGCTGCACCGTCGTGGAATATCAGATATCACAGGAGGCCCAGAAATGGGCGTCGACGCCAAGCGCCAGCAGATGTACGGGCCTCCAAATCCTTTGGCGCACCTCCAGCAACCGATGCGCCCACCTCCGCGATGACAGTAGCGGACAGGAGTGGTGACGGAAATATACACATTCCAGCTTGTACGTAAGAGTTCTCAGTGGTTGGATACCAGATGATTGGGCATTTGCCGGCAGGTGTTACTAGCGGTTCTTCGGGTCTGTTGGGCGGGAGAAGTGTGCGACGATATCCACTGGGTTGAAGCAGCCAGATGCTGAGAAGAATGGAATGTGCTGCCGAAGTCCTAGCCAGTATTGCATATTGACCTGCTTCATGAAGCAGACTAATCGAATGATCACACACGGTTGCCATCGTGATGAAGAATGCATCACATTCACATCTGACCTCTTCTTGAGAAAAATCGCAGCACGCTTCTGAACCAATTGATGAGTTCAATGGGCGGTGAAGCCAGTTRTAGTGCCCAGAAGCCATAGTAATCGGGAGACCTGGCTTCTGGCTGAAGTCTCCTGGAGAGCTGTCACTCCAGACCGAGCTGGAGAAATCGCAAAWACAGAGTTTGGAGCGCATGAGTCAGCTTGAATCTTCTCAACACCACGCATTTAGACGAATAACTACAACTTAGCAACGACTAGTAACATCTTCGTCCCACCCTCTAACGACCATGCCTCCTAAGGGAAAGAAGGGCGGCGGAAAGGACGGTAAGGAGGCGGAGAGAGAAGAGCCATTGCAAGCTGTTGTGTTTGCAGACTCCTTCGAGACTCGATTCCTTCCTTACACTCTAGAATACCCGAGATGCCTGCTCAAATTGGCGAACACGCCACTCATCGAGTACACCCTCGAGTTTCTCGCGAGTGCGGGCGTTGAGGAGGTGTATTTATACTGCGGAAATCACACCGACGCGGTCGAAGAATATCTTCAGTACGTGCCAACACCAAGCTCGCGATAAGCGAATGCTGATTTCGCTAGGCAGTCCAAGTGGACGCAAAAGACGTCGCCATTCACACTCGAAGTCATCCGGTCGAGCTCGAGATCTGTCGGAGACTGTATGCGCGACATGATGGCCAAAGAATACATTGTTGGGGACTTCATCTGTGTCTATGGCGATGTCGTGGCGAACATCTCTCTCGAAACTGCCCTGGCTGCTCATCGCGCTCGTGTCGCCAAGGACAAGAAGTGCATTATGACAATGGTGCTGCGGGAAGCTGGCCAACTTCACAGGACGAAGTCTTCCCATACGCAATCCATCTTCGTCATCGACGAGGTTAAGGATCGGTGTGTGCACTACGAGCAGGTCCGACCCGGCCAGACTGTAGCCCTTGAGATTCCACCCGAGGCGCTAAAGGAGCACATCGAGCTCGACGTTCGAGGGGATCTCATTGACTGCGGCATCGATATTTGCACGCCCGAAGTATTGGCGCAGTATACCGACAACTTCGATTGGCAGCTTCCTCGCCGCGGTTTCCTCTATGGCGTGCTCAAGGACTACGAAACTTTCCAACTCACTGTGCACACGCACATTGTCACAGAGGGTTATGCAGCCCGAGTCAAGAACCTGCAAGCTTACGATGCGATCAGCAAGGACGTGATCTCGAGATGGACATACCCGCTTTGTCCAGACATGAATCTGTTGGCAGATCAGTCCTTCCAGTTGAGGAAACGCAATGTCTATCGGGAGGATCACGTCAAGTTGGCGCGCTCGAGTATCGTGGACCGTAACGCTGTCATTGGAAAGGACACAACGATTGGCGAACTTGCGACCATTACGRACAGCGTCATCGGTAGACGGTGTGTCATCGGGAATAGAGTMAAGATTGACGGCGCTTACATTTGGGATGACACCCACGTCGGAGACGATTCGATCATCGAAACGGCCATCATTGCAGATAAGGTCTCCATTGGCAAGAACTGCAAGATTGAGCGCGGTGCGCTGATCTCTTATGGCGTCAAATTTGCCGACAACATCATCGTCCCTGGAAACCGTCGAATCTCCAAATTGAAGCGGAAGCGTGGATATGAGGCGGACGAGGTCATTCAGGTGCCTGCAGATCCGAAGATCGTTGGTGAGGGAGGATCTGGGTATGCGATGGAGCCGGACGAGGATGAGGAAGATGATGCCGAATCACTACTATGTCAGGTGGAGAACATTAACCTCGAGGCAGACGACATCTCATCTTTCGACTCGGAGTCGGAAGAGGAAGACTACACCCATGATAATCAACGCGAGTCGGGACGCAGTGATAGCTTCGCTTCTATCGATTCGGATGAACATAGCGGAGCCAGACAGCAGGCCGCCGACTTTCATCTCGATGCCGTGACCTCTTTGCACGACGACATGGCGAAGGGGAACGAGCCGGAAAACATCCAGCTAGAGTTTAACAGCCTTCGCATGATGAACAACGCAGACGATAAGCAGTTACGGCGAGCGGTTGCTTCGGCATTCGGAAAGAGGATTGCGAGCAGCACGGAAAGCGGCAAGTCGCCCAAGGATGCTGTCGGTGAGCTCATTCCACGTTACAGGAGCTTGATTGAGGGCTATGTGAAGTTGGAGTCCGAACAGGCAGAGTTCATGCTGTATGTGCAGACGGATTTGGCGCAACGGCCGCAGGGAGAGAAGCTTTTGTTGTTCTTGTCGAACGCCTTGGCTCACAATGATATCGTGGAGGCGGAGGGGTTCGAGGCCTGGTGGAATGATCCGAGGAGTACGGCGTCGGAGAAGCTGCAGGCTGTGCGGAAGGAAACGCAGCCTTTGATTGATGTATTGTGTGGGGATGATGACGAGGAGAGTGATGAAGAGGAATCCGACGAGGACTGAGGAGTGTTGGTTTACAAAAGGAAAAGGCGCACTGCGATTCGAGACGAGAAATTCGTTGTACCTTTGCCAACCGTTATTTCTTCATAGAACAGAACGGAAGTAAAAGCATGATCATTCAGCTCATCATACACGTGCTCGATTGTCTTTCCTATCGAAAAGTAACCTTTTGTTTCAACCCGAACAGATTCTTTGAGACCGCTTTCATCAGCGGCCCCTAGGCCCGGCTAGGTAAGGTAGCGTATGTAGATCCCTGACCCTCACCCTCTTCCGTCATGCTTGAGGAGGGAGCAAAGACCGCTCTCGTCGTCTCGTACTCCTTCCTACCTCAGTAACCACGCGCGACCTCACTGCCTGGCACTGCCACGTTGAACACAATACWGAAGCTGCACGAGACTTTCACACGGATTCCACCGCGCAGAGTCATAGTCCTCTCGCTCGTCCCCGCAGTCTCTCTCCCCACACCGGTTGCTTCGTCATAGGCGAGGCAGCCCTCTTCTCCGCCACCACGCCTCCGTCAACAGCGACGAAGAAGCGGAAAGCATCCTTAACCTCCTCCACTGCCGACTCCCAACCTCATCCTAAAGCGAGCAAAACTTCGCATACTCCACAAGACGCGGGCCTTCTCGACGCCGCACTGCCCGCGACCCCGCTCACTCTTGCATCCGACAAGCACATGGATTCCGACGACGATTTTGGCAGTGTGGTGTCAAGCGACGATATCGATGTCGATGGAGACAGCAGTGTCGATTTCGGCGCGGCTGGTGAGTGGCAGCCCCGCAGCTGAAGGCCAGACGATAGACTGACTCATGGTGTGTTTGCAGACTCCGACGTGGACCTTGACGACGAGTACGAGGGAGGCGCCTTCGACGGGCAGGAGCAAGATTTGAAGCCACAGAAGAAGTTCTTCGAAGTCGATTTCACGGTCTACAGCCCAGGCGACATTCAGAAGCAGCAAGATCAGCAGGTGGCAGAGGTCTCCACCATGTTCGAGCAACCYCACGAAGCCACAGCGATCCTCTTACGATATGGACGATGGAACAAAGAGCGTCTGATCGAGAATTACATGGAGAACCAGGAGGAGGTGTTGGAAAAGGCGGGGTTGGGACAGGACATCCGGCGACACCCACCGCGGATCGAGACGGTCGATGGCTTCATGTGCGAGATTTGCTGCGAAGATGCCGCGGACCTCCAGACATTTGCCATGAAGTGTGGACACCGCTTCTGCATTGACTGCTACCGGCAGTATCTCTCTCAGAAGATCACCGAGGAAGGCGAGGCCGCGCGCATCAAATGCCCTGGCGACGGCTGCAATAGAATTGTGGATGCCAAGTCGCTGGATCTGTTGGTGACGCCCGACTTACGCGAACGATATCATGTCTTACTCATGCGGACTTATGTCGACGACAAGGAGAACCTCAAGTGGTGTCCGGCGCCGGAATGCGAGTTCGCCATCGACTGTRCCGTCAAGCAGCGCGACCTCACGAGGATTGTTCCGACGGTGGTATGTCACTGCAAACACAGCTTTTGCTTCGGCTGCACTCTCCCGGACCACCAGCCGTGTCCGTGCTCGTTGGTGAAGAAGTGGCTGAAAAAGTGCGCGGATGACAGTGAAACGGCCAACTGGATTTCAGCCAATACGAAGGAGTGCCCCAAGTGCAATTCAACGATTGAGAAGAACGGAGGCTGCAACCACATGACGTGTCGCAAGTGCCGAAATGAATTCTGCTGGATGTGCATGGGGGTGTGGGCGGAGCACGGCACCAGTTGGTACAACTGCAACCGCTTCGAGGAGAAGTCTGGGCTCGACGCTCGAGATGCACAGGCTAGAAGCCGGCAGTCTTTGGAGCGCTACCTACACTACTACAACCGCTACGCCAACCATGAGCTGTCTGCCAAACTTGACCGCGACATATTTCACAAGACGGAGAAGAAGATGACACTTCTCCAGAACCAGTCAGGTCTTTCATGGATCGAAGTGCAGTTCCTCGAAAATGCCTCCCATGCTCTGCAACAGTGCCGTCAAACTCTCAAGTGGACGTACGCTTTTGCATACTACCTCGCCCGCAACAACCAGACCGAAATCTTCGAGGACAATCAGAAAGATTTGGAGATGGCGGTCGAGAATCTGAGCGAGATGTTCGAGAAGCCAACGGAGCAGTTGTCGAGCTTGAAGGTCGAGATGATGGACAAGACAAGTTACTGTAATCGGAGGCGCATCATACTGCTGGACGACACGGCGAAGAATTTGAAGGAGGGTAAGTCTACCAACAAGTCCACTCACAACAGCGGAATGTCTGACGTGCTGATCTCTGGAGCAGAGGGATGGGAGTTTAATGTTGACCTCGTATGAGGTGACTGACTGCATTCACGACATCATATTTCTCTCCTATCGGCACTGGAATTCATCGGGCTAGGGCATATGGAAGGATGGAGAAGGCGTTAACGATAGCAAGCGCGGTGGGAGGCTACGGCAAGTAGCGAGCTGCCTGTCTGCCAGCCATTCTGCTTCTGGGTGCTTTTTGCTTGTAGCGATCATCGGAAACTGACGGAGATGTGCATAATACTAAAGCTCATGATATTTATCGGCATCATTTTTGCTGCACTCTTTCGATTGAAAATGTTCGTTTTCGTGAATATTCAAGGTAGTTGGCGGTTGGGCTCGTAGACGGTACTCTTCTCCAACGACGTCCTATGACTAAGGTATACAGTCTGTTTTAGATTTGCGTCAAAAGGATACAGCATGCAGTCTCCATGGGCCTGCCCGCTCGCTTTATCTCGTCACTAGCCATTACCCACGGGAATGGCTGATTCCCAAGTGATGGCTGTGCGTAAAGATCGCTGTTGACAACACCAACCCCCACGCTCTAGGTATCTGGAACAATGAGGGAGTGATCGTCATTCACTTACCAAAACTAAGATAACGAGGCATCGAGGGCTGTTCGGAATTCGCCCTCACGCGAAGGACAGTGGTAAGGATCAGGCGGGGGTATCGAAACGTCTCTCTCCTTTTGAATTTCGCTGGGAAAGTTTTGGCGATGCATGTTTGTATCTTGAACCAGGGATGACAAGAGAGAGGTCCCCTTTCCCCCAGGGCTCCCCTGCTGATGACATCTTAAGATGCTTGACCATTGACGTGTCAATGATGAAAGGAGATGGTTGTCGGACCGAGTGGGTGTGGGTACTTCAGACATCTTGTCGTTGACAAAGGTTATCCTGACGTGGCGACTGTGCTGTGATATCATTGCGCTCTGAATCGGTGATGTTTCGGTGTGTATAAAGTGGTAGTTGGTTGAGATACACCTCCATGCTCGTGACGTTGACGTGCAAGGTCGCAAGGGTCATTCCATGAGTTTGCTGTTTCCACGCAGCTTCGCGCGCTTACGCCTCGCATGGTAGACCTTGTGGTTTAGGCAATTTGATCTTACATGGACTCTTACCTATCATTCTCCCACGATGGGCGCTGCGGATAATCCAGAGGTACGATCGCGATCAGACTGCCTTGAGTGCTTGACCATGCCAGTTTGATGCTCTACCTGTCATTGCATGTCCCTGGGGCAAGGGTAGGCCATGTGCATCCGCACGCAAAGCGATGCATCTGCTCTAATAACCTTTACTCAAAGGCAGCAAGTTCGGAAGACACCGCCTCTATCTCAAATCTCGCACTTCTCAAACCCTGCCCACTTCGCTTCTAGAAGGTATTCTCCACCTTCTTTGCAACGATCGGATATCTAGCAGCGGAGGTTATGATGCAGCCTGATCGTTGTCATGGTTAGGGATCTAATCTCTGTTACCACGATGGTATGATAACGTGTGCTTTTGTTTTTTCACATTGCCATTGCCCAGGCACATCTTTGCTGCAACAATAACCGGCGATGAGCTATACTGGATGTTTTTTAAGCAAGCCAGATCCAAGAATCTGATCTGTGTATGCCTGGTAGGTGATTACCAACGTGCAGGTGCGAATCGATAACCTGGAGATACCGGGCATGTTACAAGATTGGCCACTTCAGGCTTTCAGGGCCCGCAGAGAGTCATGCAATGGCCAGGGATGATGCATTTGGAGCCGGAGCAGAAACAGGAACTGACAGGGAACGAACGGCTTCTAGAATGTTCTTTTTCACGCGTGGGAACATCCATCAGAACTTGCGGTGAAATACGAGAGGTCCCAGTTGACTTGCTCGGGCTGATGTGGGGATGGGCACCCCTTTCCCAGACCTCATGTGCGTGGCGAATGTTGCCACGACATGCGCATTGCCAAGGTTCGATCAAGTGGGTTTTGCTTCCTGGCTCAAAGCATTAGAGGATCCCATTTTGGCAAACATTCGGTCATCGTTGAGATGGTTGTTTTGATGGCAGATCTCAAGGAATCCCAGCGCGGGATCGCTGGCAATGGCATGGCTTGCACATGCACTAGGGCTTGCAGAATCCACGTCCGTGCTAACCAGGCATTACCCCGCGAGGGCTTTCCAATGTCACACGGACGGAGCAGGCCCATGATCAGACGGAGCCGACCCATGTCAGACGGAGCGGACCCGTGTCAGACGGAGCGGCTCCGTGTCAGAGACGGAGCGGACCCATGCTCGGTCGTAGGCCTGATATTGAACGGAGTACGGAGTCCATGATCTCGGCCCCGACCAGCTGCATTTCCCGCTGCTGACTTGGCCCACCAGGTCACTTGACTTGTCAACAATCTTGACGATGTGTTCGAACTTCTGGCCGTCCTTCGCGTTATCAGCTGGGGTTTGAATAGCTTCAACCTCATGATCCTGAAGTACTGTATGCAATATCGAGCCACAGCCGTATGCACTCGCCTGCATTTCGACTCGTGTAGAGCATGCACTCTGTCACGACCCAAGATCGATGTAGAACRTTGCCTAGATCCACAGCGGATAACCACAGTCGCGGGATTTCCTTGCGATTCAGACTCATCGGGAGATGGTCGAGAATCGCAAGATGCTGTAAATCCTCATGGCCTAGAGCGCTCCGMACTGCTTCATGGATGCTTATTTTCCGAAGGAGTAGATCAGGCCACCCAATGCCAGCAATACATGAGCTTGCAAGTGAAAGTGTATTTGTTTGTTCCCCGAGGGGAGTCCAACAAGAAACTTAGATGTAGCCCTACTGGGCAGATGGTGTCGGGCGGATTGCACTCCAATGCGGCCATGGGGCGGGCAGAGGAGGTTACTTGGATGGCCGAGACAGGCTTGGCGGAGAGGAATGTACAGAACGATGCCAAGCAGAGTGTTTCTAACCATCTCATGGCAAAAATTGCTCCCGGGCCGCATCGACTCAAGTGCATCGGATGGCAGTCAGATTTGTGACAGCACAATCGGACGGCGATTGACCTGCCCAGCTCGCGACGTCTTACGTTCAATCAGCAATCCACTGCCAGAATCTCTGCATTTGAGACACTTGGTCCCTGACGGCCAAGATACCCTCGTTACCGCCGGTGCGAGCGCGAGCGATGTTCTCGCAAAGCCTCTGCGCGCTGGCCAGACTGTTCAAATAGAAGAGATCGACGAAAGAACTTCGTAGGAAGATCTTCAGTCTGGCCGGCTTATCGATCACAGTGACCCACATCGCTGTCTCTGGGTAGAAGATGTAGAATGCTAAGTTCTTGTCGCTTGCAACGACGTCTAGGTACTCTTCTCGCAGTTGGTGATTGGTGTGAAGAAGGGCGGCTTTCTTTCCTCGGCGGAGGCTGGCCGACAGATCATCGGACACGATGCATGATATGATTTGAGTCCGAAGTTCGAGGGGTAGGAGCGTGAGTGAGRCTGACATGGTTGGTGATGATGGCATGGAAATGTGAGGTTGGTGTGGAAGGAGTATCGGACCTCAGCCCGTGAAGGATGCGCTAGACATGCATGCGCAGGAAAGACTGTCTATTTTAAGAAGTGTGATCGCCATGTGCCGATCAAGGTATACATTATTGTGCATTGGTCAAAGTCGAACGACATGGACGGTGTGTCTGTTCTTCTTGCTTCGACCGCCAATTACAGCTGCATTAACAAGCGTCGTACTCCCAAGAGTTTCCCATGACAGAAAGGTAGCATGCCATATCAACAGCAATGCCATGTGGATCACTGCCAGCAATCCTGCCTGTCCTTTGAGAATCCGTTCGTAGATATGCTGGAAGCGATCGTAAACGAGCACTTCCTGTCCGTATCCTCCATGTATATGTCCAAAGCAATGCAGTATCGGTCTCACCCTCCAAAGTTCCTCTAGCAAGGCACCTTCGCCATCTGAGAGGTCAAGATGGCATTCTGGCGGGGAGTGTGTGATCAAGATGTCCGTATCGTTTTCCACCCGGCCGTTGAAACAATCTACACCTCGATGGTTCTCGTACTGAAATGCCCAATTGCCGTTGTTTTTGGTCCACGGGCTTCCGTATATTTTCAGGCTTCGATCGTTTGGAAACCTCAGAACTGTAGATGAGTCCTCGAGATACGTGATGTCATCCCATCGCCAGTCGTTGCGCTACAGTTGTGGCATATTTAGCAGCGTAGACTTGGGCAGATCCAAGCAGACATCGTGGTTTCCTGCGATGATGATCTTGTGGCGATGTGGCTGCTCGCTCAGCCAGTCCAATTGGCGCGATAGTTCGTCGATTGTACCATGTTCTGTTAGGTCGCCCGCAACTATTAACAAATCTCCTTCGGGTAGCGCAGGCTGAGTGTTGTGAATGTCCGATATGCAGACTACGCCGATAGAGAGAGCAGTTTCCGACGTTTGCGGTTCAATTGCCGTTGCTCGCTGTGAATATAGAATTCGTGCGAGTGTTGGCCAGGGCGATTCGACAGCATCTCTCCATGAAAACGACTTCTTGTGGCGGACGATTGCATCCGGGGCCATTGGGAAATCAGCGAACGTCTGAGTCTGAATGCGGTTACAAGTTTGTCTGGATCATTAACGGTGCAAGATCGCGGAGGAGACGGCGCAGGTGAATATATTGCGCTGCTGCCTGCCGGATCCAAGCCTGTCTATAGTCCACGGTACTGACTTCTAGGCGCTGACAAAGAGGCAAGTTGTTACTAACCAGCAATGTTCGCAAGTACTGTGAATGACTTGCAAGTACATTGAAATGGTCAAGCCATTGTTGACTTCGCCATGGATGATCAAATTGAGCGTCCGTTCCGTCTCAGCAACGTTTGCTTGGCCTGCTTGCTCTTCGGAGAAATTGGGGTCACAAGAGTGGCCATCGTCGTTGCAAATGGTTACTGACCAACTGTCGTACGGGAGCAAAGGTACATGTAATAAATGAGGGTAAGATATTGATAATCGGTTATCAAATTGGCAACGACTCGGCGTCAGGAGCGATCGGGTTTCAGGTGCAATGAAGAGATGTTTTTCTTCAGTCGAGTCCCCAGCCTTTTTGATCTCCAGCCAGCCACCACAAAACAAGACCGACAAGACGTCGTCAGCCTTGCTCACTCGACTCCCCAATCAATAATCGCGTGTTTGCTCGTCACCTTGCTTCCGCTCACTTTTGTACATTCGCGACCCAGAATATCATTATCACAGGTGTACCCTTATTATTATTACTGGGAACAGCGGATCCGCCGCCCAAGCTCAGCCCAGCCCAGCCCAGCAACCGTAAACAAGTCAACACCCACACACCCCCGCTACTATACTCTCCACTCCCCCAAGATCAGCGATCAACAGTCTCGTCGGCTCAGCTCAGCTCTCTGCTTCCGCTGCGACGAGCAGCTAGAAGAGACTCCGGAACAAGACACAACACTTGCACCACCTACACAGAGCACCGCTCTTCGCTGTCGCTGGGCCGAAGCTCTCCCACCCCACCCTGCTGGGCATAATGCCGGTCCTCCCCCGCGTCCCGCCGTCCAAGCGAGATCTCCCAGCTTTACATCTGTCCGCCGACAGACTTCTCTCCACGGGCGAAAGACTCACTTCTGACGAGGCAGCGGCGGCCGGCTCAAAACGGGCGCTTCCACCCTTGAGTATTGACTCGGATGCGCTATTTGCGCCGCTGGCACTGCTGGGTCCTCCAAAAGCAGCGCCTCCCTCGAAACGACAATGGCCATCCTTCTTCCCATCCTTGAGCATTTCATCAGATGCACTTCTTGCGCCGCTCGAACGGCTGGCTCCCAAACCGAAGCCTACGACATGGAAGAGGAATCTGCCGCCATTGAGCTTGTCCTCGGATGCGATCCTCGCGCCACTCCGACAGCAGGGCGCTCAGGAAGAAGAGGCGTCGATGTCGAAGAGAGCGGGAGGCTCTGAGGACGTGTTCGACAAGATATCCGTCAAGCGATTGCAGTCCAATCCACCACAATCCTCGGCGTCGAAGAGAGATACTCCGCACTCGGGCCTGTCATCAGCCTCGCTACTCGACAATGTGCCGGTCGTAGGCCGTCCACTGCTCCGCGGCGAAGAGGAGACGCCGAATACCAAAAGAGACGCATCTCCGCTATTGAAACTGGACTCAGAGCAGGTCATGAATAGCCTGCCTCTTTCGAAACTCGGGCTGGAAAGGCTGCAGTCGTCGCCGCCGCCATCGGCACCTCCAACGAAACGAGAAAACGAGGCATCCAAACCTCCTCCGTTTGTGCAGGTCAACAGCTTGAAATTCCTCGATAAGCTTAGCAGAGTCGATGTCCTCCATCCGCTGGATCCGCCACCACCAGCATCGAAAAGGAACGAGGATTCAGCGGAAGACAGAGAAGGCCCTCCGGTTGTTGGCGTCAACACCCAGCAGTTCACCGACAAACTCAAGAGAAAGACAGGAGTTGACCCCGATCCATTGCATAGGAACAAAGCTTTATACCTTCGACAGGCCAACACCATCTTAATTCCAGCCCAGTACGCGGGAATCGATAGTGGTCCATCACCCGGCGCCGTGGCAGGCATCGTTCTCGGCAGCGTAGCCGGCTTCCTTCTGATTGTCTGGCTGCTCTGGCTGATCAGTAACGGTGGAGGCGTCTTACGCTCCAGCACATATGTCGAAGATGACATCGTTGTCTCCCGACACCGATCACGTAGTCCAGGCACCCGTCGTAGTCACCGCAGTCACCGCACTGAGATGACCAGTCGGAGTCCACGCCGCGAGCGTGTCATCAGGCAGGAGCGTATTGTACGAGATCGCAGCATGCCGGCACGGGAAACGAGTCGGCTGAGGGACACAGTAATTATGGATGAGCAGATCAGACCTGAAAGGAGAGTGGAGGGGGATGATATTGTGGAGGTAATCGAGGAGCATTCAAGTGTAAGCGTGCCGCCTCCGAGACGGTCGAAGGGCAGGCAGAGCAGCAGCGGATACAGGTAAGTTTGACCCTGAACGGCATGTGCGTGTGCTGTTGTGCAGGCACTGATATCTGTTCTCCCCACAGATGAGATCCGGACAGAGGCTTACTAGCGACTCCCAGACGAGGAGAGTACTCGGGCATTTGAGCGAACGCGTGTTGTGAGGGCGAGGACACATTCGATGTTCGAGCTGGGAAGTGGATGCCGATGTACAGTGTACAATTATGTTCAGACGAACGGCCAATGCTAGATGAGCAATATGGGAGCGACGGCGTTATGATTTTCACTTCTGAAGGAATAAGGTGGGTGGATTTGCAGGCCGAGATGGGCAAGACGGCTCCGTGCTATGTGTTCCATCTGCTCATGGAGCAATGGAACGAGTACGGGGGAGGAGATGAATGCATGGATGGAGATATACCCCAAGGTGTTGATCAAGTTTGATAAAGTGCGTGGTGTGTAGATATCCCACTGATTCGCATTTCAAAGTAGAGAGGAATGGACAGTAATTGATCGGAAATGGTTGACTCACGTCTACCTTATACTTGCTCCTTGGACTCCTCCATGCGAATGAGCGATAGACATGAGGCAGTCGCCAGAAGGTCTCGGGGCTTGCTGATAGGCCGAGCAGTTTCCTGCGGCCCGTGGCAGCCAAGTACATGTGTTCATAGCCTACGCTTCATGCCATCTTTGTATCCTCTGACGCTCTCAAGTGAACAGTTGCAGTTTCGTGATATCGTAACAATCATCTACCCAATACCACGTCCAAGTCAAGGCAGCGTGTGTATTAATAGCCCTGACATGACACACGCATTAGAAAATCCCCATCTGATGACCCTCGGTAAGAACCAATCCAATCCAACCCTCTTCGATTATAGTATTCCCTTCACTTCCTCCGCCGAGATAGAAGATCGAGAGAGGCCTCACAATCTTAGCAACTCTCCGACACTCAATCCCCAGTTCTCCTCTCTCCCCATCCTACTGACCAATCCCACCAGCTCTCCCAAACTCCTTTCCGCCTCCCCGAAACTCAAATGTTCCGCGTCCCAACTAAATCCCAACACCACACTCCTCTTATCCTCCGCCAAAAATCCCGTAATCGTCAACCCATTGTCCATTCTAGTCTGCATATCCTGGAATCTCAAGCCTTTAGGGTTCTGCGCCGTGGGAGCCGTGGGCAGCCAGTTGAAGCTCTGCCTTCGAATCAACGGCAACAAAGCTTCGGCGTCTAACTCCCTCTCGCGAAAGGAACGCGTGTCGTCTGGAGTAATGGGATCCCGGAGACGGTCCACGATGCGGAAGAAGGGCGTGTGAGCGAAAGAACTGTTCTGTTCTTCATCGGCGTTGACTTGTTGCATGAAGGATAAGACGGACTTTGAAAGGCCGACGGGAATGCGATCTAGGACGTATTCGGTGGTGCAGCCTGAGATGTCCAGAGGGTTGGAAGTGTATGCCTCTCGCTCGAGAGCATTGTAATCCGATGCAAAAGGCCAGGTACGAGCGGCGTTGATGGTGCCGAAGATGGCTTCTTTCCCGCCCGTCTTGGAGATGTTGAGGATGGCTATGGCTGCCTTGACGAGCATGAAGGACGGGACGCCATGTTCGGCTTTCAACCGGAAGAGGTCGTCGACTTTGACGGGACGGCGAAGTCCTCTTTGCGCGGCGAGCTTTTCGGAGAGACCAACATTCCGCTCCCCTCGACGGGCTTTGGCACCGTTCCAGCGCGTCCAGCCGGCGTCGTTGCCTTTGAACCATTCGGGTGCTCTCTGCACAGGCCAGAGGGTCGACTCGGGAACCTGGCTGATTCCAACGTGTTTATTTRTCCAGTATTGGATACCCTTTTCGGCTTCGACGCCGTCGCGGTGGTCATAGAATGCGGTGGCGTAGTCCTTGAAGAGGGCGTGTGGTAATACTGTGCCCTCACCTGTCAGGATGGTGACGATATCTTCGAGCCACACTTTCGTCATGCTCATGTCGTTGACGGCGTGCGAGCCAACCATGACCAGGCCGGAGCTGCCATCGTTTAGGACTTTTGCAATGTGGAAACGCACGAGAGGGCCCGGAGCCGTGGCATTATCCAAGACAGGGTCGTCGAGGAGGAGTGTGTTCAGGTCCTCCTTCTTCTCAACCTCCCAGCCAGTGGTCATGGAAGCTTTCAACCACTTCTCCGTGGAACGAACAGTAACCAACAGCATCTCGCCTTCATGGCTCTGGAGAGCCAAGGATCGCATGGTAGGGTGGAACTCCAACGACGCGGTGACCGCAGCGGCTAGCGCTTCCGCGGTCACATCAGCGTGGTAGCTGAAACGAAGATTCCACGAACCAGGCCGGGCTTGATTGACGAAGATGGCGTCCCAGTCGGGTAGTGGCACGACGTCCTCGACATCATTCCACGACATACCAAACGGCGTCAACATTTGCTCCACTGCGTGTTGTGTCTGTTGCATAACTGCAGGATCTTCACGTGCGTGTGGAATTTCTCCGAGAGTAGGAGGTCCCTGACGCGTGGGCTGCAGACTCACAGCGCTCTTCAGAGGTCTCGCCTCGATGAGGTCGGCTTGTTGTTGGATGGTCTCACAGGTCTTGAAGTCCTCAACAGTAATGTCCCGGTCGAGCTCCTTCTTGACTGTCCCAGAAAGCTGCATCATCATCAAAGAGTCGGCAAAAGTATCGAGGGCAGAGGTTGGAAGGAGGCCATCGGTGCCGCTGATCATCTTCCAGATGCCGATCAAAGCATCGACTGTGGAACCAGACTTGTCCAATGCCGCTTCTTGTTGTACTTTGAGGTATTCGCGAACAATCTTGGCCAGCTCCACCTTTCGAACCTTGCCAGATGCAGTGCTTGGGAAAGCATCGAGACCTAGGTCGGTCTTCAAATGCAAGATGACTTTGGGAGCAAAGGCTGGACCGAGGTCGCGTTGAGTGTCCTGCTTCATGGCGTTGACATCGACCTTGAAGCCCTCAACTGTGGTGATGACCGCAATGGGAACCTCTCCAGCCATTTCATCCGGTGCACCAACAACATGAACCATAAATACTTCGGTCTTCTTGCTGAGATAGTCTTCGATGCTGGCCGGAGAAATGTTCTCCCCTCCTCGGATGATCATGTCCTTGTACCTTCCGGAAATTCTCACAGCCCCATCTGCATCCATAATGGCTTGGTCTCCAGTAATGATCCATCTTGTGCCCTCTTCGTCTTGGTAAAAGTCATCGCTTGATACTCTTGGGTCCATGTATTGAGAGATGACCTGAGGACCGCCATTGTGAAGTTCACCGAATTGTCCCCGAGGGACGATATCCTTCGTGCCCGGCTCACAGATCTTGACCGACGTGGCCCGTACCGGTCGACCGGACATGACCTCGCCGTCTCGAATCACCGAGCCCTCATCAACAGACCACGCCATTGTCCCAGGGCTCTCAGTCATACCATAGCTGGTACTTGATGGGACCTTGAGAGATGATGTGCAAGCCTCGACCAGACTCGGTAGCACTCCAGCTCCACTGATGTCGATGCTTACTAGACTACTCAAGTTCGTCTTGCCAAACGAAGGATGTGCAAGAATGGCTTGAGCTGTGGTTGGAACCAAGCCCATGTGTGTTGCTCCTAATTGGTCAAAGCATTCCAGCGTAGCCTGAGCTTCAAAATTGTCTGAAGGATAAATAATCATGCCGCCTCGAATCCAGAATCCCAGTGACCAGCCAATACCATATGAATGGAATCCAGGTAGATGCTGGACGAATCTATGGCTGGAGTCAATCTTCTGAGCATCCATGTATCCCAAAGCTGCATTCAAACATTGGTAACTTGTCAGAGCACAAGGTTTCGGAAGCGAAGTGGTTCCGCTGGTGAACAAGATGACAATGGTGTCGTTGGCAGCCACGACATCTGGTGTATCTGGTGGAGTTGGGTCCCCTGACATGATGTCTGAGAGAAGGTTCCACGAATGTGCAGTCTTACTTCCCGACGTCGACAAGGTTATCCTCGTGTTGATTGATGACATGAGTTTCTCCGAGAGACTCTGCTCTATCTGGCTTGCGATGGTGAGATCGGCAGTCACCAGGACCACGGGTCCTGTCAGATCCAGCATATGGTTAAGCTCCTCTGCTCGAGTAGCGATCTTTGGATTGATGGGTACGAAAGGCGWGTGAAGGTATGCCGAAGCCCAGTAGAAGAGCGCCCACTCGGCCTGGTTGTTGATGAGGGCAGCAATCGGCCTGCGCTCGACATGAGCCATGCGGTTCAACGCGCTTGCCAATCGACGGGCGCCGCGGTCGATATCGGCAAAGGTCCATTGTACGTATTGCCTGTCGGTATGCTGGCTACCAACCCAGCGAAAAGTGGATGGGGATTGGTGTTTTGCGATCAAGGCAGTGGCATTGGGTCGGGCATTGACCGCATCCTGCCACAATTGCAAGTGAGAAATGTCTTGGTCTTCAATGCGTGGGCCATGAACAAGGGATGGAAGGGTGTCACACATGTTGTCAGGTTCAACGATGCCAGACGCAATGGGGATGAGGCGGCAGGAGGGTGGTGGGTAGGGACAGAAGTATGTATACCCATCCACCTCATGCCTGCGCCGGCAGAAGCGACACGCTTCAGCTGCTGTTCTCGCCACGCGAGCACCCTGCATGGGCCCGTTGGGAGGAACATCTCTAAACTCGTCCTTCGGATACGCGCGCACAGGGCGAGCTAGACAGGGTGGAATGAACCAGCAGTATCGAAGACTTGCAGCTCGCTTCAGCCGCCGTTTGACCCCAATGTAATCTGCGAGACGAGAATCTTTGCGCGAAAACCCGCAGTACGGCCATGTTCACGACCAGCATTATCACGGACCCAATTCCAAACGACGTAGGAGGTCTATTGTGGAATGTCCCGGCAGCCGGTGATGTCTCATGTAAATCTATCGACAACAGCCGCAAGGCGATCGCAAGACGAGATTCTGCTGGGATACGGGCGATTTGCTTGGTGGAGCAATGCACACGACCCACCGCGTTTGCATCTGCCCCCTAATAGGGCCGACGGGGTCGCGCTGGATCTGTTTGCTCGAAACGCTGGCTGTTCCCACGCCACCGCATCCACCAGCTTCTCCAGCATGGGGGCGAAGAACCTGAAAGAACACGAGAATACACCTTCTAGGTGGTGGAGCGTGATGATGTGCTGGCATCGTCATGATTCTTCCGTCGCTTCGGAGGTGCCATTCCAGAGGGTGTGCCATGCCCAACAATCGCATCCTCGTTTCCGTCTTCATCTTCGTCTTGGGGCCTGTTGGGTGTATGCAAATGCCTATTTACGAATCGCTAAGACGGAGAGAACATCACTTGGCAGTGCCGATGTCGTCCCTTGCATCGCGCTAGTCTTAGGGTTGTATGCAAGGAACGGCAATCATTGACAAGGATCCCGGGGCTCAAACAGGTGGCGGCGGCTGAAGGAAGGAGCCATGGACTCCAACTCAAAAGGTCAAATTTCGACGTGAAACTTGATCATCACCATCAACACATGTGATGCGTTGCCTCGGATGGCCCTGCTCATCATATCTCAAGACGACCAACGCCACGTCAATGGACCAGCAAGATACGATACGATACGCCGCCACGGATACTACCCTGTTACCGCCGAGGTGGAACGGGTGAGCCCAATAGCTTGACTCCACCTGCTGTTAAGCTGTGTCACAATGCAAGCATCGAAGCGCTGTGCCAAAAATGAAGTAAACGCATGCACCTCCCAAAGAAAAATTGATAGGTATCTGCACATGGTATCTCTGCGTAGCCGAGCCTTGCGCAGCATTCACCACGCACGCTTCTTCCCACACCACCACCCATCTCTTTCCCCAGCCCTTTCAACGTCCCATTACACAAGCTCCCCATCATTCGCCTCATTGGGCCTCCTTCGCCACGAGGATTGCCTTATCGGACAGTCAATCTGGATCTTCTATGCGCTGTCGTCGCGTACCCTACTATCCACAGTACTTCGACTCAACAGAATCCTTCGAGCGGCAATTGCTGCATCATCTCGGCCCTGTTATCTCGTAGAGTCATAGACTGCCTGACCGGTCAGCTATTTACGACACATCTGCATCGTCGGCAGCAAGCGACTTGGCGTGTCCATCTAGTACCGGACTTTCTCAGCTGTCAAGATCATTGCCAATCGAGGTCTTCTCCCGGGACACGCAGACCGGGGACTGCGTGCAAGTGCTTGGCTCGGAGACAGCGTGCATGCCCTTTGCAGCTCCTTTGCAGCTGATAGTCGATTGACTTGCTGGTCTCTACACTCCTCGGTGCCGTTCTCCTGCCATTGCACTTTCATCTCCTCCCTTCGCAGCAGCCATGTCGGGTGGAAGTTTTCATTTCCAGTTGCGCGACTCGCCCTTGCATTCGCGTGATGCCTCTGCCAGTTCCAATTTCAATCATGCTCCTAACCACGGCTCCTTTAACAGGCCATACCAAGCCTCGGAGTTTGCAGACTCCACAAGGCGATTGGTCCCGCCAGGTGCTGCTCACGAGAGATACGATGACCCCACATGGCATCACGCAAGCTCCCCAACAAACGCAGCATTCGCTCCTTCCTCGCCCACCAGGCAGGCTTTCTTGAACAGCCCTCCGGAGTCCCCTCGCTTCCCTAGACCGGACTCGCCGGGCTATCATCCGGGCTACTCGAGTCCTTATCAACACAGATGGCCCACGGGATCGAATCTCGCTTTACCAGCGAACGCTGCCCATTATCCGGAGAGTCGATCTTCAATGGCCACGGGCTACAAAGAAGAGTCCAAGGCTTCCTATAGTCCTCCCGTTGWGGTTCGGCCGATGGGAGGTCTTCCGCAAGGTCCTCCTGGTGGTCCTCCTCCAGATGGCGGGTATGTACACACGATTGCCTCTAAGACATCTAACGCTGACTCGACCACAGTCGCACTGCTTGGTTACAGGTTTTGGGAGGCTACTTCCTATTCTTCAACACATGGGGTCTGATCAATGCTTTTGGGTGAGTCGCCCTTTCCCACACAACCAGTCCAGCTTCTGATTTTGTGCAGTGTCTTCCAAACATACTACAAGACATCTCTCCTCCCTACATACACCAACTCCACAATCGCGTGGATCGGGACTCTGACCTCTTTCCTTCTCTGTGCCTCGCCAATAACATGGGGTCCCATCTTCGACACTGGTTCTCCGCGGCTTCTGGTCCTCTTCGGGTCCTTCAGCGTTGTCTTTGGGATCATGATGACTAGTCTGTGCACCGAGTACTGGCAAATCATGCTCGCGCAAGGAATCTGTTGTGGAGTCGGCGGTGGCTGCCTCTTCATCACGGCGACTTCCATTCTCCCATCCTACTTCTCCACGAAGCGTGCCTTGGTCATGGGAATCACCGCATCTGGGTCGTCTCTCGGCGGGGTCGTTTACCCAATCATCTTCACCTACGTCCAGCCTCAACTTGGGTTCGGCTGGGCGGTGCGTATAATCGGATTCATCGCCATCGCCACCCTCGCCATTCCCTGTGTGGTCATCAAACCCCGCATGCGACCTGCAGGAAGGAGAAAGGTTTTCGATACCTCCATTCTCAAAGAACTTCCCTTCTCCCTAATGAACGTCGCTACCTTCTTTGGCTTTGTGGGACAATACATTCCCTACTTCTTCATTGAGCAATTCGCAGAACAACATGACCTCAAACTTAACTTCTGGATGCTAATATTCCTTAACATTGGCTCCATCCCCGGCCGGATCATCCCCTCCCTTATCGCAGACCGCTTCTACCACCCCTTGAAAGTCCTAACAGCAACTACAGCTGGCGCCACAATCCTCGCCTTCTGCTGGATCGCGATCAAATCAAGCACAGCAGGTCTTATAGTCTGGTGTTTCCTGTATGGATTCTGTTCTGGAGCTTTTGTATCACTCCAGGGCGCTGCGGTAGCGAGCATGACGACAAATATGAGTACTATCGGGACGAGATTTGGGATCAACATGTTTGCTGGTGCTTTGGGAATCTTGATTGGAAGTCCAGTTGGCGGAGCGATCTTTCCGGAGAGTTGGCCTGGCGCGCAGATATTTTGTGGCGGGACGTTGGCGCTTGCTACAGCTGCCGTGGTCGCTACTGACATTGCTTATACAAGGAGTTTGAGGAACAGGGTTGGTGGGAAGGTGTGATTATTATGGAAGGGACTGGTAGTGTAATATCGTTTCACTAGATTTACGTGTGATGAATCTTTATGGATGAAAGTCGATCTAAAGTCTTGAGCACTATGGAATTGAGTGAATGTTGCAGAACGGTCTGCATATCTGGCCTGTATGTGATCTTATTATCGTGCGAGTAAATGTACATGTAAACAATCTCTTCATTCCTCCCTCGTCGCCCCGCATCGAGCGGAAAGCTTCGCCGCTTTTGATACCTAGTTCATCGCGCATAGACAGCTATCAAAATTCATTTCCCTTCTCAGTAATTACAAGGCGCAGTGACAGTGACAGTCTCTTTTGCGCCCTTCTCCGTAACAGTGACCGTTACCGCCTCTTTCGCGTCCGCAGAATACCCGTTGGGGGCAAAGTAACCGCTTGGACTAACCGGCACGATCGTGATCCCAGCCTTCTCCGAAGAAGTCGAAGTCGTTGCAGTGGAATAAGCAATCGGTGAGGAAGGAATAACGACGCTTGGCAGCGCAATTGAAGGGGTGGTTGTCGTGCTTGTTGTGGTTGTCATTGTCTGATGCAAGGTGGAAGGAGCAGGAGCTTCGAAGGAGGATGAAGATGGGAGTTGGCCGTAGACTGCTGGTGCGGAGGGTATTGATCGAGATGTACTCGCGAGAGTGGCAGGATTTGTGGCCGGGGTTTGTACCGAGGGTGGGTGTTGGGAGATTGCATCTGTCTCGAAAGCAGCCGAGGACGCCAGGGCTGAGGAGGCGAACCCATATGAAGGTACAGAAGAGGGAGAGTCTCCCTGGCCTCCGTAGACGGTCGTGTACATTGTCAAAAAGGTTGTGCTGTGGACCTCGTTTGGAGCTGCAGATGGTAGACCTTCACTCGAGTATACCGGGGCGATAGGTGAGGTTTGGGTGTAGCTAGGTGCCGAAGATGGTCCCGGAATCGGCGCCGAAGTCTCTACGGGCTCATAGTTGAAGGTTGCAGAAGCCGCCGTGGAGACTTGAGGTAGCTTCGAGGTGGTAGATCCGACGTATTGTGGAATTGTCACAGTCGAGCTGGAATTACTGTATGGGAATGGCCGGGAGCTTTGTACGGGCGAGACTTCAGTCGAGCCAATATAGCCTGAGGGAATGTGGGTAGATGGTTTTGAGCTGCTGTATTGCAGTGACGACAATGTGAAAGACGGTTCGGCGGAGCTTAATGCCAAAGAGCTGATCGTGTAGCTGGGCAAAGGCATGGTTGCAGAGGCGGACGGGCTATTCATCGTCTCGGAGGCAGCGTTTGAAGACAGAGCTACCGTGCTGGAAGATCCATACGTAGGCGCAGAAGAGGCTGCAGAGGTTGTGGGTGCAAAAGTGAAAGCCTCTGTTGTTGCTGTTGTGAACTGGCTTGTAGTCGCCGCTTCAGAGATAGCAGACGACGACGACGCCATGCCGGATGATCCATACGGGGGTACAGTAGAGACCATTGAGCTCATAGGAGCGTGGCTGGGTAAGTTCGTTGGAGGGCTTGTGTCGGAAGCGGCCGCGCTGGATACTCCATACGCCGGCACCGTGGGTACTGCAGACCTGGAAGATGCAGAGCTCGGGGAGACAAAGCTTGAAGATGGAGAGCTTATCGGTACGTAGGTCAATGGGGGCTCAGACAGCGGTGTGGTAGTCGTCGTTATTGGGTCGTAAGAGAATCCCGGGGTCGAGCTGGAAGCTTGGTATACAGGTGGTTTGGAATCTGTTGAAACAGCATCCTTCTCTACAGATGTAGACGAGGTTTGAACAGCCGGAACAGAAGTCGATGCAGTGAGATGAGCGGTGGAAATTCCACTCCCCATCCCATATGCAGAAGGCGAGATTGCTGCCGTCTCCTTTGTGGTGGCTAATGTTGTCAAAGGTTGTGTGAAGTCGGAACCGGCTGGCTGATAAACAGGAATCGTTGGTGGTGTCGTCACCGCATCAATCGAAGTCGACAATGGCGCGTAGGAGAACGGCAACGATGCAGAGGACGAGGCATAGCTGTCTGGAGTGGGGATTGTTGATGGTGATGCATATGGATCTGGGGATGTTCCTTCAACATTGGCATCTCGGGCGGCAATTGGACTTGCATGCACGAGAGAGGCACAGGCAGCCAAAAGGAGGAGGTCCAGAGCCAAGAACATGGCCGAATTATATGCAGGAAGCTGTGGCGGGTAACCGTTGGGTTTCTTTTCTTGGTATTATTTCTTTTGATTGGGAGACCGGCTCCAATGACAATGAGAGAAGGAAAGAACGAAGGGAAAAGCGAGGGATCGAGCAGGAAATAGTGAGTGAGTTACACGACGGAAATGAAAGACGAAGATGGAGGAAGAAGCAGCGGGGGATGAGAGGGGGGTGTATGAGGGAGTTGGGTAGGCTCATGTCTTGCTATGCTCCTCACACGACAGTCGTCCATATCCCGCGAGATCCATTCGTGCACAATGACCGGGTGCTCTGCGTGAGCTGTGCGAGGTCTATTCACGGCCAGCGCCTCGAGCGGTGGTCTTTGACGCTGCACGAAAAGTGAAAGGTCTCGCAGTCGGGAGGTGGAGGTGGAATGTCGCGCGTTCATTGGCGGGCGCTTACCGAGCACGGATCTGTCTGTTTCACCGGCATTCTTACAGAAGGCGCCATCCAGGAGGAGCGGAATGAAGCAGGTACGTGGGTTGACCGTTGAAGACGGTAGGAGCAGCATTTCAAGTGAATCCATGAATCAGGGCAAGTGATGGTAGATGAGGAGGTGCTGGTTGCGGTTGTGGTTGATGAGATGATATTTCGGACCGCTAGCCGAGTTGCTCCTTGCAACGGTTTTCCCGCCCGGGTCAACGATTCGTCGCGCGAAATTGACGATCTGGAATGATCTCCCACAAGCGGCACCTCTTTATTTATTACATGTGTGTAGCATGTCTGCAAGGGCCATTCCCTTCCGCCCTCGACGACGACCGCCTGGACTACTAACCCGCAGCAGGAGGAAGCGGACGCCACAACAGACGCGACGAGTGTCGAGATGAGTGTACGCGTTGTGGCGCGAGTGCGGCCATTGCTCAAGAACGAGGTTGCCAACGACGTGATTGTTGAGGCGGCCAACTCTGCCATTTCCATCCCGAACCCCAARAGCGACGCGGAGAAATACTCGTTTCAGTTCAGCAGCGTGTACGATCAGGATGCCAGCCAGAGCGACCTGTTCGATGCGGAAATCAGTCCGAATGTCAAGCACATCTTCAAGGGATTCGATGTTACCCTCTTCGCGTATGGAGTCACGGGGACCGGCAAAACACACACGATGCGTGGAGGAAAGAGTCTGGCGGAGCGCGGTGTCATCCCACGATTGCTCTCGGCCATCTACCGCAAGGCGCGAAAGGTGGAGAAGGATACCGCGGGCGACACCAGCGTCGAGGTGGTCATGAGCTATTACGAAATTTACAATGACCGCGTCTTCGACCTCTTCCAGCCTCCAGAGAAGCGCACTCCTGCGGGACTTGCCATCCGGGACAATTCCAGCGGCAAGGCCATTGTTGTCGGTCTGACGGAGCGGCCTTGCACCAACTTGAAGGACTTTGAAAAGGCTTACGACGAGGCTAATCTCAACCGCTCGACCTCCGCCACGAAGCTCAATGCGCACTCGTCACGATCGCATGCTGTCCTCTGCGTCAAGGTCACCCAAATTACCGGCAATGAAGTGAGAGTCAGCACCGCCTCCGCGATTGATCTGGCTGGCTCCGAGGACAACCGCCGGACGGACAACAACAAAGACCGCCTGGTGGAGAGTGCGAGTATCAACAAGTCCCTCTTCGTCCTGGCGTCGTGCGTAGAAGCCATTTCACGGAAACAATCCCGAATTCCTTACCGCGAATCCAAAATGACGCGAATTCTGGCTCTTGGTCAGAACAATGGCTTGACAATCATGATCCTCAACCTCGCCCCTGTGCGCAGCTACCACCTTGATACATTGAGCAGTCTCAACTTTGCCAACAGAACCAAGAAGATCGAAGTGAATGAGATTGAGAACGTGCCTTTCTTCCGCGAAGGCGCCGCTCCCACCAGCAAAACCAAATTTGAAAGCGCTACAGGACTAACAGCACCGTCGATGAATCGTCAACCGCTTCGTTCCAAGATCCTCTCCCAGAACAGCCATCTCAAGGATGTCGGAGGAACCACAKCCACCGCCAAACCTGCCAAGCAATTCGCAGTCTTTTCTGACAAGCCCAAGCCAGGACCAAAGGCCATCAATGTCGCAAATACCGCTCAGATTCGTCCCACAGCTGCTCTGAAATCACCTAAACGAACCAGCAGCGAAGCCACTATGGGACATTTCGGCCGCCCTGCAAAGGCACTCCGCGCCAGCGTTGCCGAAGCCGCACCAGGCATGTCCCAGGAAGCCATTGAGCGCCTGATCGAGCAGAAAGTGAGCGAGGCTCTTGCGCTCGGCCAGCAGAAGAAGACCCGGGACCTTCCTGCTGCTGCCGAAGTAGCTATCTCTGATGAAGTCCAGCGTCGACTTGATGCTTTGGAGAAGCGCGTAGAGGGTCAGGAGACGGAACGCGCGGAGGGATTGCAATATCTCCTCATGGCGAAACAACATCAAGTGCGAGGGGAGGATCTGAGTGCGTTGAAAATGTACGAGCTTGCCCTCCCACACTTTCCGGGGAATGCGAAACTGGCAAGGAAGATGGGTGTATTGAGAGACAGGATTGAGAGCAAGAGGGCAGAAAAGGAGAGGTCAAGAGAAGAGGAAATGGAATTCGTACGACCGCAAAGCATGAGGAAGGCTGTGGATGACGAAGATGAAGGAGATGAGTCTTACCACGAAGAAGTTATCGATGAGGCCGAGGACGAAGATGATGACTTCGTGTTCAAGAAGCCCGCGGCTCCGAGGACCAGAATTCGAGCACGACCGCTCACGAGCATCCCACTCCAAGCCTCCAATGCTAGACATCAACGGACTGTGTCTTTGGATTCGGCGACGAAACATCCTGGTCCGACCATGTCTGAGACGGAAGAAGATTCTGAAGATGAATTGGCCAAGAGTTTGCTTAGGATGCAGACTCCACGGACCAAACAACTTTTACACATCATCAACTCGCGAGACGTCAGTAGAATTCAGCTTTTGAAGGGGGTTGGGAAGAAGAAGGCGGAAGCCATTGTCAATTGTCTGCTTGATTTGGAGGTCGGAGAGGTTAGAAGTTTGGGAGAGTTGGGAGGTTTGAAGGGAGTGGGTGCCAAAGGGGTGGAGAACATGAGGGTCGGATTGTTGGAGTTTTGAATGTGAAGGACCGAGTGACGGCGTTTCTGGGTTATCTTGAGGCTTAGCAAGGTGTTGGTGGTGCATTGTCCGGCGGCGTTGGGATTGATAGAGGGAAACAGAATAAAATTTCCTCCTTGACCGATCTACAGCATGGAACCATATCCATATGCCGTGCCTGCAGTCTTGGCTGATGCGCATTTCGAGCAGTCCGGAATAGGTGAGGCAGGTGTCGCGTCAGCTTACCTCTGACTGCCAGAGAAGCACAATATTGCAGTCGAATGGTCTAGACCAAGTACTTCGACTTGACGAAGTTCATCCCTCCACGCCTTCACCGCTTCGTTTGAGGGACGAATTTCGTGGATGTCAAGAAACAGATCTTACTTGACGTCTCCACGCAAGCATCTCATCAGGTACCGTGTACGATGATGGGATCTGAAACATGAAGCTACTGTACGTCTGATGTAATATCGTTTGCCACCTCACGACTACAACACATTATTCCATAAGTTGCTTCTGCAAGCTCGATGACACCTAACAAGACCCTGCAGGGCGAGGACTACCTACACAACTTACAGGGACACTGGATGCAGTACGAACTTCGAAGGGTCTTGTCTCGCAAACCTCAACATGCTCACTCATCAAAAAAGGCCACGTCATTTTGAGCACAGCCACCATACAGCATCACGCAATTTGACGAGCAGGCCCGAGAGATTGTGCCCTGCTGTCCCAAATTGGACATTTGCGATGAAACGCCCCTGAATGGACCAGGWTCCCTATGGTATATCTTCGAAGCTCACATGGATTAGCTTGGCAGCCAACTTCACGTTTCCAGCCTTTCTGGCAAGTTGGCGGCAGATGCACACCGAAACACTCGTGCCAAACTTGCCATGAGACGGGTCATCTGTCGTCCCTGCCTTCAGGTGCCACATTCGTTTCCGAGATAATCGTCGTCATCGAAGATTTCGTCGAATGGCTGCGAGACGGCTTATCAGTGTTGAGTAAGTACCGCCACGGAGCCCTGGTTTCATCTCGTCGTTCGGTAGATATGCAGATGGCAGCAGGCGTGTACAGTCATTCATTTATACTAGCGATGAGGTCTGTTGGTTGGGTTTCGAACACACTTGACTACTCTTCCTCTTTCTCTCTAGCACCTGCATCCTTTCTACTCTAGCGTTCACCTAACGAGTGGCGATTCCCTCTATGCCTGTCCTTCCAACTATAGCCTCGATATGCGGAATCATAAGCTGCTTCCAGTCAGCCGGCAGTCTATTCACCGCGGTCAATTCGAGAAAAGAGGCGACGCGACGGTACAAGGACCTCCAAGCCGAGAAAGAAGAAGCCAAGGCCGCCGAAAAGGCTTCCAAAGCGTTGACGGTGGGAAAGTCCGACGTACAGTCTGAATACGATCGGAATTTTGCTAGGATTGGACCGCAGTATGCAACGGGTGATCGTATATACCGCCCTTGTCGTACCGAGAATATACAGTAGCTGACAAGCGCGAACAGAAACAGGATGTATGCAACTCATGTCGGAGCTGCTACAAATGCAGCGAGAAGTCATCGGTGTTTTGCATTCGGCTCTCACAGGCGGACAACTGGACGTGAACAAACTCGCCCTTGCGGCCGACTCTCGAACAGATAACACAATCTCAGTTCTCAACGACCAATTCCAACGCATGTCTGTCAATGCTCCCATTCGACGACCCATCAAACCCAGAGCATTACCTCTGCGACGACCACAGCTCTGTCAAGAAGCACAAAGACTTTTGGCGTGTCCCTCATCCACACCGAGATATAAAACAAGACTGATGCTCCCGGATCCCGAGGACCCGACCAAAGTCGCTCGAGAATGTTCATCCTGCTCAAGTACGTGGAACGACCGACCGGTGGGATTGATCAAGGATCCCGTAAGCAAGCTGCGATATCCAAGCGACTTTCAGTTCAGATGTCACACACCGGTCGACAATCTGTATCTTTGCTACATCTGTGGGCCCGATTACGAGAGTCCTGTGATGGATGGACATGCAGAGTTGATGGCACATCTAAGGAMACACTCGCAGAGTGATTTGATGAGACCTGCGCGAGTCAATTCGCCGGCGCCAGTCTCTAGCGACAGCTACGAGAATAACTGGATGCCGAAGGGGTGGAAGGGAGGGTATGTGGAGGAGCAGTCCCTCCCAAATACACCCATGCCGACGCCTCAAAAAGGAGGTGGACATATGAATGTCATGGCGGATATTCCGCCGCCACCAATAGGGGACTTCAGGAAAGTCGGACATTTACGCAWCGTGTCGGCTCCTTCTCCATCTTGGAGAGGTGTCAAGAATGGCGGCCACACAGATGGAGATGAAGGACCGTTTTTGTCTCCGGGAAGATCGGGCAAAGGTGGTGGTGGCTACATGGGAGGCAAATCGGCCCCTCCTTCGCCCACCACGGGAAGCTTCAAGGGAGGAAATATTGATAGGAAGCCGACTCCTCCTCCACCTCAGGGACGACATCGACGTGTATGCGGAGCTGGCTGAAGAGAGAAGTGATGCGTACTCTGGAAATCCGAATTTCGCAGAAGACTTACTCGCTTGACAACAACACTTACGAGCCGACACGGATGCCGAAGTTAAGATACCATCGACCATCCGCAGATGAGGATTAGAAGGCGAAGGAGAGCCATCTTGGCTGCGGCTTCAAACGTCTTTTCGACATTTTGTACTACTGGGCTACTAAGGAGCTATGATTTGCCGAAAGATTCGTCGTCATTTGCGCAATTTTAAATGTACTTGTCAATGGCTACAGCCTTGGTTGGGGATAAATACAAGGAGTTATATAGACTCGAGCRATACAAGTGCCAAATCAAAGAAGATGTATGCACATATTGAAGCCTTCCCAATGCTCTTTTTATGTTTTTCATCGAAGCACGACAGTTTTACATCTTCAGATCATCACAAGGCCTTGCTCTGGATAGKTTCAACGAGTCTCGAGCTGCTAGAGCCCTTAATGCTAGCAGCACCGGCCGCCAGTTAATTGAGTGAGTAGTAGAATGCTGATGCTCTCTCATCTCAATAGCCCTGGAATGTCTAATGTTCGGTCATTGACTTGATTTGGTTCTCGTTGAGAATTCAATCATGCATGTCCAAGCTGAATGATCTTCTCTGCCATCTCKATCAAGGTGGTCGCCATGATATCCATTTTCCCCTAAGCCATGTCAATCAACAATCGTACCAGGAAGTTTTTGACAGAACTTACATAAATCTCGGAGCAATCTTCATTCTCATAAGCGGAACAATATGCGCCTTTGAAGCCCACTGCACACACCAGGATCAGCATCTTATTCACTACACTCCAAATTTCAAATCTCACCTTGAGTAGCCGCTGATACATCCCACATATGAGCTGCTGCGAAGACCTTGATATCTTCCTCTGCAAACTTTGCGAATGTTGGACGGTATGCTTCGAGAAATGTCAGTCTAGGAGATCTCTTAGGAAAAAAACATCGCTCAACGTACCGGCAAGAGCTGGCTTCGCAACACCCTGGCTATCACAGCTCACAAAACACTCCGCAGGCATATCAACGCCACCACGCTTGAAGTAACCCTGCACCCGGGGGATATCTGCCGYAGTAAGACACCAAACATTCCAGCCCTTCGACTTCAGCAACTCAATACATTCCTTCGCTCCCTCTCTCAATCCCAACAGCGCATAACCTTCTTGACATAAATCTCTCTCCTCATCCGTGAAGACTTTCCTTGGCTCTGGGACTCCAGCGAACCAAAGCGTGCGATAGAAAGTCGCCTTCATGACTTCCTTGTAGGCCGTGTGTCTGGAGCTAATGGACATGAAGGTGAATTCCAATTCCGCAGATGTCATCCACGAGAACCCGAAGATCTGAGGAGAGATGTTGTGAGCTTGGAGTTTCTTCCCGATGGTTTCTTCGATTCTTTGGTGGAATGCGTCGAAGGAAACTAGGGTTCCGACGATGTCGAAGACGACTTGTTTTGCCATTGTCGATTGGATGAAGTGGTTATGGAAGTTTGGGGATGGGGTCGCTGATTTTGTGTTTGCTCAATGAGTTGCGGTTGAGTTGTTGGAAACGTGAGTGGAAGAGTGACCGGGCCGGGCAGCATAAGTCACTTATTAGAGCTTCGGGCAAGCACGGCMTACGATATGGGACGACAGGGATGATGACTAAACGTCGTCTTGACGTAGGTATCGATGTACCGTACGAATGTGCGTATGATTCGAACTTGCTGGCTGATATGGCCATGATTTGATGGTTGTTTTATTGTGATGAACTAATCTGCCGTGTGGATTTGAGGTGAATCGGACGTTGCTTAGGGTTAGGGTTGGGGTAGAGTCGTCGACGCAAAGATGACCGCACTCGAACCAAGTATGCATTGGCTCTTACGAAGTATGCATTGGCTCTTACGAACGGCCAACTATATATTTGAGCTGATATGTTTGAGGTAGATGACGAACTGCAGCTTCCATCGGCYACTGATTCTGGCGAAAAAGGGGCAGTGTGCGCGAAGCATCCATTTCGTATGCGCCTCAAAATCGTATGTCTTGGTACAACAACCGACGCTGGACTTGGATTCACTCTTACGGCTGCTTCTTGATCCAATCCTGCGAGTTGCACCTATGTATCCTCGCCCAATTGTCTGGCGTCGTGAAGTCGCGTCACACATAGGTGCTATCCTTGAGCAAATAGGGGTGCYTGTCCTTCTTCCCGAGCGGTCAAGGCTCACAGCGTCTGCACACATCAGCGCCTATCAAATGTGGTCGATAAAGAGTTTCCTACGACGAAAGATCAGTCTTGAGGTCACATCCGGGAAGCAATGATCTGGGTGCAAGAGTTGGCGAATGTGATCCTAGAAAGGTCGGCTTTGCGGAGATCCGTCGAGGAGGCTTGAACGCAATCACCAGWCAGTGCAGATTGTGAGGAACCTCCAGACCGTATACATGAAACTTGTTATTCATGGCGTACGTGACGGGATGTTAAAAACTGCTAAGATCGAGCCCGGTGTCATCGTTGGCCTCGATCATACCGTCACAAGTTGTGGAACGATTGAACGGGGACAAATCATGTTGAAGCTCCAGTGACCCAAACGGTAAGAGAGATTGCCTTCTATTGCGCATCTCGTCTGAAGAGAGGTCAAAAACTCTGCTTGTCCTCCTCGCACGCTCCACAGTTGTTGCGCAGAGATAATTATGTGAGCATCGCTCTGACAGTGAACCATGGCCATTTTGAACTTGCAGAAGTAGTCGGATATAACGACATGTCAGCATTCTACGGGAGTAGGTAAATTTGAAAGCCGCGTGCAATCCATGGTCCCAGCCTTCCCATTCGAAAAAACTCCGACGAATACAAYAATCTCTCCTATTGCAACCACGAAGCTGTTTCTCAGCTGTATTGCAGCATAAAATAGCACGGTCCTTGCTCTCCCTACCACAGCATGTCGTAGTACTAATGCGGGCGGAAAATCAATCGCTGATCGACCACCAGAGCGTGGCAACTGTTAAAAAGCGTGGAAACAATTGTCCGTGACTCGTCAAAGCCATCAAGCGAAGTGTTGAATGGATGTCTGCTGAGGCGGCCAAATTCTGTGATAGGGAAACGTGAAAACTGTTTCTCCCAGCCGATGTTCCCTCAGCCGAGGCTTTTGGCAAAAAAGAGATGGTCGAGAAACGTATTGTATTGGCTATGCCTTTGGGTCATGAAGGATAGAAAGCGAAGCGTTGAACGGCGCGCCGCGAAGAACGAATAGTTAAGCATATACGTGGTGACTTTGTACCTTCCAACGGTTTAACACAAACCGTATTCATTGAGATCGGCTCGGATCATCTTATTTCCGACCTCCACCCAAATACATTCATCATCGAGCGAAACCAAAGAATGGCTTTCCCCAGCAGATGATAAGCTCTCCAACCAGGAAATTCTCATCGATCATAGTTGTGAAGAGCGCTTTGTACTCCTCCGAGCTTTCATGTTTGTCCAAAGCGTTTTGTGACGTATACCTACAGCGAACAACTCGTCTGCAGTTCGTAGCTATCTCAACTACCGACACTTAAATGTTATACACACTTCTTAAACATCAGGAATTTGGTTCCGCCATTAGCAGATTCTTCTTCGTAAACGCTGAATTGCAAGTTCTACGTCCGAAGACGACATGTTGTGTGAATTGTTAGATCTTGTAGGGGAATTGTGAGTGATCGTTTCATCACCTACGCGAAATAGGTTCCAATTCGACTTCTCTTAAATGTCAACATTATCGCCTACGTAGTTGGCATCAATCTTGAGTCCTTCGTGCCCTGGCCCGAACTAGTAGAGTCCGAAGGACGGGTCAAACTTTAATTTCCATATTACTGATCAAGATATTTTATAGCAGTAGAGGAAATAAAGAATCTCCATTACGGATTTATTATGCGTCACCCTTAACTTCTGGGTGGTCACGACATTCGACCACAGATACATGGACGGAGGCCATTCCGGCCGCTGTCTACGGAGTATACCACAGATGTCACACTCCCATTCCTCGAACCCGTATTCGTAATCCTATGCCAAGCTCTTGGCATAATCGACGATTCCGGTTTGACGATTCCRGTCTCTCGGGTTGAGATGATAATGATGAATTCGTCACTGCGCGAGCCACTATAAGCACGCGCCGCGTACGTTGTAGTATACCAGTAGCAGCCTTCGTATAAGATACGATGTCCGAGAGGGACGGCCCTCTATGAGACATAGTTGTAGCACGCGGCCGCTCGAACCAACGATAGGTGGCGTAGGAATAGAGTTGCTAGCGGGCTGCGAAGTGATGACGGTCTCATTAGACCTTTTAGTGAAGTCACCGAAACTATTTAACTTCTCATTTACAAGGACTATAACGGACTACCTTGGAGACCTCTTCTCTATCAATTTTGACGCTAGTGAACGCGGTGAGTCTGGCAACAAGCACTGGCACTTGATATTAGAGGCATCTAAGAAACGAGCCAACTCACCTCACAGAACAGAGGTCATTGTCATTTCTTCTAGCACACCACCAGCGTAAGCAACATGGTTGTAAGATGAACGACAAGGGCAGGGGAGAGTGAAAGCGGCCCTATCCGGCGCCARCATCACGTCACACCACATTGACACCGGCTTCCGTACCCAGACAAGGCAAGTTTAAAGTGACCACGTTCGCTGTTATATCATCCATGTGTTTTTATTCTCAAGCAACTGTTCCATGAGCTCTCCGGCGCCGATACAGTATCAAGCAAGTCATTCTTTGTCTCCACTCTCCTACATCGTCTCAATGGACTCCTCCGATGTCTCTTCGCCTAGGTCCAACTCACGACCCTCACACAAGCTCTACCACAAGTTTGCTCCCTTCCGGAAGCGACAACTGAGGGAGGTGCGCTCAGAGGAGAACATCACGGTAGCCGAATCGTTGCCCAGCATGAATGAGGTAGTTGATTCGGCACATCCTTCGCCTGTAAGTATCCATATTTCATTATTTGGGGATCAATCTTTTGATCCAACCCATACAGCGCCCAAGTCTGTCCAACTCCAGCATCAACCAGAAGTCTGCAATAGGTGTGCCAGAGCCTACATGGACTGTACATCATCAGCAGGGGTCAGGGGGCTATGAGCACCTGACAGCATTGCCATTGAAAATACACCCGCCCACCCTTCCTTTGCCACCTGTCCCGCAGTGCATTTCACGCGCGAGTTTGAACAGGAACGCCATCGCTTATTTTCAGAAATCCAAGTACTCGCAGGGCGCGGTCGATCGATCGACAGCCACAAACTCCAATGCTGAAAGCGATGACTTTTCGCTGAGACTTGGGGCACGGTCTGACGATGATAAAGATCGACCACGAACGCCGGTCTCTCCAGCAGATTTTCCAATGCCTGTGTTCACCAAGCCGGCTACATCAGAAAGTCCTACTGGAGGCCGTCATGGGTACATTTGTATTCCTCTTCTCTGACACGCAGAAGCTGATATAAGTACAGAAACGGCGGTCGCCGGCCTTCTCATCAGTCAGTAGAAACCTACCAAATCGGAAGCCAAAATAGGGGTCGCCAACCCTCGTATCAGTCAACGGAAGGCAGCCAAGTCAGAACCCAGAACTCAGGATTCTTGAAGACGCATCCTTCCCCGACATCCTTAGCCGTACAAGACTCCCGTCGAAGTGAGAGGTCGCCAGCGCAACCTCAGGTAGCATCGCGGACTAGCTCCAATCCTCCACGCAGTGATACGTCTACAAGGGGTCCGAAGAAGATAGGCCCCGAAGCGCTAGCACAGCTCCAAACCCCATCAGCGGACAAGAGCGATGTCCTCCATACCAAACTCATCCTAGCAGACGATCCTGAATCTTGGGATGTGATCAACCCTAACATGCTGACGGCCGAAGATTGGGACAGAGATCTGTATTCGCTCGAGAAGAGAGCCGAGCAGCTTTACAGTCCCGCTCACCTACATATCATTCTTGAGGTAAGCTGGCCACGGAGCATCATTAGTACCAGCAGTACTAATCATGAACAGGACCCAGAATTCCACTTCCGTTTCTCAGCCTTTTTGCGGCAATGTCGACCTTGGAGACTCCCCTTACTGGAATTCTACTGGAGAACCCGCAAAGCCATCAAAGCTCTGGAGTACGCCAACTCTCTGACCCAGAACTTATCAGACAAGCCTCGACTGGAGACGAGTAGGGGCATCATCGAGCCGCCCGGGAAGGCGGCAAACATTCGACTTCACGAAGCAGCGAACGCCGCTTTTGAGGAGTTGCTGGGAGATGATCTGCATTGGTATATTGCCAACATATACATCAATATCGTCGGCTCTGTTATGCAAAGCCGCATCACGGGGACTTTGCCCGTTGCTCTTCGCGAGTCTAGTCAGGGCCTTGCTGAGGTATTCTGTACGTCAAGACTGGTTGATTTTGGAATATTTATTGGACGGTATGCTGACAAGTTGTTTGGCATAGGTATCACGGATCCTTCCAGGAAAGATAATCCAATCATCCTTGCATCCCAGGCTTTCATGCGTCATTCAGGTCATAATCTGGATTATATTTTGGGGAGAAACTGCAGATTCAGTGCGTATACTGGAACGTGGAGGGCATAGAGCATATCTCGAAGCCTTCCCAGGCTCAATGCCTGAGCTAAATGCTGACTTTCATCAAGTGCAGGGTCCTGGAACGACTGTAGATTCATGCCGCCGATTTGCCATTGCGGTCAAAGAGAACCGGGACCACTCCGAAATCTTTGTAAACTACCGACGAGATGGCTCTCCCTTTTTGAGTCTAGTGATGAACGCTTTACTCGTTGACAGGTAAGACATTGATGATGTTGAATGTCCATGTCACTTTCCATTGACTCTACATTCATTCAGTCAGGACAACCTTCGATATTACCTTGGAGCTCAAGTAGATGTATCCGGCCTCTTGAAGAGCTGCGCCGGACTACAAAGCTTGACCAAGCTCGTTGAACAGGAAAACAGCCAGAGCGACGGGAAATCGCATTCGGCTCTGAAATCGCTCAGTGAGATGCTCAGCGCAGACGAACTGGAAGTCATCGCAAAGCATGGAGGCTCGCTACAAAAAGGCGCCGAACATGAACTTCAACATCCCGCAGCTTCGATGAGATACGATGAACTGCAGCGCGTTCTTATCGCAGACGGGTCAGACGAGTCGGACCAGGGAGAGAGCTTTCCATCCCAGGGAACCTCTCAACGGCAAGAAGTCTCCGAAACTATTCCCACGCAACCCATTCCTCAAGTAATCAATCTCTCAGGAGTCTACAAATACGTAAGCCTCTTTGCGGAACCGTTCCATATATCGAATCGACCGATACTGACCACACACTCACTATAGTACCTGATTGTGCGCCCTGCGCCCTCTCTCCGCATTCTCTTCGCCTCGCCAACTCTTCGATCGCCAGGAATTCTTCAATCCAATTTCCTCAACCGTATCGGTGGCTCTCGCATGCGCAACGATCTTGGCAGCGCTTTCCAGCAACCCGAAGTTGTGACTGCAAAAGTGCGGTGGTTGGATCAGGTTAGCTCAGATGGAGAGGGGAATGCTTCGATGAGGTGGATTCATTGTACTCCGTTGATGCATCATTCGGTAAGCAGGCCGCGTGCTCGCGGAAAACGATCATCATGACGATGACAGGGCTAACTATTGTTTGTTTGTTTGTTAGGGAGCGATTGGTCTGTGGATGATTGTGATGGTCATGCCGGAGAAGAAGAAGGAAACTACTCCTGTTTGGTCTGAGAGAACCTCTAGTAGGGCTGTAAATCGTTCAGAGGAGAGAACAGGGAGACGTGAAGTTAGGCCTGGACCTAGGTATATACCGCAGGTATGATTGTGAATAGGTGGTTGTAAGGGAACAGATCTTGAGCGAGGAGTCAACTTTCATGCATTGGTCTTGTAATCCATAGTACTTGATAATAGTAATGTGCCTGTATATTCGTACGTTGATCTATATATGTGTACCTGGGAAAATGTAGCCTACGACATGTTATCAAAGGTGTGAGGCTATGTGCATCCTTGACTTCGATTGCAATAAGATTTTTATGCGATTCCCATAGAGATGGCTTCCCAAACCAGACATCGACACAGTACCAAATGGCAACTCCAAGAGTGTCTCAACATCCAGAAAGTTGGGAAAGAGAATCGACTCTGAACTAGGACTTCATACTGACCCTCAAGGACCGCCCGCGACGTTCCGCCAACTAATACGACATGGTCCTCTACACCGTCTAGACTATCGACCTAGACTGCTTAACCTAACGCCGTAGATATCGCATTACTTAGACTCCCTAATCTCGGATATCTAAAGGCCTCCTAGACTCCTACTGGCACCCCTGTGTCTATCAGAACAAGGTCTTTTTAGTCACATACTGTCCCTCTCACCTAGAGCTCTTCTTACTGTCTTCGTAGAGATTGGAGTTCCTTGATTACGCGAATAGACGGTAGCTACTAAGTTCGTACTTGCAATAAGTGTTGCATCACTCGCTAACCTATTCAATGCGTCTTAGTTGCGAGAAAGGCGAGTCAAAGTGGTGGAGCGTAGTGAGTTAAGTAGTGATTGTCATGAACAAAGTGAGTCACTATATCTAGTGTAGTTAATGAGGTGCACGTTGAAAAAAATAGCTTGATAGTGAAGAACCGAAGCAATGTCTACGCGCCATGAAATCATGTGTCTGCCTACCAACAGAGCCGGATATCTATATTGCTCCATCGACATCCACCTTCTAGATAATGTGTAATCCTTTTCAATCAAAACGCCGCGCTCTCTCTCTCATTTTATTCCCCGAGACGAGGTCACTGCACAGAGCTCTTTGGGCACACAACACCATTAACATTGGAGTCGGCAACAGCCTGGTTGGCACGCTCCTTTAAATAGCAGAACTGAATTTTTCGTCAGTAAAGATGCTCAAACCGATACAGTAGAGAGCAAACTTACCCGGTTGTCGGCTCTGTACTGCGCAGTAACACATGAAGGGTTACCATTACAAGCCTGCGCACACCTCTGCAGACCATCTGCTCCCTCGAACTGAATAGCCTGGATATCGCTACCAGGACGATCCATTCCACACTCCTCCACACAATTCGTCCCTGGAACGGTAGATCCGTTGGCACAAGTACGACAGATGACCCCGTCAACGTCAGACTTGGAGACTGGGTTGAGGATGAAGTTTTTCTGATAGCAGTATCCCGTTGCTTCKACGAAAGAGGCGGTCAGACAGTTGGGCTCGGCGTTACATGCTGCTGCACAAGCGGCGAGGTCTGCGACTCGTTGACCGGGAAGGAAGTCTCCGCCGGGGCGATCCAGGGAACATTCTGCTGTGCAGGTGGTTCCTGGGATGATGGTGCTGTTTCCGGTGCTAGAGGTTCCGGTGCAGTAGCCTGAGGTGGTGGTGGTGATGGCTATTGCTGAGGTAGAGATGGCGTAGGTCGAAGCCAGGAGAAGGAGGGATGAGGGTTGCATGTCGAAAGATGTTGTGGCGTTTGAAAAGGTGTGTTTGCAGGGACTTGGATTGTGTTTTTGGTGCTTTGATGAAGGGAAAGAATGTGCTGGAGAAGAGATGATCGAAGACTATATCCTCCTCCTCCTCCTACAGTGTCAGAGGCATACTCCACTTCTCGATCATACCACTGCCATGGCCGCCAACATTCGCTAAGAATGCTCAGCTCATGGTCTCGAGTGCAAAAGACCATTTGATAATGATCAATGCCTCTGACCTGACCAAGCCGCACGACTCCTCCATTGGCCAAGCTAGGCATCTACGCTGAACTAGATCACTAGGCTTGCAGTATGAGGCGATTCATGATGTTTCCGGGAGCCCCCAAAAGGGAGCCTGTGCTTAAAGTAGATGGCGTGGAAGGCACGTTGTCGAACGGCCCGCGAGTACTATCGTACGGATGCGTGGGAATGTTAGCGACACGCGGCGAAGAGTCTGTGCTTCGTGTCCAATGTTCTGACTCGTGATCTGGACGAGCGCCACCAACACCCGTGATTGGCTTTACCACTTGCCTGAGCGCGGCCTTGGCTTCTCGCTCGAGGCGTTTAAAGTTTTGGGAGAGCATCGGTCAAGCCGTGACGTGGGAATTGAGATGCACATTGCAAGCCGTCCTTCATCTCGGAATGTGTACTTTTTACGCCACAGCGAGAATGATCGTGTCGTAGAAACCTACTGCTGGCAGTGTACCTGGCGTCCCCAGCTTGAAGAATATCAGTCTGTTCATGCCACTGTCGGTATCCTGAAGATTCGACAAGCCGGTGAATAATGTACTGGTCATGCCAGCTCAAGAAAAAGTCAAGTCATCGCTGGCGACGGAAGGAGTGAAAAGTCTATTGCAATTTCGGTGCCGAATGCTGTCGTCCCGTCAGCGACGCCAAGCACGAATGGATGCATGTGCCTGTCTTGTGTTGAAAAGCCTTTAGGCGGGGGAGAAGACTAGATGCCGGGCCCAGCCCTCCTGGGTCTGTCAGCGGTCTGATTCAGGCTTTTAGGCTGTGACGATGAGGTCTTCGTCCGACTGAATGGGCTGCAAATTCGTGCACCAATTCAGCCAGATGCTTCCAGTCTTCTCAAACAGGTCGTCGCCTGGGATTGGAGATCATGGTTGGAGATCAATGATTTGCGTGAACAGCATGTACAGGCCACGCAGGAGCAAGAGAAAAGCAAGAAGAGAGAAGTGTGGCAGAGGAGATGATAGCAACGGGCATCAATGCCAGTGGAAAGCAAAGGAAAACCAGAGGATGGAATGCCGCAAAGAGGGCCACGGTGAAAAGATTGGCATCCCTATTTCATTCCATTTCATGCATGCTCTATCTCCTCCGAACCATCTTTGCTAGTATCATGCATCTCATCACCATGCTCTTTCATGCTCATCTCAGTCATCTCAATGTGCCGTTGCTCATACCACCTATGCAACCAGGTTCCGCGCAAAACGAACACTTCGTAATGCATGCAGATAAACCCACACTCCACGTACCCAAACACCATCGCTTATCATGCTTCCACTCTCCGCAGGAAGTACACATATGCAAAACTCTTCATAGCTTCCACGTCGCCTCCTGCCTGCGCAACCTTCTCGTCATTAAACAGCACCCATCCCAACCCTTCTTCCTCTTTCTTGACGAAAGCGACATAGTGGCCCGCGTGGATAGAAGATCCCTTGTGGCAAACGATGCTCTTGAGGGTGAAGTGCGCGGGCTTTGTGTCCTCGACTTCGACAGGAGGCGCAGTGGTAGTGTCGGTAGCAGCGCCGGAAGCTTCGTCTTCTCCAAAGTCTCCCACGGCGTCTGGGTGTGAGAATAACCAGTCCACGGCGCGTTCCATGTCACCTCCCGTTTCTTTCAATGCTTGACGAGCTTGAGGAGCAGAAAAGCCCATGTTGCCAAGATTCTCAATCTTCTCTGGGTCTACAGCTCCGGCTCCAGCGGCGTTGCCTGCGCCTGGTATGACGAGCGGCTCATCGATGTCGGCGTCCTCCATATGCTCAAACAACCATCCCATGGCGACTTCGGCGTCGGCAGTATTGCCTGTTGCGTGCAGTGCCTTTTCACACCGCACTCGCGGGAAGCCCATGCTCATCAAGGCCTCCAACGCCGACTCATTCGGTACGAAAGCACCTGCGGCGGGAGCATTCTCGTCCTCGGGAAGTTCTTCCTCGTCAACCTGTTTGCCGCGGCTGCGATAGATTTCCATGTCAAAGATATCATCTCCGACGATTACAGGAACGTCCTGCTTGGTAGGAACCCAGTTGACGATCTCAAAGCGACGAGCGTTAATGGCAAGAATGGTGGGGAAAGTCTTGAATAGAGATTGCTTGGTGAAGCCTTTGTTCCCACAACCGGAGCAGGTCAACTCAACCACTTCTGGAGCCGTAAAGTCGTCAAGACATTGCTTCAACGTGACAGGCTCAAACTCTGCGCCTTTCTTCTCCTCACCTTCTACCATGGACACGTCCTGTTGTGGGAGACGCTTGATGGGGACCGCCACGGAAATATTCTCCATCTCGTCCTGGCGATATCGCACCTTTTTGCACTGCGTACACTGCAATTTTTGCTCCATGTAGAAGCGGAAAGAGTCCACAGGATCGGTGACATCTTTGTATTGCGTGCGAGCGGCTGTTTGGGAGCGGGAGATGAGTTTCAGAAGATGTAGGAGTAGCTCAAATGCGTCCTGCTGCCGCATAGTGCCGAATTCTGCGTGGCCGCGTCCGATGAGGTGCTTGAGCATGGCCGGCGCCAAGCCTTTTTGATGAGACTTCTCGTCGGGATTGTCGGATGGTGCGATGTTGGTATCGGGCTTGCTGTAGCGATCAGAAAGGAGTCCATCTGCAAGTTTCCTCATTTGCACTTCGATATCCGCTGCGGGTTCTGCGAGAGGGGGAAGAGGCTCATCCGGACGGTAGTAGCGAGATTTGAACTCGGGCATGGCGAAGAGGGACTGCAGGATAGACGCCAGATAGCAGGAGTTGCCCAGGTTCATCAAGCCTGTCAATCCTGGACCAAACAGCGGCGTCATCTGCTTGCCGTCGTCACCCATCATGCTGAAATCGTAGTTGAGATTGTGCTCCAGCTGCATCTCGCCCAATGACTTTTCCGTCTTGACTCTCCCGGCGAGATCGATTCCCCAGTTGGCCAGATGAGAGACCAATTCAGGATCGAGTTGCTCGTTATCGCACTTGTAGCAGTATATGTCTGCATTCCCTTCAGCCGTGATGCTGCCCAATTTAACGGCAATGTGATGCTGCGAAGCCTCGCCGTGTTGTCTTGCGTGGGAGTTTCCAGGAGCGCCGCCCATCTGTTGTCGTCCACAGCCCAAGGCGCCGCACGTCAGACACAGCCACAAGTTCTCCTTCAAATCACAACCACTGCACTGTCCGAGCTCCCCACTGGCGATTGTCCTCCCTGTTTCCTGCGGAAGGAAGAGGACATGGTCACATGCCGACAACTCCAACTCCCATGCCTTTACTTCCTCCGCCTGCGCAAAGGTGTTGGCTTTCAGCACATTCTTCACCACCTCGTCCACTTTCTCCCCTTGGATCCCATCCACACCACACTCAAGACACTTGACATCTGTCTTTGTATCCCATCGATCCGCGTCAGTTTCGGCGACAATCTCCAGTTTGCTGATCTTGGCTGCGGGCTCGTTGTCGTCACGCTGTGGCTTCCTTTTCCGGGTCCGGGATATGTTGACGGCAAGGGGATGTTGATGATGGGTGGCATGTTGACGAGAGTGAGCTCGCTCGCCCGCACATCCACCATTGAAGCAGTGCAAGCAGACATCGATCCCAGCTGGGTCGTCGATGCCGTCGAAGCAAAGGGTGCAGTCCTCGCGGTAAACGGACTGAGTCGGCGCTGGCGGGCGGAGGTTCGCAGCGGCGACGTGCGGACAGGTCGTCATAATGGAGAATATCCTTGATGGAGAAGAAGGGGAGGAGGGGAAAAGTGGTGTTGTAGAAGTGTCGTGTTTCTAAACAATGGAATGAACTGTGCCGCCACAGCTAAAGTATTGCAGCAAACAGTGAATGGTATGGAAGCTCCATCAAATTGCGGGGCAGCGACAGACCCGACGTCATCAATATCTCTGTTGGCTCCGAAGTGATCAGCAGCGGATCTTTGAAGACTTTACAGTGTGATCTGACCCCTCGAGGATGTTCTGCGGCTTCACTCTGGCGATTGAGTGGAAGCGAAGCAAATGAAGACAGCCCTGCACCCAACGACGGGATGACCTTCCCTGCACTGGAACCTACTCCAACATGCTTATTGAACACACCAGCGAAGCGGAAATGGGAGACTATGTATTTCGTCGTCGAAACGTCTATTAGATACGGAGGATGTCTGCACGACTCGCTGAGTGCTGATCATCTTGCAGCACCCACTGCTGGCGTTGTCCGAAACACGAGACGGTATGGGAAGCTAACTTATGCCGATATTGTGCTTTAGCCAAGGGCCCATAAGTAAATGTACAGCCACAAATTGAAGCCATAGTCGGCCAGACCAGCAGAGTACATCCCGTTCGTTCTCGCAGAACATTGCAGATGAGCATCATTGGTAGCTCGTTTGCCACGCTGGGACATTCGACAGGCTCATGATCCGCATGAGACTGCATTGCCATGTTACTTTTGGATTGCTGGTAATCGTATGATCCGCACAATCTTGATCTCGACATGCAACATTGGCAGCGAGATGCAAACGCTAACTCCTTCGAGGCTGTTATACTACATGTCAAAGCTCGCGGATTTGGACAAGACGCATCCTGACCATCGTTGAATCGAACAGGAATACCTGGCTTAGGCTTAGTAACAACAATGTCCTCGTCAGATTCATCCCATTCAAGCAGCACATATCCAGATAGAGATTCCCGCAGTCCGCGTGGCACATTCAACAGTGAAGGGCTAGAACTTTCATGGAGAGCTCAATTGTGACAAGAGAGCAAAGCAGAAGATCGTTTGCCAAACCCGCCACAGTTGGCCTGATAGAACGACCAACGGGAGTCAAGCGACATTACCCTGCATGTCTGTAGATTTCTAGACCGCTGGAGGCGCAGGTCAGGATGAWGTGATCGTAGTAAGCTTTAGCAATAGGTAACCCTCTGCAGTTGTTTGTTTCCTGGTCCGGATTCCGGAAGCTGATATACCGGAACAGCTTTCACGAGGTCTAGATTACATATCGAACGTCCATGCGATGTGTGTGATTCTCTGAAGCCAGGTGGGAAATCGACCAAACGGCGCGTTGACATCACATCCTTTGCCAGAGACCAGAAGGCAAGCCAAACGTCACCGAGCCTCAATCATACCTCRAGATCGACGACGTGATAGGGGCTATTATTGGAAGATGATAACATGATGCCTCTCGAGCCGCCATTGGCCGTTTGGTGCAGACTGCATAATCTCACGGGATTAGTGGGGTTCTTTATACGTTTACAACAATTAGTCGACGACCACCGATTGAAACCGCTCTCCAGTTGCTGGCTTTCGTCAATGCTACCATCAACACAAACAGCAGCTCTTCGCCATTGAGTACGACATCTCAAGCCATGCAACTACGCCGATTGGAACCCGATGCCCTCGCCCAAGATCCCGAGCGAGCTGAGGACATAAATCAAATACTGTCAGATCTAACGTTGCGGGAGTTGCAGACGCTTTCTTTACACCACGCCGGACATCACTACATCCGGCCAACCCTTTACTCGCAGATATACTACCTGCAACTTTGAGAACTCTGGGCACCTTTCGGAACAACCAGTGATGGTATCAGATCGATCCCCATCTTCGTAGAGAACATTCCTCCAAGGCTTGTCACGCTAGCCTCAGCAAAAAGCTCATTTTCTGAAGCCCTGACGAACAAATGCGTTTTGTACTTCGATGACCCTTGCGCTTTGTTGAGAGTTATAAGTCCTGGTAGGAGCATACGGGCGCGAGGCCGTAGGTAGAGGTGGACGCTCCAAAAAGAAGGGCATTTCCGTTTCTTTTGATGCAGTATGGCCGCGGATCATGGCGAAAAGATCTGGTCGTCTTTGACTCGCAACGTCCAGAACATGCTTCGCCTTCAGCAATTTGTTTTCGCGCTGGAGCATTTGAGCGGTGYGTAAGACGAATACTCTGATATTTCCCATGACCCTAGCGTTATTTGATCCCAGATACTTATCCATGTATTCGTTGGCACCGGAGTTTTCTCCCCATGCCATGATGTGAGAAAACGCAGGCTCAGCGGTGGCCTTTGTCGGGTGTCTCAAGAAAAGATTGCAAATGGACATCTCTTGCTCGAAATGATCCACCTTTACCACCGGTATGGCCCTGATGAAGTCTTCATACAACTGAACATCGACTGAGAAAGTGTCGGGGTCGGGACCAACGACCAGTCTTCTGTACAACCAGATACCTGGAATCAGAAGTCAGTAAGCTTCGGCCATAGTGGGTAACTATTCTTCATACCTGCCTGATGACAGGGAATGAAGGTCCCAGGTGATCTTGGTTCGCTCTTCCCATCGCCATGGCWCCATTGCTTTGCGCGCAGGAAGGTCGAAATGGCAGTGTTTTCGTCTGCCCAGAAAACCTCATTCTGGATGAGTTTCATCAGACCCACACCCTTCCACGATCGACTCTGTCTGATGTGGAGGTGGGCCACGGAGCGAGGCGTATGATCGACACGTAACCTGCACTTGTTGGTCAGACCAGCGCTTGTGAAAGCTCACTCCCTCCTCATACCAATCCCAAATAAGTTCGACTTTCCCTTCAGCTGCTAGACAGTGTATGAGACAATTTAACAGCCTTTTTTCTCGCGACAAGTCAGCATCTTCGTAGACGCCGCTCCCAAGCAGCCAGCGCATTACGCTTGTCCCAGGCTTAGATTCCACGAAGACCTCTCTGGCCGCGTCCAGGGAGACTGCCTGCGAATGGGTTTCGACTACAAAGAGTTCCAAACTTGATACACGACATGGTTAATGAAGCCATCCAACAGCAACAGGTGAGGAAACCTACCATCGACCGACAAGCTCCACATTGGCTTTCTCGGATTGGAGCACCGCCAGCGGATTGTCTACAAATTCTCTCGGCAGCTTCTGCCGAAGTACTTCTGCCTTGCGGTCAAATCTTGACACCAATGGTCAATAGTGGTCTCCGGAAGTCTGTGCAGTAGTAGGTGATACGAACATCCATGCCATAGGCTTGATCCTCATTTGCGGTAGCTCCGCATTGAGAAGGTGTTCATGGAAATCTTCTGGAGGACTTGGCACCTTCTCTCTTCGACGAGATCGCGTCGACCCATTGTCTGACGGATTTTTAATCCGCAGGGTACTGGTCGCCACATAGGTCCGCAACCCTTTGGGGAACGAGAGTTGATGACATTTCGCGCGTCTGGCACAGGCGGCAAGCCATCGAGCTCGACTCAGGCATATCATGATATCAACAGAATCATGTGGTTGAGGTTCCCAGAGTCAACAAATGGTATTGGAACGCGGAAATGGGGTAGCGCCGGCGCTTAGTCAAAAGATCTTCGCAAGGATGACGGACGATAGAAATGTCTTGGCGCATCCCCTTTTGGTGCCTTGGCGAAACAGAGTGGAATAGCGCACGATTGCCGCGTGATGGTGGAAGTCCTTTGTTGAGCATGCTATAGCCCGGACATTCTCAATACGCGTCCTAAGTACTTAGCATCGGAACAAGACCACGAGCTCCTTCCTTCACAACTGACCAAAGATCTTCCCCACATCACCCTAGATGACGAATCATTCAATATCTTGCACCAGATCTACAACCAGAACATGGAGTCATCCATCGCAGGATACCACGGTTTGATGCGAGGCCTGGCTCCAGCTTAGCGAGCTTGCACTCTGGGATTCCAGCTCACAGAACCCTGGGCATGCTGAGCCACACGCCTCTCATACTCTCGAATGCCATCCTGACCAGCCATCGCCCGCTACTCATCAGTCATGTTAATAACGGGACTAGCCAAAACATTGGTGTACGCGTTCAAGGACAGAGTGCCACGGTCTGCCAACCGATCGGCGTAATAGGCCGGCCCTGCATACGAAACGCCTTTCGTGGCACGAGCATAGTTGAAGCAGAAGGCGTGCGTAAAGCTCTAGATCTGGTTGACATTGAAAGCTCCTCGCTGAAGGGCCACGTAATGTCCTGAGCGCGCAGCATCGTGCAGAGCCTGGTGAGACTGTAGGAAGAAGTTGAAAGTCTGATCGTCCTTGTCGAGCTTCGGGCGGGTGATGACACGGTCGACGATGAGACCAGGGTCGACATTGCCATTCTTATCACCCTAGTCTGCCGTCTTGCAAAAGAATCGCGTGTGATGACGCTTACCGACGATGATGAACGTCGGCTGGAGCTTCGCCTGAGACTATGCTGGAATTCGTCCGACGCTCTGAACTTTCTCGTAGGCGGAATTGATCTGCCTGATCTCCTCTGCTCGGACACGATCAAACATGTCTTGGCCAACTCCGTCGCGGAAGGAAATGATCTTGTTGGGTTCAATACAAAGCGGTCAAGTCGCTCAACCATCATATCTTGGAGATCATGAAGGAATTCCTGTTTGGATGCTTGAAGTCTCATGGAGCCAGCAAAATTGGCATATTGTGAGTCATCGCTGGCAACGATAGCTGCGACAGAAGGGCAGTGTCGCATCTGACTAGGAGCATGAGAGAGGTCTGCACCAACGACCATGGTATCAATGCCAAGCAAAGTAGCGAACAGAGGAGCTTTTCCAGGACCAGGACCGGCTGGTAGTTGATTGATGCCACCTAACTAGGATGCACCCCAATGTTGTCCTGTGGAGTTGTTCCGAAACCTGTATGCGCAGAATCATGCATGGTCTGTCCTTGGTTATTAAGAGCCGGCTTTGGGTTGCCAGTGTCCATGGCCTGATTTCCACATGATTTTGGGACTTCCTGTGGCTCAGAAGATGCGGTTGGGCCCACAGTCAAGTCAGCAATCTTGGGCAAAGTAGTGTCAGGTGTGATTTGGGCGGAATTCGAGAAAGTCCGACCAGAGGATGATGGTTGAGAAGGCTTGTCAGGCCGGTGTTTTATCACTGGAGCAGCCTTCGGGGCAGTGCCCGATGATGACGGAGCAAATTTGGCGGCACTCGTCGCACCCTTGCTTTTGCCAGCCAGGAGCTCAGCGACGTACTGACGATAGGCATACTCGAGCGTCTGCTTAGTGACAGGAATTGAAATGTATTTCACTTGGGCGGTGAATCGAGATTGCTCCTCGGCGAGTTGCTTGAGCATTTCGTCGGTGACACCATTCTTTGTCTACTTCATCTTGGCAATAGGGGCCTTGTTGTCTCTGTAGATGTTGGCGACGGAACATGCGCACTTGTCGGGGTCTGGGGAGACAGTTGCAGGGTCGATACTTGTTGGGTCGCTGGAGAAATTTGTCTTACGACGAACGTGGGTAACAATTCTTTTCGCTCAGTCAACATGGATACGCGATTCGTTTGTGGCCGCAACACATACCTACGAGAGCTTGTGGCTGCTTGATCCCCTTTTCATTCGGGACAATGGAAAAGTGGTATGGACAACGCGAACAAACACAATCCAGGGACAAGCTCAGAAAACACAGGGCCGGAAATCTGATATTGGTCGCAAATGCTTGTGACCGGTGACGCTTGGTCACACACTGTCGCATTCTTCGGCGAGGTCATCTTCTGATAGACTTGCGGTGCATCAATGTCAGATACTGGGCCAAAGATCGAGCCGAGAGCCAGTTTGGTTCACGGAATGCTTCAAATAGTTACTTCCGCTCAAGTTTCCCATTTGATGCCTTTATCCAGTCGCATTGCTTTTGCAAAGCATGAAAGAAGCTGTGAAGGAAGGTTCGTGAATTTTCGACGCTCCTCGCCGTGGCCTTGTGTGCAATTGCAGTGAACGCGTCGGGTGAGCGCGCTGAAATCTACTGTTCCGATTAGTATCACGAACTCGAATCTCGACCCTCCCCATTTCTGGTATCATCGCTCTTCGAAAAATTCCCATCCCAATTCCTTCCGCATCATGCCCTTCACCCTCATGAYTTCATATAGTCCGGCTCAGTTGTGAAGTCATAATCCTCAAACATGACCTTGAACGCCGCAGCATCAGCTTCTTCCTCCTGAATCGTCTGCGCGCAATCCTTCCAATGTCTCCTCTTCTCCAACCCCAGCAGCTTACCAAGAACTCCTCGGCCAAATTGCAAGTCAAATCGCATACCTTCCTTCAGTGGCAGAACCATGACCTTGTCGCCCGCCTCGCTCCAGATCATGACCTTGAAATAGTCACCATCCTCTGCCTCTTGGATCCCCGCTTCGTCTTTCGCAAAATTTCCGTAGCCGAAATTCTCGGCCTCGACATCAAACGCAGCCTCAACCATTCCCTTCTGAACCATTTCGACGGGAACGGGAAGGAACTGCCATTGCAGATGCACGCCACTGGCACGTGAAATTTCGTACGTCACGGCTCCCAAGTTCGCCTTCCCCTCAGCGCCAGCAGAAGATTTAGCACTGATCATCGTGTGTAAAGCCTCCCGATAACGATTCATTTCAGTCAGAGTATCTTKCGCAACGCTTCCCATAGCGTGGAAGGTCGGCATGTGGCACACGGGAATGATGAGAAGGTGGGAGTGCATTGCGAGGTCGGGGAAGCTCGACCCCATAGTCAAAGGACCTTTGGAGGTTGTAATGTATGCATCGTTGCCAATTGAGCAGATCATGTGCGTGGCGACGTCCTCGCCCGATAGACAGAAATAGCACTTGCTGGGAGTCGCGGTTGCGCGGCGCTTGTTGTTGTGGCCGCCTGGACGGTAACGGTCCCCTGATCCATTGACGGGGACGTCCTGAGCAAAGCGAAATCCGCTGTAGCTGCTCTCCTGGGAAGGGAGCTTACGTTTCTTGAGTTGGGTTAATGGGGATCCTGTGCAGCCTGATGGGAGATCCTGCGGTGGTGGAGCGGATGGAACAAGATTGAAGCCATAAATCCACTTTTCTTTGTGTGGATTGCCGTAGGGGGGAAGACTGAGGAAGCGAGTGACTGGGAGAGGTGCGTCGCCGGGGTGGAAGAATGGTTCACGCTCAAAGCGGGCAGAAGATGTGGAGAAGTGGAAGCGTGGTTTCAGGGCTGCACAGAGATCGGCAATGCTACGATCTCCTGCCGGGGCTTCACCATCCGCGTAAGTGGTGGCTGCTCTGGRTCCAATACGCACGCCCTCGGGCCAGTCGGCCGTGATAAGAATGTCGGTATCCTTGTATTCTTTGGCGCGAGCGATGTCCTTGTCGTCGTGGAATGGTGCGTACTCGGCGAGGGCCTCGTCAACTTGGCCGGTGTGTGCGCCACCAATGGCAACGACCCGCACACCTTCCGAGGTTTTGATGGAAACATTGCGTCCGAGAATGGAAAGGTTGGAGCAGAGCTCACCGTCACTAGACTTTAGTTTCTCGACGACTGCTTCGGGGAGAGGTCTCTTTCCAAGGGCAAAGTATGTCGGTAGTGGGACCTCGATTTTGCCCTCGAGCAAGTTGTGCAAGTCTTCCGCATCTGCGTCAGTCGATCGGTCTGGCTCAGCAAAGAGATTTCCGGCAATGATTGCAAAGGCGAATGATTGCTTGGCCTGGAGTTTGGCCAATTTCCCKAGGACTACGGAAAGTTGGCCGTCAATGTCGCCGATGATGGCACTAGAGCATGGGTTAGCAGGGAATGAGAAAGAGAGGCTCGCGTGGTACTCACACTTTGGTCGACATGGTGGTACTTGAGGTACGAGGCTGGGACTTGATTGCTTGAGATTATGGTCCACATGCGATGATGTTGGAGATGGACGAGGATTGATGGAGGAAGGTGGTGGTGGTGGTTGATGTTTTGTCGAAGAGGCGGAGGTAATTCAAGAGCCTTATATATTCACCATCCTCATATCGAGCTAGTTAGAGCACACGTGAAGAGTGAAGTGCAGATGTTAGCTTGTGAACTTGTTTCGTCTTGACGTGTGTATTCACTTCTGATTCACTTCTCTCCGTGAAATTTGGGGGAGGCGCGGTCCCTTGGTTGCATTCGAGGTTCACGGCACGACCCGCGATTGCGGCGAGCGCGGGAGATCGGCGCGATAACCGAGCGAGAGCTCAGAAAAGTGCTCGCCGCCGAGTGAAGTTGAAAGTTGACCATTCTCCGGACATTTGCGCATGAGATTTGCGCATTCGTCAGAATGTCGACGCCCATCATGAAGAAATCTGGTGCGAAACCGAACCGGATTGTCAAGGCGAAAAAGAATGCGCGACGGAGCACGCCGCACACGAAAAACTATCGCTTTCAGTCCTTCTCCGACCGCATTACAAACCTCAAAATCGACCCGGTGCGACGGAAGCGACATGTAGAAAAGGAGGAGGTTGTCGAGGAGAACACTCATTCCTACTTTGGGAGTTCGTTGGAGGCATGGAAGGACACCAATCTATCGCAGACTTTTACCGATTTTGCGCGGGCAGCCACTCCGTTGAGCGACAACTTGCCCATGGTCCTGCACAATGAGGAGGGAATCATGAATTTGCTGGTGGAATACATCGAAAAGGGAGATGAGCTGGCAATGGAGCCGCTACTGGCCCTTTTGGCACATTTTGCGCATGATTTGGACACTCGCTTCGAGGCGCATTTCCAGCGAGCCGTCTCCACTGTAGCGGCCATTGCAGCAAAGCATCCGGACTTTGCGGTCATTGAGTGGAGTTTCACATGTCTAGCATGGTTGTTCAAGTATCTGTCCAGATTATTGACTCCCGATTTGCGTCCACTATACGATCTCCTCGCACYATACCTGGGCCAGAAAGAGGTGAAGCCCTTCATCGTGCGATTCACCGCGGAAGCCCTCAGTTTTCTCCTCCGAAAGGCTGCTGTCATCTACCAGCGAGATGAGGAACCTCTGGACCGTGTTATGGAGCACATGCTCAAGGACTGCAAGAACACCATGGCGAACACTTCCGCAGACCTACTCCAGCAGGGTACCATGACTCTGCTTACGGAATCCGTCAAAGGTATACAGCATGGGATCCATTCGAGCGGAGTTCCCGTGATGTTGAGTTTTTTCAAGCATGCCGAGGAAAATCTGGACGATGGCGACCAGGTCATGGAGAACGTCGCATCAGGAGTGCTGACCAGTCTGATACATCACTGTATGGACGGATCGTTTCAGACAATCCTTGATGCCCTCTTGGCTTACATCGACAAGACCATCCTCACACCTACAAACCAAAATGTGCGCTTCTGCAGCACTATGCTCTTTACAGTCATTTCCGTCCGCAAAGGTTCGCGGATATCAGATTGGAAGGCCGTCATGAAGGCGGTAAAAGGATTAATCACCGCAGCGGGCGGATTGCCGGAGCTCACATATGTCGCTGCACATCCAGCACTTGCTCTATTGGCCATAGCATTACAAACATCATCCATCGATGCAGTGCTCGCGACCAGGCAGACCATTGAAAACCTACGGAGCGGCAAGTGGTCGAAATACTTTCTCACTTTCTGCGACATGGTATCGCGACTCGGGTTGGAGAGGTTCAACGACTTTGTCCTTTCACATCTTCAGAAGTTCGTTTTGGAGCATTCACAAACTGCGAGCCTCGAGTTGTGCACATTGCTGCCCAGGTTTGCCAAAAGCAAGCCGGGCACGAAGTTCAAGTGCCCTTCAAAGATGGTTGACGCACTTTTGACTGATATCTCTGCTGTTGAGTCCGGACTGAACGACGCATCAGAAGACAAAACTGTACTGGGAAGAGCGAACATGGCATTATCAGCACTGCCATATCTGGTGTCTGAAAAGGAACAAAATGAGAGATTAGAGACGCTTCTCCTGGGATTGGTGCGCAAAGGACTTGATCAGGGCGGAGCTCTTCAAGATTTTGCACTCGGACCTGGCTTGGAGCATGATCTTGTGCAACGTGAAGACATCACCGACACCGAGATTTTGGATTTGTGGATTCCTCTTTGCGCTGCCAGTTCGGATCTTGCTTCATTGCCAAGTTTCTGGTCCAATCTAGTCCGCTTCATCAAGAAATGCAAACCGTCCAATGTCACGGGCCCACACATTGAGACGCTTGAGAGCTCGCTTGTGGCTTCCCTTTGCTCACCATCACACTCTATCCGAACAGATGCCTTGCACATCCTGCAGGCGCTTTACCGTATCAGAGACATTCCCGAGCCAGAAGCTCTAGCTGCAGCCATAACGATCGAATCAACTCCAGCGTCACTCGATACCGCACGCTCAATTTCGATGAACATTCGTAGAATGGCATCCGAATTTGCCAAGCTTACAGAGGACGATTTGATGGTTCGCGCAATTCCCACGTACTGCTTCGGATTGCTCCATGTGCAGCTTTCACAGGCCTGGGATGATGCAACGACCGCCTTAGCGTCCATGTGCCAGTCGAAAGCGGGTGAAGATGTCGTGATGACACTAGCTCAATCTTGGATAGATGGGAAAGCTTCCACCGAGGATGATGAGGTTCAGCTTCCAACCATTGTAGACGTCGACACCGATGGTTTCAAGGTGTTCTCGGATTTCGAATGTCCGAACTTGGCCAAGATATCTGCCATCTCCAAGCAAGTTTTCACGGAGCCGTTGAGCGGCCTCCCATCTCCAACGCAAAAGCTCGCCCTCGATTTGAAGCGTGTGCCAGTCATTACACCCACTGCTCGAAGCCAAGCTTTACGGGTGTTGCACAAGATACCGCACATTGCCGAAAAACGGTCACGCATATTGGTGCCGGTCCTTTTGAAATGGGCAGCGGGCTCGCAGTCTCAGTCTGCGGACGAAGACACCGCAGACCGCTGGGCAAGAAAAGATCAAAAAGCGATGCTAGCCGTCTTTTCGCAGTTTTTCAATCCATCCGTTCTATTCCGTTCAAGCGAGGTACACACCGCTCTGCTTGCGCTGTGCGCAAACGGCGATGTCGAGATTCAGCAATCCGCACTCAAGGCAATCTTGGCTTGGAAAGAGACTTCTGTTGTAAGATACAAGGAACATCTGACCAACTTGCTGGACGAAGCTCGTTTCCGCGAAGAGCTCTCGGTGTTCCTGCGAGGGGAGTCAAGGGACGAAGAAGAGGGCATTCGACCAGAAGACTACGCCGGACTCATGCCTGTACTTCTGAGAGTTCTATACGGAAGAGCTGTTGCAGGTGGCAAAGAGGGACAGGCTGGTCGGCGAAAGGCGATCTTTGTCGCCCTGTCACGGTTCGGTCGTGACACACTGGRACAGTTCCTGGACATTGCACTTTCTTCTGTCGTGGATCTTCAAAGCAAGTTTGACATCACCGAGTCGGGTACAAAGGCACCACTCCGCCAACAGTTGGGTATGATGTACATGTTGAACGATMTGCTGCAAGTCCTGGGAGCAGAGCTCGAACCTTCCATCTCGAAACTCATGAATGGTATCCTGGCTTGCACTGCGAACGCATCGCGGATGGTTGAGAAGAGCTCCGCGGAGGAGGAAAGCGCAGATCTGGCCATGCTGCGATCCATTCGTCAAACGGGCGTCCAGTGTTTGGTTAAGATTTTTTCGACCATGAGTGACTTCGACACCAGATATTACGGACAACTCATCGCAGGCAACCTGATTGTCCCGCGACTTCAAGCCTTTGCAAATGAGAACGCGCAGTCGGTTTCTGGTAGTCTGCGGCTCATCTCAGCTTGGACAGCCCATCCCACAACTGCCACACTCTTCACAAGAACCGGAGGTCAGATGCTCGAAAGTGTAGCTGCTCTGCTGCAGAGTCCCCACTCCAAGGATGAAGTCCGTCTATTCATCCTGCAGCATATCTTGGATAATTTGTTCCACGACACCATTGAAAACGAAATCCTTCAGCCAAGAGTCTCAGGCTTCGTTCAAGCCATCGGCGCGGTCATCGAGCAACAACCTAACARAGAGATCTTGGACGCCTGTGTCAAATCTTTCTCCATGCTTGCTGGGCGTATAACCTCGCAAAACGAAGCAGTGATTGTCACGAGGATTTGCACAGATCTACTAAAGAAGCCGGGCAAGGCAGTTTCTCCGTGGATCAAAACTGGCCTACTCCGGACTCTGGCACCTTTGATCGAGAGATTCGAGGTCAGCGGCGCCAAGGAGAGCCTGTATCCTGCTCTTTGCGCACTATTCTCAAGATTGAAGGACTCAGAGAGCCGCATCTTGCTTGCCGACGTCTTGTCGAAGCTGGTTCGCGATGACGAGAAGCTAGTGTATGCGGCGAGCATCTGCGCGGACATGAACGCTGCCGGGACACGACTGGACGAGCCGGACCACGAACGACGCGATATGGCTTTCAAGAAAGTATATCAAGACTTCGCGACGCTGAGCCTGGAACAATGGCTTCCTATCGTGCACAATTGCCTCTTTTACATTCGTGATGGCGAAGATCGAGTTAACAGGACTAGCTCGTCACGCGCCTTGGAGCTGTATATCGACGCTGCTGCTGATCATGAGTCGGAGTCTACGTGGCTAGTCTTCACTGAACAATCAATTCTCGCAGGCATTGAATTTGGCATCAAGGAACAAAGTGAGTTAGTTCGAAGCGAGTACCTCGCTGTTCTGGGACATCTGGTTGAGAAGCTTCCCGCTTGGCAGAAGATCCAGGGCATGCAAGGACTGTTAGTTGGCGGTGATGAAGAAGCGAGCGTTTTCACGAACTTGCTCCACATCCAACAGCATCGACGATTGCGTGCGCTGAGAAGAGTGAAGGAGGAATCAGCCAATCTCGGCTCAGCCAATGTTAGCAAGATCTGGATTCCCCTTGTCGAACACTTCGTCTTTGATGCCGATGGTGGAGACGCTGGTCGTGGACTGGCAGACGAGGGTGTTCTCACTATCGGYGCAATGGCAACAGCTCTCTCCAAGACGGCTTTCCGCGGGACCTTCACCAGATACGCTGGTTATCTCAAGACTAGACCCGACTTCGAAAAGATCGTGCTAAGATTGCTTGGTGCGCTGGTCGACGGCAAGAAGAAAGAAGATGGCGACTCAGATACCAAGGCCATTCTCTCTGAACAGCTTCCGCCCTTGATGGAATACCTCCACAAAAAGGACGAATCGACTGTTGATAGGCGAATGCCCGTTGCTGTTACGATCGTGAAGCTCCTCAAATCTCTGCCCGAGGAAGAATTCAAGGCAAGACTGCCGGCCGTTCTGACGGACGTGTCGCATGTCTTGAGAAGTAAGAGTCAAGAGGCTCGAGATCAGACAAGGAAGGCACTGGCAACTATCGCCTCGCTTGTTGGTAGTCAATACTTCGGCTTCATCTTGAAAGAACTGAGAGGTGCGCTGAAGCGAGGACCGCAATTACATGTGTTGAGTTACACAGTGCATTCGCTCCTCGTGCAAGGCAACTTTGAGACTGGCGAGCTGGCCGAATGCTTGCCACATCTCATGATGGTCGTCATGGATGATGTGTTTGGTGAGACTGGCGCTGAGAAAGATGCAGAGGAGTATCGAAGTGCCATGAAGGAAGTGAAGAGCAGCAAGTCATTTGATACTCTGGAACTTCTGGCTCGCACAACAGCCGTGAAGCAGCTCGGTGCTCTTGTTGCTCCCATCAGAAGTCTTCTTGAGGAAAAGGTCGACATGAAGACTGTGAAGAAAGTTGACGAACTCTTCATTCGCTTGCGTAAGGGTCTGGACATGAACCCCGAGAGCGATAGCACGGAAATGCTTACGTTTTGCTGGGAGATTGTTCAGACCGTGCGTCTGGAGACAGAAGCCAAAGCCGTTGCAAAGGCGCCCAAGAAGGTGGATGAGAGGGTGCAACGCTATCTCATTCAACCGGAAGAGCCCAAGAAGTCTAAGAGTCGCGGTTCCACAGCATCATACTCCTTCAAGCTCATCAGCTTCTCGCTCAATCTGCTCAGAAAGATTCTCAAAAGGCATGAAGACTTACAAACGCCGCAAAAAATGAAAGGATTCTTGCCTGTTGCTGGAGATGCGCTCGTAGTTGGACAAGAAGAAGTCAAACTCGCGGCTTTGCGATTCTTGGCTACAATCATGCGCGTAGCAGGTCTGACAGAACTAGACGAGAACGCTCCCGTCTACTTGAAGGAGTCGTTCGACCTTCTCAAGGCTGCGCCATCTCTTACCACAGACTCTGCAAAGGCCGCACTGGAACTCGTTACTTCTGTCCTGAGAGAACGAAGAAGCGTGATCGTCAAAGAGCGGGATCTTGCGCTACTGCTCAAGAAGCTCAAAACGGATATCGACGAGCCAGATCGACAAGTGATTGTCTACAAATTCCTTCGAGCAGTTCTCGGGAGGAAGATTGTCATGGCGGAAGTCTATGAAGTCTTGGATGCGGTTGGCGAAGTCATGGTTCAGAACCCCACTGGCAGTATCCGAGAAGCTGCGAGAAGCGCTTATCTGCAATTCGTTCTGGAATACCCTCAAGGCAAAGATCGATGGGTCAAGCAGACRACGTTCCTCACTGCGAATCTGAAATTTGAACATGCGAGTGGAAGGATGAGCGTCATGGAGTTTTTGAGCTTGTTGGTTGRAAAGGTCAGCGAGGAGGTTCTTGGTGAGATTGCCGGGACTATTTTCCTACATCTCATGCCTGTTCTTTGCAGTGATGTTGATGCAAAGTGCCGGGCAATGTCGGGACTATTGATCGGAAGGATCTTTGAGAGGGTTGGAGAAAAAGAGCTGGCGAAGATGACTGCCTTGATGGGCAAGGGGTCTTGGTTGGGCGAAGGAAAGAAAGCCGAGGTCAGGGGAGGCGCGCTGCAGTGCTGGAGTATCCTACTCCGCTCAAGGGAGAATCTTCTCAAGAAGCAGCTCGAAATCCTTCGCGGAGATGTTCAGGATGTGCTTGATGGTGGTGCCGAAGATGGAGAGCTGGTACAGCCGCAACTCGTGCTGCATGCCTTACGCACAATGACTGCTCTTGTCGACGTTGCGCCTGATGTTGCCTTGAGCAAGTCTGCTGCAGGACTCTGGACGGCGCTGAGAAGTCTTCCTGTCAACTCCGAGACGATGGAAGCTATCCAGGAAACTGTCGCCAATCTGCTCGGAACGTTCTTTACGGACGTCGCAAGCTCGAGCTCCAAAACACCCAAGGGTCTTGCTGGGCTGCCACTCCGCGGCACTGGTGGACTGGAGATCTCTGGACAGGACATGCGACAACTTTGCTCGACGGAGCTACGCGCTCTTCGTGCCATTGTCTTCAAGACAAGCGACGTGTTGATTACCCAGATTGTACGCAACCTGGTGTTCTTGGGTMGTTGCTTTGCCGCAAACGGAATGATCTGGAACGAAAAGGCGGAAGAAGACGAAGACTCGGACGACGCCGAAGAAGACCAAAAGACAACGCCACCAGAAAGCAACACTGCTCTGGAGTACCTCTTCCGCCGCCTATCTTCTGCCCTTCAAGCAGACAAATTTGCGCTCGCATCTCGCAACGCAGCATTGCAAACCATCTCCGCTCTCCTAAACCAACTGGAAACCGTGCCGGCTCTACAGCACGTTCTCCGCCCACTGTACAATCYCACGGATAGTTCCATCCCGCAGCCTCCAGGAGAGCTATACAAAGCGCTCGCAGACAAAGCACAGGAAGTCATGGACGTCATCCAAAAGAAAGTCGGCGCGGAACATTTCGTGGAAGAATTGGGCAAGGTACGAGCGCAAGCCAAGGGCCGACGAGAAGGACGACGACAGAAGAGAAGAATTGAAGCTGTTGCTGAGCCTGAACGGTGGGCCAAGGAGAAGAAGAAGAAGTATGAGAGTAAAAAGATCAAGGCGAAGAGTAAGGGCGAGGAAGCTAGGGGCAAAAGGAGGGGTTGGTAGAAGGGATTTTGTGGTGCTGATAGATGATAGATGTGTAGCGGATGAGTTCCGCCTGGCTGTATTAAATGGCAGTTTGAACCTGAAGTGACGACTATACAAACGCGACAGCTGCCGCGCTCGCAGGCGTTCGGGCTGCTCCTCGAAGGTTTTCGCAATTCATCCACTCATTCATTACTCGAAAATCATTCACTCACTGTGCCGTTTCATCCCCGCAGTGGCTTATTCGAAAATCCGGGGTCGCTAGCACGTGGCGATATGCTCCCAAGATGTTGATTGGTGGGAATGGAATATTCAGGCTTGTGGCTTTTGGCCCTAAGCATTTCACGAGCGGTACTTGCGGCTATGGCAGCTTTTTTGGTCTAGAGTGAGTTGAGCGTGCGCACCATTGTTTGTTGCGGGCTTCTAGCGTTCGCTCTGGAATTGCCGATCTGCCGTCGCGGAGTGTTGGAGGTTTGTGGTGTGGTGGGTTTTCCGAAGCTGTATATATATTTCGTGGCGATCTGTAGTTTTTTGCAAGCTTTCTCTGCATTGCATTCACCAAGATTCTTTTTGCGACTTTGTGAAAGCGGGTATTAGGCTGTGACCTCCATTGAACAATAGATCTACAATATGGAACATGAAAAGAAGGAGACGGTTGCTCACATTGAGCATTCTGCTGGAGACAGCGAGAGCTCAGATGATGGATATGCGAATGTAAAATGGGACGCAAAGTCCGTCACTGCACTACTCTCACTTTGCCTCCTTTGGGTTGGTGAGTCCTCTTCTCATCCGTTGACTGCCTTCCATCCAGACCAAGTCACTGAATAGCAATCAGGTTCACAACTCCCTCTCTACTTCCTCGGCGGAACTCTCAGCTATGTTGCAGCAGACATCGGCGGCCGAGCAGCGACGGCGACATCATGGATGCCCGTCTGCAATACTCTGGCTCTCGCGAGTGTTGCCCCTTTCTCGGGGTACCTGGGAGACATTTTCGGGCGACGGAACATCACACTCATCGGAGCCGGTGCGATCATTATTGGATGTGTTATCACTGCGACGTCGCACACTTTCGGCCAAGTTATCGTGGGTATGGTGCTGGCTGGAGCCGGAGCTGGAATCGGAGAGTTGACTGCTTTATCTGGAGTTGGAGAGCTGGTGCCTGTCAAGAAGAGAGGACTATATGTGGCTTTGGTGGTCGCTTGTTTGGCTCCGACTACACCGTATGTGTTGTATTCGCAGCTGTTTTCTAGTCGAACGGATCCGGATGCATATCAGGGATGGCGGTGGGGACAGTGGATATCCTTGTGAGTTGCACAATGGCATCACGGATGGTTTCGATGCTGATCTTCCACTCACAGGATCTACAATGGGGTGGCTTTTATTGGGATCTTGTTGACATACTTCCCTGAGAGACACAGCACAGTCGCTCGTCGTCCAGTCCGCGAGACTCTGGCCGAGATCGATTACATTGGAGCGCTCTTGTCAATCAGTGGCGTTACGCTCTTGTGAGTCGCCGCAAAATTCTTTACTCGTTTTTGAACTGACTCGTTGCCAGCTTGGTTGCACTCCAGAGTGGCGGTCTCACAGACCCTTGGGACAGTGCCTTCGTGCTCGCAACGCTGATCATCGGTCTCATATTGATCGTCGCATTTGTACTTTGGGAATGGAAAGGCGCTGCGAAGCCCATGGTCCCCAAAGCTCTGTTCGCTGGACAGAGAATCGTGGCAATCGCATTTGCCATCAACTTCGTCGCCGGCATGAACTTCTACTCTTTGATCAATTGTCAGTATTTCTTGACAGTTTTGTAGTGACCTCAGCTGATTTCATGACAGTCTTTCCCCTGACTTTCGTCACCATGTACGATCCTACGCCAATTCGTGTAGGAATCAAGGGTATTGGGTATGGTATCAGTGTCACTGCTGGAGCCACGATTGTCAATGCATTGATGACCATACTACCCAAGTACAACAGAGAGCTCTTGCTGGCATCTTGTATGGTTATGAGTAAGTATTCTTTCTGATTTTGCCCTCTAAGCAGTACGCTGACAAAATTGCCCTCTAGCTGCGTTCATTGGTGCCTTGGCAGCTTCAACACCAGATACCCCTGGCTTGAACGTCGCACTGGGTGTCATTGGAGGTTTCGGTGTTGGTGGTGTCCTCGTGCCCGCTCAGACCGTAGCTATGACGGCCTGTCCAGACGACCTCATCGGAACTGTGGTATCCCTGGCACTCGCGATCCGTGTTATTGGGGGGYGAGTCGATAATTCATGCTGCCATATCGTATGCTATACTGACCAAACCGTAGGAGCATTGGATACTCCATTTACTTCAACGTCTTCGAGAACAAGCTCATGAGCAGGCTACCGGCCAGTGTAGCAGAGTACGCTGTACGAGCCGGCCTCCCGGTTGCTGACGCTACTGCGTTTGTCGGAGCATTCCTTACAGATCCCGCAAGTGCTGCTGAAGTTCCTGGAGTTACACCCGCTGTAATTGCAGCGGCTGTCAGAGGATCTCGCGAGGGCTACAGATATGGTTTCCACTACGTCTGGTTAACCTCGATCGCTTTTGGTTGTGTGTCGATCATTCTTTGTCTGGTGCTGCCTAGCAACTACAGGTTCTTGACGAACAGGGTCGCGGCGCATATCAAACATTGATGATAGTAACGATGTCCATAGTCTTGCCAATGATGTTGACGATTTCAACGTTCGGAGCTCTTTCGTGATTCGATCTCTTTACCATTGCGTATCATCTCTTGACGACAGCAATAGATTTCTATCAAAGTTGTCCGGCGAAGTGCAGGCATCAGCTAGGGTGACCTACTCTCGATCGCAGATTGTCAGTCTTCTGCACATGAATGGTAGCCTCRACCCGTGCCCCTAGATCAGTCTTAGCCCACGGAGTGTGTTTCCCAGAAATCTGGAAGAACAAGCGAGTTGGAAAGGGGTTCCAAACTCTTACTGCTCGTCTTGTTCGCCAAAATATTGAAGTCTAGCTGAGATGTGAGTGTTTCACGAGGCCCGCTTATCAAAATTGCGAATCGATCTTCTGTTTTCTTGATCGAGAGGTCCGTTGAGAGTGTCCCCACACTTGCTAGTGAGCTTGACTGGAGTCGAAAGCTTTCCCATTATCAAGCTGTCAATATCTGTTGTAGGTCGAGATACCGCTCCATGAGCGTCTGAGCCCTATCGCGTGACAATTTGTGGGATTGAGGGATTCCGAGAAATCTCTCAACACTGCTTTGCGACCCTGTCTCGATGATGAGTGAGAGGCCTATCCATGCATGCGAGAGCAATTTGAGGCTCTGCTGATGTACTTTGAAATGGACAACTTCCCGTTCATGTTGATTGATTGTGTTTCGAGAAGGCTTATGGCTTGGCTGAAGGGAGTAGAACTCCAGAGCGGAATCCATTTCAAGGCATTCGTGGTGCACTGTCAAAACACTGAAGATAGCAGTGTCGGACGTGAGGTCTCCGAGGCGGATACTGTTCCCTTCTTTCTTGGTAGCCACGCACCGGTCCGATCAAGTATACCCGGCTGGTATGGACTCGAGGATGACTCTCCAGGGTCAATCAAGAGAAAGACAACCAGGAGTCGGGCAAAGTGGATGGTAGTGGCCACGGAGAGTCTACGTGGGTCGCTGATGTACTAGTGATGCGAGGAGATATAGTGGTGAAGGGAAATCGCAGAGCGAAACAGTCGTCCGACGTAGATGAGGTCTCTGACTCGAGTGGCGTCGAATCTTATATTCAGTCCCAGTTCTCCAGATTGTCACAACTTCCATGAAGTGAAGTGAAGTGAACTTGTCCCGCTCACGGCTCACAAGCCGAAACCGAAGAGGGTCTCGTCCTCTTCACTTGCTCCTTCCACAACCTACCTAACATATTGCAACAACACCACGGCAAAAACATGTTCGAGGCTGCTCGCAAGATGTTCCTCTTGAGTGCTCACAGAGCCAGGATGCGCGCATCTGCCATCGTCGACGGCACAGCCTCTTCGTCAGCTTCAGGCGACACGATGGCGTCTGCACCACTTCCACCGGAACTTCCTGCCTCGAGTGAAGTCAAGCGCACAAGGAAGGCGCTTCCAGAGCAATCGAAGCATCGCGAGGCGCAGTCAACTTCAGAAAAATATGAGCTCGAGTCCATCACGGGYATCTCAGTCGCAGGTGTCAGCGACCAGCTAGACCCTGTCATACAACAGCACATCCTCGTCAACTTTCCATGGATCAAATCAGATGCCATCGCTGAGATTGCCGGACAGTGTGGCATTGTACTCAAGCGCACCATCGCTGAGCAGTGAGTTCATCTACTACAACGAGTCAATTCATGCTGATGTGATTGATCTAGGTATCCCGTTKTGGAAGCCACCAAATCGCGCATCAACTTCATGTCGCTCTCGCTCGAGCTTCGTGAGATGGTCTACGATCTTGTCCTGATCTGTGATGAGACCGATGTGCAAAACTTGGATCCCCGAAATCAGCCGATGTCCGCAAAATTCATGTTCAGCCTTTACAAGACGCCCGTCATCTGTCTGCAGCAATGCGAAGTTGACGTATATGATGGACATACCGACTACTTTGGCTGGCAAAGTGAGTGGTCTAAGCAGCCGGCCCTCACTCGCGTTTCGAGAGCCGTTCGTGCTGAAACGCTGCCGATATACTACAAGAAAAATGAGTTTGTTGCATTTTCATACGAGTTTCCGGGAGCGATGGGCCGCTTCCCTACTCTCAAGAGATTTCTAAGCAGCATTGGCCACCACAATGCGGGGCTCATCAAGCACCTGACATTGTTGTTCCCGGGTTTATGGTCAGGCGTCGACGGAGAAGCGGCAAGAAAGGATCTGGGTGGCGAGACCACAGGATTGGCACGAGCTGCAGTTCAGATGTTTAAGGCAGGCAACTTTTCAGACACGCCCCCAAATCCCCATGGATTCTGTGAGTTTGCATGGGGATATCAAGGAGCAGAGCTTGGAGCAGGAACCGATGAGTACGATGACCCCCAACCTGCATGGCCACCAGCGTGTGCTTGTGTCGGGTGCGAGGAGGCTTGTGGCGTGCGAACGTGGGATCGGTCTCGACATGCGGTCAAGGGCGTGTTTTCTTGAGTGACGTGCGGCATATCACGGGCCGGGACTCAGCAAATCGTGGAACATGCGACACGAACCTATCAAAGTCCGGGCCTGCGAGCGTCCGTACAAACGAGCACCGAAAATTTTCGAGTCAGGAAGACTAGATCTGTCAAGGTGAGAGTTTTCTGATGAAATAGCCCTTTACAAGGTCTCTCAGCGGCCTGGCGGGAATCCACATGGTGACAAGTCCGAGGAAGACCGAAGAAAGCTTCTCAGATGTACTTAGAGTGCTTGCTAGAATGCCAATACTGTTATTTGACACTTTCGAGTGATTCTATCGCTTCAGCTGAGCAAAACGCTTCTGTAGCTCGTCCACATCGGGGATTTTGCCGCCAGGTCCACTTTCACTCTTGGGTTTCGTAGCATCCATCATCTTCTTTGAAGGCTTCAGAGCCGGCGCTCCAGGCAGATTGACCTTTGGCCGTACATTGTCCGTACTAGGCGAAGGAGGCATGACTGACACCGGACTCCTCGGACCCAGATCTCGCGGAGGTGTAGCTTTGCTCAACTCCTCCGTCTCGATCGCCGCCTCCAAAGCCTTCACTTTCTGCCCATTGGATGGTCCATCATCATCATCATCATCATCATCCTGATCGTCCTCTCCCCGTTCCGCTGCAGCAGCTTCCGCTTCCCTCCGTGCTTTTGTCCCAGGAGGATAGTCGACTCCATAAGCATCTGCTATCGTCGAGAGATATGCCTCCACCAATTCCGTACTAGGCGGCTCCACCCTCAACTTCTTCAACACGCGCTCCGGGACCTTTCCATCCGCATTCTCCAGCGTCCGTAATGTGTACTCCTTCCCATACTTCTCCGCAAGCAACTGCCGTACCGTACTCATCTCTTTCACCCCATCAATCTTCGGTGCCGCATATATGATACTCTGTACCGCCTCCTCCAGACCGGGATCCACTTCTTTCGCTTCTAGGAGCCCCGCGCGAGCTGTGAGGAGTTCACAATATAGTTCGAGGATTTCTAGCAATTCCGAGTTCAGGTCTGAGCGGATGATGTTCTCTACGCGGATTCTGGCGCTTTCGATCTTGCCGACTTCGAGTAATTGGGCCATTTCGCGACGCTGGACTTTGGCGAGGGCGGCTTCTTTTTGTTGGACCATGCGGAGGCGTGCGATGGAGAGTTTGAGTTGGACTTTGAGCTTGTTTATGAGGGTGGAAGAGGGCGCCATGTTGACGAAGGGGTATCTTGAGAGGGTGTGTAGGGTGGTGATTTTGTTGTTCGATGTAGCTTGTGGCTAGGGTTGAGGTGAGGTGAGTGAATGGGTGTGATGGCGGGGAAATGTGGGGGCCTTGGATTGCATAATGTTGATGCCTTGTTCATAATTTCATCCTGGGATGAGAATTTGACATTTGTCCTCGTCTTCATCCCGTGCTTACTTACACCTTCAACTTCACCTCAGTCAGCGGGCGTATGGTACAATGGCGCACAGCATGATCTGTGGATGTATCTCTCTACAATGGGATGAAATCAAAGGCTGAAACCATCTCACCCTCCACACTTGTTCACGTGCATAAAATGTCGGGCCGACTCCACCCCCCTCTCACTTGTGATTGGTAGTTCAAGACAAGCTTCACGAAGCATTCGCCGGGGACGGGCTTCGACGGCTTGACCATGTGACAAACCGACGACACAATCGAACAGTTTCGCCGGGAAAGTCGCAGGAATTCCCAAATCTGTCGTTTAGTGGAAGCCACATGAGACGGGCACCCGTTCTTCGGTGGCATTTCCGGAAGTTCTGACCAATCAATGCTCATACATCTCTGATCTACCTCCTGCCCTCCACACTCTCTTCACGCGACACGCAGGCATACAAGCATCGATGAGGAGAAATCGCGGGGCAGTGATATAACACTCGACATACGGATCCAACGGCATCCGTTTGATTTCTCCGGCGGCGACGAAGAAGCACGCCCGCACGGTTGCACAAGTAGAAAAAGCAGGTGGGTTTTCCCCGTGTGAATGATGTTGGCTTTCCTTCAAACTTTACCTTCTGAATCCATCAACATGGTGAGGAACAAGATGGTGCACTTCACATGGACGCAGGCTCTGCTTGCTGTCGCCTCAATCGCTCATGCGCAGGACTCTTCTTCAATGCCGACGGCTTATGGCCTGGCTTCGTCGGCCGCGACTTCGACGACAACTAGCATCGCTTCTGCTACCGTGTCTGGACAGACGAGCATGCAGTCCGTTGCGTTTACGATGTGAGTACCTCACTCTGGGAGATTCAATGGCACTGACTTCATTCACCAGGCCAGCTTCCTCTGATGAGGGACCCAAGCTCCTGCCGAATGTCAAGGATCCCAACGCAAAGCAAGCTCAGTCTTTGTGCCCAGGATACACGGCCAGTGGAGTTGAGAGCACTGAACATGGATTCACTGCGACTCTGAACTTGGCGGGGGAGGCTGTAAGATTTAGGTCATTATTTCGAGTAGATAGGCCGGCACTGACCACTCCAGTGCAACATCTACGGCACAGACATCGAGACCCTAWCATTTGAGCTAGACGTTCAGACCTCCCACCGGATGCACATCAAGATCGAACCCACATACATCGACAACAGTAACCGCTCGCAGTACATCCTCGCAGACAATCTCATTCCGTCTCCACAGGATGGCTCTGAAGCGCAGACTCAAGATATCGATCTGCAATTTACCTGGACCAACGAGCCGACCTTTGCCTTCACCGTTCTGAGAAAGTCTACAGGCGATGTTCTCTTCGACACCACCGGCAGTGTGCTCGTCTATGAGAACCAGTTCATTGAATTTGTCTCTCAAATGCCCGAAAACTACAACATGTACGGCATGGGTGAGCAGATCCATGGCTTCCGACTAGGGAACAACTACACTGCGACATCTTTCGCTGCAGATGCCGGTGACCCGATTGGTCAGAATATTTACGGTGTTCATCCATTCTACCTCGACACGAGATACTTTGAGGTAGACAACAAGACAGGCAAGCACACCATGGTTTCTACAGACAACACATCCGCGGACGGCGAGTATGTTGGCTATAGTCATGGAGTCTTCTTGCGTAACGCACACGCAATAGAAGCGTTGATGCTTCCATCGAATCTGACTTGGAGAACCCTCGGGGGAAGCATTGACATGTATGTTTTCGATGGTCCCACTCCGGAGGCTGTAACCAAGCAATATCAGCTTGGCGCTATTGGCCTTCCCGCAATGCAGCAATATTGGACTTTCGGATTCCACAACTGTCGATGGGGATACAAGAACTGGTCTGAAGTTGAGGCCGTCGTCAACTCATACCGCGAGTTTGACATTCCTCTTGAGACCATCTGGACTGACATCGACTACATGTTCCAATATCGCGACTTTACCAACGACCCAAACACGTTCCCATACCCAGAAGGACAGGAATTGCTGGCGCGTTTGTCTGCAATGGGTCAACACTACATCCCCATTGTGGACTCTGCTATCTACATCCCAAATCCTATTAACGCCTCTGACAACTACTCAGTCTACACTGATGGCAACGACCGTGGCGTTTTTCTCAACAATCCCRATGGCAGTCAATACATCGGTGCTGTGTGGCCCGGCTACACCGTCTTTCCAGACTGGGAAGCCGAAGAGACTGTTGCGTGGTGGACCGACCATATGGTTGAGCATCACAATAACATCGCGTGGAGCGGTATCTGGATCGACATGAGCGAAGTGAGCTCGTTCTGTGTTGGCAGCTGTGGCACGGGAAATCTTTCACTCAACCCAGTTCACCCTCCTTTTTCATTGCCGGGCGAACCGGGTGCTGTGATTTACAACTACCCGGAAGGCTTCAACCTTACCAACGCAACCGAGGCCGCTGAGGCCATGTCTATGTCTGCCTCTCAGGCGTCCTCCATTGCATCTGCGACACCGATYGGAACTTCGACTACGTCCTACTTTACACCACCAGCCGTCACACAAGGTGTGAGGAACGTCAATCAGCCTCCGTATGTGATTAACCACGTGAATGGAGACCTCGCCGTGCATGCGGTAAGCCCCAACGCAACTCATCACAATGGTGTTGAGGAGTATGACGTCCACAATCTTTTCGGCCATCAGATTCTCAACGCCACATACCAAGCTCTTCTGGAGGTCTTCCCAAATAAGCGTCCGATGATCATCGGACGTAGCACGTTCGCTGGTAGCGGCAAATGGGCCGGGCACTGGGGCGGTGACAATACTTCGCTGTGGGCGTACATGTATTTCAGCATATCGCAGGCCTTGAGCTTCGCCCTATTCGGCATTCCCATGGTATGTCCGCCCTTGCCAAGTACTCTACGAAAGAGAGACTAACAATTGACAGTTCGGAGTGGACACCTGTGGGTTCAACGGCAACTCTGATGAGGAGTTATGCAATCGCTGGATGCAACTCTCGGCCTTCTTTCCCTTCTACCGCAACCACAATACTCTCTCCGCCAACTCCCAGGAGGCTTACGTTTGGGAGTCTGTTGCTGAAGCATCTAAGACAGCCATGGCTATCCGCTACTCACTTCTCCCATACATCTACACCCTCTTCTACAGCGCCCACACTACTGGTAGTACCGTTATGCGCGCACTATCTTGGGAGTTTCCCAACGAACCTAGCCTGGCTGCTATCGACAACCAGTTCCTTCTCGGTCCAGCTCTGCTGGTCACACCTGTTCTCGGACAAGGCATGACTAGCGTTCAGGGAGTCTTCCCGGGTGTCGCCCAAGGCCAAGTTTGGTATGACTGGTACACTCAGGAAGCCATGTCTGCTCAGCCAGGCGAGAATGTTACCATCGCTGCTCCTTTAGGACACATTCCTGTCTTCATTCGCGGCGGTCACATTCTTCCCAGGCAAGAGGCAAGATACACCACCAACGAGTGTCGAAACAGTTCTTGGAGTTTGCTTGCTGCTCTAGACGCGAGCGGCGCTGCTTCTGGTTCACTTTACGTCGACGACGGAGAGAGTGTTGTGCAAAACTCTACCCTGTTTGTTGATTTCACTGCCAGTAATGGAACTCTTTATGCTTCTTCTCGCGGCTTGTATGAGGACAAGRACAGTCTGGCTAATGTCACGATTATGGGCGTGCAGAGTGAGCCTGGTACGGTCACTCTTAATGGAAAGGCTCTGCAGAGCGGCGTGAACTACAATGGTACGAGCAAAGTTCTGGCTGTTACGGGTCTGCAGAACTCGACGAGCGGAGGTGCTTGGGCGAGCGATTGGACTTTGAGCTGGGCTTAAGCTCTGTCGGATGCTTCTGACGGAAGGACTTCAGATCATAATGAGGAATGAATTCGTGGTTTTTCAAGTTGCCGCGCGGGTAACACATTGTAAGTGCGGTTTCTCTCACCTGGCGCTCTCATTTCTCAGTCTACTATCCTGTCTCTTGAAGTTGTTTATACCAAAGAGAACCAGCTTGTCTTCTATGATCGTTCAAGCCAGTAAGACTGGGGTGAGACCCATCGAAGTGACAGTATGAATGAAGTTCATGACGCTCAGCATCGGCATCTACCGCACGTTCATTCACTTGCTCTAGGTAGCTGCTCGGCTTCTTCGATTACTAGCGACCTCGCTCTTCTTCCTTCCAACAACATCCACTTCATCGTCGAAGTTCACGTTCGACCGCACTCCATTATCTTCATCGAAGCTCACAGTCGAGCGCGCTACATCATCTCTCATCGAAGCTCACGGTCGACCGCGCTAAATCTTCTTCATCGCCCATCATCGCCTCCACCGTCGCCGCGGTCAGACGCGCGCAAAGCGCACCTCGAGCGCTTCACCAGAGGCCACAGCTTCCTCCTGAAACTTCACTCCACCGGCGCACATCAAAAGCAGTCCCGTCACACCAGCAAACGACGTCATGGTCAAGGTCAAGGTCAACCACTACCTCGACTACACAAAATGCACGGTGGACGAGCTGCAGAAGTTCATCAAGGACCGCACCGGCAAGGACACCACTTCGCGGAGTGTTCCTTACATGGCCGCTAAGCTGAGAKTTCTCGACAAAGATGCCACGTTCAGATTCCAGGACCTGCCGACCGAGATGAGACTCGCGGTGTACGCCGAGCTGATGCACCGCCCGGATCCATACGATACCAAGACCATCCACTCGCAGATTCTGGCAACGTCCAAGGAGATCAATCGTGAGGCTGAGCCAGAGCTCAATGTTAGGGGAAACCTGCTGATACGGATCGCGCCTCACCCTACTTATCGGAGAGCTCACTGCAGCATGGGAAGCCGCACATTCAAACTTTACAACGTCGGCGGAATCGATGCATGCAGTGCCATGTGGCCACTTTACGATCGCTGTGTTGGAGATATTCCCAGGATCCAGAACATGACCATCCACATCACCGAGGGACGTTTGGCGGGTGGCATGTACAGCAGGCCCGACCAAGACAGAATCGTCGGATTTCTCTATGCCCTGACCGCAGCAATTCGCACGAGCAAGGTGCGCACATTGAAACTTCGGATTGATCCAGGAGTCCAACAGCACTCGGAATCATGTCTTTGGCCACTTTACAGAATCCATTCCATAGTGGACTTCTCTATGGAGGGAGTCTCTCGCAGGACTGAGAAACGCATCTTCAAGGACCGGGCGGGCAGTGGCGCTGGGGCTGATCTTATCTCGAAGGGCAGAGCGTTGATGACAAGACTTGACGAGCTGGTGGARCTCTTTGCCACCCAGAATCCTCACATGTTGTCGAAGGTTGGGAAATTGCGGTCCAAGGTGACGAGGGCCACTAGATGGAGTTTGTATCTCCACGGCGATGAAACGCAGATGAAGACGCTTAACCTAGTGGAGCGTGATCTGGGAAAGAAGGGCATGAGAAAATCCATCCAGAAGGCTGAGGAAGCCTCGAAGGCGGGCGAGAAGAGTGACAAGGGCGAGAAGAGTGACGAGGGCGAGAATAGTGAAGAGGGCGAGGAAGCTAAGTAGAAATTACGATGGTCACGGCGGGCTCGGCAACGATCCACCGTCCCGGACAAGCCATGCATCATCAAGGGCGTTGAATGCAATTTGGAGGATAACTGGGATCGTATTGGAAGCGATCACTTCAGGGCACATTTGTAACGATGGTTTGAACCGACGAGACTCTCTTGGGACGGGGGCGCTGAATCTTCTTGGGAACTGCGTGGTGTTGTTATGAGGTTCTCGATTTTCTTCCTGTTTGCTTCTGGAACGCGGTGCGGAGCAGATGCTAGCAATATGGCGTATTCAGTTGTGTTATTCATTACATTTTCAATGTTTCCTTCTTGCAAATACCTACTTACGATCATTCTGGTTGATGACGTCTACAGCATGGAGGGAGAAAAATATGGAGAATTCTAAATTGTACATGTAATGTACAGCATGGCGATACTTCGAACCAGGACCATCCAACTAGATTCTTCTAGAGTACTCTACTCTAGAAGATCCCTTCTGGTGATACCGGCACTTAAGCTACTAGAGGCATAGAGACGAAAACGATGACTCCTTTCACAGATGAAACTCAACGGCTCTTTAATACTCTAAGCTACTTAATACCGCGTTCTGTTAGATCTCTTATCCGTCAAGGATTTCACGTTCTGGAGCCTCAGTTAGGGAAACTCTCGTATATAGTACTTGTAGTAGTACGAAGAGCTCGTAGGTGGATGAAACACTTGGCAACCTTCATACTACACGCTGTTAGTGGAGAAATTAGAGGAGCGAGTTATACTGTGAATGAAACATTTGAGAGATTGTGGGTAAAGTTCCCATTCAAAATTGAATTGGAAAGCAGAAATGAATTGACTTTCATATCTTCCATGCCTGGTTTCCACCGGATATCTTGTAGAAGGTAGAGATCGTTACAGGGCAGCGGTTCATTGCTCCCTATTTCCATCACCTGATACTCACTACGATCCTTCCATCCTAGCCATGACGATAATGCAGAGCTTTTGGTATGAGAACCCTCCAACTGATGGTCTTCTGTTCTGCAATTTTGATCCTGGGATGACGAGATGACCTTTGGTACAGAAATCAACCCGTTGGACATTCCGTATCCACTGCTCTGCCACCGCGAAAGGCCAATCGTGTGCCTTCAAGTATTGAACGTTTGTTCGAACTCCATAGCTCTTGCCCAGCTGCTCTTGATTTTCAACAGCTTGTTCTTCCGAGATGTTTAAGTTCCCAGAGTTGTGCTCGACTTAATGATATTGTCTTTGGAACTCTCAGTCCTCTAGCTCCTGTGACTCCCGTCAAGCCTTCGCATCCTATACAGTCCTCGCAATTGATGCAGTCTTTGCAGTCTTCACAGTGCTTGCAAGCAATTAACGCAGCCTTCGCAGAGCTTGCAGTCAGCGCAGATGTCGCATTTGTTGCAGTTGATGCAGTCGTCGCAGTCGTTGCAGTCGTCGCAGTTGTTGCAGTCGTTGCAGGCGTTGCAACCATGGCAATTCTTACAATAATACAGTCCTGTCGATCCATAGCAAAAGTCACACCCATTGCACTGAGTACAGGACTTGATGTCGCAGGCAACGCAGTTGACGCCGTCCCTGGTTCGTGTGCAAGTACAGATCCAGCGCGGACCTTGGCGTCTGGTTTCTGCAGCGATATGAGAGACTATGTCGCATTGAATGCAGCCGCTGATGGTGATGCCATTGTTGAAGAATTTCATGCGTAGAACTCCCGAGTTGAAGTTGCAGATCCAGCATTGTTTGCTATTGCAGAAGTAGGCATGATTGCTGACGCAGTTGGCGCATACGGGACCATCGAATCCGGCGGATCTGTTTGGCACGAGCCAGTTGATAGCTGCCGAGTGGAGTGAGGTGAGGTATCCTTGCGAAGATAGGTGCTGGACGAGGAGCAAAGCGCATACAGCGCATACAGCGGTGATGGCCATCTCGGTGAAGTCGAGGTTGGTCATGATGGATGGTGCAGTATCCTGGTGTTGATGTTGTTGGAGAAGATATCAATCGAGARTGATGTGGTCGTCACGGACCAAGGTGTGGCGGACGAAATGGATGTTTGTGTCTGGAAGGAATGGTGTTGAGGCTGACGTTGATGTTCAATGCGAAAAGCCTCCAACAAGCGGCGTTTTATGCACCGTGCTCTGTCGCGACTGTGTGAAGCGGAAGTTGACAGCACGTTTCCAAAAAATAGAGCTTTGCGCACATGAAAGAAAACGTATCAACCGAGGTGCATCCACTCCACGATGAAGATAACAATCAAAGCGATGATGGCATTCGTTGCAACACTGTTGATGTATTGATGACCGCCTACGTAGGATATTTTGATGTCCTGTCAGATGGCAGAAAGATGTTAGAGGGTGTTGCGGTTATCTTGAAATGAGCTTTGACCTGCCTCCTTCTTAGAAGCTCTTGTGTTCATTCCTTCCGGGCAAGTTGTGCCTTCCCTTAGTGTCGTAACTACCCTACCTACTGGGGGTTACCTACCCTCTATAAAGTATATGATATGTGGAGATCTTTTTAGAGCAGGCCAAGGAAGCCAAGCCAATTGATAAGCATGGAACAGGCGGCAATGCAAGGTTCTAAGAAGGAGGTAGGCTTTGACGGGACAGGCAAAGATTTCGCGATTGAACAGCGTAAAGCCGAGGCTGATACTGACGTCTGAGATGATAGCCTGTCATAACAGATGTTCTATGTTGGCGCTTGGAAAAGTTGTGATCCGTTGCTGATATAAAGTGAGAATGGTGATCGAACGCTTACCGAGTTCGGAATTTTGCACGTGAAAATCCCAAGAAAGCTTGAGCTCATGCCAAGCGATGAGTGAATTCACGAACTTTGCAGGCGACAGACCAGGGAATTATCACAGTCCCGCTATCGACCAACAGCGAGACGTGAGACACCTCACTAAATCGACATCGATGATTTTCTGGCGTTATACTTGACCCTGTAAAGACAAGTCGCCCGATTGCTTCCTGAGACATGATTCCCTAGCAGTTGTGCGGATCAGCAGAATCTCTTGCATTCATCGACCAACATATGGATCGATAGATCTATTCCCCTCACCGATTCCTCCCGCGAATCTTCACCGCATCGCCAGCTGTTAAACATCAATTATCCAGGACCTCCATCATCTTCGGGGATTGAACGTCAGTCATTCCATACAGTCTTCTTAGGCAACAGACTTCTTCGTTTGACTTCAGCATCGTGGTGTGCATCGTTACAGTCAAGCAAGGCGTACGACATGAAGTCGAGTCTCTCTCTTTCAGCCTAGGGTGGTTTGTGGTGGACCTTACAATCGCGCGCGGTGCTCCTCAGCACTTGTCGTCAACGTCTCAAATGAGTGACCTTACTTGAAATCGTGAAACAACCCTTTAGTCAAGTTGTGGTCCTGGTTTCTAACTCAAAACGCCCAAACAGGCGGTCCACAGCCTTGGGATCAGGAGCTACACACTCATCCGGCCTTCTTCAATCCTTGTTCTTAAGGTAAGCCGACAGCCCTGTATGCATTGTGTGACCTGCGATGCACAGAGATACCGTGTGATTATTAGCGAGTGACCAGTCTGAGCTCTCTTGTTCCTATCCGTCCAGCGCTACATTAAATGATGGTTTCWGGTTCTGTCTCGTGTGGAAAGCAAAAGCAAAAATTGCTAAACAGTTTGTTAGGCGCGATTAGTAGTCTGAGTGTATCGATACCAAAGAGCCATGGCATGATCTATGTACATCAACGGATCGAGTGATTGGCATCGCTTCGAGGGTGCATGTCGAGGTGATGTTGATGGAGGGCGTGACGTTGTCGAGGAAATGTGCATCGGCAATCGGGATGCGACTTCCTCCGAGCGCGTTTGCCGGCGCCGAAACGAGGCAGTTGCGTTGCACAAGCGGGCCGTGGCGTGGCGCCTGTGTTCCTGAGCCAGTTTCGCGGGCGGAGAGAGCTCAACTTGGAAGTGTTTTGCGCATTGCATCACCATCATCTTCAATCCATTGCTATTCTGTACGTACGTACATACTACTACTACTACCACACCATAGACGTCCAGTCGCAGGAGTCTTTCTGGTTCGCATCCGTTTGTTTACACTTGCTGCTTCCTCGGGGAAGCAAATCACCTCCAGCGCATCATGGGCGAGCCTCGGATGGAGTACATGGGCATTCTGGTGAGTCGCAAAGAGGAAGGCTACATGTTCGATGGTCCAGGAGACTGATGAACGCACCTTGCAGCCCAAAGTACAGCCCGCACAAGCGTTGGACATCCTCAACGACCGAGTCACGCAGATTGGGAGACTGAACACTTCGATTGTGAGCTGGCTGGCGGAGCGGAGACGGCTGGAGGAGCAATATGCCGCCGGACTGCGGGGCCTGGCGCGGCGGAATATCGACGACATGGACCTGGGCATCTTCTCCGTCCCCTGGGCCGGCATCACCAGTTCCATGGAAACGCTCGCCGAAGCGCATTCCGCTCTGGCCAACCGCGTCGAGGTCGATATTGAACGGCCGTTGAAGGAATACCCGACGCACAATCGCGAATTGCAGGGACTCGAGGGATCTCAGGAAAGACTCGCAGCCATCATCAAGGACATGGACGATGCGGCCAAGAAGACGGAAAAATTGCTGGGAAAGGGCGAGAAGGCAGATGCCAACAAAGTTGCCAATGCCACCTCGGATCTGGACGATGCACGCGCGCGGTGGGACGCGCATGCGCCCGTTGCTTTTGACAGTCTGCAGGTCATGGACGAGAAGCGGGTGAATGAACTGCGCGACTTGTTGACCCAACTGCAGACGCTCGAGATTGAYCAGGTGGAGAAGAGTCGGGTGGGGGCCGAGCAGTGTCTGAATGTCTTGCTGAATGTCGAGACGGCCGATGAGATCAAGACCTTTGCCCTGCGATCCATGAGCGCCAAGCCTCGCGCTCCCCAACGCGCCAGTTTCATGCCGGGAATGCCTAGTAGCAGCAGCACCGCCACCCAATCTCGCAATCCCCCCACCAATGATGCCGCCAGTGAGGTTAGCGACACCACTCCGGAGCCGAAGAAGGGATTTGCCAAGGGCCTGAAGCGATTTGGTACTGTCATTTCACGCAGGAGGGAGAGCAAGATGCCTTCGACGTTGCCATCAACTGCGGAATCTCCCGAGGAGCGGAAGCCCAAGCCTTCGCCTTTTGGCAGAATGGGAAGATCCAAGGATTCATATGGCTTGGAGCCACCTCGGGAAGCTCCTTCAACCCTACAGCGTCCATCTTCGCCGCTTAGAATGGGTAGTGAGATACTCGAGTCGCCCGTTTCCAAGGATCCGCCCCAGCTGGGTGATATTCCGCATCTCAATGGCAACTCGACAATGGGATCGACCACAAACAACTATGCCAATGGTGGCTACAACAGCGATCTTGCCGATCTGGAGCCTCACAAATCCAGCAATACTACTGCCACAGAGCCTGCAAGAGACAGCGAAGGTTTCTCCGTTCCTCCCGCGGATCTCGATCCCATCTCTCAAGCCCAGGCCGAAGCTGCTGCCGAAACTCCTCAATACAACGTCAACATAAGACAGGCGCCTATTGAAGAAGAGGGCGGAGAAGCTGCTCTTGCCAGTCTTGCGTCAAAATTGGTATGTTTGTCACCATTTACATACATTCAACCTCAAGCTAACACCCCTCAGCAAGCACCGCCACCTGTCAGCCGTAGAGCAGGGACAGTTCGAGGCCGTAGAGATGCCCGTAATAGTACTGCGGTTGGCAACTTTGCTGCTCCTGAAACCCTTGCCGCCGACCCTTCAATGACCATTTCTGAAGAACGCTCATACACAGCAAACAGACTGGATCCTAATAACACTCCCGCTTATACGACGGCAGCTCATCCCACGCAGCTGGCAGCAGATCCTTCCTCGTCTTCTCTCGTCCAGTCCCCTTCTACTGGATTTTCAGGCGCCGCTCTTGCAGGAGGAGCCCTCGCCGCGGGAACTTCATCTCAATCATTCTTGCCCTCGCAGGAGATCCCACAATCCCCAACATTCCGTCCCTCTTCTCGCTTGGAAGATAATCAGTCCATCCGATCCGGTCGTAGCACAGCCAGTCAAGGGCTCTCAAAGCATCCCGATCTCCACGATCAGGGTCTAACTTCCTCCATCATCGAAACCATCTCTGCACGATTTGAGAGCGGCCAACTCATGACATCCTCGCTCATTGGTGAGATCGCACTCGGATTCAATGGCCCACCAACCGCCGATCAAGAGTCAGTCAGATTAGAAAACTTCTCCCTCCTCGATAAGATCGCTCCCAACCCACTCATCCTTCGTCCCGGAGCTACTGAAGGCGAATACGCGCTCAACATCCCGACTCTTGCGAGAGGAAACGCCATTGCTTTCAAATACCAACTCCAAGCAGAAAACTCCGCAGCTTATGCTCCGTTGACTGTCCAACCCATCTGCAAGATTGAGGAAAACCAAGCGAGTATCATTGTGAACTACTCCATTAGCCCGTCTTTCCCTACCACTGGGCCAGTGATGTTGAACAACCTCACGATTGCCCTCACACTCGAAGGCGCCAAAGCTTCCAGCTGTCTCAGCAAACCCGTCGGTACATTTGCCCGGGAGAAGGGTTTGATATTCTGGAGTCTGGGAGATGTAACTCTCACGCCTGGTGCTGCGCCTGAAAGGCTTCTTGCGAGATTCCCGACGGAAGGCATGGCCAAAGGTGGAAGTGTTGAGGCAAGATGGGAGGTTCAAGGGATGGGAAGTGCAGTTGGAGTCAGCACGTTGAAGGCTGGAGCGGATCCATTTGCGGATGGAGATGAGACTTCTTGGAAACCAGTGGTGGGAGTGAAGAAGATGGTCGCGGGAGGCTATGGGGGACGATGATGTGGATGTGGATTGGAGGGAGGGAATGTATATATTGTATTGTGTGAGTTCTCGGCTTTCGTTTTAATGATACCCGTTCGTTCTTTGCTTCTATCCAACTTTACAGTGCACGATACTCATTGTAATAATGTCTCATGCTTGACAGTTCAGCATGTGAAACGTACGAGCACATGCATATGACTTGACGAAGATCACAGTTTAAGAAACAGGACGCCGGGACTTACGGAACAGCTTTTGGAATTTATTCTCGATCATTTATTGCATGCTCGGTCTTTCCTCCATCATGAAGTAGGAATGGTGCATGCAGGTAAAGAGATTCGCTGGAACTTCAGGTCAGGATCCACAGTCCTTGCGGTCGAGTTGAATAAAGGAAAATCCTCGCTCAGATTGCTGCTTTCTTGAACTTTTATCAAAGCGRCCATCAACTCCAAACCGCTTTTGCTCATAAAAATACCGCGCGCACTATTAATCTCAGCCCGAAGCGTCAAAATCCGCAGAAACTCCCATCCAAGTAATCTTCGGAGCACCCCGCTCATCCACCGGATCATCATTTCTCCGACGAATGAATTGATAAACCCTCGCATTCCTCAAACTAGGTTTCCACTGCAATTCCGGCCTCAAAGAATCCACAAGATCAGTAAGCATATCATCATACGCATCGTCATCCGCTTCRATTCTCTCCTGCCGATCCCTAGCGAGACCTGCGAGAAGTTCGCTGATGTGGAGTAATTGTCCGAGATTGGCGCCTAGTGTGACGATGGAGATTTTTTTCCAATCGAACCCTACGGTGTATGATGGACCGGCGTTCTCGATGGTGATTTTTATGGGGACTTGGGGGTCGATTGTTACGAAGAGGTCGTTGTATGAGGGGGTGGTTGTTCGGGAGGGGTTGGAGAAATTGGTGGTTTTGCGGGTGAATTCTACGTAGGCGGGGGATCTGTAGGCTTGTTCATCCAGGCAGAAACTCGCCATGTGCGGCCAGTCTCGAGTACAGGCATCGTGTTGGCTGTCGTCGTTTTCTTCGTCGTCGTCGTCGGATCCGATGTCTGGTGTTGGTTCGTCTCCTGCGTTTGCTTCGCCGTATAGGACTGGCTCGCGCGGTGTGCGAAGGAAGGCAGGATTCAGGTCTACGGCTCCGCGACCTGGGAGAAGAGGTGCTGGGGCTGTGTTGTTAAGTGATGCATTGATGTTCCATACGGGCGCTGTCGTTTGGCCTGGGTTGATGTCTCGCTGGAGTTGGAGAGAGCCGRCGATCGTGTTGCCAAAGGTTTGGTCTACGCGCCGCGCGCTCATGATCTCTCGTCCGTTGAGGTTGTCGAGGATCATTTCTAGCAGCTGTGGGACGTTGAAGGTGCGTTGTTCTGCCATGATTGAAGGAATATGTTTGCTTGAGAGATGTCTTGAGGAGGAAGCAGTTCTCTTCTGGTGGATTAGCTCAAGTCGAGTTTGTGGTGGATCATCGCCGAAAACGAATGCTTGACAGAAAAAGGCATGTTACGGGAATTGTGGATACGATTTCTACGCTAGTGACCGGCGAGTAGATGCTGCTTGGAACAAAGAAAGGTTTCCTCGACTTCTGTCTAGGCTTGTTGAAGCATCACCGTAGCCTACAGTCTACTCGTCGAGTGAATTCGTTACCAGCGATCATCTTGATAACTTCTCGAGTTTTTTTTTTTCGATAATCAACATGCCCCTTACCTTATAGCACATCCAGGAGGCGCGACCTTGTCGCTGCTTTATGTCTAATCCTTGAGCCTCGTCCTACCCCTTTTCATGTTCAAGCTCGGTGGACTAAGTCATCGAGTTCATTACGAGAAATACTTGTGCTTTGACCATGCCAACTACTACTCGACTTCTGCTAGCTTTTCTAAGGGCTCTGCCCTATCTAGGAATCGCACTTCTTGCTATTTCGGGCATGTTCGAGATGTCTTTTGAACTAGGCTATACGGAAGGTCTTTGTAACATTAGCTAACGGGAGGGCTTTTACGTTCGTAGCTTAAAAGGAAAGTTAAGGAATGAGAGAAGCTAGCGTAAGAACGCTGCCCACTTTACCCGTATCGTGACTAGGATCAACAAAGAGTATTATTTTATGAGAGATACAGACCGTAGTGAAATGCTAATTGGATCTTACAAGTCTGYGACAGACCGCGACTTTTACGATCAGCGTAAGCGACATCGTCTAGTTGGGATGTATCCTATCCATGATATCCGATGGAAGTTGTGCCTCCTTTACCAGTGCTATGCTCTGTAGACGGTCGAGCAATACCAACACAGCTTTTTAGACAAGACTACGCCCTTGAAACCTACCTAGCCCCGCTCACTCAACTTTGTCTGCCTCGGCATATCGACTTTCGTATCGAACGTCATCTTCATCAACAACTGATTCGCTACAAGTCAGTAGTTCTACGTGAATCCTTGAAAGACCTACGAAGTCCATTTCTACCGCTTGCTCATCACTTCACCTAAAATTTCCAACAACTCGAGGATGACCTCAATTGACAAAGAGCCCGATTCGGTGCAGGTCTCTCAAACGGCCGATGGAATAACGACGATAACAATTTCCCGAAAACATCGACGGAATGCCGTCGACAATGCAACTGCCCGCAAGCTATACGATGCATTCCTCGATTTCGAAAATGATCCCACTCAAAAAGTCTGTGTCTTTTATGGAGAGCACGGCAACTTTTGCGCGGGTTTCGACCTTCACGAAGCTGCCACGTCCAATTCTTCCCAAGCCGTTGGCGTACAGGGCAGAAATATCGGTCCCATGGGACCATCACGATTGGATGTCAAGAAACCGGTCATTTCTGCGGTTGCCGGGTACGCAGTTGCGGGAGGGCTGGAACTCAGTCTGCTTGGCGACATGAGGGTTGCGGAGGAAGACGCTGTGTTTGGCGTCTTTTGCCGTCGATGGGGAGTGCCTTTGATCGACGGGGGAACCGTACGACTTCAAGCTATTATTGGGCTGAGCCGGGCTCTCGATATGATTCTCACGGGAAGGCCGGTAGACGCTGCAGAAGCACATTCCATGGGCTTATGCAATCGTGTAGTGCCCAAAGGCAAAGCGTTGGAGGAAGCGACGAAGCTGGCGAGATCTTTGCTCAAGTTCCCTCAGGCTTGCATGAATTTGGATCGCTCTAGTTGCTACTATGCAGCTTATAATGCCTCATCTCTGGAGGATGCCCTGCGGCATGAGTTTGAAGCTGGCGTGAAGATTGTGTCGACGGAGAGTAGAGAAGGTGCTGCTAGGTTTAGTAAAGGTGCGGGCCGGCATGGAGGCTTCAATTTATGACCGATGAGCTTGGATACAACTTGACATGCCTCTCTCAATTCAGCGCACAATAGTTGAAATAGCCACATCACCTTTCTTTCTTGGTTAATGCGATGATGTAAGAAATGCTCTCCATGTTTGCGATGTGAAAGCGACTCTGTTTGTGTATGGATCCACCGATGTATCAATTGCCGAAGCTCCGGATCCGTGAAATCGCTGCCTTGTAAAGGAGCTCACGCTCGCTGCTGGATGGCAGTGAACATGAAGTTTGCCATGTCTCCTCCCAGCAGATCAATGACGGCGCTCACAATCAGACTGCCATGATCACAAACATCACACGTCGGTTGGAGAGCGCTGATGATATCGTCGTGGAAGAATGGCTGGCTCCTTGGATATTGAAATGTAAGATCGGATTGTCCAATTCCAGTCGTAAGGATGTTGGGAGTGTTGTTCCATAGCAACTCCTTTGTTGTTTGTTCTTTGTGGTTCACTTGCCCCGCACTAACCTCCAAAGAGCCGCTTGCCGGTAGCCGCTTTAGGCGCGGACGCCAACGATAAGGTGGGGGCATGAGGTGGGCATGAGGTGTGATGACTGTCGCGGAATGACCTGCTGCCTCTCAACAAACACCAACCAACCTGATCACGAAGCACCACCTACCTTATACCTTGGAAGCGGACATCGGAAGGGACTCCACCTCCTCTTCCATCCATCCCACCCACCATCTAACCTCTCCAACACTTCCAACATGCAGAACCTCATCCACAGCTTCATCGATCCCCTCCGCGATCGCTTTGCGCCCATCAACAATACGTCCAACTTCCGCGCCACCGGCCAAATCACCGTCGATGAGTTTGTGTCCGCCGGCGACTTTCTCGTCTTCAAGTTTCCYAGCTGGAGCTGGGCCGATGCAGCCTCCCCCTCGCAACGATCACCACATCTGCCGGTTGGCAAGCAATATCTCGTCACTCGCGGAGTTCCCTGTCGCAAGCGCATCAAGGCGGATGATTTTGCGGGAAGTGGCGATGATGACCAGCTCATCAAGGACATGCTCAAGGAGACGGGTGTGGAGGTGGCCGGCGAGGACGACGGTTGGCTGAAAGCGGGAGGAAACAGTGGAGGGGAAGATCGCAAGAGTGCTGCCCTCATGAAGGACGTTAAGACCGTAGACGAGGATGGAAAAGAGGATGAAGAGGGCTATGAGACGGAGGAGGAGATTCCCGACATGGAGGACGAGGAGGAAGACGAAGAGGCCATTATCCGCGATCCCGGCAAAAAGGGCGGCGTCAASGATGGGTGAGTGATGTMGATATTGATGCAGACCTGTTTCTCGACAACCTACTGACGTGCTATCCAGCCTCCGCACATACAMCCTCTATATCGCCTACTCTCCGTACTACCGCACGCCTCGACTGTACCTCTCCGGCTATGAGGCTAGCACCAACCACCCTCTACCGCCGCTCAGCATGATGGAGGATATTGTCGGCGACTACAAAGACAAGACGGTCACTCTCGAAGACTTTGTCTTTACGGATCCTCCCATCAAGACAGCATCGGTCCACCCTTGCAAGCATGCCAGCGTGATGAAAGTACTCCTCGACCGTGCAGATGCTGCTCTGAAGCTACGTACGGAGAAGAYGAAGCACGGTGAGAAGCCGTCGGATGCCGGCATGGAGGGTCTCGTCGAACAGACCGCTGCTCTCCACCTTTCCAATGACAAGTCGGCGCCCAAAGACAAGGACAACGAGGCGGACTGGGAAGTTCTCTCCTCGGACAGCCAACCCGATGCAGAGGTACCGGCCATTCGTGTGGATCAATACCTTGTGGTCTTCCTTAAATTCATGGCTTCGGTGACGCCGGGAATCGAGCATGACTTTACCATGGGGGTCTGACTACGCTCGGGGTGCAAAATCTCTGTAGCATGGACCGATTGGCATATCCTACACGCCGGCATGGACTACCCACGGGAGGTAGAGTGGATGGAAGTGAAGCGTGTCTGGGGTGGTGGTGTTGCTGTCGTTGGGACGAATTAAGACGCATGGGAAAGCACGAGACTGACGATGAGAACGATGAGATGACTTCCACTGCATAGCCAGGCCATGGTTGGGATTAGAAGGTTGGCGTTTACATACTGTAATGTTGCACTTTTACCAGAGAGCCAGAATGACTGTCTCCAGATGCTTACATTTCTTCACATCGACAGTCTCTACAGCCTTGTATAGACTCCCAACCCTCGCTAGTCCAAGTTCTTTACGCTATCGTCCGAGATTCGAACTTATCTTAAGGGTATTACAGACAAACATGAATTGCATTAGTATATGCACTTTAAGGGCGCATTTCTGCCTTCGTCGCGCCAAGCCCGAGCTTTTATGCAATCACTTAGCACCGCTCCGTACTAAAGTAGTCCTTCCCCCAGATTAAAGGTTAAGGACTTCGTTAAGTACCACGTTACATTATGAAAGGCACAACCCGACTTCTCTGTTGTATCATCGTACTTTTGTTTTCGTCTCCGTTCGTCTCTGCTACTATCGGATTTGGCACTTGCAAACGCTGCTTGCCTATCGCAATACACGATGCCCCAGGCGTAGGCTTTGATCTTACAGCAAGTTACGGGTCAGTTCCAACTCCGTGTGTGGCAACAAGCAAAGCTCACATGTGTGACAGAGTAGCAAGCGTCAATCTCTATGACGGACCAAAGAAGGACACCGTTGGAACAATGAAGGACATTGTCAAGGTCGAAGCGTCGCAGGAGTACAAAGATTTGATTGTACGATTATCTACGGCCCCAGCACCTGGACAGGGATTCGTTGGCTCCGCCAAGCGATGGTTCAACGAACTGGTCGGTTATTCAAATAGCAAAGACGTTGCGATTCTGAGTACTCTGATTGCCCAGCTGAAGAATAGTACAGAAGTGGAGCTGGGTGTTGACCTTCGTAAGATAGTCGTAACGCATCCTCGCTTCCCAGCTTTGACCGCCGAGAACATGGGTAACGCTATAAAACTCGCCGGCCTACAATCCTGGCTCCATGGTCCCAACGACAACCATGCTCCGAATCAATTAAGTGAGAATCGAGCAGCTCTTGCTGCACATGGATTCAATCTCTGCCAAGAGGAAGGATCTTGGATGATCTGCATCGAAAAAATGGAAGTCGAAGTCGGAGAGGTGAACGTCTACTTCGCATCGCTCTCAAACGACACGCTTTACACAAGTTGGGACCGGTACTTACAGCCGTTCGAGTACATCGGAGATCACGAGCCGCACTTCTTCGACAGTAGATCCGGTCTGAAGACGATGGCTAAACATCATTCCGATGAGTCATATTGGACTTCGATACGAGATAAACTCGTGCCATGGGATATTGAAGGTCCCATCTCGCACGTCTTTGTAGGCGGCGAAGCGGCGATGATGCCTGAATTTCGAAAAGCTGTACACGACGCTTTGGCAAACTTTACTGTCCTGGATTTTCATGATGATGGAATGGGCAACAACACTATTAAGCCCGTTCCGCCATTATACGCGGCATCTAGAGGTGGGGCTTTGCTTGCTAGATGGCGACAGGAGGCGCCCATAGGATGTTGGGAGGCGCGGGAATGTGCTGGTCGCAGGGCGCAGGAGCGAGAGGGGTTCTCAGTGGAGGAAGTTGTATTTGATAAGCTGCACTTTTGGACTGGAGGCGAAGTGAGGAAGCTGGAGTTGCTTTCTAGTTATAATATGTCGAGTGATGATTAAGAAAGATCGCGGGCTCGAGGGTCATACCTACGCAAAACCGGCTCCAATGCCCCGGCACATCCCGAGCAAGGTCTTCGGAAATGGGGCTCGAGGCGTGTTTGACGGCATGACAAGTGCGTGTAGGAGAGGTGTCAGTTGAAAGGTCGTTTTCTCGAACACGGCCCGTGCTTCCACCACATGCCACCTACTGTATGAATGATGACGGAGACTTTTCTGCTTGATACCAAACCCTCGCCAGGCGCGGTTTCATCACTCAATCTCCGAAACACACCCAGGGTACAGCCAGGGTAAGGCACATGTACCTAAGGTAAGGTAAGCGAGACCGCCGATCTTATCAATTCACGGAAATGCCTCCGATCCCTCACACCTCACACACCCTTCCCTCCTTCCCAAGCTTCCATGTTTCCTACCCGCCAACCTGTTCCTTCCTACCACGTTTCACCATCTCCAAGCCACATCCAACCAACCAATTCTCCGATCCCAAAATCCCCATTTCCACTTCCCTTGTTTTCGGAGAACTCCTGTAAATGATGCAAAGCTACCTTACCTTACAATCCCTGCCAAAAATCCTCGGCAGATCTCTCCTGGTCACGATTGATTGCATGAATGAGAGATTTCCCGCACGAGCGCCGTGCCATATCGCGTGCGCCAAGAAACTCAGTCCAACCAGCCCAGTTCCAACCAACCCAGTCCAACCAACCCCGGTCTCCAAACCACTCTCCGACTTGCCCAATATCAGCCATCCATGTCTGCGACGGATCAATTTATAGCACATGTTTAGCGCGACGCGATCGGGCCTTGGGGGTGTGTGTCAATTCAAATTCAATCGTCATCGTTTAAGGTATTGACAGGGCAGGGCAGGGCAGGAAGGAACCTGTGCTGTGCGGGCTAAACATTTCCCCCCTCCCCGCCCTCTGTCGTTGTCGTCGTCGTGTGATGCTGCATGATGAAAGGCTTTCCTTCTCCGCGACGGGAGAAGAAAAAAAGAAATTTGCTTTTGCTGGGGAGGGGAGTGGTTTTTTTGGTTGTTTGGTGTGTGGGATTTCTGCTTTTCTGCTTCTTCTTCTTCTGCTTTACCTATCTATCCTCTAGTCTATTCTTGTTGGGGAGGGGTTGGTGTTTCTACCTATCCTTTCATTTTGTTTCTACCCTTTGCTTTCCCTTCTCTACCTTCTCTCACACACTCCCTCTCTCGCTATTGGAGGTTCGAGGATCAAGGTGATTGATTTCTATGGGTGTGCAATAACCGGGAAGCGAAGCGAAGGACGGTTTTGGTTTTGGTTTTTTTTTTCTGGGAGGGAAACGAGAGGCTATTATTATTATTGACGGGACCAAAAAAGAAGTGGCCTCCAATATAACCCACTCTTTGCATCTGAGAGCGAGGTCTGGAATTTCCTTTTTGGAAAGCGCCCGCTTGCATTTTCGACCTATTTGGCGACCCGAGCACGGATACCTGCGTGGAGCGGTGCTGCCTACCTGGCTCGAAGGGGAATTTGGTTACTAGGATCGCTGGAGAGCTTGTGTGACTTTGCGGAGGAGAACCTTGTACATTTCCTCACAAGACATCCAACTCTCCATTCCGGCGGCCGGGGAAGAAAGTGAGGAAGCAAAGACATACCGAACACAATCCATCCATCCCACCCGCAACACCCACAACACCTACACGCGCACACGCAATGGCGACGCGAACATCAGATTGGATGGCCCGATCGGCACGAAGAAAAGACCTGGAACTCTCCATGCACAAAGTACGCACACAATTCCAAATCCAAGAAGAAGAAGAAGAAGAAGCAGAAAACGAAGCACAACTTCTTCCAGCAGCAACAAACAGAAAAAGCACATCTAATTTTTCCCGCAAGACTCGGCCTCGACGCGCCCACACGCAGGAAGCGACGGCCATGGTGGCGGGGGATCAGAGGAGCAGTACCTCCTGCACCTCGTCTCCCATTTCCATCCAAAAGCGCAGTGAGAGTATGTATTACTCTTCTTCGACAACGACGAGGAGTTTTAGCGTGCACAGTTCGGCGAGCGGGGGAACGACGCATGCGAGTGTTGGTGGTGGGAATCATCATCCTTCTTTCATCCCTTCGAGTCCTTCCGGGAGTGTGGCGAGTACGGCGCCGAGTAGTTTGAGTAATCATCCCGAGGGGGGAGAGGATCAATTGCAGGTACGTGTGAGTTTGGGATGAAGATGTTTGTTGTTTTTCCCCCGATGAGGGGTATGATACATGAGGATGATGTTGGCGATGGCGATGGCAATAAGAATTTCCCGATTGACTGATGATAAAGATCCAGAGTCTGATTAAAAAACTCCGCGCCAACACGGCGGAAATGGACGCCAATGAAGCGCAAATGAGGGCTTTGAATGCTGTGGATCAGCAGGTGAGTTGTGGGATTGAGGAGCGGTTACAGGCCGTGCAGAGTCTGAATGATCGGTTGATGGATTTGAATCGCTTGATGGCGAGGGTGGAGGAGGTTTCTCGAGGGAATTTTTGAAAAGGAAGGGGCGAAACCTCTTTCTTCTTCCTCTCTTCTGGGGAGATTTTTTTTTCTCTGGTGCTTATAACGACAGCGGCGTTTTTTGTCAACAGGTAAGGTCTTGGGTCCTTTTTTGAATGAAAGTGGTGAGAATATGGCTGACGGATGAGATGTTTTAGGATCAGGTATGGGAAAGCAGAGGCGTTGGATTRGATTGGATTGGATGGGATGGGATTTCTATTGTAGTTGATCGTTAAAGATACCACTTGTAGCGAATGACTTATCTTCTGATTCCCTCCTCGAAGAGAGAATAATCCCTCATTTTCCTTCTTCGGTTGAGAGGGCAGAAATTGATGGATGAGAGAATGTGGGATGGGAAAGTCAAGACTGAATCACCCATTTCATACCTTATCCACGATCCAACGCGAAAGCAAGCCGGCTGCTTCGCAAAAGGAATGGAGGGCATTACATTACGCCATGTCAACTGTCAAAGTCGCACGCGGGACGATCATCGCAGAAAGTCCCTCATCGTGCTACCATCCGACTTCACCGCTCTCCTCTCTACCACGATGAGATGAATGCGCTTTCCCGAGTCTGCTGATTGCGCTCCTTCCTTGGAGGCGTCGCGTCAATGTTTGGAGGGTATCTAATTCTGCTGCTCTGCCACGCTATGCAATGCAATGCAATGCAATCCAAGCATTGGCCATTTCCTGTATTCCGTCCGTCCCAATCCGTCTTCCACGCTCGCTTCCGTCGCTAATGTGGGGGTATCCTTCCAGTCCTGCAAAATAATCATGGGGAAAAAAGGAAAAAAGTTCAAATGAATGCGTTGGCTCGAGATCCCTTTCTAGGACATCTTCCGTCCAAAAGCCATTGACCCAAAGGGTGCGCCAAAGTTGGTGCTCGACTTCTTCTTCAAGCGAATGCCGCCTTGCTCGAACTCGCTGTGGACTTTGGCTTCGTGGGCCTCCTGCGGTGACATGACTCCTTTGGTGGAGGGATCGGAGGCAGGCGGACTCATGTTGGAGCTGAGGTTTGAAGGGGGGAGAGCCGTGGCAGCGGGTGCTGCGGTTGCCTCGGAGCGTCTAAGTAGTCACGTCAGTTGATGTAGTCGCTGCATGGTGGTGGACGTCTTCACCTTCTTCTCGAGCGAGGACTCAAGTTGGAGCTCGTCTGCGCCGGTCCGTTCGCGGGTGAGGCCAAGCCGGGACTGGGCTGTGCAAAGACCAAGGGTTTGCTATCGCGACTTTCRGGGTCGTTCTCGATCATCGAGAGTTTCCTGCTCAATGCCTCAAAGGTGAAGTTGGTCTCGTCGGGCTTGTGGGGCAGCTCGGGCATATTCAGCGGTCCCTTCAACGCCTCGTCCTCGTCGTTGCTGTGGCTTCTGGAGAGCAAAGTGTTGATGTGTGTGTTGTTACGGGTTGGTGKGTCCTCGACGCCTTCCAGTGTCATGCTCGCCGGTGGAGGAGTCGGCCTCCTAGGCACCCTCACTGGCGTGTGGCCTGCTAGCATGCGGTTGTTGGGAGGAGGTGGAGAGAGGCCTGCAAGACGTGCGGTGGGTTCAATGGCTTGCACGAGAAAGCCGTCGGAGTCGGTGTAGACGGCGCTCTGTCTGCGGGAATCCACCTCGGGGATTGAATCCATGGCGGTGCCCAACGATAGAGGAGCGCACTCGCGTCGTAGGGACAGCGGAACGTGGTTGCGGTTTTCATTGATCGTCGGCAGCGCCAGTCCGCCGGGGAGAGCGCGTACGTGTGGGGGCGGTGAGGCCGACGCTGAGGCCGATGCTCCTGTACCGGGGGTATCGGTGGGTGATTTGGCGGGGCTGTGTTGGGGAGGTCAGTCTTGCGACGATGTGCATGCGCATGTTGTACATGTTATGCATGACGATGATGATATTCCCTCACCTCCAATGATCACTGCTCTTCAGCAACTGCTCCAATGCGCCTATGCGGCTGTGCAAGCGCTGCTTCTCCAACAACCAACAGTCCCGCTCGGCCTGGAATGCCTCGTACATCTTCGACAGCGCATTGGATTGTCGGTCTACAATCACCTGCAGCTCCCGCTCGCCCGCCGTGGGCGGACTGACCAGACCCATGCTGTTGGAGGATGGGGACGGCGACGGTGACGGCCCGCGAATGCGTGTTTGCGGGGGAGGTTGTGGTGAGGGCGCAAGGATTGGCGCGTACAGAGAATCGTTGGACGTCTTGGAAAAGGCAAGCGGTGGACTCTTTGGTGGACGTAGGCGAGAGGTGGACGAAGAGGACGATGCTTGAACTTCCCGCGGCGGCGATGCTGGGGGTGTCATATCGCAAAGATCTAGGCCAATTCGCCTCTATCCAGGAGAAGGCGGGCGGACAGGCAAGTGGAAGGGTTCCAAGGGTGGGAAATGGAGAACAGGGCAAACGGAGGGCGTGCGTGCGTTCAGGGATCTGGATATGTCTCATCACAGGAAGCAGCAACAAACGTCGAACGCGGGCGGCCAGTGAGAAAGCGTGCTGGTCCGTCTGACCCTTCGTCACCGACTCCACTCCACACGGCACCGGCCCTTCCCCGTCCGCCGTACCTGAATTGACCTTGACCATCCATTCGGCGGTACGCCAGAAGCCTTTTGGAATCGCGGCTCTGGCATCAAGATCGGGTGGGCATGGGGAAGATCGGGATCCGTCATCATTATCAATCTGACACCTTCACTGCCTTACATTCCTTCCATCATCAAGCCCGCCGCACACRCAAACATCCCATCAACAAGCGACCTCTCCCCCGACAATCTCCTTTCTCACCGCATCAGTGCAAAAGTAAGTTGCAGCCCAAGGATTCCGTGACGGGCTAAGGAAGCAGGTTTACCGACCAATCGGCAATGGAACCTCTTGACGCTCGACACGTTCTTGCTGCAGCGGAAAGCCCTCCACGGCTCCTTCCGCCTGCGTACGTCGAGCTGATCGTATCAGAAACTCGGTGCTGACTTCATCATCCCGTCTCACTTGCTCTCAACGACCAAAGGCCGCGCTGACAGGCGACCAYGTACCTGTACTTCCGCCTTGCAGCTGGACCCACCTCCGCGGTACGTGGCTCCCAGCTGCCGAATGATCCCCAACCTCTCAACATATCGGCCCTACGAAAAGGGAAAACGAAAATGGGAAGTCCACGTCGACGTTTGCCACGTCAAACGGACGCGTCTCCGACCCGAGTTCTGCTGATTGGGAGGTACAGTACATGGGACACATTCTGTTTCGCATGCTTGCCGTACAACGCTCCCTTGACTCAGACTGACCATCACATGGAAGTGGAGCGACGTTCACATGTCTCTCAACGCCTTTCATCTGATAACATCGCACGTGTGTGGAGTTCAACGTGGACGCGGACGTGGAGACGATCGTGTCACGCCACCATGTGACTTACACCGTAAGCCTCGCTTGGAGGGTGTCTATCAAGGAATTCTTCAATTCAAGGCAAACAATTACCAGGAACGAGTCCGCGAGCTCATTCTTGGCACGAAACCCGGCAACCGCAATGATATCCGCGAACTGGGTGCGTGGGTTATATCCTTGCCCGAACCCCATTGTTCCCACTACGCCCCAGTTTCTTGGCATCCAAAGTGTTGGACTTTGCAGCCAGAATCATCACGCCGGGAGATTCGTCAATATCATAACTATCAGAGGCATGGAAGAGTCATTGCGTGTTGTTTTCTCGGTGCGGAGTCGCAAAGCTGCATTCGAGATGCCATGCTTTCCCGTCTCACTTCTCTTGTTCCATCTCTTCCACGTTTCCTCTCTTTCCAACAGTCTCACTCGACTTCCCCCAATCCTACACACTCACTCACAAACAGGGACTCACTCCTCTCGTGCGCACGCACATCCATACACTTTCACTTTCAAAATTCACTCGCCTTGACAACCTGASTCCATATTTTCATCGCGGAGCAATGGCAGGAAGCTCTGATGCGCTCTCGCCAGCTGACGAAGATGTCTGGACAGTGCCGAGCCTTCGATATCAGTTAAAGTGCAAGAACAAGACTCCACTCCCGCTCGGCGACGTATGCGACATCTACGTCGACTCGCCCTCGCAGTCGTCATTTGATGTGCAAGTTACTTGCCGCAAACAGGAGCGTGAGCGAGGTGGTGGACGTTGGGCCCTCTCTGTCCAAGTCTTGGATCGCAAAGCCTTCCCTGCCGTGTGCGCTTTGACCACGACGTTCCATGGTACGACCAGCCTACCACTACTACTGAACTACAGTCGCAGACTTGTCGTCTAACGGACCGATACCTCTAATCCCTGCGTTGGAGACAATCACATGAAATGCTACCTTTCACTGATGGAGCGGTCAGCATGCACTCTATACCATCAGAGGAATATGACTTCCTCCTCATTGATGGTCTCATTAACCTGCCAGCATTTCCTGCCCAACAGCACACCTACCCACCGCCATGGATTGCGTGAGTATGTCAGATCGCGCCTCCTCGCTCTTCCTGGTATGACATACCCCCCCACCAGTATCAATCGCACATTCCGCAGCAGACTCGAGAGGTCGACAAAGCTTCAGCGTAAGATGTTTGCTCAAACCTCTTTCCATGACAAGCCGGATTCTGGAATTTCGTCGTTACGAAGAAGAATGGAGTGCAAGAAGCATTGCCGTGTCTTGCGCGGCATCGCAGYAACATCTACCCCTGCTGTCGGAATTGAGGGAGTAGTCGAGCTTAAGACGAAATCACGTTGATGGCATGTACATTTGACGGGTCATGAAGCCTCGAGAAGCGTCTCCAGATCGCATGGCATCGACGCCACGTCGTTCGCGCGAGCAGTCAACGTCGAGACCCTTCAGGGAGGCCTCTCTGCTTCTAAGTGTACCATCCGGTCTGTGGAAGATCGCCGTGCGACGTGCGCGAACCTTTGGTCACTGCGTTTGATGCTCTGGGGGATCAACAGCGGCACTGCCGATCACTTCCGCTCTGGCTGGTTCAATCATCTTCCATGCCTCAGGTCCCAAAGAGTGTTGGCTGATCGAGTTTTTGCCGAATTAGGGTTCTCTCTTACAGTATGGGCGGTCTACATCTGTTCATGACTCTAATGGATGAGTGACCGTGGTGCTAAATTGGGAGAGAGAGAAGGCAAAGTAATTCCTCGGAGCTCGCTCCTTCGTTATCGGTTTAGCTGTGCATTAGTCATGACCGCTACGACGACTTGGAACGATCTCACCAATCACAGTCCTCCTCGTCGACACAAAGCACTCCGCGTGCTGCACATATCACAAAGGAACATGCTTCTAACATGCAGTTTTAATGAGCCACACCTGGGAGCCAGCATCCCTCAAAGTTCGGGACCGCGTCCTTTTGGCCTCGGCAGCCAGTCCTTGGTAGGCAATGTCTATTGTTTTTCTTAACTTRTACATATCTCCCTGCCACTACACGTAGTGTACTTTTCTCTACCATCTACTCTGTCAAGGAAGCTGCCGCAACATGTCACAGAAGATTCCAGGACCAACTCCCCTGCCTGTGGTGGGCAACATGCTCAGCATAGATCGAGAATATCCACTTGGTAGTCTGGAGCAAATAGCAGATCAATATGGTCAGTCTACAGGTATCCCATCTCGGCCCTCAAGCTGACCATTCATCGACAGGACCTATATACACCTTGCACCTCATGGGTCGAACTCCCTGCTTCATCTCCTCTCATGAACTCTTCGCAGACGCATGCGACGAGACGAGATTCGTAAAGGCCCTTGTTGGACCTCTAGTCAAACTTCGCGAAGTCGTGGGCGATGGACTCTTCACTGCGATGCCGGACGAGGAGAATTGGGCCATTGCTCACAGAACCTTGATGCCTGCTTTTGGGCCTTTGCCTATTCAAGCCATGTTTCCTGGTATGTTTGTCGCATTGTCAAGAACTGTGAAGGATGTTTTAATGTGCTAATTGCGATTGCGATTGCAGAAATGCATGATATTGCCTCGCAGTTGGTATTGAAATGGGCGCGGTTTGGACCTGAGAGTGATATTGATGTTACTTCGGATTTCACAAGGTTGACGTTGGATACCATTGCACTGTAGGAGCTGGCCATCTCATGTCTTTGCAGGATGCAAGAACTGACTCTCATCTCAGTTGCGCAATGGGGACGAGATTCAACTCCTTCTACGACAACAAATTACATCCCTTTGTGGATTCCATGGTCGGAGTACTTGCTGGTGCAAACGCAAGAGGAAAGCGACCTCCAGCTGCCGACTACATCTACAGAGCCGAGAAGCGGCAATTCGATCTAGATGCTGCGTATCTTCAGAAAATTGCCATGGAGCTGGTCCAGAAGCGTCGGGAGAACCCTTGCGATAAGAAGGACCTCTTGAATGCCATGTTGAAGAACAGGGACCCGAAACTCGGCGTTGAGTTGAGTGATGAATCGATTGTGAATAATATGGTTACATTTCTCGTTGCAGGTATGTACATTCTGGTTTCATCGCTGCTATTAGGTTGTCTGACAATGTTCAGGACACGAAACCACATCCGGACTGCTGTCGTTTTTATTCTATGCACTCTGCTCAAGTCCGGAAGCCTACGAAAAGGCACGGGAGGAGGTTGATACTGTCATTGGAAACGGAGCCATCACAGTCGGCCACATGTCAAAGCTACCCTATCTCACAGCATGTTTACGGGAGACTCTACGACTACACTCGACGGCTCCACTTTTTGCCCTCTGTCCCAAAGAAGATGATGTTCTTGCGGGGAAATATCCCGTGAAGAAGGGACAGACGATTGGCTGTATTCTATCCAAGATTCAGACCGATCCGGCAGTATATGGAGAGGACGCGCAGGCCTTTAGACCGGAAAGAATGCTTGACGAGCAATTTGAAAAGTTGCCAAAGCATGCTTGGAAGGTACGTTTCCCAGGCGATTTATCGTGCGTTGTGCTGACTCTATGGTAGCCTTTTGGAACTGGAGTGCGAGCTTGCATTGGTAGAGCGTTTGCATGGCAAGAAGCTCTACTCACCACAGCTCTTCTATTACAGATCTTTGACTTTCGCAAAACGGATCCGAGCTACAAGCTCAAAGTACAGCAAACATTGACGATCAAACCTGATGGATTTCTAATGCGAGCAAAGATGCGGAATCCTGAGGTCTTGGAGCAGCTGGGTGCAGTCTCGGTTGACGGAAGCAAATCTACGACATCGACTGGCGCTGCTCGATCTTCTAAACAAAGCGAGGGAGCTGGAGACTCAGGTACAAGGATCAACATCATGTACGGCTCCAACACTGGAACATGTGAGTCTCTCGCTACATCACTTGCATCGACTGCCAAATCCAGGGGTTTCAACGCGCATGTGGACACACTCGACAATTCGATCTCAGCATTGAGTCAGGAGGATCCAGCGATCATCATCACAGCAAGCTACGAAGGTCAACCTCCGGATAATGCCATCAAGTTCGTGGAATGGCTCAAGTCCGCTGAAGAAGGCAGTCTCTCGAAATCGAAATACGCAGTGTTTGGGGTTGGAAATCGGGAATGGGTTTCAACTTACCAGAAAGTTCCCACCACGATTGATGGCGATTTGCTTGGAAAGGGAGCACATCAGCTCGTCAAACGTGGAATTGCAGATGTGAGCGATGGAGACATCTTCAACGCTTTCGACAAATGGACGGATGAGCTCTTGTGGCCGGCCATCGATGGTGGGAAATCATCGACTGCGAGAGACGCTGCTGGACTRCAGGTTACGATCAACACGGACACTCGAACGAAACAGCTACGCCAAGATGTACAGGTGGCGGTAGTGCAAGATTGTAGACTGTTGACTGCACCTGGCAAGCCTGCGAAGCGGCATCTACAGCTGAAGCTTCCGGAGGGTATGAAGTACAAAGCTGGTGACTATCTCGCAGTCCTTCCATTGGTAGGTCGATCTAAATACCTCTCCATACTAATATATGCTGACCTGAATCCAGAACCCCGAACAATCAGTCCGCAGAGCAATGGCACGCTTCAATCTAACCCTCGACGCAACCCTAACAATCGAAGAAGGATCCCAAACCACAATCCCCACAGGCCGTCCCATCAGCGCCTTCGACGTCTTCTCCTCATACGTCGAGCTAGGTCAACCGGCAACAACCAAACAAGTCCTCCAACTTTCCCAAACAGCATCTAACGAGACCTCCAAACAAGAACTCACCCAACTAGCCAGCACAGTCTCCCCGCAAACCAAACTCAAAAGTCTCCTCGAACTTCTCGAACAATACCCTTCCACAACCTACACTCTCGGCCAATTCCTCGAAGCAGTCCCCTCGATGCGCACAAGACAATACAGCATCTCCTCCTCCCCACTCCAAGATCCCACCAGCGCCTCCCTAACATACTCCGTCATCGACGCCCCAATCGATCCCTCCAACCCCACAACCAGTCGAAGATTCCTAGGGGTGGCGAGTAACCACCTCGCCCGCGCCCAACCCGGAGATCGAATCCAAATCGCTCTCCGACCCAGTCACGCAGGCTTCCATCTCCCGGCCGACGACCCTTCCCGACCAGTCCTAATGGCTTGCGCGGGAACGGGTCTCGCGCCCTTTCGTGCCTTTGTACAAGAACGCGCGGTCAAAATCCTCTCGGGGGAGAAATTGGGGCGAGCCATGTTATTTTTCGGATGTAATGCTCCGGGAGAAGATGACATGTATCGTGAGGAATTTGATGTCTGGGAAGAAATTGGAGCGGTGGAGGTGCGGAGGGCGTTTACGTTTGCTGAGGAGAGGAGTGAGGGGTGTAAATTTGTGCAGCATCGTGTGTGGAGGGATCGGGAGGAATTGGTGGAGTTGTTTAAGAGGGATGCTTTTATGTATATTTGTGGCGCTGGGGCGGTGGGGRGTGCTTTGGTGGAGACTGTTGAGAGGATTTATATGGAGTTTAAGGGGTGTGGGGAGGAGGAGGCCAAGGTGTGGTTTGAGGGGTTGCGGGGGGAGAGGTATTGGGCGGATGTCTTTTCTTGAGGGAGAATTGTGGTGGCGGATCTGAAGTGATGATTTATGTGTAGGAGATGATCTAAGCAAGGCAAATCACATCCATGCCTAGCTTCTCGCCGTCTTCTTCACTCCTTCATCTCTTGTTTTGAACCATTATGCCATCTTGTATGCTGATGTGAGTCGATGTAACGCCGGTATAACAATCTAGGAATCACCAGCGAGAATATATCTCAACCTCCAGTGGGATCCGCAGGAATGGAAATTTCAGGTGAGGAAATAGAGTGATTGACACGCGGCGTCGAAGCTGAGAAGCCTCGCGGGAGAAGGTGCTTCTGAGAATCTGACAAGGAGAGCGTGGACTCTCGCTTGATCGTCGCTATTACGCCTTCGCGTCGTGTGATACTACCATCCAGGCGCATGGAAGATGAAGATGGAAAAGACTCCTCAGCACTGTCCACATATTCAACACTGTCGCATTTGTTGTCCAGTCAAAGTGGGACGTGCAGAAGCTTTGGTGGATTTGGGAGCAAGGCAAGCCAGCTTATTATGTACCCTAGGTACCTCACCGTCAAGGATCAACCTTTCTCCGTTCCCCCACACTCTCTACACATTACAGCATCATCCCTGTACCAAAGACTTGTTGACTGTTGATGAGAGAGAGATAGACTTCTTCTTGTTCTTCTTCTCCTCCTCCTTCTCAAATACCTCTGCCTGTTTCTTACCAGCATGTTCATTACCCCTTGATCTTCAACCAATACAGCCACAATGCCCGACATGACCAAACCGCCACACTCAAAGCGTACGATCACTCCAACTCCACCACTCCACTCCACCCACAAGACAATAATGATAACAAGGAAAACAGGCACAGACTCCCTCTTCACCCTCCAAAACGACGTCCCGGAAAACTCTCGCATAAGCTCCCTCAACACCACCTCCCTCCAAACCCTCACCCCGTCGCAACYCTCCCACCTCTCCCGCACCCAACTCCTCCAAACAGCCCTGAACCTCCAATCTCAATCCCGCGCCGCAGACTACCTGGCCGATGCGGCCTTCCGCGCCGCCCAACGCTCCCATCAACGGAACGCGGAAAAATGGAGCCCGGCGTGGGTGGAGCGGAAAGCGAACAAGATTTGCGGGATGATTCATTGGGAGCTGATGCGGTTGATGGAGCAGGAGCGGGCAAGTGTTGTCGGTACTACGGGAGCGGGAGGAGGAGGGGGAAAGACGAGATGGATGTACRTGGGTTGTGTTCCTTGCAAAGATGTTTTTGAGAGTGTGTTTCGAGGCTTGGAGAGTGAGGATCGGGAGGGGGATGAGGAGTGTGWGGAGAGTTTGTGTGGGAGGAAAGTGTGGTATTCGAGGGAGGTTTTTGAGAGGAGTTTTTGTGGGTTGGGGGTTTCGGTGAGCTCACTCTTTCTTCTTTCATTGTTATCATCACCGCCTGATGTGGAGCGAGTTCTGGTGGCTTTTTGCGACGGCTGATGCTATTGCTGTCAACAGTCTCTGGACGATGGATTGAGGATTTCGAAAGAGGGTGTAAGTGTCCGATGGGATCCCGAGGATCTGATGTTTCAGATCAGTGGAAGTTTTGGGGTTTGAAGGCGTGGTGGGTAGATTGAGGCCTTTTGACCTCTGACTCTCTTTCGGGTTTGTCAGGAGTGCCCTCCAGCTATGTGTAGTGCGTGCCGGTGTAGGATGGACATGGTCAAGGCGAGGTGGTGTCTCGATATCTCAGGACATCGTCGTAGCGGTGCCGACACGCAGCGTATGACCTGTTCAGCGCGGTGGCTACATCATGCCAGGGCCAGCCTTTGCTGCGCATCTGCAACAAAAGCTTGTCTTCGTCCGTCTTCCAACCCAATCGGACTGGCTTCTCCAATCCTGGCATACTCTTGATCTGGGCGGCGACGGACATCGTCGACCTTCCCAGATGCTCTGCAATGCTCTTTACTGGCATGTGGGCTTGGTGCGACTTGGTCAAGAATTCCACCTCCTTCGCCGTCCACTTTCCGCACACGACCGGTGCTGTGGCGCGAAGATATAGCCTGCCCCACCGCCGTTCTAGAGAACTCCTGGAGCGGTCCGGAAGCTCCATCCTGATAGCATGCCTGTCATTGCATCCCCACGTTAGTTACCTGGATTGGTTCATGGAAGTAGAAGGAATCCCGCCCCGGTCAGCGGCAGGCAGGCACGCACCAGGATTTCCCCTCGCTTCGCAACGAGAGCAACTTGGCGTCGTCGGCCGACGTAAACATCTCGAATCGTCCCCTGGATCCTCGCCCGTCGACTCTTTTCCCATCTTGTCCTCCCTGTCGTTGTCGGGTCTGGCCGAGTTTGGACGCGACACTGTAATACGTCCTCTGCAGCACTTCAGCGCAGCGGAGGTGTGACAGCCCCTGCTCCTCCTTGAGGCGCCACAGCTGCGCCACATCTTCCTCGGACCACCGCGTGTTGAGATTGTGGGGGGCAGATGGAGATGAAGATGGAGATGATGATGGAGATGATGGAGATGATGATGGAGATGGAGATGGAGATGGAGATGGAGGATTCGAGGAATAGCAGGCGCGTCCGCTGCTCACCCCCAGCAACCGGCACGTCACCTGCGAGGCCGATTGTACGAGGCATTGGATGCGGGCCATGCGAAAATATGACATGCTCGCTCGCTCCCGTGTGAGGTGCGGTGTAGTGCGGTGCGGTGCTGTGCTGTCGGGACTCGGGAGCTGTTGTGTCAATGGAACCTAGTGGGGCATCCCTACCAATCCGATGGAACATTCTCGACCCCTCCCATCTTGGGAAGCATGTATAACTACCTTATTATACCTAACTATCTATACATGTATCATCCTCCCACCACCATCCCACCACACATTCCCACAACACAATGCCCGTCGACTACAGTAAATGGGATGCCTTGGAGCTGTCCGACGACAGCGACATCGAAGTGCACCCCAACGTCGACAAGCGATCCTTCATCCGCGCCAAGCAGACCCAGATCCACCAGCAGCGCATCGACCGCAAACACCGCATCACCACCCTGGCCTATGAGCGCGGGATCAACGATGGTCTCCTCCTGCGCATTGACGCCCTTCTCAAAGCCCTCGAGACCCATCAGACGGAGATCCAAGGCCGCAAAGACGCCGACAGCATCGATGAGGTCGTCTTTGATGCCCTCATGGAAGTCACCGACGACACCAGTCTGGGTCCCGACATGCCCCCCTCGCCGCCCAAGGGAGTACACGCGGGCCAGGAGCAGCCGAGTTACAGCAAGATGATGGGAGCCTTGGTCGATCAGGTCAAATCCGAGGTGAACAAGAGCGGCGACGAGGGCCCGGCGAGGTACGCTGCATTCATCCGGGAGGTGGGCAACCACGAAAAGAAGGTCAAGGATCTCCAGGTCAACCTCGACGCGGAAGTGCTGCGATTGGAAAAGGAAGAAGGCGGCAAGATCACGAGCGAGAATATCCGCGATGGTTTCAACAGCTCACATGTACCCAAGGCTGCCCCCGCTCCAGCAGCAGCGGCGGCCACAAAGTCCACCAAGACCGAGCTGCTCAACAAACCGACGCTTGGTACGGGCTCCGATGCGGATGTCGAAGAAGGATCGGTGGATCAGGCGCCGGGCGAGGATGATGAAAACATGTCAGCCTCACCCACAGCCAAACAGTTTGGGAAAATCGCATACGGAGACTACAAGGCATCATTACAATTCATTGGTACACATCCGGAGATTCTGGCGGAAAAGGAGACGGACGGTCTCCTCGTCGAGGCCTTTGAAGCCCAGTCCAGCGCCAAGAATAAAAAGGACGAGGACTACGCCCGACAGTGTGTTCACCAAGCCCTACTGTTGCAGTATTGCCGACAACTCGGCAGAGATGGCGTCGGTCTCTTCTTCCAGCGTGTGCAGACACCCAATCATCAGGCGAGAAAGCTGTTCCTCGACGACGTCACCTCCACATACGCACGGATCCGCAGCAGAACCGCCGAGCTTGCGAAAGAAGCGGCCGAGAATGATAACGGAGAGAAAGAGCTCATTCAACTCCACGCGGTGGATCCAAACACCACCATCAACATCCAGACCCCGCCTCCACTCGATCAGTGTCAGACCGAGGACGAGACCGAGTCGAGGAAGATCTTTGACACCTTCCCGCCAGGACTGCAGAGAGCGCTGCAGAGCGGGAGCTTGGAGGAGGTCAACAAGATCCTGGCCAAGATGAGTGTGGAGGAGGCCGAGATTGTAGTGGAGCAGCTGGGCAATGGAGGCATGCTCAGTCTGGAAGAGGGTGTGATTGATGCTACCACCGATGAGGGCAGGAAGACTGTCGAGGAGATTGAGCGGAATCACCGCATGCCCGGAGAGGCGGCTGATGAGACGCCGCGAGGGAGGGTCATGGAAGAGTTGACCGACGACCCGGGCATGGATTGACATGACGCATTGCCTGGACATGACCAGACGTTGTAGGTAGCATACGACCTGATGGATGATCCGACTGAGCAGACCCTGGACGACATGACCGTGTCACCCACCTGATGCTGTAAAATCTGTAGCCCAAGCATGTGCAGATGACACCAACCGTGGAATCTTTTCGGGTCTTTTCATTCTCGCATCATGAAATGTGGAGACGAGTTGGAGGAGGCCTTGAGGACGACGCCTCGATGGTTCTGAAGAAAAAAGAAGCTTTGATCACTTATGACGCTGGCTGGGTACACTTTCTTCTTGCCTCGCTCTCCAACACCTCCATGGCTGACTTGCACCCCTCGACCTGGCAGGCTCTTCAACAAGAACAACAACAAATCCTCGGACCACCAACATACTGTCCTCATGGTGCCATGCGAGTAGGGCAAATTTAACCGTCTCTAGTAGGTAGTTCGCTCCGTTGCGACTACAGCTTCACCTCCGTAGATTGCATAATAGCAGTCATGCCAATCATACAGGACACGATGGGATGAGCCATCTCAACTCAGCTGATACAGTATTTATTTGCACGCACAACAAGCACGACTACGAGAGTTTTCCGCCTGAACATGCTGGTCATTGCCGTCGTTCAGGATCACGAGCTCCCTGCTCTTGACACGAAGCTTGAGCACCCTGGATTGCTCAAAGGCGCTATTGACTACACAACACCTCGTCTGGCTATCTACCGACTTGGCTACTGAGATGCTTCGAAGGCTTTCGTGTCGCTATGATGAAAGAGATCCAAGTTTGAGTGTTGACTCTGTCGAGACGATGTCTACAGAAGAGGGCTGAGGTTCATCTGGCAAAGTAGCGACCGTTGGCAGCACATACGCTTCGCTAGATATAGGTACAAGCTTTTGAGGTTTGAGACCTTCTAGTCGCTGGAAAGTGTAGTCAAAGCAGCCTCTACCAGGTTCCTTCTCTTTCCTTTGACCTATTCGTCCGACTATGTCTTTGCACGATGGAGAGTATATTCTAGGAGGTTCTGCTGGCGGAGTCTCTTGAAATTATCGATGATGTCTGAGAGTGGAGGGGGAAAGTGTATGGACCGGGTTGTTACTTTTGAAAGAGATGGGAGATTGTAAAGCCTGGCGTGATTTGCACTGACGCTGGGGATTTTTATAATGGCTCTGTTCTCCGTCACGACGTGGTCCAGTCTCCCGAAGATCTATCCTCGAGCGAGTAATCTGACCTTCTAACACTCCAGAGCCGCTCAATGGCGATGCCGAAGTATGCGTACTAGTAGGGTCGCAGAGCCGAGCTCAAAAAGTTTGGTGCTCGGCATGTGTTCGCTCCTGCCTCCATTCACTTCACTCTGCCCGTTTCGTACTGGTATGGACCAGATCTGCTTGCGTTCGAAACCAAAATCCCGATGCTGCATCACTTCACTACACTCTCTCACACACTGTCATCTACAACCACCAACATCGACAACATGTCGACAACAATGGCCGATGACAGTCGCCTCACGGACGAGTTGCGCAAATTGCAAGCAAACAATATCGCGTACGCGCACCTGAACCGTCACTTGATAAGACCGCTTTCACTGACAGACATRTTATCCACAGGCTCTTCAACAACTCGCAATACTCGGACCTGACCGTCATTTGCGATGACAGCTCTTGGAAGGTTCATAAGTGCATTGTATGTCCACGCTCCGCCTACTTCGCCAAAGCATGTGACGGCGGATTCAAGGTGCGCGATTCTGATCTAAGTACTTCTCTGCAGAGTGCAGCAATCTCACTATGAGTTTTGTTTCGCCAAGAGCAGAGCTGATGTACTTATAGGACGCTTCTGATGGCTCTATCACCTTACTCGAAGACGACTGCTTCGCTGTGCACGCTATGCTCAACTTCCTCTATAGCGCGGACTACGACGACCAGGATGATGGCGAAGGTGCGCCCGTTCTGCTGAATTTGTTTGTTCATACGCTTGCCGACAAGTACGATATCCCGGCACTGACTGAACTGGCAACTGCCAAATTCTACACTTGCGCCGAACCGGATTGGCGTTCTAAAGGCTTTGCCGATGCCGTCGAGGAAATCTACACAGTCTCGCACGACACCAAGCAGGATCTGCGAAGCCACGTTGTCGAGATCTGCGCAAAAAACGCTGTGGAGCTCTTTGGAGTGCTAGAAGAGGGTCATGAGTTGGTGAAGCTCAGATCCGTTGCAGACAACGTACCACGCTTCGGTGCTGACGTGGCCGCWCGTATGGTCACCACTCTTTTGTTGCCTTTAGCCAAGAAGCTGCAGGGAAATGCAGTAAGCCCAGACCGGTCGTCGTTGTTCGGCTCTCAATCTTTCAACGGAGTGCGAAAAGCTAGTTTCAGCGATGCAGGACGAGACATGTATGCGCATTGGGATGGGGGAAACATCTTCTGAGGCTCAGAGATCTGTGCTTAGCCTCAGACCTGGCTATCCGGCTACCCAGCAGTTTTCTCCACACTTGACTATCCGGCGCCATGCGCTCTACATTTGGGAGGGAAAGGGGTCGGCGAAAAGACTGCGTTCATCATGGAGACTTTCGATCGATTGCCGATCAAATGGATTAAAGCAGGACATCAGTCGAGCTTGCAGAGATCTCAAACGAATCGTCACACTACTGTTTAACAACTGGTGAGACGCAGGTACGGCGTTCTGCATCTACAACGCCAGGCACTCCTGACATTCTAGAACAGAATCTGCGTTTGATGCACCACACTATTTCACGGAGCGAATCAGATTTCGGCATTCTACAAATCACTTCCTGAGTAGCTCAACGATCTGCCAGGGTCCTGCCCTGACCTCCACGAGGTCTTTCTGTCTTATAGTTGGGCTCCTTGMATCACATACAAAGCCCACCAACTCTGCCGACTATCCACCCATCTCATAAGAACTTCCACCGAACTGTATGATGATCGATGGCATGATTTCTTATTGTAGCCTGTTTGTGGAAGTCTCGTTGCAGGCTAGGTCTTTCTATCCATTTCTGTTTACACGATTTCCATTTTGAAGACTGTCAAAATCGCATCCCTTGCTTCCTCTCCACACCTTCCCTCCCTACATCCCATTGGATGACAAAAACTTCCACGCAGCTCGAGCCGGATTCTCCAGAGCTCATGCGCAAAGTCGCACGGCTACGACTGCTATCTCCAAGCCCTCCTGGCTTCTGTTGACAAACCGAGGGATTCTACATTCCGTCCCTCACGTCTACCTTCCAGACCCCTCCAGCCCTCTATATAGAGAATGAGGGGAATGTCGGCCGCCACTTGGGTCAGATAATCCGCAACGTATTCCTTGTAGGTTCACTTATTCGTGTTGGAATTGCTGGTCTCGTCAAACGTTCCAAATGGCCTCTCGGAGACTAAACTCACAGGACCGGAGCCATTCACAGACAAAAACAAATCCACGTGAGCYACGCGATGAGTGTATGCGACTCCCAAAGACAACCTTGTCAGAACAACGAGCTCTGCGACCAAAGCCATTGAATCTGCCAATCAAGCCTTCAACATCTCCGCCCATTCCCAAGGCTCCGCCACCTTCGAGAACAGAGAGTCTATCATTTGAAAGCCCTCGCGATCCAGAGATTGTAGACTCTGCATGGCCTCGTGGAGATGCGCCCAAAGTCTTGCCGAATGGACGTATGCATTCGCCCAGCATCGTCTCCCAACAAAGCGGACGACAATCGGAGATCTCCCTTGGCATATTGGACTACTACCTACGTGATACCTCACCATCAATAGTCAGCCCAGAACTACCATCCACGCCCAAATTCGACCAGTCGGCCGATCGCTTCGACTTTGGAGTACCCAATACACCAACACCTCTACAGACGAATAACGGCATACATGCAAGCACAAAAGCAGGCGCCGAACGCAAACAACTCCCTCCATTACCCACCACAGTCCCCAACACGCCCAAAGATCCCAATCCCAGCAATAAAGCCTACCGTCTCTTCCCCGTCGTCCAACAAGTGACACCCCCAGCCCGATATCCCGCAATAACAATCATCGACCCAGTCCCCTTCCGCGATTTCCCCCCAACAACAACAACAACAACAAGCACGAAACCCTCCACCACCACACCCTTCCATCCCCAACCAGATGCATCCTACCGCCCCAGGAAAGAAAGCATCTCCAGTTCAGCGCGCAGTCGAGCGGATAGCACCAATTCCTTTTCTTTCCGGCGCGATCGAAAAGATAGCCTTATTCCTCTACGTATCCTCTCYTCTGGAAGCACCACAACAGCCACAACATCAATCAGTAATGGAAGAACAATCTCCACCTCCACAACTCTCGCGGGGAATTCCTCCCCTTCTGAAACAGCAGCAGCAACAGCGGAATCTTACAGCCGCTGGTCAGACGAAACCATAACCTCCCCATTATCATCCTCATCATCCATGACACAAACTCCCGGGACGACACGCACTTCTTTCGRCTCGTTGTTATTAACTCGGCAACAGCGGCAGCAGCAGCAGCAGAATGAAACGCAGTATCCGGATTGTTTCTTTGAGGATGATGAGGAGGAGGATGCACCGTTAAGGAGGAAATTTGCGTGGAAGAAGAAGTCTATGGGAGGGTGTTCTTTGGAGGGGAGTAGGAGGAGGAGGAGGTCGCTGGGGAGGTTTGATGAGGTGGAGAGGAATTGGGGGTGGAGGGTTATTGGGGTTATGTTTTGTGGGTGTGTTGGGAGGTGATGTGATGATGGGGGGTTTTATTTTTAACGCTGTTATGAGGTTTATGAAAGGGATTAACGTTAGAGGGTGCTTTTGGAGGCAGGAATTGGAATGAGTTTTTCTGTGATGAGCATTATGATGATTATTGTGATGAACGAGTACTTTCATACTTCGTATGTGATGTCTGAATGTTGTATGATGTGAAGTTATTTACATCCTTGAAAGATGTTTGATGTTGTACAAAGTAAAGTGCACGGCAGAAAGAATCTCAGAGGAGTCGACTAGTCACACCTCCCCTCATTGGGAAGTGAATTGATTACTCCTACACATAACAAGCAATTGTGCTGTGTGCTGGGGAGTAGTAAGCCGCGTTCTTCTCACCGCTTAGTTGTAGTTATATGCATCAAAGCGGTGAAAGTCGGTGTGGTTGTGGACACTGAACTGAACTGACTCGACAGAATCTTACGTCAAAGGCGCGGTGGGAGGAGGGCGGATATGCTCTGTGGAGGGCTGACAGAACAGACAGATTCATGAAGGCTAGCTGATTCGTATGTTCTAAGGTTTGTTTTTAGTACTTGATCGAGAATACATATTCATGCAAAATCAAACCAGACCGCACAGCKCAGAGAGCATCCCGAACAAATGTAGAAAGCAAGCAAGTGGTAATGAGGAAGCGATAAGTTGTGGTTTAGATTAAGGTGGTTATTACATTGTTCGGTATCGAAAAAATCGCTAAACGTGGTATCGTAATATCATGCATAGACTCTGATCAGCAGCCGTCGCCGAAAAGGAAAACCCCTCCACCAATCGTGTGTGCAAGAGCAGAGTTTGTTCAAACGTCAACAGCCGGCAAAGGGTTTTCTTCTGGTGCATTGAGGACTGTGGGGTATCTTCTTGAGGTGAACCGCAGTCTGGAAACTCGTCAACAGTCTTGGAACTCTTCCATACAGAGAGAGGAGATATGTTGATTGATCTATGCAGCAGCGGTGCCGTAGTCGTTGGTAACGTTGGTGGTGTTACCAGCGGGAACGCCAGTGTTCTTCTCGTGAATGACGGCGTCAGTACCGTTGTAGTCAACAATGTGCAGTCCGAGAGAAGCAGGGCTGATGTTACGGTGTCCCCAGATAAGAAGGGCACCGAACACAGGCTTGGCGAGGAGATCGAGGATACCGTAAAAGACACCCTCGGAGTCAACGGAGATGATGTTTCCACCCTCACATACACCCCATGCGATCGGGTAGAGAGTCCAGAGGAAGGCAGTGAGCGAACCGCAGATGACGAAAGCCTTGCCGGCGTCGGAGCTGACACCGTAGGCGTGCTTGCGGGCCTCCCAGACCAGAACGTAGAGGATGTAGACGAGAGCGGCGCAGCCAAAAGCGAAGTATCCCCACTTGTAGCTGGAGGAGACGAGGGCACCAACCAGACCGGTGATGATCATGACTTCGTCAACGAGAATGACGAAGAGGGTGGTTGGCCATGGCATGCCGGCGGTGAGGAGGAGATCCATGAGAAGGAGAGGAGTGGTGATGACCCAATCGATGTATCGCACGTAGTAGATCTCACGGTTGATTCCTGCGACTTTGGGGTCGCTGCGCATGAACTCGACGTCGATTGGAGTCCAGCCCAAGTGAGATGCCATGGAGAAGTATGCAATGGCTGCAACCATGGTCACACCGGCGGTGATGTAGTGGAAGATACGGTCTGTGGATTGGAGTCAGACATAGTTTGACAATGAATAACAATTGATGGAAGAGTGAGTAATTAATTACCTTGACGAGGCTTGGTGTGAGAGAGTCCAGCGAAGGCGATGGTTGCGAAGGTCATGACTGCGCAGACTGCCCAGTACCAATCGGAGCCACGAACGGTCAGAGCGACATCAGCAGCAACGCCGCCATTGACGTTGAAGTCTGCAGAGAGAATAGTCAGTTGGCAAGGCCTCGAGACATTCCTACAGTACACTGCGAAAGAACATACCGTTGACATCGAGGGCCTGGTTGCCCGCGGCACGCGCAACAATGTTGCTATATCTGTCCATGTTGTTGAAGCTTGTAGGTTACTTGCGATGGAAGACGAAGGGATTATTGTTTGCAGCAAGTAAGTGTACGAGAGGAATGCAAGGGAGCAAGGCAAACGACAGTGGGAGGGGAAGCTCGCGCCTTTTGTGAAAGCAACGCGCCCAACGCAGATCGCGTGCWACGTAGGTGACGTCGAGGATTGGTTGAGCCGGGTGAGTGCCGTAACCCGTTCGTTCGTTCGATCGATCAATCAATCAGTTCGGAGCCCACCGGCTAACTTACGCTTGTGAGAAGAAGGTCTTGGTAGTAGTATTACCTTACTCTTTTTACGCGAGTCCGGCAAGATCGGGAGTGGGCAATTTGGATGACCGTTGAATGGTTCATGCTCGTCACAACGGCCGACGGTCACAGCTCCGCGGGATATCGCTGTCTTTGAAGGGAGTGTTGTTCACAGCATTGCTACTGTTGTACACTCGTAAAGTCTTCCAACCTCATCATCGATGTACAGTGGATTGTGAAGCAACAGCAGACATCGGCAAGCTTCTCCAAGAGCTTCCAAGCCTTGGAGCAAAAACGTTCTCCTCCATCGAAATTCACGGTGCTTGGACCTCTCAGAGATCGTCATTCCCGTTGAAACGCTGAGATGATGTGGTCACCTGGTGTGGCGTTGGAGCTTAATCGCAGAAACAAGCCTCTGATCGGCGCCCAACTAGCCGATTTAGTCCAATCCGAGGAGGATGCTTAGTGGAAGACCAATCTCCAGATCAGACCAATTTTTTTACCGCCGTTTCCTTGCGGTGAGATGGGGTGGGACCACGATCGCACAAGGAGAGGGGTAATAATCTCCATGGGTAGCAGCAGCTCATCACCCCAGCATGTGATGTCGGTGCATACCTTACTGTACTCTAAACTGTCCTCTCGGCACCATCCCAGGAAGCCCAGCGATGCCTGCCGAACCCTCTCACTTGGATGATGATGCATGGATGGCTCGGCGTCGCCAGACAACACTCATCTTGTCGCTCCTTCTTCCCTCCTTTCAATCATAAGATAAGGTAACGGCCAGCCAGTCGGTAAGTATGGGAGATCGTTCGGGAAAAAGAAAAAAACTACACGATGGCTAGTGCATCGGACGGGGCGATCGGCAAGTCGAGTCGGGTGCCGCTTACGGACTCGACTCCGCTCCCCAGCCACTGGCTCCCTTGTCCAATCCCGAGCTCCGACCTCACCTTTCTTCCTCGAGCTTCCTCGAGCTCCACCCCTCCTTTGTCACACCACTACTAGTACTGTAAAAGGTACAGTATACACCTTGCAGGCATGGTGCAGTGCGGGGTCTGCAGTGTGACCGTCAACGATCGCAATGCAAGTCATCACACACACTGGTCACACCCGAATGGGCCACCATCGAACAATCTGCCGAATATCTTCCAATTGCTATTAAGCCAAGGGATGGTGGGATGGAAATCGTTGAAGGTTGTCGCTTTTTACGTACTCTCGGCAAGGGAGGCCCGTGGTAAGGAAATTCGAAGAACTTTCATCTTTCAATTTTGCAAAGACTTTTTCGAACTTTCCAGAACTATGTGCCGATTTCTTCATGGTTCATTCATGCTTGTAAGCCCGATCGCAAGCATGGTCATCGATGTTTTCGTGCGGAGAGCTGCAAATTTCAAAGTTTTTCACAAGCTCTCTCTGCAGCTGTGAAGAAGGCCCAAAGGCTATTCGTGAAAGAATTTCATCGTGGTCTAGACTGTACAAAGTGTTAAGTTACCCGCATACTGGACAGTGCAGGAAGCTCCACGTCTCGAGATCGCGAGGTAACTGTAAGAGAAGTCGGTTAATCGAGAACCTTGCACGAGACATTGCRGTGCTTTCCGTATGCAGTACAGTATGTAGGGTGGAGGAGTAATAAAAATTGCTATTGGATCGATGAAAGCAATCCATGGCCATACGTGAGGAGCTATCTGATCGCTAAACATGATGAGATCATCCTTCCTTACTCTCCACTTTACGGCACTGTACTGTACTGTATAAGCTGGGATACTCTCGAGGACAATCACATCTTACCGAGCACATCGCTTCCAAGTAGCTGCGTTATACCATGTCGTAGTGTCACACTAATTATTGTTGATCACACGATGATTCAACATGGGGCTGTATACATGTACTGTATGTACAGTACATGTACCAAAAAGTTATGCAATGCGCACTTTCGGAAAGGAGTAGATCTTCCCTTCCGAGCAGCTTCACGACTCCACACAATTCAATAATAGAGAGGAGACGATTCCATTGCATGCTGCTTCATCGTCGTCTAAGCCAAAGACACACCAGGACTACCCTAACCCTAACCCTCCCTCGCAAGACATTCCTCAGTAACCATCCACTTCCCCATCCCCTTTCATCGTTCCCTCGAAAAGAAAAGATCGTTTCCCGACTCTCAGCCAGAGTAACTCTCCCCATGCTTAACAGCGTATTCCATCTCCGCAATCTCCAACTTAGAAACCGCGATTTCCAAACGACGTTGCAATTGCCTCCGCTTGACTTGATTCCCATCTCCAAAGTCTACCTCGAGTCGCATCTCTTCAACATTGAGGTGTAGTTTCTTGATGGCGATACGATCGGCCATGGAGGCGTTTGCAAAGGGTGAAGCAGCCGGGGGTGTGGGCTTTGGAGTGGTGTTTGAAGTATTACTATTCGATTGATCCGCTCTCGCTTTGGCTGCAAGGGGTGCGAATTTGGTGTCCATTGTGAGTTTGGGAGGTTCCGTACTTCTTGAGAGATCGTTGTCGTCGCTAGGAGCACTTGTTTGCGTGGGATCTCGGTTGGAATCGAGGGGATGTGCCTTGTGCTGATTTTCACTGCCAGGAGCACTTGTTCTTGTGGAATCTCGGTTG